AGCTTCAAGGCGGGGTAGGCTGGGGTGAGGAAGTGCCGGTTTTTGGGAGAAATCTTGAATGTAAACTCTACCCCTCCCAACCAGCTTTCCCCCTCAGCTCCTCCTCTCCCCTCCCTCTCTGCTCTAGCAAGCCCCGCCCACACCCATTCTTGCTCCTATTGTTCCAATTAAATTCAGATATAATGCAGATAAATACTTCAGATAATTACAAAAGGGGGCCCAGTTGACATGAACGTAAAAAGCACTGGTGCTACTGTAGATGCCAACAGACTACCAGCAAACACAATGTTTGCAGGACTTCTACAACTAGGATAAAGTGACATAGTCATAGTCCTGGTTGGTTTCTACAGTCCGATATTGTAGCACGCTAACTTTGTTTGGGCTTGTGCACGTCATTCGAGGACGTGGAGCTTGCCTCACAACACGAGGGAGCAGCGTCCACCTAACAACCAATCAGGATGGGGGAGGCGGGGAATGGCTTCGTTTACAGTCAGAAAGAGCGGGCAGCTCAAAAAATTTTAAATGTTGACGACACAGACAAAATAGAACACAGCGATATCATTATATTACCAAATGTCATCAATAACTAATAACTATTGACTGATATTAAAAGCTTTTTTTGTATAAACACCACAAAAAAGGATGCTTCTTCAACGGATTCCCGCCTACCCCACCTTTAAGTTGTGACGATGAGGACATGAGGTTTATCCTAACTAGTAGACCATAAAATCCAAACCAACCAAAATACTATTGCAGATATGAGGTTTATACCTCCAGTAGCTGATCAGAGAGCAAGGTAAACTCTCTGCTCTTAATCTTCTTCCAAATTATTCCGTCTTTTAAAGTAATGCGCCAAGACAGCTGGTATATAAAGAGGACTTCACACCTACTTATTACTGGGTTGGGATTTATGCTCACATTAAAACTATTTCTGATGGTTCAACCAAAATATGCTAGTAACATGTAAACTCCATCCTAAATCAGGAATTATGTTCAAACTAGGCCAAGTTTAAACTGACTGTGCACTCAGATTAACACAAGTAAGTTAGCTAAACTGAGCTAATCAGCAAAACTCGGAGTGAGGCTGATCACTTAACATCTTATTGAGATCACAAAGCAAAAAATGCCATCTGAAAATGCAAATCAAAGTAACAGAGGTAGAATAAATTCATCATGTTACATCAATATTTCAACTCAAAGGGAACTTTGATCATCAGTGACCTCTACACCGCTAACAACGACACAGAGAAAGATATTGTAATGGTATGGTGATGGTAAAGCGGCAATAAAAGGAAGCAAAAACAACCTGCACTTTCAAGATACCCTTTCAAAATAAGAGTCTCTGACCTGAAATGTCCCTGAACATTGAGAATACACAACAGGCTCTTTGCAGCGTTGACCCCCTCTTTTTATTTGTATGGTCATTAAACCGCTGTGAGGACAAGGCCTTAATCTGCAGCCATAAAAATGATGCACACTCATCGGTCCTCTAATTACATTTTGTGGAGTTGTAGCAACATGCCAAAGTTTTAATTTCTGACTTGTTACATTCGGAAGGTTGCACTTGTTATATTGTTATTGTTTTTCTCACACCATAACCAGTTTCATTATTCGTGCTGGTTCTTTTAATGTGGCAAACCAATAAAGTAGCTCATTAAATATTTCATTCCAAACTCACAAATCACATGATTTAATGGATTGTAGTTCTTTTCTTTTTTCTTTCCTTTTTTTTTACTTGTCCATTTAATTTCCAGTCAGTGCTGGTTCATCCTCAGTCTTTATATTGCTGATTTGAAATTCCTGTGGGGTTGCCATTTTCCAAAGCCACAAAAAGGGGGAACAACTCTGTGGTGTTGATAGGACCAGAAACTTTTTCCCACTGCTTTTTATATTGTGTGCTGCTGTAAATTTAAAGGGTTTGCAAAGTTTCAGACTTTGCAAACTGCATCTATAGTGTATCCAATAAATGATTTAAAGTTTAAAAAAAAAATCCTTGCTTAAAAACACAGGTGTGATAAAACAAGCAAATAAACAAACAGTTGGGATTTATGGTCATTATCTGTAAGGTGTTTGGTTTGCCATAGAACTCCCTAAAAGTAAGACACTCTGTAAGACATCACTAAGTGCTGAATTTAACAGCTTGAAGATCATTTACACCCAAGATTTGATTAAAATTGTCCAAAGACAACATGTCAAATGTTGACAGTAAAAAATGATTTAGTTTCATGATGATTTGATACCAGCAACACAGTCAAAGAAAGTTGGGGAATATTAACTATTATGTTTCATCCCCTCTTCTCTTAAGGACGCTCTCTACACATTTGGGAACCAAGGAAACTAGTTTCTGACATTTCGAAAAGTGTTGTTGTCCCATTCTTGTCTGATTTGGGATCTCATCTGATTAACAGTTTGGGGTCTCCTTTGACACATTTTTGTTTTTTTCTGTGCTCAGTGTTTTCAGTGAGTGACAATTAAGGACTGTAGGAACTCTTGTATTACAGAAACATGCTGTGATAATATGCACAGAATGTGGTTCAGTATTGTTTTGCTAAAGTATTCAGGCTCTTTCCTCAAAACCACATAATCTGGATGCAACATTTGTTGCTCCAAAACCTCCATTAAGTGTCCAGAGTTCATGGTACCTTTCCAGACATGCAAGGTACCCAATGCCACAAGAACTCATGCATCCCAAATTGTATCAGGAGTGCTGCCTTTTGAACTGTGTGGGGGTGACAAAATGTGTGGTCCCTCTTCTCTTGAGAGCGCAAGACATGGTGTCAATGATTTCCAATAGACATGCAAATTCTGATCAGTTAGACTGCAGTACAGGTCCAAAACTTTGTTTGTGGATGCAGCAACAAAGTCTGTTAAAAGATGATGGTTTTTGAAAGTGCTTTTTAGCTCATGCAGTAATCTCCACAACAGGGTCATATCAGTTTTAATGCATTTCAGAATGTTCTGTAGGTCACATCCATTCAAGCTGCGATCATTTTCAATTTTGTTCAGAATCGAAATATTGTGAGTACTCTAAATGACAAAATTTGCAAATCCTGCAATTTTATGTTCAGGAATATTATCCTGGGACTGTTTAACTACTTGATAATGCAGGTTCTCAATGACTGATGAACCTCCTTGCTTCTGAGCCCCTCTCCAGAAAGCCTTTTTCATATCCAGTCATGTTGCCAACCTGTTGTAAATGACCCTCTTAGTTTGGAGATGTTTCTTTTACAGTTTTGTTGTCTCTGTCCCAACTGTAACATCAAATTTAAATTTGAGTTTATACTATATTTAAGATGAAACATAGGCTATATTTTTAGAATCAATATTTGATATATCTTTGCACTATTTTCATTTGAGTATCTGTCTGAATGATTTGCAAACCATCAAAATCTGCTTTACATCAATCTACCCAGCATCCCAACCTCTTCAGATAAGGATTTTATTTTATTTTTTCTATTTTGTATCTATAACAACAGACTTGGGTTTGGGTTAGGGTTAGGGTTGCAGGTAGCACAACGGCAAATGATTGATATTACACATAGAATTTATAAATACTTTGGTTTCCATGTCATACCAATACTTGAGCCACAAACTATCAACACTATCAGTTATATAATTTTATTAACCAATAATTTTATTTCATTCCAACACCCGTCCAAGTCCAGCATTGCAACATGAGGGAAGGAAGAAATATGGGCCTAGAGAAATAGCCTGATTAGGTCATATCATATCAATATGGCATCATACAACAATACTCCCTGAAGACTGCACTAATATTGTCCTATCATATCAGATCATTCCTGACATTTTAAATTTTTAGACAAGATTTTCTTCATAAATGAAAACAACTACATCATGACTGTTTTGCAGGCATCTATATTCATATTGTTAAAAACAGATGAAATATTACAATTTAAGACAAAAAACGTGGCATCAGAAAGCACTTGGTTGTATATGTGCGGGAAATGGTTACAATTTACAAACTCATTCGTGTATTTCTAAATGTTATCTCTCTGAGTTAATGGGCTTTCTCTCATTAAATAATTTAAATAACGTATGTTCAATTTAGGCTTGTCAACCACAAGTTCAAAAGAATACTAAACTTCACTTTTTTTTTTCATTTAAACCCTAGATATACCGAAGATGCCGTCCTATCACAGGCTTTGTACCAGTCTGAGACTATATACATAGAGTAACTCTATACCCAAAGTCACACAGACTCTGACAACACAAATCTTCCCAGCTGTGCTCGAGTATAAAAGTAGATCCTTGACTCTGATTGATTCAGAGACCTGTGGGGGTTTTTGCTCAGCGGAGGGTTGAGGATCTGAGCTGCAGAGCGGGACAGGGAGGTTACTGATGAATTAATCACATCGCCCCCCTGTGGTGGCGATGGGTAAGGCTGTTTACTCTTTGAAGCGGGGACGGCTATAACAGGGGCTTTTGTGCTGAGGTGCTGGCCATTCTGTGTCTCTCCAGAGATGATGATGGAGCATTCACTTTGTCTATACTTTTTGCTCTGTCAGAGTGTTAGTATCTTTAATTAATTTTCAAGGTAGGCAATCCTTACATCGCCTAGCTATTTATTATTGTCTACAGATTTTTTTTGGCTGCTCTGTTTTGGATTTGCTCTGACTGATTTTGGAGAATTACCTTTGACCACTGAGATGAACTTCTTGTTTTTTGTGGCCATCGTTTTTCTGTTTCGTATGTCTGCGTAGTAGGTTTTTCCCCTTCGGTAACTTGCTTTTACGCACAGATTTGATCTAATTGTACATGTTATTTGGATTAGTATTTTTTTTCCTTTCAAGAATTGACAATTTCAGAAAGAATGGACAATTGTCACTCAGCTGGAGGAAAATGTTTTGAGCTTCACCACTTGTCTTGTCACCTTTGTTGACGCGAGGAGGACTTTGCCGGCTCTCACCCCTCAGGTGACAGTTTCAGCAGTTGCATGACTGCACAACCCTGACGCATCTGCAGAGGACCAGACTGCGGCAATGGAAAGTGTTTCCAACGAAAGTGACTTTTGGCAATTTAACGAATCCTGGCGGAACTCCAGCTTTCTTAACGGAACCGGTGTGCTGAACCAGACGAACCCCCTGAAGCGGAATGAGGAGGTGGCGAAAGTGGAGGTGACTGTGCTCGCGCTGGTGCTGTTTTTGGCGCTGGCAGGCAACCTGTGCGTCCTGTTGGCCATCCACACCACAAAACACAGCCAGTCTCGCATGTATTACTTTATGAAGCACTTGAGCATCGCAGATCTAGTCGTGGCTATATTTCAAGTTCTCCCTCAACTTATTTGGGACATTACATTTCGGTTCTACGGACCGGACATTCTGTGCAGGTTGGTAAAGTACCTGCAGGTCGTCGGGATGTTCGCCTCCACCTACATGTTGGTTTTAATGTCAGTGGATAGGTGTTTGGCCATCTGTCAGCCCCTGCGTTCCTTGCATAGGAGGAAAGACCGGTACTATGTGATTTTTTCGTGGATACTGAGCCTGCTTTTCAGTATCCCGCAGATGTTCATTTTCTCTCTGGTAGAGGTCGGCTCTCCGGGATCAGGAGTGTATGACTGCTGGGGAGACTTCGTCAAGCCGTGGGGGGCCAAAGCTTATATCACATGGATCAGTCTCACAATATATATCATTCCTGTCGCGATTCTGAGCATTTGTTACGGGTTGATAAGCTTTAAAATATGGCAAAACTTTAAACTAAAAACCCGTCGGGAGCAGTGCATCAGCCTGACGCCCAAAACATCCAAAGGCAACACGCTGGCGCGCGTGAGCAGCGTGAAGCTGATCTCTAAGGCGAAAATAACCACAGTGAAAATGACTTTTGTGATCGTCGTGGCTTACATCGTCTGTTGGACCCCCTTCTTCTCTGTACAGATGTGGTCTGCGTGGGATCCAGCTGCGCCACGTGAGGGTAGGTAGAATTAATTCATGTATTATACTTGGCGCAAACAGGTGCTGCGTAAAGGCTGGTGTATAACCATCACGTCTTTACGCATATACCACTTTGAAAAACTGCAGGACACATTATGCTCAATTAGCTATTTTGTCTGTTTTTTGAGTCGGTATTCAACGCTAAATACGTGATGATTTTTTAAATGCCGCATCCTTATTGTCATGCGCGCCTTTACGCACGAGCCCAGGGTCTCAGCGTTGGCTTATTCATTGAGAACAAGCTGCTACAGCTGGAGAGTCTGATTCAGCTTCTTTTCCCGAAATAAAAATGGGTTGTGCTTTTCAGTGCCAGGGTCGAAAACACTGTCAGGGTGCGTGGTGATTGACAGAGATGAGCTGACTTTTTCATTGATCACACAGCTGAGAGTTTGACGCCTGAAAACAACATATGAAAAGAGAGGAATCTAGACAATTTATTCTGTCCCCCCCCCAAAAAAAACAAAAAAAAATCTTTGTTGATAAACTGTTTGCTCGTCTGAGTGTTTGGGACATTTTAAAACCAAGTTAAGAATAAGGGAACCACCTCCCCGATTTCCGCTGGGGGTCATTGAAGCAGTCTATTTCTGATTCTGATCCCGGAGCAGCATCTGTTAATGAGGTCACAATTTATTATGTGGTTAATGATTCGTTGATTAGGAAACGATTGAGGAGCTTATGGAGCCTTTCTATATATGCTAATCCTAAAAAACGATGCATAATCCTTAATGAACGGCTATGGGTTGTCCCCCAACACATAAGGGTGTTAATAAATTGCACTTAAAATTATGAGACTACTGCACACAATATAGTCATACAAAATTTCTAACATCAGCTGAAGGCTGTAGCAGATTTCGATTAACAGCAGTGCAATGAGATGAAGTTCACACCCACCTCTGGGGGTCCAATGTCTCACAGAACCAACAGAAAAAAAATAATAATGAAGCCATTACATAACATAACAAAGGATGGCACAAGGTAAAAATCTGACATGTCATCCTAAATTTCAACTGACTATTTTTGCAGCTATTTTAAACCAATGATGTTTTAGCTGGATTTTCGATGAAATAATAAAAAGACAAATACAATATGGTATGCTAAAACATGACCGACCAATGTCAGGAGTAGAAGGGTATTTCACCATATTATTCAATACATCATAACAGACATTATATGAAACACTAGCTGTTTCAGATTCAAGATGACACCATTAGGGATGGGAAAACTGCATTTTTCATCTTGAAAAGATGATCATGATTTGACCTTGTGAGGGCCAATGCCAATATGATGCCAATTACGTTTAAAGGCCATTAATCAGCCCAGTTAATTGACCAATAAATAGATCAGTCTAGCTGTAATGTATGCTAGCATTAGCCTGTTTGAATTCATAGTTTGATGTTGAAAGGTCCCCAAATTTACATATGTTTTTTCCAATCAAAATACGTCAGCTGTTTCTTTGGTCAGTGAAAAGCAGAAGGTGAGAGTCTTAATATTTCTTATAGGGCACTGGAACCAATGCATTTGTCTTCTTGAAAAGAAAAGGTCAAAAGTGACCCAAGAGTTCTGTAAAGAAAATGAATCCCCTGTGGGTGTTGTATATTGAAAGATTTGAAACTTAGAACAACAGCTTAGAACGACAAAATCATATTAAGTTATGTGAGAATAAACATATACATTTCTTTTCCAATTTAAAGTAAAAGTGCCTGTTCAGATGCAAAGAAAATTTGACAGAAGCTGATCTAATTTTGATCAATATGTCAGCAAACTATCAGGCTCCTTTAATTTCAAGGACCCAAAAGGGGTTAGTTATTAAAAGTCATAAACTTGAGACAAACTAGGCTACTGGATATGAAGTCCCACTTTGTTTTAGAGGGGGAAAAAAGGGTATGATAAAGTATTGAGGCAACATCTTGTAACTACTTTAACCTACAGAACAACAAATAGAAAAAAATAGAAAACCTGGTGTAACTCAGGTTTTAGTTCTTTGTAAAAAAAAAAAAAAAAAATTGGGCATTACTGTGTCATCCACTGCTGGTTCAAGGATAAACCAGAATCCCTCACTTTAGTTTTACACCTGTTGTGTGGTAACAACATCAGTGATAAGACCTTTCAAGTTTCCCAAGTTTCCTCACAGCCTCCTCCCCCTCCCCACACTGCAGAGGCCCACCGGCAGCTAATCATTAATCAAATTAGTGTGCGCCACCACGCGCCAAGCAGCTTGTATTTGTGCCTGTGGGCACGTTTGGAGAGTGTCGTTGACATTTAACCACAATGGCCCACTAAGCAGCCACTTAGCAGCCATTTACTGTATGTGCACCCTATATTTATTGATCCGCTGAGCCATGACTACACACATAAAACAAGGCTAGATTAAATGTGCCAGCTTGACTTCACAGGGGAATTGTACAGAGTCTCTGTGCTCCTTCTTTTATTTCATTACATTTAGATAAAACTGGGTAAAAGGTCCAATTAAAGTAAAAGCCTTACAAGGAATAAAGACGTTATCTGGATGTTTGACTTAAGGGAAAAAGGTTGGATTTATTGGAAAATGATAGATCTTCCATCTGAAACATTGTTGGTTAATACTGAATACCCCACTGAATTCTGTCAACACTGGACGTAAGGACTTGTTTTTCTGTTTCCTATCCTTTAAAGTCTCATGGAACTGCAATTTCTCATAAATAAGTTAAAAGGAACAGCTATAGAAACACACCAAACTTAAGTTGAAAACAATAACGTCATGGGGTTTCTCAGTGGGGAGAAAGTAAACAAACCTTGAGTTTCAGGCTTTGGCTCTTTTCTTCTGCATCTTGTGCTCCAGGTTTCTGCTTGACTGGCTGTGTGTGTGAGGTTGTCATCTTTGTAAGAAGCATTGTTCACATCAGCTAGTTATACAGGAGCTAAATAGGTGCATTATACACTTTGCTGTCATCCTAAACTTCAATGACAGAAGGGCATATGGCTGGTAAAAAAAAAGGAAATGACAGTAATTGGCTTCTGTGCTCTATCCAAACAATGCTGAAAGTTGCTGAGGCAAGAAAATAGCAACAAAGATGCTCCAGGCTTTGAATGAGAAAGAAATGGAGGAGGACACTGATGTCTGATGGCTCTTTCTTCCACGTGACCATTGCTCAGAAAGGTCAGAATTGGCTGTAACACGTGCCAGTGTTTGTGTACAGAAGATAGGCACCTGTGTGTGTGTAGATAAAGTGTCCATTAGAGTCATACTCAGAAAAATGAGTGCCGACCACAGAGCTGGGAATAAAAAGACATGTCAAATATTTCTACAGTGTCAACAAACCAAAGTAGTTTTGAAATTTAAACCTGTGTTTATGACTTGGATTTTGTTGGTATTTGTGTTAGTTTGAGTAAATGTGATCAATTTGGAGATTCTGTTCAGAGAAAAATTCAATTGTTTTTACCTGACTGAAGGGACTGGATCCCCCTTTAGAGCATTAAACCCATTCCTCGGGGATCCACCTGATAAGAAGTTGTTGTTTTTGTTCCTCTTTCCCCATAAATCACTCTGACATCGTCACAAAATGGAAGTCCACTACTTCAAGGATGCTGTCCATCTTTGAAAGGCTGCTCCCAGCAGACGCAGGATATAAGAGCAGCAGTTTCCAATAGACACCCACACTCCTCTCCTGCCTGGCCCATTAGTGAATGGTTCATAAATCTGTGCTTCATATTCACTGTGCAAAGAAAAGAGCTGGCATTAATTTTCTTGTCTAACTCTCATCAAGAAAGTGAATGAGCACTTAAGCCATAGTGAAGAGTACTTTCAGCCAAAGAGGGTGGCAGTGGACTTTTTCCACAGACAGGAGTTAGCCACAGATTATGAAACAGTCTTAAGTTAATGTTGATGCCTCTCTATGGAAATAAGTAAATAAGAGCATCAGCAACAAGATAGACTTTTTCTAAATTGTTGTTTTTGCTAGGTGCTGCTAGGAGCTGGGTTTGATTACAACCTGTGACCCCTTTCCTATCTGACATTCCTCACTGTCTCTCCTGATATTCTATTCTATCCATTGTCTTATCCTCCTTGAAAACAGGTCCCAAAGCCCCCAAAATAACGTAGATTAGATAATTAACTGCAACAAAGATGCTCAATGTGTAATAAACTAAACACAGGGTCTGACTTAAAGGGATATTCCGGCGTAAAATTAATTTAGGGACAAACACATCATAACACCAAGTTAGACACCCCCTTGAGAGATGAATGTTGCTTCTCTAGTTATACCAACTTTAGTAACGACCGCACGATAACAATACACAGCGGTCTGAGGAGCCATAAACAAACCTCAACCAAAACGCCACTCTATAGCCACAAATAATGCTCAGAACAGCACCTAACTTCATCAATAGTACATATAGGGTTCTAGCCACAGCACTAGCCACCAAACATCTTTTAGCTTTGCCTAATTTCTTAAGCAAAGACAACTCACCTACTCTCTTCCAGCAGTCGCTTGTTTGTAGCGAGACCTCAGGCCAGTCCATTCAGTCCAATACTGACAGAAACTGGAAGTTCCTCACAAGCGTGTTAAGCTCTTTTGCGCTTATTAATCTTTGACTAGACACCCAGACGATGGTGAAATGCCTCATTCCTCACAGCTTTGTCACAGTGACATCAGTGACGTCTGTTGTTCCCCAATTAACAGCTTCAAAGAGTCCACTGTGTAGCAGACAAAAACACCTGAAGGTTAAACCCTGACTCAGACACTCACACACAAGTTCCCAAAAGATTCTGTGGGCACAAACATCTCCCCCACTGAAACTGGACTCGCTGACGCAAACTCACACTATGTGATCTATTGATCTGCATTAATGGACAGAAAGCCCAGTGTTCAATCTGCAAGTAATACACTTTTTGGAAAAGCTTAGTTTCTCTGCAAGCACCAGGGAAAATAAAGTTATGTCTTCTATGCAAGGAGATTTACTATGTATAAATCTTAATTAGACAACTGCCAATGCTCATTACAGAAACGACAATAAAGCGACAATAGTTTTTGTTAATGAGTGACTGGAGTGTCTTTTGGGTTTCACAGTCTCAGCTCTGACTCCCAGACAGATGTACCACCAAGGGGATGATTATCGTGCCTATTCATTTGTGTGTGATTCGTCATTCTCTTGTGAAAGACACCATAAGCTAATTCAGAGAAGATGTCTCTGTGATTGCCCTCCACATTATTCAAATTAGTTTTCAGACAATGCTCTCATCTGCCCTGATGAGACTGCCTGACAGACAATGGTTTATCCCTCGCACTGTCTCCAGTGAAGGAAATGCCAGCAGTGTTATAATCTGTATAACATGAAGTTTACTCAAGACTAACAGGGTTTGTTAGATGAAAAATCAAATAAATTCTAATTTCCTCACCAGTGTTTTACTGTAATTTTGATATTTCAAACCTATCTCCATTATCAATTTACATTTACACATCCCCAAATTAAAATTCAAAGCCATTAAGTATGAGACCAGTGAACAGGACAAAGCTAACCATTGATTGACGCTAATCTAAACTCATGTTTGAGTCTGATTAATCAAAAGCTTAATGGCTGAAGATCAATTTTTACTAATTACTTGTGCGACTTGGGTGCCCTTCCAGAGATCATTTGCTTCAATTTTCGTTCAAGTTCAGGGATTGTCATTAGAAACGACATGAGAATAGCAGGAGCCCAGACAGGCTAGAATATAGATTAGCAATCAGCAGGAAGAGGTTAAATGCAGGATACAAGCCAATTAGGATGAATACAAAACTAATTTGCCAAATGTCAGAGGGAAGCTGGAGTTAATGTAGCATAAATGTCGACAAAATACCTCAGCTGGTTATTACTTGTGCAGGACCCTTTTCCTGTTGATCTTGTGAACAAACGCTAATTTGCTTTTTGAAGAAAGAAAAAAAGACTATTATTTCTTCTTATCTAAATGAGTCAACAATAAAATACTTCCTGTTCACTCTCTTTATTCAAACCTCTCCCTCCTCATAGGCCTCTCATTCCAATCAGCTATAGATAAAGATAAAATTTCACATGTTACACAATACACAGATTCAGTAAACAGCAATATTTAAAAATTGATTTTCTCTCAGTTTTAAAAAGAACCCGTCCAAAGCTGAAGTTTTATGTTAATAATAACGTTAATAATGCTTACATAAGCATTCCAGACCAGCAGGTGGCAGTAATATGTAATCAGTCTGCTACATCACAACACCATAGAGGAACATTAAGGACATGTGTATGGGGCATCTTTGAGAGAAAGAGGTGGTGAGAAGCTCACTTTAAATACTGAGTAGTGAATAGCAAATTAAAAGCTGTTAAGCATTATACTTTTATTTGCCTCTGTATCGGGGTTTAATGATAAAGAATGATGAAAAACAGCGAGGTTTCTATGTAAACACGCAGACAGACCTAAACAAACTGTTAGTCTGCCATCTCATTGCATGCTCAATAAATGTATATTGAAACAATAACTACCTTGTGCAAATATTTCAGCATTTCCCTTAAACTTCTTTTATGCTGTGAACACAACAACAGCTGAACTGAGTTTTCTGAGTTTGCAACCTTGGATTCCTTTTACATGTTGACAGAAGGCAAAACACAAAGAAAATACCACATTTTCAAAAATACAGCCTTGGAGGATGTACTTTCTGTGAGCAGGCATAACTTTGCTGTGAAGTATTTCTCTTCAGGAATCGATCAAGGGACCCAGTCCACAAAGGATCAGGCCCGGCTACATGCTGCCACCCCGATGTCTCACCATTCCGACACAGCTTTCCATATAAGGGGGGGGCATTCACATCTGGAGTCCGTCATTTAATCCTGAGCGTAGCTGGGCGTGTCCCGTGCAGAGGGCTCCGCAGCCGACCATAGCAGACGAGAGCTGTCGGAATGACCAGATGTGTGATAGCATGGTAACATAACGCTACTCAGACAATTAGAGACCAATGTCGGGATGTCGGGATGTCAGGATGTCGGTTGCCCCCCATCAGGCCCTTATAACCTTGGTTGACTGCTCAGGCAGGGCAGAAACAGGAGTGTCCAGTGTACTGAGCATTTCGTGTTTCTTCCCTTATGTTAGAAAGAGATAAGATAAGAGATAAACCAGAGCTAGCAACAAAACAAACATCGTGGAACTGATTAAATTACTTTAAGTCTTTAGGCCCTTTTGTCTTTTAACATTCATATTACTGGCTGTTTAACTGAAATGACACCAATAACTTCCATTTAAAAGCCACTTGACAGTCCACCATTGTGTTTGAACTGGCGCACGAATGACTCATACGATAAGCTAGGCCAGAAAGGAAAGTAATATCCAGCTGCAGCGTAGGGCTGCAGATTAATGGGACTGACAAAGGATGCACCAACTACAACTTTTGTGGTCTGGGAAAAGTAAGATATTAAAAAATGGTCTGAAGCCTGCCACTATGACGTAATTTGTCTTTTCACCCTCTGAAAATGGGACATAGTTGATGACAAACATGTCCTACATTAGCATTTTAGAATGCTAATACATGCTAATCAGCTCTGATTATTGATTATTTCGCTAGCTGCTACACAACAATCAAAATTTGCCGTCCTTCTGTCCATTGTGTTCTTTATAACGAAGAAGGTGAAATAACAAAGTTGCCAAAATCCATTTAAATGAGGAGCATTAATGTTTGTACCAAGGCAATGTCTTCAAAAACCGCAGAGAACATGCACTCAAAATTACGTATGGGCACCTCATCCAGGTGACAAATCAGGCACTGACCTCTAGTGAGTCTGCATGTCTGTACTAAAATTCATTGTTTTCATCTAGTATGTGACATATGGTAGTCTGGGCCTATCAGGGGACCCAGACCGGGGAGCAAACAGATGGACCAGCACTGTAACCATGTAGATTAAGATTAAGATGGACAGTAAATCACTGGAAATGCATGTGTGTTCACATTTCCCTTCAAGTGACACAACTGTCTCGGCCTCAATCTCATCATGTCTCAGTGATATTTCAAGATGGATGAAGAAACACCACCTACAGCTCAACCTGTCCAAAACTGAGCTTCTTGTCATTCCAGCCAGCCCCTTTTTGCAACCACAAATCAGTATCCAGTATGAATCAAATTAACTTGTGCCCACAAAGTCTGCTGGGAATCTGGGTGTCATAAATGATGACCAACTAATCTGTAAGGTTCATGTCACCTCAGTTGCTCGGTTCTGCAGATTTGCCCTCCATTGCATCAGGAGGATCAGACCTTACCTGTCAGAGCTCTCAACACAGCTCCTGGTACAGGCTCTTGTTATGTCACACATTGACTACTGAACTCCTTGCCGGAAGGCCTCCTTGCATGCTCAGTCAAACCTCTGCAGATGATCCAAAGTGCAGAAGTCTGTCTGGTTTTCAACCAACTCAAAACAGCATCCATCACTCCACTGTTCACCTCTCTTCACTGGCTTTCTGGAGCAGTCAACATCAGATAGAAAGCCCTACTTCTTGCCTACAATACTGCAACTAAATCACCTCCCACATCTGGCAGTTCTGTACTCCCTTCCGCCCGTTACGCTGTCAGTGAAAGGTGCCTGGTGCTCCCATCACAACAAGGCCCTAAGTCACAAACCAGACTCTTCTCCTTTGTTGTCTCCCAGTGGTGGAATGAATTACCAAACTCTGTCAGACCTGCAAAGTTTGTCTCTACCTTTAAGAAAAAGCTAAAGACTCAGCTCTTTAGAGAACACCTATGCACTTAAGCTCAGCTCTTTTCCTCTGTCGCCCTTAGTGGTAGAATGACTGAAACAAATGGCCCTGTCTACTTTGAGACACTTTGCCCAGCTCTTAGTGAACAATTCTGCACTTGGTACATGTGATGATGATGATGATGATGATGATGATGATGATGATGATGATGATGATGATGATGATGATGATGATAGTTATGACATGACAATGACGACACGGTTAATAGCTGCGTTTACATGGGCATAAATAATTGGAATAAATGCCCGATCAGAATAAAAATGCGTCAGGTAAACATGTTGATCAGAAGATTCTGATTCAATTCAGCTCAATCAGAAAGAAATTGTATTCTGATCGGGAGGGGTGGTTTGTGCCGATCGTTATTCCGAAAGGCATCCATGTAAACACTTATTCTGATTTTGACTCTCTAACCTGACTCAGTCTTCACGCTTTAGCCTTTGGCTTGTTTATTGAGGCCAGTACAGGAGGTTTCCCTATTAACACTCTGGCATAAAACACAACCTCTCCTCCGGTAACATAACAAGGTGTACATACAGCGTAATGATGTCACATCTGCACACACAGAGCAACCTTTAACAGAACAGTAAAATAAGTATGCAAGGGCGCCATCTAGTGACAACATTTAACGGGAAAACTCCTGAATCGAATGAAGTGAGCCACTACCACGTTTGTTGGTTTGTCGACAGCACAGGCGTAAATACAACTCTTCCTTTGCGGTTGTTTTAGCGAAATCAGACAACTCTGCACATGTCCAAATGCCTCTAATCTGAATAAAGCTTGGTGTATGTATACATCATGATCTGATTATTTGATTTTGCACCCATATAAACAGTGGATTCAGATTATCCGATCCCTCAAATTTTAATCGGATCAAGAAATGTTGCACATGTAAACGTGGCTATTAAGACTCTATTTGATTTATGGATTGATGGTGGTTATACATAAAAAACTGCATTGTGCTTGTAGCAGTTTTCAGCGATCACTGATGTTTCTTTCTGTCAATATCTTGCTTGTGTTGTATTTACTCTTCAATGTACCATGCGGCTAAAAACATCCGCCAAATGACATTGTGTCATCATCTATCATTCTGTTTTTACGTTTCACCTGCTGGTTCCTTTGGGATGTGTCATCACATTAACCTTCACGTCTCTCTGTGGTCTCCTGCAGCAACGCCCTTCATCATCACCATGCTGCTGGCCAGCCTCAACAGCTGCTGTAACCCCTGGATCTACATGTGCTTCGCCGGGCATCTATTTCACGATCTGAGGCAGAACTTCCTGTGTTGCTCCTCTCGCTACCTCAAGTCGTCCCAGTGTCACTGTGAGCGTGACTTTGACTCGAGTCACAAGAGTAATTCCTCCACCTTTGTCATCAAGAGCACAAGCAGTCAGAGGAGCATCACACAGACTTCCTGCACTTAAGTCCCACACCCACTCTTCCCTTTTAAAGCTGCCTGGTCTGCCCTCCACAATTGCCTATGAGATACAGCACTTGATAGGGGGAACATCAAAAGTCTTAACTTTTTTATTTTTCATCAGTGAAAACTGACTTGTAAAATAGACGGATGTACAGATTGGTATCTATTGTGCAAAATTTTGCTCATGAAAATTGTGCACGATAATCATTTATCAAGCTGAGCATTTAACAGTCACTGTTTGTTTTTACTTTTTTCTTGTTTGAGATGTACAGTTTCTGTGTCAACAAGTTTGCAAAAGTAAAAGAATATTATCCGAATGATTTTCAATCTTTGCCGCCCACACTATAGCTTGAGTTGATGTCAGACAGCTTGTGGGCTCTGTTTGTCTGTATTTTGATGAAGTTGATCACCTGTTATGAATATCTGTAAGACGTTACTGTTACTGTTGCAATAAATAAATTGCATAGATGTAAACTGTTACTTGAGCTATTGTTAAATGTGATCTGTCATGGCCGTCACTGCTAATCCTTTTAATTGAAACAATAAAAAAATGTAAGAAGCATAAACGCCCTGACAGCTTTATTATTTACACCTTTAGCTGATGCTTGTTAGAGGTTCTTTTTGCCTTCTGGAAAGGTTGACGAAATACTTGGCAATGCTGCTGGGAATGTCCCACGGGAAAGTTTGTCCACCCTAAATCAATAACGTCACTAAGTTCCTGCAAAGTTTTGCCAGTACTTTGAAACTCTGACATCCTGTTCACCTCAGCCCCAGAGTGCATTATGGGTGTGAAATTTGGACGATGTGACTATTATTGAAATGACCCGAAGTAACTCATGCCTTTGAAGGTTTCTTGGAGTAGCGTTTGTTTTGTGAGGTGGTGCAGTATCCTTCAGGAAGTGACATTAAAGATAAACACTGGTCAGGAATTCACACATATTCTTCAGAGCCAAGCTAATTAGACCTCTGCTAGGTCAGTTGTGTTTATATTACTGTCAGTGATTCAAGTATGTGAGCCATTAGAATGAGAACAATACAATTACTGAACATTAATAATCATTGGCAATAATAAGAGTGACATGAATAAAAGCAAACACTCGATATAAGTCGATATAAGTCAAGTAGAGACAGATTTTTAATAATTTTATCCAGCTCTTACTGATACTTTGGTTTTCTCACACCTAACAAATTAAAGAAGCAAGGTTAAAACAACACCATCTCCACAAACGCTTAACTCTAATCATTGTCTTAAAATCCATTTATTGTTCAACCAGGTGCTGCTCTGCTTGCTTCATCATGTCACAACAGAAGATGCAAATTAACATGTGACTTTGACAATTGTACAGTCAATAACTACATATCTTCCACAGTGCAGAACATACAATGTATGATATCGTCACCCTATTACAATAATGGCCTGAGTCATTTTTTGATTGAAGAATTTAGGCGATTTTTACCAGAGATGGCCAGCATTATCAAGAGATGACTTAGGCCAAAAACTCATTTTCGTCAAAAAATGACTTAGGCCATTATTCTAATAGGGTGACGATATCATTCATTGTATGTTCTGCACTGTGGATGAAAAATATCATATGCTATTTTTAAGTGACAGTTATTTCATTTTTTTTTTGTTTTGTTTTCTTATTGGATCCCTGGTATCACACTCTTTCAAAAGACAGTGTTATGAAAAAAAGTATTTCAAGAGAAATTATTCTATTAAGAAAAGCCAAAGGACACTACAGTCTCACTTATATGCACAAAAACCTTAGGTTGATGTGTATCCAAAGGTCTATTTACTGTTTTCCAGGAAAACGTAATCCCAAATGTTTTATCAAGATCGTGACTTGGCATCAGATTATCATGATTCATATCCAGAGTTGCAAAAGCACAAAACAAACATGTAAAACAGGCTAAACTTGCTGAGATATTCAGTAAAAGACAAGACGATTAAGTCAAGGTCTTGAGAAAACAACTGGGAAATCACTTGCTATCAAAGAGTAAACAAAATTAGTGCGTACATTCCCACTACACTACACGTTATCGTCCCTGGGTGACTTTATAAATAATCACTGCCTTCATTCTTTATTTACACAGGTTTAAACAGATCATTTATCAGATTAATGCTTCATGCTGTTTCTGCACAAATCAACTCCTAATTGTGTATTGAGTGAGCCAACATAACCAGGAGAAAATACACAGGCTATTACCAAAGCGGGGTGTGGCCCTGATGTATCAACCTGTAATACAACAACTCAACCAATAAATAATAGTCACTAAAACACTGCTCAGTAATTCTTAAAAAGGTATTTATTCTCACAGAATCACATAAAATTAAACACATATTATCATCCGAACAAAGTCTGAAGCACTGTTGCGCTGGATATTTTCATCAAGTGTTTTTAAAATCAGTTTGAACATATTTATTTGCCTTTAAAATGTAGATGCAAAGTGGCAATATACTTGTTACACTTGTCTACATATCCAGAATCACACAGCTGAACATGAACACAGGTCTCTTAGGTTTTGACCCTATCAGGAGTAAGATTCACACATAATTACCGAACATCTTGTAATAAATGCAAATGAAGTTTTATATATTACTCTGATGTGAATTATAAACATATTCCTTATCTTTATCTTAAATTCTTTGGAGCCATTGCAAATATATTAGGACATATTTTAAGAAATCAAATAACATATATGACTTTTTGTTAGAACTTTTAGAGATGGGATTCATTGATTAATTATGATTAAATTCAATCAAAATTAAAGTTCTGAAAAAACACACTAAGCAACATACAACATCGATGTAAATTTAACTTCAAATATCCAAATATAAAGCATTCAGGCAGCATCATCCACAGGTGCAGCAGTGTTGGGAAGTCCCAGTTGTTGTCAATGATGAGTGGTCGTCTGAGCTTTTTGGCATACATATAAACCAGGACAGACAAATCCTCCCCATGCCGGGCAGCCCCCTTTCCCACACTGAAGGACCCTGAGGCCTCCGGGAGTGCCAGAACTGTCACAGAACCATGCCGCCCACTGCAGCTGTCGCAGAAAATCTGATGGAGTATGTTATGAGGGGAGAAAGAGGAGGAGGAGTATCAGGGAGTAAGCAGGATGCCAGGACTTATCTTCTGGTGTAAAAAAAGGTACCACACTTCATCCAATCATGCTAACAAACACTACACGGTGAGTTTTTTTAGACTTCTTTGCGCAGTGCCACACGCACACTGCTGAAGATCTTGCCCAGGGCTTCGAAGAAGGGGTCGCAGAAGGTCTGAATGCAGAGAGAGTAGATGCGGCTGATGCACTGTGACTCGATCAGACAGCTCTTGATGCATGGCACCACGGCCCAGATGTGGCAGAAGGAGATGCAGGCAAACAGGAATCCCCAGAGCAGAGCGACAGGGATACCGAAGACGGCAGACAGGATACGGTAGCACCAGTACTTGGACACAGTGAAGGTGGTGTAGCTGAGCTTCCACACTCCATCCAGGCTGTGTGTGCCATCAGGCTCTGCAATGACATCCTCAAACTCCACCTGAGAGTGAATTCAAAAGAGGATTTCATTGAGTCCTTCACGAAACATTTACTGCCTCCAGCTATTACACACATAATCAAGAGTCAGGTTCATAACTATTAATGCTGCAAATTTAACACAGTCGAACCAGAAAAGGTTTGCACTTAATGGAACAGCAAAGTTATAGAGTGGCTTTAATGGCTGAGCAAAACCTCTCAAAAAGCTCTTTTTTAATCATCTGAATTTATTCTCTTTTTAATGCATAAAAGCAGCTATATAATCTTCCGATATTTTCCTGTTTTCTGATCCAGCCAGCTGGTCTTTTGGATACTGTCCCATTCCAGGAGGAGATTCAGCCCCAAAATTTTAATTAACTTGTTGGTAATCAGGGCTGCCAGATGCAGCAACACATCCACTACCTTTTCTTCTCTCTTCCAGCATTCCCGGGGATCAGTATGTGAAATGACGATTTACTGTCCACCTCCTGTTGCGATAGCAGCCTGAGATCATCCTCTGAATGAATGGCTGGACATGTTTTGTTTTTGTTATGTGAGGTCGGACCTCGTTTTTGCTTTCAGAGGGATTGCTGGGGTCAGATTTGACAATAGAACAATCAAATCAGAGTCGTATTATCTAAAAACTGAATTACTGATATGATAAGACCTACCGACCAGGAACACAGTTTTAGCAGACCCTATTTATCAGGTCTGTGCAGCAAAAATAAAACTTAGCAAAGAGTGCATGGATACAAAAGGGCTATTTTATCGCTCCATGTGACTTTTAGACCAGAGTAGTAGAAGTTCAGTTTAAAAATACATAACCTTTATCTTTATGCCTGGGAACAGACACAGGAAGGTATGTAAATCCTTTCAACCTGAGCCATGCAGACACTCAACATGCACTCAATGGTTTACCATCTTTTGCACTATGTTTATCTTAGCGCCTTTCAGTTCACCAAAATCTTATTTAAATGTATATTCTGCTCTGTACATACAGAAAATATTATCTGGAAGTGACCTGGCAACAATCAGGATAAACATTGGTAAAACCTAAATTAAACATGGTGGTAGAGTGTATCAGTTTCATGATCTTCTATCTCATTCCCAAAATAAACCTCATGTTCGACATCAGGAATAGCACTTAGTCTATTTTCAGCTCTAGACAGTACAGTAGCCCGTCTTTGTCCTTAACAACCTCTTTGCTTATTTATTCCACAGGTATACTTATTATAATCTCTAATCCTTGCTGAGACAGGCAGGTGAGTCCATGCAGCACAAACCTTCACCACGTCCTCATTGATCTGCTTGGGGTCTCGATTAATGAGATCGATCTCCTTGGTGTGGCTGTCTTTCACAATCTTCTCCTCGTTGGTGTTGTACTGGTACTGATCCGCCATGCTGGGGCTGTAGGACCTGGACCGGCTGGACACAGTGAGAGCAAAATCTTCCAAATGGATCAAACGACTTGTAGTTCACTTCTGAACCCCTGTATCACCACTGTGACGCTCCCTCCAGCATGCCAGTGGACAGCTGCTGCAGACGTCCTGGTAAAAATGGAGGCTTGACCCCCACCCAGCACACACCGGCACTAACACTCACACGCACACACAGATGGTGTCCACTTGTGCACACACACACATACCCACAATGTAGTGCACACAGACAGAAAAGGCATGCCGTAAAGGAGAACCCAGGCCTGTGTCACATTTCACATAGGGTTGAGGGGCTAACTGGGCAGGGTTTGCATGCTGGCACGAACTTCCACCACAGAGTGAGGCAGGGAGTACAAACACACCCTCCTGCCTCAGTGTTATTTGTGTGAAGATTGAGCAAAACTCAAAAAGAAATAAACATTTTGCTTTTGATTTGCATTGCAAGTGAAAAATAAAGACAAAAATACTGTCACTATGGGAACAAGGATTACAGTGATGTGACTGATACTGTAAGTCAGGCGGTGAGTTGGCCATAATAACACAGTCCAACTCTGTGAGCAGATGGTTCTTTATATGTTGACGTTTTGCCAGTTTGAAATTCTACTGTACTTCTTCATTCGCAGTCACTTGACAGTTCAACAACATCAGACTGAGGAGTAATACTTTATATAGTACGATGACCAAGTTTTATTTTAAGACCAACCTAAAAAAGTCAAGCCCACACTCTTACTCCATGCCACAAAAACATTTAGTTCATTGCAATGTTTCAACCATGGACTGTTTATACTATGGACAACTTGGCTCCGCCTTCCGTCATTATACGAAGCTGCTCTTAGCTCTTGGTATTTCCGGGATTTTCTCCACTTGCTGGAACCACCACTTGCGCAGTAGAGTTGAATGCATTCGGTGTGAGAGTCGCTGTGATGATGCTCTGCTCAAACAGCGTATCACCCAGATGAGCTACGCAATCTTCGAACATCCATAGGCTGTATCAACTGTTATTCATAGAAAACTTAAACCACTAATAACTTTTAAAAATGGAGCTGCACAGTAAAAAGAGGACTTGAGCACAAACCAGTCTTACAATAACTACATGTCAATATCGCAACCAAGACGGTGAAAGAATTATACTCTGTTATGAATTTTTTAAGGTTTGTCCACAGCTCCATTAAGTTTGGGAGGCGGGATTTATGACCTATACTTCAGCCCATCACCAGAGGTTGCTATTCTTCCAGAGGAGGAGGAGAAGCGAGGAGGCAGATGACGTCCATTCTAAATACAGTCTATGGTTTCAACACACCCTTTATATCTGCGAAGATTCTGAAAATCATGGATATCACACCAATTGCCATAAATATTGCATGACCTCAGTGATGGTCCTGAGTGTTATAGAGTAATTCAATGTGGACACAAGATATCAATGCCCCAATGGAAGTGTGCCACCCCCCCACCCCCCCCAAACACACACACGCGCACATAAACACAATGACACCTTCACTATAGTTGTGTCATTAGTTATAGTCGACTAACTAGCTCTCAGTGGATGTCTTCAAATGGCCCAGGCTCAGTTTACCTGAGCTACAGGTACTGGAAATGTTGACACAGTTTACCCTGTCTCTGTAGAACTGAGCGAGACATTAACAAATGGGCGCCTCCCTTCAGTCTTTTGCCAGTCTGGGCCAGGGTGAGAAGCCTGTTTGGGCTCCCCCAAGTCCTCCATTCTCATTAGAGAGGAGAAGAGAGAGAAAGATGGTGGTGAACGGTTGTTTCTTAACATTGGTTCAGCCTCCAACTGGCATGATTTCTTCTCATTTAACCATTGAATTGTTTAAACTGCTTTTTCAACATCTTCTTCACTGGATCTCACAAACTTTATCCAAGTTCTCCTGGTAAACTTGAGATACTTGGCTTTAACTTCAATACCCCACTGGGTAAACTTTAACTTTCCATCCCAGCTGTTCAGCTTGTGCTGCCTAGTCTGCATTTCTAAGCTATTTTTTTCATATGCATCCTACACTAAGTCCCGGGGCAGCACCAGTTCTATAAAATAAACTATTTGCTGACTTGCAGACCATGACAAGTCTAAAGTTAGAACAAACTGCTCCCTTTGGGGCTGTAATTCTGCCTCCTAGCTCTACCTGTAACTCTAAATGAGCATTTTTCCTTTTTTGCAGGCCAACTAAAACACTTATTATTCTTTCGTAAAATAAGTCAAATCAGTTCTTCAGTTTAGTAGTTAAGCATGAGGCGTGTGTATTGCCTTCTGTATGCATTTGGCAGTGCTGATGTTTTATTGCAGCCACAAAGCCCCAAAACATTTAGAGCTAAGAGGACATAGAAAAATGGAAATTGAATTTAAATCACCTCCTTTTTTACTTTGAATCGGAGTGTTGTCTCTCCTCATTTCAGTTATTTACCAAATCAGTTAAAGCCTTTGATTGTCCAAGCCCCTATTGTATGAAATTACATTCACAAAAGACGAGCTCAGAGCCATTTGTTTCAGTAATTTCTGATTTTAGCAAAGCCTAATCCATAAAACTTAATAGTGGCCCTAAAATAAAACTCTGATTCAGTCTTCCCTAAGCTGAGCAGTTGTTGCTATCACTCATGGCTTTCTATATCAGCATATTGCATAAACAAACCTCCAACAAGAGGGAGGGTGTGGCGCTGAAAACTAGTACAAGTAAAACACCACCAGCTCTCTGTTGCTACTTATTTCAGTCAGTTGGGCGTTAGAACAGATCAGAACAGGAAGTGTGACCCTGAGAGTTTGGATTGGCGTTGCCTGTGCCGGTTCCCTGGTGTTAGGGACGGGGACAAGGAGGGAAGAGGGGAATTGGAGCACAGTGCATCTGATCGAGAGCCAACCCAATTAGAGGTGTATTTCTGTGAGTGGCGATGGAGAGAGAGGAGAGGCTGGTTATGCAGAGAGGCAGGGGGACAAAAATAGCTCGGCAAAGAGAAATGGTGGACATACCTCTGTCTCTGTGCGTGTCAATGCAATCAGCTGAGACTGCAGCGGCTCTTGTCTTACATTTGCTGCCGGCATGCTCGGTGCTCAGACCTATGTTTAGAAACATATAGAGTGTAAAGACGAGAATGGGTATCACTGACCTGGTATAGTATATTAGTATCAGGAATTCTTTCTCGGGAATGAATGAATGAATGAATGTGTGGGTGTGTCACTTAATTCATTCAAAACTTTTATACATCACCAGGGCTCTCAAGTTTTGAACTAAGCTTAGAGTGAGATTTCCTTGGGGGGGGATTATAAGTATAATTATCTCTTAAATACAACGGAGTATAAGGGGCACAATTAGAAAAAAAGCGCTTTTTAATCTCAAAGAATAAAGTTATTATTTGGGAGAATAAAGTCATTAATATCTCAGTATTAAGTCGTAAAGTTACCTGTTGTGAAGGAGAGTTGTTAAAATCAGCACTGTGGAACATTTAGATGAATTGTACTTTAGTATAGGTTTCACAAACATGGAGATACTTAATCCTTTGGTACATGAGCATTACACTGTCATGAGTATCAGAACTTATATTTGAGATATATGAGAAATGCTGCTTTTGCGGAGGGGAAAATGGCTGGAAATGGCTGCACAGAGACTAAATCCGTCAATACAGCTGTTAATAGCAATAGCATAGGGCTTTAGTTTATCATATGAGTTTATATGCCATGAGGTGTTGAGGTCTCTGCATGTGTAGGTTACTGACTTACTGTAATCATCGGGTCTATCTCGTCCTTATAAATAACCTGCTCTATTACGGCGAGTGTCTGTCTTCTTCTGTAGTCAAACCGCAAGATATCAAAATCTACCCGGATACAGCAATGCTGCTTTTTGATTGGCTGTTCAGTAGATATACTTTATTTGATTGGCTTGCGCGTGGCACGCAGCTTCTGAACTCTCGAAGAAACTCAGTTGATTCCTACCTGTTCCATAGTTAAAGAGGTGCAACTTGGTGGACATCACCATGTTCATATAAATGCGTGAGAAATACAATGTGTGGCGTGTGAGCGTGTGAACGGGTGGGAATGCGTGTGTCTCACGCTGATTGCGTGAGACTTGAGAGACCTGCATCACAGTGATACCTGTTCCTTGGAGGCAACATTTGTGACAGGATTTTCATGCAGTCTTGTTTAGTTCTTAATAGGTATCCAGGTTCAACCACCAAGAGGCAGATTATAAAAATTAAACCCACTTTAAATTCAAAGTTCTGTAGAGGCCCAGGAGGGCGAGACTTAGGATGAGGGCTCCGTCTCAGGTGTTGTTCTACCCTAGCTTAGTCCAACCTTGACTAAACCTGAACTGGATTAAGACCAGAAAGATACAAACATAGAGATGTGGTAGAAGACGGAAGGAGATAGAGTCAAGAGGGAGGGAGGTAGGGTCAAAGAATTGCAGACAAACAGAGTGGAGTGGGATGGCTGTGTAGAAGGCTAGCAAGGTGACTGAAGGTGTGGGGAAGGCGTGGTCCTGCTCCTGAACCCTAAGTTAATACATAAATGTCATAAATTTGCAAACAGTCTGAAAAAAGTTTGACAGAGCTGTACTGCACTCTGGGATTTTGGCTGTCCTTACTTCTAGTTTCCCATCCTTTGAATTCAAAGTAATTTGCAGAAACACCCAAGGAAGCACTATTCATCTTGTGATTCTCATAATTTCGAGTACGCAGTGTGCTGGCTGCTTGGGAATGAACTGTGTCTGATTTTAATGTGAAAGCATTTTTGCATCTTTGATATCTTAGCTGTCAGATCTGTGGCTCGAAAAAAAAAAAAAACTTTTATTGCTGTTAAGTAGCTGGTATGGCCCAGTGGTTAAATTGCACACTTTATGTAGGTTGTTGTCCTCACAGCAGGCGGGCAGTCTGGGTATGATTCTAACCTGCAGTCTTTCACCTGTCATTCCCCACTTTCTGTCTCAGTCTTCTGCTCTCTCCGTTGTCTTGTCCTTTCTATAGAGGCAACACTACCACCACTTAAAATTGCATTAAGGCAGTCAGATCACTCTCTGATAACTTTCATATCTTTGTTTCACTTTTATTCAAAACCTTTGGATTGTGTGAACCTTTTCCCCAGAAAACAAAAAAGCATCACTTCCATAGTAAAATAAAACATTTATTGAGATCCATAAGTTTGGTTTCATTGAGTTAATTGAAGCAAAAGTATCAGCACATTATTATGCTGTGCTAATTTCTTCCCACACAAAGAATTGATATTTTTTGACTACGGTGCAGTTGCATGAATATTGTTATAGTTTGATTGCCAGTCAGGCACATTTCACTGCATTCTTCTCTGTAATTGAGTAATTGTTTTTGTACCACTTTTCTCTAATTTTCTATCAGTGCAAACAACTCAGAAATAATCACTGAAATTTATGATGTAGATCTAACTCACTTGTAAGGTATTAGTATGCAATCTGTCCTTTTCTTTGTTGTCTTTGTGCTAAACTAACACTTTCACTCTGTGTGTTTATCTATCTTCATCCCTTGCCAGATGGATAGTAATTCGGCTGCAGCACTTCCCAATACTGCTAAAGTAAGGGCTGATGAGAATGTTCAATATGCTGCTCCACACGGTCCTGATCCAGTGCATGTTGATGAGAAGGAGCTGAACACAAGGCATAATCAACCTGGAGAGAAACAGGGCGGAGCATGAAACATATTGTCACTGAAATTTATTGTCACAGAGGAAAAAAGTCTTTCCTCCCTCGAAATCGGTCATCAGTCCTTCCTCGTGAAAGCAGAGAAATAAGTAAATAACACCCTACCAGATGTGGAGACAGCTGAGCACAGCGAAGAGGAGCCCTGCAGCCAGAGAGAGCGGCACAGCCAGCAGGAGGGAGATGAGGCGGTAGCACCACAGCCTGGCCACCTCAAACAGGGCATGGCTCCACAACCACACTTTATCAAAGCTCCGCACAGAGGGAGGCTCTGCAATCACATCCTCAAACGTGACCTCAATACACACAGAGATACTGTGAGTGAGTGCCAAAACACTTCTATCACCTATGATGTTTAATATAACACGGACAACTTGGATCAATAATCTTAGAAAGTCTGGAGGATAAATGAGATGCACATAAACATACTGAAAGGAGCATTTTTAATTGCAAATACCTTTTTTTAAGTGGATGGTAGTTACATATTAGTATTCAACATGCATAGACAAAAAAGAGCAATGTGTGCGATCGTGTCCACTTGAGGTCAGTATTTTTCAACATATTGATATTGACCACATGACATTGCCCATCATGTTTTATGACTAAGAAACACAAAGAAGATAAGTAGAGGCCCTGATGAATATTTCTATGAAAAAAAGAAGATGAATTCTATGTAAAATATTGTTTTTTTCCTCATGTTTATGCATCCAAGATTTACATTACGAAGACTGGAGACAGAAAGAGGAGATACAGTAAAGCATTTACAGCAGGACTGCATATCTCAAGTGCTGTATGCTCTTATGATAGTGAACATGAGTTACCTTCAGGTTCTTGTTAATCCCTCTAGGGTCCCTGTCTTGAATCGATACTCGACTTGTGCCACTCTGGGTGAAAGTCAGATCTTCAGATTGCATGTCCACTTTGACCTCCATCATTTCTCGTTTTAATCCTTTCCTCCTCTAAGCTGAGCTTTGTCTCGGTTTGTTGGCTTCTGCAGTCATGTCATTGGAAACATGGAGGATGTGCAGGGCGTAGCAGTCTCACCCAACTTGTCACTGACACCCAGGTGGAACATAGTGGAGTGCTGACTGCCTTGCTCCTTGTTGAGGAATGCCTTTATTGGCTTTCAAAGGCCAGCCTTTGTTGACATTTTCCATGTAACACACTCCATGGGAAGTCTCATTTGGACCTGTGTGAGAAATGTCCAGTAGATATTGCTAATTACATTACACTGGCTTCCACTTCCTGCTTGAATTGTAAAGTTGTGTTGATGATCAGCAGTCATTATTTGGCTCTATCAGAGCTGACAGTGCAGGTCCATTAAGAGCACACTTCAATTCAGGACATGTTTCTTGCCAAGAGCGGTGCTTCCAACCATACCTGAGCTGGGACTTGGCTGCACCACTGACAGTCTCTCCCCTGACTACACAAACTGACCATCGCTGTTTTATTCATTCAGTTGTATTCCTTTCAGCAATACAGCACAGTACCAGCATTCAGTGTGCAGTGGAGTATGCACCCCTCCCATCTCTTTAAAGTCAGCCTGCAGTTGGCATCATCTGTGGAGCTGCAAATTGTATTCAAACCTTTTACTTCTTTTCAAATACCTGGTAGTGTGCAGCACCGGAGGCCTTATTGTGTCAATTTGAAGTCAACAGCGACTAGTACAGCCTCCTGGAACAATGCAACAATCCTCTTAGTTGTGGTTCAGTAAGAGTATAATTTTTCTCACTTAAATGCATCTAAAGTTAAACCATGGTTAATGCAGATGATTCTCACCAAACTGTCAGTTTGTATCATATAGTGTTAATAAATACTGTCGCAGACAAAAGTTTCATGTCAGAATCAGAATGAAGGAAGTGCAATTTGTTTTCATATCTTTCAGTACAAAAGCACAAATTTGCCATTTACAGTATTTCATCTAGATTTTGCTTTATGTAGTTTTATAAAATTTTTTATGCTTGTATCTTCTTCCATTTAAGGTCCCCTGGCAGTCATATTACTGTTATGAAAAAGATTTATGCTTTTTCACAAATGTAAACGTCTTTATTTTTAATGTTATATTTGTCTGTCCTCGTTCATGTTCATTGATTTAACACGAGAACACTAAGACAAATTCCTTGGTTGGAAACCTTCTTGGCAATAAACCTGATTCTGATTCTGTGGAGCTGAAATTGTTTGCCGGTTATTTTATTGGAGAAAGCAATAAAAACAAGTCAGCGTATCCAAATCAAAAGAAACAGCATCAGTTGGGGGCAAAAACAAAACGGTGTGAAAAGTGTTTGTTTCTTTTTTTTTTTTTTTACTGTTTCTGGTCCTGTTTTGTTCTCCTTGAAGTAGCGGGTAGGTGGGGTGTGCTGCCTCACCCGACAGGGGAGAGCTCCAACTCAAACAGATTTCTCACCTCGGCTCTGCCATCTCTGTCTTCTTTCTTACAACTTTCCATAGACTCATCTCCACTGTCTCTCTCCTCTTATCCTGTATTAGAGTGGGGGAGTAGGTATGATGTCTAGCATACAGCCTTACCCAGCAGGGGTAAAGTCTTGCCCAAACAAGCTTCTTGCCCTGGCCCTTTCTTCCATGTCTTCTTTCAGTTATCTTACACTCTTCTCTCAGTGGTGGAAGGTGAGAGTTATCCCAGAGGGGGGTGGTTCCAGGAGCTAATCATTTAGCCTCCTTAAGGTGATGCAGGCTGAACTTAGTGACGCAGGTGAGAGGAAGTGCCCAGATGATAACCCTGTGCGGTGGCTCTTGTTGTAAGCGAAAGGCCACATGTATCATCAGAAAAGAACACAAGCAGTGAGCGCTTTTCCTTCTCAGTAGAGTTGAGTTATTTGTGTTTATCTTGTATCACAATCAGCAGAATTACAGCACCATTAACATTTATTTAGAAATATACTTCTGTAACACTGTATTTGACACCTATCTCTATAATGCATTATAAATATATGCATAATGTGTTATAATGATGTTATAGCACTGTATAGCTGTAAGTATAAACACTCATAAATGATCACAACTCACTGACAATGCCCACATAGATAATGCATTATACATAAATTTATGATGTGTTATAATTTGCGTATAAACTTGTATAACTTTCATTATAAACACTCATGAATAATAATGCTTTAAAACAATGAGTATAACACATTATAATACCGGACCTTGTAAGTCATGATGAAATGCTTTATAATGTGTTATGATTATTGCTATAAAGCATTATGATCATTTATGAGTGTTTATAACTATACTTATACAGTGCTATCACGTGATTATAACGCATTATACATATATTTATAATGCTTTATAGAGATAGGTGTTAAGTAAAGTGTTACCGAAATATGTTTCTATTGATTGTAACTCTATCACTGACACTCTCTTTAACACTTGATTGCATATCACCAACCCTTTAGTTTATTATCAAGCTCTCGATCTGGACCTAACCCTTAAATTAACCTAGCAACAAGTTCTTTATGTAGTATGGTGCTGAGAAAACTGATTGCCTGATTTCCATACTGTGCTCTGCATTTTAAAATACTGTAAGAAGAACAGTGAAAGACAATCAAGACCAAAAACTGAGCACTGTGCTGAATAAGCAAAGAGAGAAAGCCATATCTGATCATTCCTAATCAGCACGAGCTATCCGTCTGACAGGCACGGTTTAATTGAAAACGAGTATTAATATGAGAACCAAGGAGCCGTCTGTTTTTACACAGCTATGGTACACTTTAGACTCCTCCTATAGAAAACACTGACTGGGAGGTCTCATGTAAAATTTGTGACTACTGCACAAGCATTGTGGCCTTGTGTATCTATTATTTACTTCCTTAAAAATTCTGTAAAATAAAACTTGCCGTCATTGAATAAACCCGGCTGACCTCTGCATGTGACTGTAATGAAGATTTCATATGACTGCAGATCATTTTGTGCTCAGTAATAAGTTGTTTATTTACACCGATCACACACATTTCACAAACAGGCAGCAATCTGAGCCCAATATCTGATTGAGACATCATTCACATTTAGAGGGAAGCATAACATTTCGTTTGGCAGCCTAACGTTTGTTTGTTGAAAATTCCTTGAAATTCTCACGTCAGGTTTGTCCTCTCAAAGAGGGAAGGGGGGGAACTACTGCCACACGGCGCACTCTGTTGGTGACACTTGGAAACTAATGCTGTTGGTTTCTGAAATATCTCCACTGATAAATAATTCTTCTCAACAAAGGTGATTTAATCAGTCTAATTTCCTGCTAACATGCTCAAAGAGCTCATTTTCTCAGAGTGAATGAGAAAAACAAAGTGCTTGTTTATTCACAGTTTATGTGCAGTAGTGGAAGTGGAGTGGAGACAGGCTCTGATGAGCTGATGATTAACAATGTCTGTGTCTGTGTGTGTACGTGCATGTATATGTGTGTGTGTGTGTGGTTACTATGGTGATCAAGAAGACCTGATATTGTGTAGTGTATTGTGTCTTAAGATTATTCTCGAAAATGTAGATATGTCCAAAACATCTTTAGCTGTATAGTGCATTTTTTTCAAATTGACAAAATTCGAAATATTGTGTTTTGTTAAATTCTGTAATACATGCTATCTGGATGGACTTTGGAATCTTAAGAACACAAATGTAATCACTGCTGCGTTGTATTTGTACTTGTAGGTTGATAAAATAAAAACCATGTAATGTCAAATAGAAGTGTGACGTCAACTGATATGACAACATCTGTTATATTGACAGTCTTCATGAAGCTTTACTTGGATGTGCTGAGATTTCAAGTTTTTCTAAAATATATATAAAGAGGTTTCAATAATGGTTGGATAGTTTGAGACACTAAGTATTCCAGACACCCATAATGAATGTCCAGGAGCTAACCTGAGCCTGTGGGTCGCAGGTCCTCTCTTGCGACTTTGTTAATTATCTCATAATTTTTTTATAAAATTTTCCACTGATGTAACCTGACTACTCAGGGGAATTTTATTCTGTTTTCTATTCTGTGATACTCAATCAAACATGTGAGCATTTGCTGTACGGACACTCAAAATTTCACCACTGTTTTTTTATTTCTTGCAAACTAGAATGGACATTAAAGGTTGCTGACATGTCTGAGTCTTTTCTGTGCCTTTGATTTGGGACTTTGAGCCGAATTTTGGCAGTGTTTCAGAGATAAAATTCCTCTTTGAACAATCCGTACAGACACCTGCCAGAAATACTGACCTTGTTGCCACTGTCTTCTTTAATCCATACATTGTGTAATCTCCACTTGTGTGTCAGACAAGCAGATTTCAAAGTTCAAACTGGGACTGTGTGAAAGAAAGAAGTGTGTAAAAAGCCAAGCAGCACCTGCTGTGGAAAGTGTTTCTGTTTTACTCAAGGTTTTTCTGTTTAATCTGTTTTATTAAACAATTAACACAGGCTCATAATATGTAGCTCTGAATGTAATATGCCAGGTAAGAAATGATTCAAAAGTCTGGGCAGGTAACAAGAGGATGATGGCCATCCAGTGACCTTATTTGTGATCATTTCTGTTTTACCAATCTAGCTAATATATTCAGATAAGGTTCTGTAATAGCTCCATTTGACCATTGTACAAAGACAAAGGCTCATGAAATTCAAATCTCAGCACATGTAATGTTGTTTTACAACTTCTTAATGAATGACTTCACATCCTTTTGTTCTCAGGAACTGAATAAATAATGTAAAATAGAACCAGCAGATTGTTTTACAGCAACCATTAGAAAAAATGATAAGAGTATACAAAATAACAAGAAAAAGAAAAGACCCACAGCCTGCACGTTTCACTGCTGTGTATGTTTTTGTTAAGCATCCTTATCTTTGCAGTACTGAACACACAACCACAGTTACGTAAGAGTGGTGTACAACCTGGTTAGTGAAAGCTACACAGCAAAATGGTATTTGCTGTTATTTGCTTTGACCACTCTATTCTTGGTTATTCATCTATTGTTCTGTTTGTGAAAGATGAATTCAAACACCAGGGGCCATAAAACGTCACTTTGTCTCCACTCTCAGAACATTATCAATGCCCAGTAATGATTGCTGCTGTAAAGATCATGTCCCTGTCTCACCAGATCTTAGCAGTCCATATAATGAGACACTGGTGCTTTTTTATAATCAGCCTCTATTCACATGCTAAAGAGTTTTGCCCGGACTTAAAGGCATGACGCCCATTACAAGATATAAATTGAAATCTGAGGCTAAAGCATACATTTAGTCCGAGGGTCTCAGTTGCTATGTGAGTCACAGCTCACTTGATTTCCATGACAACATGAGCAGATGACATTCAGCATGTAGGCTTATACAATATTTGCTGCACAGAGGACTGCTGAGACCCATTTGATTAGCAAGACTCTGGAGGATCATTCTGTGGAAACATTGTGGGCATATATCATGTTATTACGTAGATATAAATAACAAGTTCTTGACATCATTCAAATTTAATACATTACGTGGTTTAACAATGTCTCACATTCAAACTTATCTATTGACATTAAAAATAAAACAGTGTAACCAACAAATATTCTTATAATACAAATTAATATTTTATTTTCAATGTCCATCTGATTATAAAGTTGGTGTCCAGATTTGTAAATTTCAACGTATATCAATAAAATCAGGTCATTCAAATTTACAGAGAGACAATTACAGTATATCAGTATTTCCTGTTACATTAAAGTAGACAGCACCCTTACCTTTAATGAGAAAGCATGCTTGATTGGGCAGTAAAGGACAATAAATATGTAAGGTGTGTAGTATAAATATAAATCAGGTCTTCCTTTTAAAAAGTACCAACATGACAACATGTACTGTATGTATATCGTAAAGGCTGGTACAACAGCCAAGCAAAACACGCTCTCTTTTTTTTATCAGGTTTTTATCAGGCTAGTTTGAGCTCAAGCCAATCACATCCAGTATGGGGTTGGTTTGAGCATTTAACAACCAAGATGGCTGCCACTGATGGGGCACATAAAGAGTTCATTGTTGAAACGCTGAAAAGAAGTTTCTGTTATATATCAACAAAAGGTGTTTGCCACGAAATCATGTTGACATGAAACAGGGAGCCTTTTTGAATCTCATGCCAGCTAAATTGTTTGTTGGAACCAGCCACCAAGCCTGAGGGCATAATGCTGTATCATGTTTTGTTGCTCTGTCCAAAAGTGTATTCGGTTCTTGTTGATGATGTGTCTTGACTGAAAAAAAAAAATGAGGTACAGTCAAGTTCTGGTTTTGGTTTTGTTTGATAAGGTGGAAGGAAGAGGACAGAGTTCTCCTAGCCACCAGCAAACCCTCATACTCACAAGCTGACATCTCCAATATGTTGCTACAGTTGTCTCTTTTTCAATATTGGCCATGAGGTGATCAATTCTTATTGAAATATCTGCGTAAGATAAACAATAAATAATCATACCTGCATAGCTGTATGGTTTGAAGATAGAATTCACAGGAACCTATCCCACAGGACAAAAAACCCTGCAAATATATATTAAACTCACATAATGCATACAGTAATGTTAGCACTGTTGTCCATTAGTCTTGGTCAGTGTCTAGGTGTTATCCTCTGGTATTTGTCCTGGGATTTTCGCCCGCTGGTCTGAAGTGTTTCTGGGACGTGAGTTGACAGAGTTTGACGTGGTCTCAGCTGTGCTGCTGGTTCTCTGGATGAACTGCAGGAAGTTCTCCTGAAGGGATCCCTCATGGCTGGATGCTCCAAACTCTGCTGGCTGAGTCAAGCAGCAGCGTCTGAATTTCACCAGCTCTTCTCTGATCTGCCTGTTTAACATCCCGTAGAAGAAAGGGTTTACGGCAAAGGAGGAGTAGGCCAACCAGGTGACTGCCTCTTCTAAGTCCCCGGGACTATGCATGGAGCCAGTTAGGGACATTTGTAAGTGAAAGGTGAAGTATGGTAGCCAGCAAACCAAGAACTGACCCACAATGAACACCAAAGTCAGAGCTGCCTTGCCGCCACTGAAGGCCCTTTCTGGAGAAAGTCGTTGTGGGAGACTACGAGTGGTGTGGATCATGGTGGTCTGACTATTGATGGAGTCTGAACGATTCTTTTCAGGACTCGTATTGGCCCATGTTTGCACAGCAGGGACTTGCTGTAGGGCTGCAGAACGAGCTACCTTGTACACAGCACAGTATACAGTAAAGATAACCACAGCAGGGACCAGGAAACAGACCACACTGAAGAGCACAGCAATCGCTCCTCTTAATCGACTGTGGCTAGCATGGAGAGAGCAATGAGCTGCAGCTATAGAACTCTGAGGTCCATAAGCGGGCCACCCAAACAATGTGACCAGAGCCAGAATGAGTGACTTCACCCAGATTAGGAGCATGACCCCGATGGCAAGGTTGATAGTCATCTTGACCTCATAACGCATGGGATGTACGATGTAGAAGTAGCGCTCAACACTGATGGCTGTGATGGTGAGAATGGACAAACAGATGAGGAACACATTAAGGAAGATGTAAACCTGACACTCTAGGACTGTAAAAACCACAGTGCCAAAAAAGGGTGAACTGGATATGATCCCCAAAGGCATGAGGAGGATGGCACACAGCAGGTCCACGGAACAAAGGTGGCACACAAAAGCAAACCTCTTCAAGTGTGGGGCACGAGCAATGGCCACCATCACACCGGTGTTGGCCAACAGAGCAATAAGGTTAAGGGTCACCATGCAGAACAGCCCGAACAGGTCTTTGATCTGGGACTGGGAGCTGGTGACAATGCCCACATTGGCAGGAACAGTAGGATCAGGCTCCCATGGGGTGGTGGAGTGATTTGTCAATGAGTGGTTTGGCACAGAGGGTATCATCGGACCAGTTTTGTCAGCCATTATTCTTTCAAAGTATCTCTCATTTGATTCTCAGGGATCTTATGTGGTAGCCCTGTGTTGAGAAGAAAGAAAAAAGCAGCAGAATTACAGACCAATTTAACACACAAAGCTGTTTCCTGCTACTTGTAAAATTAATCATCCCCCCTTCCCATATTATGAAGAAAATGTAATCTCTAATTAGACATATTGGACACCAGCTTGCATGTTGTATGCATAAACAAACACCAGTGTGTAAAGAGAAAAATCACGCTCAGCTTGGTAATGTAAAGGTTAATCCTACAAGAGGTCTGAAGCACACCTCTTCTTTCTGATTTTTTGTGGTAAAAAAAGGATTACGTTCAGCTTTCCAATGCATTTTATCCATGACTCCATTTGTCAAAAATAAATAATTTTTTTAGAAAAGTGTAGGTCAAGAAGTTGCACGAATAAAGTAAACCGCTACATCTGGTCAAACTCTGGACACAAGAACAATATAGCTGCAAAACCTGGTCACAGATTTTTTAAGGAGGAAGTGATCAAGTTGAAATAATTCAAAGACATTTTCTACCCCTGTCTTCAAAAGTGTTTTCAAAAGTTGAAATTCATCTTTTCTGTAGTGTACAACAAAGTGCTATTTTATCCTAAATACATTGCAAAAATCCAAACTACGCAAAGGTTTTTCCTCATGTATAGGATCCAAATCGCTTAAGTAAAAAGTACAGAAATACACCAATTGGGGAAGTACATAATACATGTTTAGTTTCTTGAGATAAGAATGTCTCTTGGAGAAAAAAAAAAGTAAATCAATAAATAAAAGAAGTCTGCAAAATAAATAAATAAATAAATAAATATGAAATGCAAAATAATTAAGTCTGTTGTTAATATGCTGTCCTCTTGTTTTGACATTTACTAAACTTAATATTTGGGACATGAAGAAAGGATTTTTTTCACTAGCTACAAGACAAAAACATGAGATCTTTTAGTATTTGACACAAGTACATTTTTATGTAAATTTGTGATTTTTTTTTCACACATATTTGCAAAAACAACAACAAAAACTACTTACCCATTATCCAGTCTGTGTGATGCAGGTCAAAGCAAACTGATAAACCGTGTGTTTCACTTTTCCCTGTGTTTCCTTCCTAAAAGGAAAATAATCAGTTCTGAAACTGTTTATCATTGGTGTCCAGTCCAATAAACTCCAGTGTCATGGGTTTGGTTCGCCTCCAGAGGTCCAGATATGTCACACGTGTTTACCTTTATTCAAAGAAATGGTGATCAAGAAATCCAGGGTAATTTTTAGATATGGTGCTTCCTCTCTCTCTCTCTCTCTCTCTCTCTCTCTTCTCATCCCACCTCCAGTAACACTGTCATTCCTGTCCTGTGCTGTGTTTGGCTGTGACAGTCACACATTGTATTGTGTGTGATTGTGTTTTTTTTTTCTCTTGCTTCAAATAGACACACGCGCCACTGTCCCACATCTAGACCTAAGTCTTCCCTGGGTCCTAGTTTCCACCATTTTCACAGGGAATCTTATGTTTACCCTGATGCAGCCTGCTCTGTATCCAAGAAGTCTTTATTATGTAATCAGAGGTCACGGCTACAAAACCGAAGAACCAGGGTGCTCCTTGGTCAACAGTTTGTTCTAAAAAATATGAGACATGCTAAGAAATATGAATACAGTGTTATATTGACACCAAAGTCCCTATACCCTCTCATGTCTCCTAAATCCAATCTCTGTTCCTAGTTTCCATGAAGCTTTTACTTCCTCTGATCCAAGTCTTGATGGCAGTGAACACAGCCTCTTCGTAGATGATATAGTTGGAATTAGCAGCTCCTGATACAGCATCTTCTGTTAGGTATAAAAGGCTAAAAACCTTCTGTCTGCCTTTCCTGAGGAAGGAGTGAAGGATTTTCAAGAGGCAATCCAGGCAAGCAGAACTAAAGTTGAGAAAGGAGCAGTGAAGTATTTCCCTTAGTGCTCTTAAACATCTGATCTTCATGTAGGGTTCAGTCAAAGAGGCACAGCAATCTTTCTTTTCAGAGCTCATTGTTAATCATACTTATAATCATAGTCTTGTTTAGATCTGCAAAACCTATGATTGGTCCCTCACCTGGTCAGTGTTGAATGAGAGAAAAAAGAACACTTTCTAAAATTTTTCACCAACTTAACCAGAGATCCATCGCCATTTCAACTCTGGATCCAGTGAGCCTAATTTTGTCCGACTAAACTCTTGACCATCTCAATGAAATTTCCTTTGCAACCCTAATATGCACTGTTACACTGTTTAAAACATCCACCTGCCTTGCAGACTCTTTACTCACCTTGTTTAGAAATCTGAGTTTCAGACAGTTGGTCTTCATATTTAAACTGATGTCACCTGTTCACTGTCTTCCAGATTTGTCATTTCCTTTTTTGAAAATCCTGTAGCTTACCCCCTTTTTAAGAAACCCTCTGTTGATGCATCTGTTTGTACGTCCATCCATTCTCTTGCACTCTGGGTCACAAAGGTAGCATGTTGCCCCAGCGATGCCTCTGCCCAGCTTTCCAGTGCTTTCTGGGGGATTTTTGAGGTGGTCCAAGACCAGACAGGACAATTCCTCCAGCACCTCGTGATGTCTGCACTCCAAGCTCAGCCACCTTTTGGTTAACTGGGAGTTGTTTTGCAAGGGGAAGCACCCCATGGTAGGGACTCCCAAGACAAAGTGGTCCCAAGAAGATCCAGAACCATAGGAAAATTCAGAACTACACTTATTCAAAGGAATAATACCAGAAGACAGGTGCAATGTCACGCAGGTGGCAGGCAGGGTCCTCGATGTGCTGACCCTCAACAAAGAGCCTTCGATACAGTTGATGTCTTAATCAGTCGTGAAATTTTGTGTTGATATTGGCTTCTTTATTGTTCTGCTTTCTGTGTGTGGGGGTATTTTTGTCTTCACTTTAACAGTGGGATTTCTTGACGACTGTGTTTTATGTATTTCCTATGTTTGTGAGCAACAAGTCAAATTTCCTTCAGTGTTATAATGATAAACCTGGACTTGGACTTAATCCCTTCAATAATTGTGAACACTAGATAATTTACATAAAGAAAGAGTCTTAAAACATCCATAATAAAGTTCCACTGGGACAAGTTGGAGGGGCACTTCAGTTTATTTACTAATCACTGATTCAAGTATTGCATTAGTGCAAAAATGCAGCGGTCATTACATTTAAAAGGAAGTCGCTCAATACAGACACCATACCATGACATTTAAAAATGTAGACCTTCTGGGTTAGTCAGTGCACAGACTTTTCATGATTGACATGTTACATTTCTTTGCATTGCCAACGCATTTTAAAGTCCCTCTCCGATCTTTTTCTCTTTTTTACTACTTAAAGTGATCTCAGTGGTCTTTGAGTCCTGATAATTAAGTTTTTAGCCAAAATCACATTATCTGTGTCATTTTCAAGGGCTTTTCCTCTGCAGAGCTCCAGTACATCCTTAGCAATTTGCTTCTGAGTCGTGGGCGGAGACAGCGCTGCTCTGCACACTCCTCTTCGTATTAGCTTGCAGCCTAACATTGCCGTTGTAGTAGAAGAGGCAGGTAACATAGGAGCTATTCAGATCTTGGACACTAATGTCTTTAAGGACATGATGAAAGTTAATGTCACGATCGGCTTTCTTACGAGCGTTGCAATCCACTAACGCACACGCCTGTTCCGCGATCGTCCTCTCTACATTTCCGTATGTCGCCTGCATAACGGGGCTCCAGGGGTGGAGCTTGGATTTGTTAGGTAGGAAATCTCACTGAATCTGAGTCTGTCGTTGGGGTCTGCCAGAGGTTCACAGCGATTTGAATGCAGAAATTCTCTGAAATTAAATTTAGCACGTAGTTTCCTCATGATATGTCCTGTAGCATCAGAAAAATGCCGTATGAACATGTAGACAATAAGAAAAACATCGGAGTGGGTCTTTAAGAGTTTACTTAGTTTAGAGAAGATCTGATTTTTTTCACTAGTGTTCAAGCATCAAATATAAATTGCACTTCATTCCTCTAACTCGAAACATTTCTATGCATAGTCTCAGTTTTACATCTGCTCCATAATACAGCATTCTTGAGCACAAGCATATTTTTTCCTTGTTTATGTGAGCATTATTAGTTATATTTAAAATTCAGAGAGGTAAACAGATCCCATAAAACTAAAACACAGACGCAAAAAAACAAATACAAGGTGCAAGTAAAAAAGTTGTAAAAGGTGCTAATACGGGCCTCTCAGGCATTGTCTTATCAAGACCAAGCAAGAAGTTAAAACTCTTCATGTTACAAGAAAGGAAATATTCTGTGTGTATGTTATGACAGCAGTGCAGCCTAGTTTTTCAGAGTTCAAAATATAAGGCACAAAGATGTATGATTGTTAAATGCTGTAAGGTAGAAACATCAGCCCAATGTTAAACTAAAGACCATGTTATTATGAGCATAGCCAAGCTCTAAGAGAAGCACCTCCTTCTGGTGTATCAGTACTACATGTTGAGCTCCAGCAGGAAGCGAAGGCGACACTGGCTCTCCTTATAGATGAGATATTCACTGTTAGAGAAGTGGCTGTTTTTGAACGGGGACTGTTTTATCGGCTTACCCTGAGGTACAGCAACAGTTTTGCCCTCCAGTGTGATAACGATGTCCTTGGATGGATCTACAAAACGCAAACAAGAGATGCTACACATTTTTTTCTGTAACTGCAGGTGACATAGACACAAAACAAGGAGGGGAAAACAGAGGGAGACAACATGCACAAAGACCAGACATAAAGGTTCCTCACATAATAACAAACTAAACAGGAAAAGAAACATAATGAAACAACATACCGCAAAAGAGAAAAATAATATTTAACAACATCTAACAACACTGAAACTAAATTTTTGCTCTTCTTTGCATCTCTCTTTTTTTTGGTTGCATTTTTGAATTGTGATAGCACAGTTGCCAAGTGAACTTAAATCTGAGCTCAACTGTGCACTATAGTGTTGTGTCATTCATGAACAATTCGTTCAAAAGAACCAAATCTTTTAAGTGAACGTTTTGAACAGAATCACTTCCTCGAGTGATTCGTTCAGTTAGATTTGGTGAACGAATCTTTTGAACGAATCTTTTTAGTGAACTGATTCTAGTGATTCGGTACATCTAAAAGAACTGCCGTGCCCATCACTAGTTCCCAAATGGTGTAAATAAACACACAGATATCGTACCTGGCTCCACTGATCCTCGTGCCACCACACTGTCATAGCCTGAAGGAGCCTTTTTCAGAGAGGAATCATCCTTGGTGATGGTATACTCTTTTCCAAGGGCCACCTCACTTAAAAACATCACTCCAGTTTTCTTTGAAGTGCGCACTTAAATATACAAAGACAATGCTTAGATTAATGATTTGCTTTTAAGTGTCAGTAGAAAGTATTCCATCCTTCTTTCTTCAAATCAGCTTACCATAGCCTGCAGACTTGCTGTTTTCTGAAGCAAAATAGATACCACGACCAACACGCCCCCCTGAATGGGGCATTATCCTCAGACCACTCTTCAGGATAGCTGCCACCACTGCTATGTTTGTGCCATGCCACAGCAGACGGCGGTTCTCCAGACTCTCATGTTGACCAAATCGTTCTCTCTGCAATATGCAGCATATGTTAGATCACAAGACTTTAGTTTTAGGAATTACATTTGTTGAAACTGTGTTAAGATCTTACCTCCTTTTCTCGATCGACTTCCCAGACATTAATAATTTTTGGTTTGTAATAGCCATTTTCTGAAGTCACCTTCAAGTATTTCTCTATGATCTGAATGCAAAGAAATGTTAAAGACAGTTATTATTGGTGTCAAAGAGGACAAAATACAGGGGAAAATATCTGAGGTTAGTACCTTGAATGTTTCAGTGTCTTGGTCCATCAGAGTGAGCGCACATTTGAGAGAGTTGTAGTCCTGGTCCAGAGGGTGAGGAACTGTCTCGACCATTTCTTCCTGAGCCTTTTCAGTCTCTGTCTTCAGAGTCTGGGCTAGCTCAATATCAGCCAACACCTTTATATAGCATGGTAAGGGAGAGTGATAAAAGACCACAGAAAATGCATGCAGAAACAGCTCATCATAACATGAAATATAAAGAAGTAAATCACCATCAGCATCTCTTTCTTCTGGTCCACAATCTCTTTGTCGTTAATAGCTGGGGGTCTGTTGCGGCCAAAGTTGTGCGGGACAATAGTATAAAACTTGGAGGAAAGTTCCTCCAGAGCTGCACTTTTTCCAGTTTTCCGGTTCATTGCTGCTTCGATCTCCTCCAACACGTCAAAGCCCTTTGCAATCTGCACCTTACTGAGCTTTCCCAAGGGCATCTTCTTTATGTCTGAATAACATCCACACACACACAAAGACATTAGTCCCACCATCAATTATTGATCGTGAGGTTAGCTCCTAAAAAGCATCTAACATTGAGTAATTAGCATTTTTAAAGGTTTACATCTCTAATCTCAATTACTACATATAGAACCACCACATGTAATCAAAATGCCATGATTAGTTGTATTGTCTGACGGCCCACATCACTTTATCTAAGGTGATGGCTCATTATTTACTGCACTATTCACTATTTGATTGTTACTTTGCATACTGTATGTTTTTAAACTACTTTAAGCTACTTGTAAAAGTAATCCAATTATCTCATTATCTTGTATTGAGAGAAATTATTAACTCTGGACTTAATTAGATTGATAGATACAGCAGACAGCCTTTCATACAGAGGTAAAAAAGCAAACCCATTGAGTCCTTTCTGCGGGTCACAGCTTGTGTTTACAACAAGTCCTTAGCTAGACTGAAGACGGCACTGAAAACATGCAGTAGATCAGTGTCAATGAAAACAAAAAAAGCATGACAAATCTTTTCCACCATCCGAAAAGGTGTCAGTTCAATTATTCAGAGTATTCTTCCAGCCCTGTCTCTCAGTGGCGGCTGTGGGCTGGATGTCTGATCTTTTAAATGTTTCTAAGCAGCCTTCTTTATTTTCTGTTTCAAATTATTTTCTCTTCGCTCCCATCCATGTCTTATTAGAGATTTTAAGAACACAGTTTTTAATTATCCTCAGATATCTGGCCACTGATGAAACTGAGGGAAAAAAATGGGGCTAATTTTAAGTTGCAGCTTAGCTCTCAGTCTGTTCTTATACTACATTTAACATGGAACTGCTGTTTATTTACTTGCCTGCATTTACTATCTTCATTTTAAAATTAGCCTTGACAACTGTTGTATTTCCAGTGCTTGACTGACTAATACACCAAGTTTAGGCAGTTGAATAAGTAGTCTTACATTAGTTTTATATTCTTCATACTGGCAGCCCCTTTACTTTTCCTAATTTTGCAAAATATTGGTTTTGATTGATATGAAAAACTGGGAAAATATTCTTTCTTTTCCAAGCTCTGTTCACATCCTATTCGAAGGAGTGGTCAGGTAGGATACAAAAGAAGTACGACGCTAACGTTTATGCAAACAGAATGAACCAGTTTGCATTCAGAGCTGGTGAACTGAGACACACCCACCCAAGTTCATGCATTCCATCGCTTCCTTAAACATGTCATTGCTGAAAATGAGCTCAACAAGGCTCCCTGTAGCAGTGTCCAGTTTGCTGGGCAAGACATTTTTGGTGACTAATACAGTCTTTCCATCTACAGTGTCAACCTGCAACAGCAAAAAGTACAACAAGTGAATTTTAAAACTTTAATTTTAAAGTCTTCAAAACATTAGTTCTCAATAAGACAACAGATTCTCTGAGGTATGGCATCAAGGTTTCTAAGTCAGTGATTCTTTTTCAAGTGGCATTAACTTTACCTTGACCTCAGCGTCCTCGTCCCCATCCACTTCTATCAGGGTGTACTTCCCAGCATGAGACACAAAATTAGACCTGTCACTCCATTTGTTCTGGGTCTTATCCTTAAACTTTTTCTCAAAGTCCTTCACAGCATCCTCAGGCGAATCAAAATCTTTGAGTTTGCTTTGTCCAACCTCCCCCTGAATTCAGGTCAGAGATTTGGAAAGCACGGTCAGGTCACTTTACATTGAACATACAAAGATTGAACATACAAACTTGGATTAAAATAACAGCGTAAAACAGTGATAGGGGAGAGTGGGGTAAGATAAGCCACTTTTCATATTTCAGATCACTACATCAAGGCAATCATAGTTTTGTCTCTAACTAATGTATCTGCATATATTTCAAGATGTTGTGCATCCCTGCAAACCAACAGAATGAGTGTAAACATAACTGTCTTGATAATATAGCATGCCAAAAAAAGTGGTCTCCTATGGTCAACTTACCCCGTGTATGGGGTAAGTTGAGCCGTATCCCTACTAACACCTCTCTCTCCACCCCAGCCCTCCCTCACCTTCTCTCTCCCTAAATAACAGTCACTTCTTCACATTCATGTGTATTTTACTTATTATACGCTATTCAACAAGTACAATAAATCTTTGTATTATGATTGCATATAACTGCTAAAAAGCTGTTTTGTAAAAAGTCATTTCGACATGAGAATGTCTTTTAGTGATTCAGAACCAGGGGTGAGTTGAAACACTGGTTTAACTTACCCCAGAACTACTATTATGACTTTATTAGTCCTCTAAGCTAAAATGATGGACGTCTATGCTAGGTTTTTGACCTCATATTGTAGCTCATAGATACCACAATTAAAACAAATTTAAAATGATCAATTTTTGGTCAGAACACGATTCTAATAAAACTTATGACAGACTAAATTCACTTTCAAGAGTAAGAAATGTTTTATTTATTGGAAATAAATGTCTAACCCCTTCACCCATGTGCTTCTAACCTTCACAGACTCCATGAATTGATGCCCATCTCCTAAATATTTGGTCACATGATCAACTTCTTTTACCATTTCCAAGCAACAGGGGGTGGCTCAACTTACCCTTTGACTCAACTTATCCCACTCTCCCCTATAGTATTTTACATTATGCAATCGATAACACCAGCTCTGAATATTGCTTTAATTATTATATAATAGCATTATTGTGTATTGTTATTAGATAAAAGTAACAGAAAAATGACAAGATAGAGATTCAACTGAACTTACCACTCTGCCCCACCGGTTCCATGAATAGTATAAGTTGTCTGATTCAACAACTTGAATGACATAAAATTTGTTATTATTGTGTCCAATATTTGTCTGGTTGAGCATACAGTCATAGTCCTGATACACCTGATGGGAACAATGGTAGACAGTCATCAAATTGTGTTATTTTCTTTAATCTTCCAGTAATTTAAACTATACTTTAAGGAAATCCTGTTTTTCTCTGCATCTCTTTTACCTCTCCAGATCCTGACAGCTCGCAGTGCGTGTCCACTTTCCTCTTTCCTTTTACTTGTGCCCCCGCAGCCAGAAGTGCCTCTTTTGCTGTGGTGAAGGCATCCTTGGGTTTGGGTGCTACTTCTTTTGCTTTTTTTCCACCTGCCTTGGTAGCAGAGGCAGCTTTCCTCTTTGGTGCCATGATCCTGAGTGAAAACCCTGCGCAGAGACTTGCCATGTCGTGATCTGGGCATGATGCCTGGACAAGCTCAGACATGCCTACACACACGCTCAGCTTACTCTCTCAGGCTGTGTGTATCAACACGATTGAATGGATGCAACATGCATGCACATACTGAGTAATTACCAGTTAACTACAGCCACAACCAACAGCAAATCTTTATCAACAACATGAGTTAATGATGTTATAAAACATGGCCGAAAAGCCTCCACCCTCAACACGGAAACAACCTGAATTTCTCTTGCTGTAAACTTACCTTTTATTCTTCTGTGGTGTAACTCGGGCTGGAGGAGGAGAAGAGGGTCGGCAGACACGCAGAAACACAGTAAGGGTCTTCTCGCTGCTCAAGGCTGAGGCTGTCACCGGGTTAAGTGGGGCCAGCTGGTTTTCGGGAAGTTTACTCTCACTTTACAGTCAGAGGAAGAGGCGGAGCTTTGACTGTATTCCCTGCTTTGCCCTCTTGGAGCTGCTGCTGGAGAGAATCTGCTGAGACTGGATCTGCGGGGCTCTGTCAGCTGCACTGCCACCTAGCTTTCTCCCCTCTTTGGTTGGTAACTTCAGTGTTTACTCTGCCCAGTTTCTCTTCATTCTTACATATAATGCATTACTGACTGAATATATTTTCATGGTAATGTTTACAGATGTTTCCTGTAAAAACAAATGTGGACACCATACCTTTACAGGTGAACAAGTCCAGGTTCCATTTTTTTTTTTTTGCTCGAATGGCAAAACACTTTGTAAACCCATGTTTTTTGCCATACAGATTAATTATTTTAAGGAATATTTACCAATTCATTGCTAACTTATTTGAATATGACTTTATTTTACAGCATAATACGCAATAGAAAGTCAACTCTTCTCCAGCTTTACTGTTCCCTTGAGAAACATCCTGTCTAGTACAAAGGGCCCCTCTTCTGAATTTAAAAATTTCTTATTTTGTTTTTAATTTGGCAAATTTTTTTATTCATGATAATTTATTTTGAGGAAAGAAAAAAAAACTGCTTGGTTTAACATAATGTGATACTGAGAGAAATGAATTGTATCTTTTATGCTATTAAAACAAAGTAATTTTTTTTGTCTTGCATGCCTCTTCAAAACTCAAACATATTTGATTTTATCAACATTTTAAGAGGTTGGTATTTAAAAATATCAAAATATCACGATCTTCCTATGTTTCTTTTTCCTGCAGTTTTAGCATAATCACTGTTAGTTGCAATACAACACTCAGCTTTTGAGATTCAGGTCTTTTTCTCTTGAACTTTTCCTTAAGTTTATCACTACATTAAAAAAACTATAACCAAGAAAAATCTCTTATTTGATTAGTAATTGCACAGCTTTGTCTTCTGTTAGGCTGTTTAGGAAAGTAATTCTTGATCTAGAATTAATATGATAATCACTAACTACTAGCCATCCTTTCATTAGTAAATTACTTAGTGTGGTGGAGGTTTTCTGTTTTATCTTTTTACCAAAGTTCACAATGTAGCTCTGATAAGGAAATTCTGTCGACCTTGTTTGTGTTACAACAATCAATAATTTGTTAAGAGACACAGAACTGATTATATAGAATTACTAAGGCTTCGTATCTTTCATCCATCTTCTCTGTAATAGCTCAATTTGCAGTATATCCTCGAGTTGCCCAGATCAAACACTTTGAACACAAGATGGCAGTGTTAAATCACATACTGTTAGGCTCTGCTCATGTCTCTTATACTCACATGGGTACAGGCTGCTGTTTGTATTTATAAGACAACTCCGATGGATTTCAGCAGATGATGATATTGGTTCTGGTTATATTCATGGGGAGATTATTTGGTCTCAGTAGATGGTGTAAATTCAGGCAGATTAATAGTTGACAGCTCTTGTCCCAAATCAACTCTAGGTTCAATTTGCATTAGCATCATCATGTGTCTAAGTGGTTAAGGAATCTGATGACACTTCTCCCTGAGAAGTCGCTGGTTTGGGTTCAAGTGGTACAGCAGTGTCCATCATTGACAGGGTTAATAGTTAATAGTCACCACTTTTTGAAGCATCCTTGAGCAAGATGTTTCTTTTGCCTTTGAGCTTGACTTCTACCATTAGTAATTTAGCATGATACTGATATTCTGTTTGCAGCAGAGGATCATACTGCACATAGCATATAAACACTGCATGTTTGACAGATCTGGACAGGCAAGGACTGCAATGCACATGTGTACATTTACTGTCATCAGCAGTGTTCAAGCTATGAGTGCATGCAAAGAAATTGTCAGACTTTAAATCATCTTAGTATTAATAGAAAACACATTTTATTTACATAAATTACAAGAGAGCACAAACTGGTTCACCAAAATCTACATTAAAAACGTCTTGTATATATTACATATAACAGATTTACTATAATTTACTCCATTGTTGCAAGTAGAATCTTCAATAAAAACAAGGGCTATATAAGAATTGATCGGCATCTCATTTAAAATCGCTACGAGCCAAAGAACAAAATCAAATAATTGGGACATTGTAATCACAGCACTTTGAGGACAACAAAGTCAGGACGATCGTCTGTGTGACCTCTTTAATATCTGAGACATCTGATTCATGACTAGTGGTTATATAACTCTGGTTACAATGCTTGGCAAAGGAACTCAGCTAATCTTTACAAGGAGGATGTTGTCGAGTCCACCACCTCTCGTCCGTTACACACTGTTGGAACAACATTGGAGGCTGATGCTGCAAAACACACAGAAAAAGTTGTTGTGGGGGCACAAACAATAGAATTCTACTTATGGCATATTGGTTTTCCTTTTCAATGAGACAATACACTGCCAACAGCACAGATTCACCTGAAGTGACTCATGCATGATATTTCAAATGTGGTCTTATTGTATTTCAATTATGTAATGAACATTGTATTGATTTTAGGAATGAGCGTAATCTAAAACAATTGTGTATACCAGGTGTTACCTTGAGAAAAACTGGAGCCTGGGCCTGTGGTGACGCTGAAGCGAGTGGTGTTCACTCTGAGGTTGCACACATTCTTCTGTGGCTGAAACAGGATGATGTGGACTTTGGGAGCGAAGAGGCAGCCCAACACCACCGACCCACTTAGACTGACAGAGATACACATGGTGGTGGTTTGCACCTGGAGGAGAAGCAAGAGGTGAGAAATAGATTCTCAATGAACTAAAGAGTGACTAACTCAGATAAAGTCTGGTTTCAAGCTCTTAGTGTAACATTTGCTTACATTTTAGGATTCAATCAATGATGATTAATGGAATTACTTTGCTTTTCTTAATTGTGAAATGATTTATATTACTTGTAAAAATAAATAAATAAATAAATAAAATTGCAAGATAATAAGTTTACCGTTTTCATAAGTGCCCTTCTGAATATCATACCTTTACCAAAAGTAATTTTCGTTCATTTTTTAGAGCTAATATGGCTCAGAATAAACTGCCAGGTATTAAATTAACTCTGTTAGTGTGAAATCACCCAAGCATAAGAATCAGGGTTGGTTGAGTACACTTTTGATGTCAGGAAATAAATAATTAATACATGTTTCATAAATCAAAATCAAAACCAGGTGCAACAGAGGAGGGAGGAGGTAGCTGGGACTGTAAGGGAGAGGTGTTAAGTGAAGTGTTTATTTTCTTGTCAATCAACTGCTTAACCCTGCTCCTTCCCTTCTCACTCTGCCCACATCTTGCTGTGTGTCATTTGCCTGCTCTTTTATTTCCCATTTCCTCCCTTCTGATTTCTTTCTTGTTTTCCCACTATAACAGAATACAGCACAGCATCGTGTGGTGTGTGTCAGGTGCATCCCATTTTCACAAGGCACAGTAGGTGTCTGTTATCACTCTGAATGCTAATGTTGGCATTTAAGTAATGTGGGCACACAGTATTGGGCTGTTCACACTGTCCTGCAATAAAGATAACAAACAGACAATTGAAACATGATATATCAAATTAACAACATCAAGTACATAAACTAGAAATGTAACTGTTGGTTACATTATTTAGTGATTGTATTGCAAATATAGACAGGTGCTCTTAGATCCAAAATGTTGATATAATATCAAATCCTCTAGAAACTTGGAATAGTAGCACTTGCATAATATAAAAAGTGTCTCACCAACCAACCAAAATAATTTGAGTGAAAGTAATCACACAATATAGCATTAGATGAAGTTATGTGCAAAATAAACTTGATGCCAGGTTACAACATAGCTGGGGCAAGGACATTAAAGGGATGTCCCGGCGTTTTCTGATTTATGATCATTTCTTCATGGAAATACAATCAGACCGAGACACTAAGGCAGAAGAACTACCGCGTCTGCAGTGCAAAATGATTAATATGGTGATTATTACTTCAAGGAAATGATAAAGAAATTATCATAAATGTTCTTCCTTGAGCTGCATCATCCCGCTATAGTCTGTAGTGGACTGGCCCGAGATCTTGCTTCAAACAAGCAGCTGCTGGAAGAGAGAGTAGGTGAGTTGTGTTTAGTCTCTTTGCTAAAGAAATTAGTCAAAGTCTAAAAGATGTTTGGTGGCTAGTACTATGGCTGGGACCCTATATGTACTGTTGATGAAGTTAGGTGCTGTTCTGAGCATTATTTGTGGCTATAGAGTGGTGTTTTGGTTGAGGTTTGTTTATGGCTCCTCAGACCGCTGTGTATTGCTATCCTGCGGTCGTTACTAAAGTTGGTAAAACTAGAGAAGCAACCGGTCGGCAACATCCATCTCTCGAGGGGGGTTTCTGAATTAGTGTTACGGTGTGTTTGACCCTAAATTAATTTTACGCCAGAATATCCCTTTAAACTAAAGAAAAAGTTGTGTAATGCTACAAAACCTGGAATAAAACCTGCTTACCTACTGAATAAATTTGTAACAGCTTAGTAAAGCAACTTAGTAGGTAAGTGTGAGATTCTGACGATATGAATACATTTAATCTTAAAATGGTCTAAAATGGGTTCATTTTAAATGTCGGGGACTACACTTTTTTTTTTTTAAACCAAACACAACCTAATTTTTTTTAACGTCATATAGAATAGGACTCCTGGTTTTTTGTGGCACCAAAATATTTTATGATTTTATGACACTGCAGGATTTAAGCACTTGGTTCTAGCAATCAGTAATGTGTGACCCTCACTCGTCGGCATCAAAGTTACTGGTCAGATTAATTCTGGTCATAAAATTGTGTGTTAAGAGCTACTGATGCCAGCTCTGCCAACATCAGCCGAACTCAGCAAAACAAATTTAAAACTAAATAGAGGCAGAATCTGTGAACGCATATCTTGTCTGTATTCTGTATTTTCTCTTAGTTTGAGACCAGCTGGTTCATCAGAATTTCAATTTTCCTTTAAAGTTGTGAAACAACTACTTCAGCGAATACGTTTCTAGATTTCGAGATGTATTCTAGGTTTCCACAACATTTATATTCACCCAATGCCACTTCTGAAATTCAGGAGAAAAAACTGAAATGCTTAGGTCCTGGTTCGAACCATAAAACTGATCAATAAACGTCAACCTTGTATGGTTGGAAAAAGGGGTGTAGGAACATACAGGCTTATTATCATCTTTGCAGTACTGGGCTCACAGAGGCTAAATGTCCTACTGCAGAAATACAGTAGTTTTGAATAAAATTGAGGACAGTAATGCATAGAAATGACCTGTTAAGTGGTTTTAATAATTGAAAAGTTGTTACTGCGGAAGAGCAGAGGACAAAGAACCTGCAGTAATATATAATGTCCAGATGTCTTGTGCTCAACTGAGGAGAACAGGATGTAGCGCATCACTACTTTGGTCCGTCCTTTTTCCCTTTACGTTTTTTTTTTCTATATTTGGATTTGAAAGTATGATTTGTTGGATAAATACAGCACTGTTGATTCAGATACAGACAGTTTAGGTAGCTTTATTTCTTCGGATAGCCCAGCATTGATGTGGTGAGATTCCTCATTGTATTGGGTTTTGTGCTGCAGGTTTATTGAAAAGCTTTACTGCAACCAGCCACAGCCCACTCTTGGTAGGCTGGCTGAAAGACAGAGTTGACAAAATACTCAAGTACTTTATTGATGAAGACAACTGTGGGAGGTTTTTAGGTTTTACAAGGGAATTGTGCTTCCCCCCTCCATTTAACCCACTCTACTGTAATTTAATATATTAGGTAGTCAAGCACGAGTTGTTGCTCATATTCAGCATACCTGTCGTAGCTGTAGCTTGTACCTAGTCCGTACTGTTTTCTAACACCTGATCTACAGTAGGCTACTGTGATTCTTCTACTTATTGTCCTTGGCAGGTTTATGTCTGAACACGTCCTTCAAGTCATGCTGAGCTCTGAGGAGTGGCACTTCCTGGTTTAACTTTCAACTGTGCTGAGTCTTGGGTGGGCTTTAGCGCTATTTATTCACAAATATCATCCAGTATTCATTTTCCTCCAGCATCATTGTCAGGGTTGGAAGTTCAAATTTTGTAATAACTTTTTACTGGTGTCTTCAGTTTTACAAAATGTACACAGTTTGGGAACCTGTCAGATTATTTTCATTGTATTTCTCAATTTTTCTACAACTAACAATGCAGTGGGTGGTTGTTGAACAGAGGGATATATGCATAACATATTTGTTATGCATATGTTTGTTAGACAACAGCATTGTTAGTGTAAAACCACTTTTATTACTATCATGATCTGAAAGATTGTGGCAATTTTTTTTCAAAGTCTTTTTAAATGTCTTTCAAAAAATGTGTTTATATTTCAGAATTACTTCATAACTTTCTTATTGTAACTCTATCAAACTGCAGTTTTAGCCAGGTCATTGTTGAATGAAAGTATTAACTGTTGTTTAATGGTAGTTAAAGGGTTATCAAATATTGAAATTTGTAATGATGTCTCTAAAACTTCAGATTTTTTTAAGTGGCTAATCAGACAGCAGTGGCAAAAGGATTATAATTTGCCAGATTTCTTCGATTTTAAAACCTGGATTACATCAGTATGACATTTTTGCGTCTTACTCCAAATGTGACTTCGGAGTAAAATTACTCTTGCGCCTACCCTAGTAAAAAAACAACAACAGGATATGCTGTAGTAAAATGGTTTTGAGGAGACTGTCTGCAGTCTTTGGTGTTTTCACAGGACTGCTGAGACTTTTGAGTGCAGCAGCTGTTTAATCAGCTTTGTTTGCTTCTTCGAGGAGATGACCAGCATTGGCATGTGAGGAGAGCCTGTTCCCTCAGGGTTCAGGGAATATCTTTAATATTTCATATGATAATGAAATGTGTTATTCATGGCTCACTAGACTGTATTTGGTCAGAGTTAACATTTTATGACAGACCACCATCGAATCTGTATCTTCTATTCAGCTGGAGATTTGTTTCTGGCTGTGACAACAATTTAAGGAGCAGTGTAAAATCTAAGGGAACACAAGTTATATGTCCCTGCGAGTGAAAAACTAGAAACAACGTGCCAACTCAGTTGCTCTAGTAATTATTCATGGGTCAAAGGGGAGTTTTGTGTCTATCTGATAGGTCCGTTCTGGCTGTGAATTGCTCATGTTGCCTGAGGGGCTTGGAAGAAGAGTTCCTCTGGGCTTCACTGAAGTCCCAGGACGGAGGGCACAGCTGGGACTCTGTATCCCAGTGAATCACGGTCCATTCAACACAGGGAGACACAGTGGTGCTCAGGGACGCACAGGGACGAGCTGGGACGTTCAGTTCCTTTTTAAGCCTTCATGGTCATGCTAGCCTTCTCGGTGTTTCTGCAGAGGCAGCTGTGTTAGAAGATACCTCTTTCTCTCTCTCTCACTTTTCTTACCACTCAAATCCTAAATATAACCCAAAAGCTTCAGACAGCCTTTCTCTAAAGTTTACCAAATCCCTACAGATTATCAGGGTAGAACTTAAACATCATTTATGGCTAGGTTGGCTGTGATTGTTCAAACTCTCAATGACAAAACTGATGCTAGGAACAACTTGATTATGCACACATGAAACCAATGTACAGGGGGGAATCTGGCATGTTTACCTCTGCCTGTTGACACTGTGGCAAAAACGTTATTTTTTCAATTGCACGGGTAAACGATATGAAGGATATTTTTTTAAGGATATCTATTCGTGGAACGCACATCTTCAGGTTTGTGGTTAATAGCTGACCAATCACTAGTCAAGAAAACAAGAAGAAAGGAGGAGAACAGCACAGAAGCAGCATATGGTGTTAAATAGGGCATGACCTTTGGCAGTGTTGAAGCACTGGTCAAAGGAGAAAAATAGGTCAATAAACGGACCTTTATCATGTGCTCTGGTCATTTAATTCATCAGTTTCCAATGCAATCAAGAGACATGAATGTTTATATTTTATTGTGAATAAAAATGAAATGTTCAATGTAAATCAGGCTCAAAGAAGACTGATAAGAACATACCAGAGCTCCAAACCTTTCCACCTCTTGCTGGGGTCTTGCTCATTTGCATAATAACCTGCTCACTTGATATTGTTCCTAACTAATCTTATCAGTATATGTCTTTGTTAACTATACTGCACTAATTGCTTACAGTTTTACCTATCCATCCATCAATTAACCATTTACATATCTTACCACCTGTCAGCCATATTTTTGATTACTCAAAAGTACAGGTGAAAGTTCAGTTTCTGAGTGAGCTGACACAGGTTTACCCTTGTTTTTTTTTTTTTTGTTTGTTTGTTTTTTTCCTTTTTTTGGAAATGCGGATCTGTTGTTTGTATTAGTATTGAAATACCTCTTGCCATACTATGAAGAGGAAATAGAAAGCAGATAGTGTGCCTTAAGACAATGCCATTTGTTATTTTGACAAACCCTGACAGTTTTGTGAAATATTTTCAACGAAAACCTCAATAAAAGAAAATAAAAAAATAAATAAAAAAACAGTTTGGATTTGGCCTGGATTTCTTAAACGTTCATATTATACAGTCTTATTACTATTTAATATTAAAAGGGAAGGTAAGGCTTTAGAAGTTTTGGTCTTAGGAGGCACCTAATGATCGTAAGCCTTTAGATAATTATGAGGAATTACAGCAGTGCAGTCATATATATACATTCTTAAGAGCCACAGGCAACAACAATTCAACTGACATAAGGTTCAATGTTATCTGGCATAAGATAGAGATTTAATGCATGTAAAATCCAGCCTCAGAAGTGGTTATCAATTAAGATTTATTCTGCTCAGATAGCAAACGTAGAGCAATTTGAACACATGATAAAGAAAAAAACAGACTTTTCTAAAGCATGTACTGAAAGAGGAAAGCTGTAGTGTAACTTTGTAAGTTTACTCACCCTGTAGTCACTGGCAGTAACGTAGAAAATAGGCTGGAAAGCCAGCCAGATGATGCAGGTGGTGTACATGGTGAACCCGATGAACTTGGCCTCATTGAAGTTCTCAGGGCATTTTCGGGTCTTGAAGGCATAGACTGTGCAGAGGATAATGAGGATGCAGTTGTAGGTGAGCGACATGAGCATGCTGGAGTCCTTGCTATTACACTTGAGGGTGACCACGTCTCTTTTCTCAGGGCTCACTTCCTTCCTCACTCCAGGGGCCTCCACCAGCAGCCACACCACAACCACAACCAGCTGGCAGGAAATCAGAGCACCACAGATGGCGACCTGGGAGGCTGGGCTGATGAATCGTGGCCGTTGGGCTCCATCTTTTACCCCACTGAAGATTCGGGCAATGCGATTGGTTTTGGTCAGGAGGGCTGAGTAGCACACAGCGAAAGAAGTGCCTAAACCCAGCCGGCGCAGCGTACAAACTGCGGTTGATGGTTTGGCTATGTAGATGAAGGTCATGCTATAACACATCAATACTCCCAGGAGCAGAATGTAGGAGAGTTCTCGTCCACTGGCCTTCACCACAGGCGTTTCATTATGTTTAAGGAAAAGACCGATGACGAAGAGTGTACACATCATCCCAAGACAGGATATGGTGACAGGTCCGATGGCCCAAGCATCTTCCCAGCGAATGTACTCCTCAGGCAGATCGTAACAGCCTGTCAGATTAGCTAGAGGCCACTGTCCAAAGCTGCAGTCAGCACAGGTGAACTCATCCTGCAGGTACTGGTATGGTTGACAGGGTATACAGATCCAGCAGCACACATCTCCAGGCTGCATACTCTTCACCTCATTCTTCCTGCAGGGATCACTACACTGTGAGGTTGGTGCGATGTGACCAGCCCAGGGGATCAGGCTGGTGTTCAGCGTCAGACTTTGAGCCCAGTAGCCGACCTTACGGTAGACATAGCGTCCATCTTCTTTGTGATAGTGGAAGATGTTGTAACGGCCGAGGCTGTCCCCGAAGGCATCAAAGCGGACTACATTCTCTGTGTCTGGTGGACGAAAAGGTGCTAAAAGTAAAAGAAAAGAAAAAAGTATTATAACGGTTATTTAAACTGTGGGAGAATGTTTTTTTTTTCTTGTTTCATAGTCTTATTAACCTCTGCTTATTATTTGTTTAATTTATTTTTCTGGCAGTGTTGACCAAACAGTGACCAGACTCAGGTTCAAGTTGTCAATTTACACAATGGAAACTTTAGTTTAGATCTGTTAAATATGTTGATCTGTTACTTATATTGGAAATTTTTAGATACAACACTTGAAAAAGAGCCTCAGCCTCCTAGTAGCACACAATTTAACACTATGTACACTTTTCTTTTAAAAAATAACAGTTAAAAGACGATTACTCAATACTATTTTGAATAATGATTTTTTTAACAGCTAGTATGTTTTTTCTTCTATTTTACCATCAGTATTCCTTGGAATATAACAAAATAAAAAATGCATATGTGGTTATATATTTTACATATTTACTCTTCAGTGGGTTGCAGTGCAGATGTGTGGAATTACCTCAGTCATGACTTTTAATTTCTCAATTCTCATTGGTAATATTTTATTGGTGATTATTTTTTTATTATAAAGATCAAAAAGCCCAGCTGTGAAGAGCACGCTGGTCTCCCCCCCCATCATGGAAATGTCAGCATTTCCATAAATCAAAGGATAATACAATACAGAGTGTAATGTTTGCATGATCAGCATAGAAACTGCAGAACACCCTCTTTATTCAGACCAAAATCAAACTGCATAAGAAATAAGCATCAACGCATTCAGGTAAGCTTATAGTTTCATCTTTGCAAATTGGATCATTACAGAGTGCATCTGCAGCTGCAGTGTATAAACATGTAAAACCGCTTCAGCTCTAATTCAACATTTTATATGAATTGGCACAATGAATCTAAATTGATACAACTCAATTTAGCAGCAAAGAGTTTGTTCAGAGTGCACTCGGGGAAATTAAATGGAATTATATTCAGGAAGTCAAAAAACAGATGACAGCAATGAAAAAAAGTGGCTTTTATGATGAAATCAGGAGTACAACACTGTTAGATATTTGGTCATTATTTTACTCACCCTCAAACTTGACCTTGAGTATGTAGTCCCTGTAAAACTTCCTGCCATTGCCAGGTTTAAGAGCCTCACAAACCTTGGTGGAGTTGGGGCATAAGGCTTGCCTCATGTTGTGTAAAGCAGCAGCTATTGCATAGACAGCATTCACCACAAACATGATCTTGGATTCTGGCTGAAACGGAACGTCACGGAGAGAGTGCTTTCCACAGCCCAGATCATGGAGGTTGCACTGGAACTGGTTCTCCCAAAATTCCCTAAACCAGGGATTTCTGGTGTTGTTGTACGGGTGCAGGGCAGTAAAGTAGTCATTAAACTGAGGGATCTGATAGGAGGCTAGTTCAATGGTGAACGCCCCATCTGCCACAGCTTCACTGCCTCTCACCACACTCTCCTGGGCCCCCCACCCATCACTGGCCACCCATGTGAAGGTGACATTCATGCGGTTAGCTGCCACCAGCAGCTCACGGGCATCCTCACTGCGCGTAAACAGGATGACCACCTTGGCGTTGGACTTCTGCTGCAGCGAGCGAATCACGTTCTCATAACTCCAGCGGCTCATGGAGCGGCTGACCTTGGCTGAAGTGGCGATGCAGATCTGACGGGCCCGGGCCTCCTGCTGGAAGGCATCAATACCAGTTTCACCGTAGTCTCCTTCCGATGCCACTGTCGATACATATGTCCAGTTGAAGTAGCGCAGGATCTCTGCCATGGCCTTTGCCTGGTAGAAGTCAGGGGGCACAGTGCGGGCGAAGTAATCATAACGGGTCTTGTCGCTGAGCTTGGCACTGGTAGAAGCATAGCTGATCTGAGGGATTTGGAAGAGTCGTAGCAGGTTGGCCACCTGAAATAAATAAAAGACCCAACTATCATATTGTTTGTTACTTTAAATAGTCATCACAGACAAAGAATGAGCCTCTATTCGGGGTATTGTGAGCCTTATGTAACACTCTGTTTTGAAACAGTTTTTGGGAAACTGATGATTAACTTGTTACACTTCAGACAGAAAACATATTCCTGTCAACTGTATGAATGACTGAAAAATCACTTGAATTACTCCGTCTACACAACATAGCTATTCCCCTGCAGATGCAATTAGTCTCACCCCATTCAGTCTCATCTCCTCACTGGATCCCTGCTGGGGCCTTTCACAACTTAACTCTCCAGCTGACTGACTGGTGAAATGCCAAATTCCACAGTTATGGGAATGCCTGACTACCTCACCTTTTCAAACCTGCAGTGCTGTCATCAGTGCTGACCAAAATTTATGCAGGACATGCGAATGTCTAGGCTCATTTGTCAAAGTGAATGGCTCATTCTCTGCTACAAAAATGCAACAAATTTCAGAAAGTTTCCTCTCTGCTTGAAAGAGAAAGGAGAAGAAGACAGAGAGAGACAGATTGGGGGTTGAGGGCAGGGATTTGGAAGAGAAAGGGAGTCAGAGTATCAAAGAATCTTGAAACTTTGTGTTTCCTGTGTAATAGGTTTTGTCAGTGTTGTGACACTGCATGCAGTGTGCAGAAGCAGCTACTGACTAGCTGATGCTTCAGGCACTTCTGTGAAAGCCTAAGGGGAGCGAGTCCGATCTGTCAAAAGGATGCCAACCTAAATCTGGTTGAGTCTAATGCTGGCACTCACACCGGCACACTCGTGGCACAACATCTTGAATGCCAATGAGTCATTCCTGAGGATGTCAGGGAGAAGAATGACATTCAGTGCCCTCACTAAGTTTAAAATCCTCATCCCTTTGAAGAGTTATAGATTTATTATGAAAGGTATTTACATTTTCTTTGTTTTACCTTTATAATCATAATGCTGTCTTATTTATGGATTTACATCAAATTGGACGGATGTTGCTGCACTCAACCAGATAAAACGCTTGATAATTCAAAGTGTTAATTTAGGCAGTGAGTGTGTAGTATAAATACATGACAGACCGAATCGTCTGACAGCTATAATACTTCGAAAGAGAGATGTTTCAAAGTCTAACGATGAAGGCAATGGCTCAGCCTAACTTTTGATTAATCCAGATTCATTCAGAGAAGTTGAGCTGAGGCTATTAGAATAAAAAATAATGTGTTATAAAAAAGAAAGAGAAAAAACTCGACTCAATCTTTTTTTTTTTTTTTAAAGGGGCATTCTAACAGGTTTCTTGGTTGTTGCAGCCTCTGATGGACAGTTAAGGAATTGCAGTATTTGTACCTTGGACGAGGCTCCAGCATTAGCTTGACATTTCACCACGGTACGTTGCTGCTTGCTTCCAACACAGACTAAATACAGCAGCACAGACAACCGCACTTGCGAAGTCGAATGGGATACATAGATACTTCTTGATTAGTTTGTATCTCAGCTGAACAAAGCAAACAGTGCACTGAAACACTACAATAAACCCAGAGTGGTGTGCATGTAGAGATTTTGATTGCTGGACAGTTGTTGTTCTTTGGCAGGTTATAACGCATAAATATGAAATGAGCCAATGGCAGTAACTTTAAGAACACTCGATTTATTGGAATAAATCGGGGAACGTTTCACAGAAAATCTACATGCAGCAGCACAATCAAGAGCGACTTGACCTGATTTATTACCACCACGCCAGCATCACTGCTCATATGTCAGGGAATGTATCACAGATCCTCTGTCTCTAAAGAAGAGCTATTTATGACTTGGCTGTTGTGTAGCATCTGAAATACAAAAATGAGCACCTAGGTTGTCGAAACACATCAGTGAGCATTTGATGTCAGCTCAAAGAGTTGGTTTCCCCAGAGATTTTCTGGTCAGCTGGAGAACTCCCTGATTATGCAGACAGGCTAATAATCACATTTCTACTTACAATTTTCCCCCCTTCTTAAACTGCCTTGACAGCCTTTCTCTACATGTGGTGAAACAGCTGGCAGCCTCATGCTTGTTCTCTTAGAAAGTAATCAGAGTAAGATTTAAAGTGGCAAGTGACACATAAACACTAACTGATTAATCATTTTAACTTAGTTCTTTTTTAAGCTACAAAAGCAAGACCTGCTTTGAAAAGTCCTCTCCTATAAATACATGGAAGATTTTACATAATAAAATATCTGAAATATGGTTTATAATTAGTCAAGTTCACTACATGGATTTAGTTTTGTGACCTTTGAGTGAACTGGCACAACCCTTGACCCTTACGTGTCCAGATATTTCACATGACAAAGTTTAGACAACTTTATTTCCAACACGGAGATGCTCAATAAGTACTACCCTGAAGAAAACCGATCTCTAACTAATCGCAGACACTCTCAGAAAAATGGATAAAACAATTTTGTTGACTGAAAATGTCTCTCATACAGTCCGACTTACTCTCAGATGTATGTTGCTGTGGACAAAGCATCTACTAAATCAAATTATGATATAACATTATAACCATGTGGAATAGGGATGGGACAACTGACTAATGTCAATCACTTAGTCTTGGACTTCTCACATTGGCGCTTTTGACAGGACTGAGGGTAATGTGAACAGAAGTAAACTGACTGAAGAGGAAGTCGACAGCAGCATAAAGACAAAAGCCAGCAGGACAGTGAAAAGACACTGATAGACAAAAAGAAAAGACTCATGTCTGCAGAGAAGGTTGCACAAACCTGCAATTACTGGATTCACCTGCCTTTGTCACATTTACTACCCGATTTGTTGGTATTGAGAAATTTATACCTCTATGTTAATATGCTGATATGATGCATAGGACTTACACGAGTGTGCATATGGCAGAATTTTGACTGAAGGCTACAGAGGAGTGGATACTCGCTGAAACAGGTCTTTCTTTTTATTCGAAGGCTTGCCTTTAGGGGCATTTTGGATTCTTCACTTAATCAGATACTATGATTTATCATGATACAATTATCATTTCATTGTAGTATCCTGATAGGATTTCATCCTCATGAAATCATCCTTATCATGGGCCATGAATTGTATTGTATCATGAGTTACCCAGTGATTTTTATCATTGGTGTTAATATCACTTACACTAAGAAGTTTCTTGATTTCTAAAGAGTCATTTAAAGCATATGTAGAATAAAAGCTACTGTATAACTCTGAAGAGTGGTGGCTCTTAGGAAGTACTATTTGAGTTCAGACCTTGATACTGAGAAATGTTTTTCTATGCCAACAGAAACTTGTTTTTTTCGATGGAAATATGACCCTGATAAATGACATCTGTAAAATAAACTCTTCTCTTAATAGATGTGAAGAAACATGTACTGAACAGTTCTGTAGGTGTAGATGATCTATAGTTTGATACATGTGCTTGAGGATTTTGGTGTTTGGTGAATGAACAGTGTGTGGTTTTAAACAAGGTGACTACCACATAAAACCCTATGAATAATATCTTTGGGCTCTCCGTTATGCATGTTTTCACACAAAGATGTTTGGAAGGCTGAGGGGAAAAAAATGGAGGTTATGATGGGATTTTTTTTCAGACCACATTCGAATCTTTAGTCGTTGCTCTGAACTGTTTTTAAATATCAAGTCTTTCTCGACTGAAGCCACACACAAGGGACAGACTTATCAGGAGATGATTGTGTGTGAATTTAGGTACAACTTTTCCCTACACAGATACAAATGTAAAGAAAATACGCAAGGTTGTAAATTCATTTGGCTGAGATTGGGCTATGCCTGTGGAATTGAATGAGTAATTTCCCCGCAGGGTATTGAAGGGAGCGCTTTGCCAGTTCAGTAATCCACTTACATGTGGCTTTAGCTTGTTACATAGAACAGTGCCAAACATGTCACCTGCACAATGGGCTTATTGGAAATCATTATTATAGATGTTCACATGGCTAAGCCAAGACCCTTCTTCCTACAGTGCCTGTGAGTGACATATTGTGAGTCCAGAGAGCATATCATGAGGCAGATACGATGTAGCACTATGTATGAAAGGTATTGCTGTCAAGTATCCTGTTTTGGCTAGGAAAGTACCATATTTTACCCTTCTTTTCCGCCGCCTCCCCGTATAAGTATCCTCCCATAAATCTCCCGTATTATAATATAAACCTAATGAAAGGTTTAAAGACAAATACCAAATTCTTCTGTTTGGGATTAAAAAATTGAGCATGGAGTTAGTTCAGGCAGGTCACAGAATCAAGCTCAGCCCTGCAGTACACCCGCTTATCTTTATACCAGCCAATATCAGCTTGACAGCTCAGCTGATCGTGTGCACAGGCTTTAACACTCCACATACACACATGGAAAGACAGGGAGCTCTCAGAATAAAGCCATACTGCCAAATATGAATAAACTTATGCAAATAATTCTCTCCAATTAAGTGTTCCCAACTGGAATTGAGCAAGGTGTTAGTTCTGGCCAACCATGAAGTCAAAGAGGAAGCAGCTATTACAACTTGTTTTAGACCGAAGCTGAAATAATGGTATTTTAATACACCAGAGAGAGAAACATAAGGCTTTTTTGATCTGAAAATAATGTAAAGCTATTAAAGTAGTATCAAGAAGTACAGAGTCTGAAAGAAAATGCATAATACCCCCTTTTTAAAGGAGAACCAAAGTTCTGAATAGTGAGATACTTAAGGACAAAAAGAGATTGGGGTGAAGGTAGCATGAAAAAGAAGCAGACCTTTTTTTTTTTTCGTCCTGTCTTTGTTAAGAAAGGTTCAGTGCTCTCAGACAATAGTAAGTTTAATCTGTGCAGCAGCTCTCTAAACCCAAGGTTACAGGTTTCCACAGTGTCAGGCACATTTCAGTGCAATAAATAATCAACAACAACTAATAATCTGTGTCAGCACAAACATTTAGATCTATATAGATATATTCTGATCTTTATCTGATCTGATGAGCGCGTTTGGCAGAACCTGACCAAATCAACACAGCTGAAACCGCATTAAATTTAATTTAATATCTAGTAAATAGACACACATGATGAAGTGAACAAGATATGTAATTCGTCTCCCTCCTTTTCTTTCTTCCTCTTCCTCTTATTTCTCGCGCAGCTCGACCTGGACGTGTCTCTGTGTCCTCTCCCTGTTCTGCAGCTGCTGCTGCTGCGGCTGAATATTATAATATTCAGTTTTGTGAGCCAAATTTATTTTATATGCCAACATCTATGAAAGAAAGAGCCAGGCCACGGAGCGTGATGTGTCATTTACGCACAGATGGTTCAGATTTTAATGCCATTTTTGGAATGTATGATGTGATCTGTGCGCACAACCCACCTTTGTCACGCGAGGTTTGAATATGTGCAACTTTATGTGAGTGTCTTTATTTGTGGAAAGGGTGTTTGTCTTACCACTGGGTCCAACATTACACACACCAAATCCATCTGTGCTCATATAAGAGAGTAAGAGAGTGTGAAGGACGCCCTCTGCAGCATTTACAGCGACACTTGTTGAGGGGCTGCCTTCTGTCGCCATCGTGTGGCATTGCTGTCAGCTGTGCCGCTCACCAAAATACCAAATTGTGCTTGGGAACGCCTTGTCGGCGCAGCGGACCTGACTTACGCTGCGCCTGTACCACGTCTCCGGCGAAGCATGAAAATAGAGCCCATAGAGACAAATGGTGTAAGATAAACTTAAAAAGACATTTCAAGAGGAGACCTTTAAGAGTTTTTTTTAAACAACAGACTCAGCTGATTTAGAGGGGAGTAAAATAGTCTGGGAGTGAAACAAAAGAGCAAACACCCTCCAAGAGTGGTATAACCAGGAGGTTCTTGTTGGACAACCTGAGAAGCTTTGCTGTGTTTAAGGGGCTCAGAAATAAAAACGGAGGCTAAGTCCTAGAGTGCTTGGAAAGTGATAAAAATAATTTGATGAGCAGTTTAAATTTCTTAAAGCAGATTGACTGAAGCAGGTGAAAAATTAACTTAGAGAAGATAAATACATGAAGGATATATTCTAACCCTGCAGCATATAAGACGACCTTATTTTAGCAATATTTTACTATTGAGTGAAGCAGGACCAATTTTTAACATGAACATCTTTTCAAAATGCTTAACTATCTAGGAAAGGGTTTGACGAACATAAATAGTGGACTAATCTGCCAGATAATGTTGTTGACAGAGTATTTGGGGTTAATCTGAATCAATCAGACATACGGATCCTAAATTCAGCCAGGCAGTTTTCTGGGGAGGCCAAGTTTCTGACAAGGACATACAACTCAGCTTCATCAGTGTGGCCATTATAAAATGTGCAAGTATTCCTCAATTGGACAGAGAGCTGATCCCTGAGGTGTTGAGACCCTTCACTAAAGGTTCTCCTGTAGTGTGTCTGGCCTAGATTTAAATCTTACAACCTCCTGGGTCTCCCGTACAGGAACCTTAACTAGCTTTTTGATATGTGACCTAAATTTTAAAAAGACAGTCTATGTTAGCTCATTTATGTTTTCAAAAGACCAATATATCTGATAGGCGATGATCCTTTCACACGGGTGTATCAGTTGTTAGGCGTGCTGTACATGCCTGAGGTTGTGGCCCCTCAGTATGGCTTACAGCGTTTCAATTTCAGCTGTTGGGATCAGACAGTACCTTATTTAATTAAGAGAATTAAGAAGTGGCCCAGAGTGGCTTTGCACAGCAGGTTCTGTTTCAGAGACGATTACTGAGACGAAAATGGTTTCCTCCCAAGCAACGAGAGCATGCAGGACCTGGTAGCTGCATTTGACACAGCTACACCGAGTAACAGGATTGTTCTTTTTCTCTGTCGTATTCTGTTTCCATAGAGATACCCCGAAGGCCCAGCTATGAGTTCGAATAAGTCAGACATCTGCCCATGTAAAATATCAACATACACTTGTATGACAGAAAGTAAAAGCTACATAAACATGAACACAATTTGGATACAAGTCAACGGTTTAATATATCTAAAAAAAATTACCAGGACAATCTTTTGATTTATGGAGATTCACAAATGCAAGAAGTCACATGTAAAATTGATTAAAAAATAAGCATTATCATAGTTTTTTTTCTCTGTAAAGTGTTCTTTAAAGATTCAGCGCTGCACATCTAGCACATTTCCAGCACTGCACTTGTTTTGATTTGTTTCGGCATAATACACTGTTGACCACAGGAGACGTAATAAAGAGAAAGAAATAAAAAGAAAGTGAGAAGGGACACAGACACAGGCCAACAGACAAATAACACACACATGGACTGACAGAATGTCCTGGTCCAGGAAATATCAGGTCTACTTTGAAGAGATGTCATGATTTTTTTTTTTTTTTACATGAAAAGCCCATCTGTTAGTCCCATAGGAGTGTCTCAATGTGACTCTACAGCAATAACACTGTATTCCCAGAGCAGCAGTCCTTAGCTCCACTCAATATCACACATATATGGCCTGCTGCAGCGCTCCTAAACACAAACTAACACACACAAGAATCAGCCATGCACATTGTCACACAACACAAGCAGAGTGCATAGTTGCGCCAGATCATTATTAGTTTATTTCTTATGATTTAGTTGCTTGGCAACAGCTTTAACAGGGTGTGAATATGAACTATGAGACACCTAGAGGAGGGATGTTTTTTGACCAGATTCTGCCTCCTCATCCTGCAGGATAACACAAATCTCCTTTATAATGCAGCCCCCCAGTCATGCAACCATTCAAACCGCAGCACATGTTAAGATATGATTGCACTTCCATGCATTTACATATTTACAGTGTCAGTAACTCAGTGCATGGTCTTTTTTTTTGTTGTTGTTTTTTTTATAATCACTCCAAGCAAGAAACTCTTGAAGTTCCCAGTCAGCTATATATCCAATTACAAGCCAATTTTAGACAGCCATCAAGTGACTGCTTCCTAAAACCTTGTAATTTAAGGGTTTGTGCGATGGACACAATATGTATTTCAACTGCACAAATAGTGGATTCTGCCGTGCCACTGAATAATCCAATCACGTGTAAATTATTTATGATTTGTGAAGCACGTTCTTTAGTTTTAGTCATGAATAATGCATTTTCCCTGCATGGCTTTACTGATATGTTTCATCATTATTGTTCTCGCATGAATTCTGTCATGTGTGTATCCATGTTTAAATCCTTGTATGACTCATGTGTGCTCCAGAGACTGGCACAGTCTACCATACAGATGAAGAAAGTTCTATAAATAGAGTTGTTCCTGGATGATGAAAATGGGAATCTGAGCTCGCTGAAACCTCATACATTTACCTTATTATGCCGCTCACACAGTTTAGTCTGCAAATGTCAAGCTGATGTTCGTATAAGGATCTACATCCTTTAATTTCAGCTTGCATCATAGTCTCTGGGAAGAAAAATCTACTAATCTTGGGCAGTGTGCAAAAATATCGAAATAATCACACTGTTCAACTTTACTTCACATCCCCTGAAACAAGACCACTTTCTACCTCAACACAGACATCCGAGTAGGAAACATCTTACTGGAAAGCTCCTCTGTGTTTCATGCCTGAGACCGTCTGAGTGTTCGACATTCCAGAGGTGTTGTTTTTCTAATGCGCCCTGGTGATTCTGATGTTTTTACCTCAGGGATGCTCTCTTACCAAGTGAGTCATATTTAGAAGCACAGGCTGCTGTCAGGGTAACAAAAGTGAGAGTCCTTTGCGTGTATAATCAGAGGCCAGCCCTAAGGCTGCCTGTACCTGGGATGAAAATGTGAGGTAAAATATATCCCTTATTAACCCACACCTTTAGGACTCAGAGAGAAGGGTTGATAATCCTTCTATTAAACTGCAATATCCAGAAAAATATCCACTAGCTTGTATTGTTTTAAACATTATTTGGGGTGCAAGCATATTCGATTATTATTATCTTTCCATATCTTAGGCTCAGTACGCATCTTGTCAGCGCCTCAGCCCTTCCCATATGAATGAACATGCTGAATAACATGTCCTCTCAGGGTTATTACTCACCTTTAAATGATAACCTGCTGTCAAGATTAACCACAGGTAAATATGTCAAAGACTCTATCCCTATAAATATTTCTACAAGTTGGTTCATTTCTTGCCCAGATGGCATCACAACTTCCCTCTGACTGTCTGTGACGCTTTCAAATTAGGAAATGTCGCATCGTTATAAGACACCATGCCATTCACTCCATCTATTTCACCCCCTGTGATCATATCCACCTGTCACTGTCTCAGTGTATCTGTGAATCATGATCTCACATTCAATCCCTCCACATCCTCTTTGTGCAGGGATGCTTCTGCCAAGCCACCAGACAGCCCTGCAGCAAACCGCAGATGGGGGGATGCAGGACCTAGCCCGCGAGAGTGTCACAGAACTTCGCCTCCACACTTCTACTCAATCTGCGCCCGTATAACGCCAGCATGGCCAGGCCAGCAGCCAGATCCGCCCACATCTCTGTGATTGTCACACCGCAACACCAGCAGCACAGCAACACACTCCTTCATTGTGACAGATTTAGACAGCACTCTGTGTTCTCACCACCTGTCAGTTCCCCATGTTCCTCTGTGTCGCCATGGCGATAAGGATCTTGGGACTGATATTGCTAGTTGTCCTGTAACTGTCTCCCCTTTGGGGTGAATAGCATGTCTTACTTTACAGCCTGTGGTTTACACATGAGGGCAGGCAGGGTAACCTTTAACACAGCCAGACTGGTTCACTCAAAGGTCTGACTGGCTGTAGATTATGAACAACGCCTGCAGCAACAAAAGGGACAGAAACACTATGTGGAGATGGTGTCTGCAGAGAACAGAAAAAACATATAATCACACAGTGCAAACCTATGTGTGGTAACATTTGCCCTAAATACACTTTGTAGGTGTAGATAAATATCTAACAAAACTCAGCAAAACCCCACCAACTGAGCAACAGACGGCTATTAGTTGCTAGTTGTTTTTTTTTTAGACCTAATTTCAACCGTCTAGATTCTGTATATTTTTAGATGGAATTTAGACTTTGCGCTTTAACTATTTATGGTGCGTTTGAGTTACCTCGGAAGTCAGATTTCGGAGCTGAAAATTACGTCACACTTTCATAGATGGCTACATCTACGAAAGTTATTTTAGCGCTTGCCTTGTTCGAATATAAGGCAAGAGCTATAATAACTTTCTTAGATGTAGCCATCTTGTTTGAGGCCTATGATTTAGCTTTTTTCCGACTTGGTAACTAAAATGCTGGGAACTTGGGTGTGATGTCATTTTCAGCTCCAACATCTGACTTCCGAGGTAACTCAAACTCAGCATTATTTCAAAAAGCAACTGTGAGTTGCATAACTGATCTCCAAGTACTTAATCAAAGTAATTATGATAGCCATTGAGTAATATACAGTGTAGTATAGATATAGCCCAGATTTAGATTTAGTCGAAACTTGGTCTAAATTTAGACATCTAAAAAAAACAAAAAATGCTCAGTAGGCTGTAGTTGTAGTTGTAAAAAGAAGTTGCGAGAAAAGGTATATATCTAAAAACAGTGACTGTATTTGGCTACCAGAGTTAGACACTCGCAAACCAGCAAAGAGAAAAAGCGAATTCTTGCACACCTCATAAGTGCAATACTTTGTAAAGGTTTATTCACGGTGAGAAAGAACAGCATCCTGTGGTGTTTTTCCCCTGATAAGGAAGATTCACTGAGAAGCTAGGGCAGACCTCAGACCCCAGGCTTGTAATAGTACATCCATATATTACCCCAAGACAAGAGCACTCTCGGAGGAGCCCCAGATTCAGGGTTCCACGAGAATTACAGCTCGTTTATCAAGCCACTTTATTTCCAAACTGTCCTTTTCACCAGGAGTCCAGATATAGGACCCATTTCCCAGGAGCTCTTTACCTGTGTAATGTATCATCACACTGTACTATATTTTTGGAGTGTAAGTTAGGAAACCAAGCATTTGTTCTACAAAGTACAGAAAACAAAGACGTTTGCAGAGCCATAGCGTGATGAAGAAATATTACACTTCACGTACTTTTAACAGAAGCCCTTACTTACTGGAATAAAGGAAATGATATGATTCATGATCGAGATATTGCTGTTGTGTTTTCTACAAAATAAGGACAGTAAATTAAATACACTCCTGAGAAACCATTTATAAGTCAGCAGATATTATACACTGAGGCAGCCTCTCATTTTGATTATTTTATTGTTTGCCTGTTGTCCTGAAGTACCCTCTGGGGAGAGCTGTTTACAGCACACACTGGCGCTGGCAGGGGTTCCTTAACTATCTATGGTTTATCAATGATCCTAAGCCAATTATTTTCTCGGGATGGGCAGCAGAAGCGTGTTCCTGTCTTCAAACAAGCATCTATCTGGAACATGAGACATGCAGGTCTTGGAGTGAGGTGAACCGTACTCCTCACCCCGAGGCAGCAGACATGCTCCTCCAGCCGACTCAGTCAGGATGATGAATTGAAGTTAATGCTTAGAGGCATGTATATTTGTGGACAAAAACTAAGTTCAACTAGACACCCTGTCTTTTTACAACAATGACTTGAAATTACACAGATGTGGCAGCTGTATTAGAGCTAAGATACAGTGATACAATTAGCTGAGGTTTCATGGTATCAGTTTGAGAGAGCCGAAAGGAGCACGGCTGCTGCTGCTGAGAGTAATCATGCCGTCACTAGTCATCCTGTCAGACCGTCCTGAGCGCAACAACTGTAGCACGTCTGCCTCTGACAGGTCTGCTGCTGAAGTGTGAATTACCAGGAAAGAGGAGGAGATGGTCTAAATTAGATCAGCCAAGCAGAAGGGGGTATAGGTAAACAGATCCTTCTTGCGGAACTGATACTCATTAAGTCCCCGTGTTAACATCTCGCAAGGGGTAATTGCACATGGTACTTAGGTTTAAATGGACATTTATGTGACCATCAATCACACTCCTACGCCAGCTTGTAGTCCTTTTTCTTGCTGTTTCGTCTAAACTCCAGATAGCTGCTGATAGTGTAACAAGACTACGGTAATTGCACTGTCTAACAAAACAAATGTAGCTTTTCATCTGCACATTTGATGGCATAAAACAATAAAAATCTTTATTAGCAAATAGAAAATGATTTCTTCTCTAGCCGGAGGATGTGTTTTTGTGTTATGATGAGCTTTTACCTGAATGGAAACATCACTGTAGGAGCCACCTATGACCCCCGAAATGGCCAGAGGGACGTCGTCATGGATGGCGTAGGAGCCATCAGGACATGTATACTCGCTGTCATCCACTTTGGTGAGTGAGGCTCTGACAAACTCCAAAGATTGCTCCAGAGCATAGGTGTCTTTAGAGCAAGTGTCCAGGATGTGAGCCCCCAGTCTGATCCCCGGAAGGATGCGCTCGTCTTTGTTGATTTCATCTAACGCCAGCAGCATGGCCTCCAGTCTCTGGATCCCTCTCTGAGCATTGATCTTCCCACAGTCCTCTGCCCCCTCACCCTTCTGGTGCACAGGGAACAGACCACCAATCATCAAATCTCCGTCCAGTGTGATCTCCCTCTTGGAGTCAGTGTTATAACCCACCGCTGGCAGACCCTGGGGAGCTTGGGCAAAGAGAGATACACATACACACAGCAGGCTGAGGTGGGACAGCCAGAGGGGTCGGGGCACAGGACGCACCCCCAACACAGGGGACCTCCCCAATGACATATCCCCAAGCAGAGCGAGGTCAGTGTCCCCGCCTTTGTTTTCTGGTCAGCGTCCGCTCAGCTTTTGATGACTGCGTTTCTGAAGAAAAGAACAGTAAGGCGCAGCAGCACCAGCTCTCAAAGCACCAGTGTTTTTATTCTGACAGAGGCCATTTACAGCACCAGCGCCATCCTCTTCCTCCTCTTCTTCAGGGTTTTGGTAGATTACAGCCTGCAGATCAAACAGAGAAAAAATCAGTCAAAGCCTTTGAGCTGGAGCACAATGGTCCCTTTGTCTCACTTACATTGTGACTGCCAGGGACCGACTTGTCCCATGGAAATATTCAACATCTAAAACAAGTAATTGAGTATGTTTTCTCTGGTGCTTATTGATGACTGAAATGATATGAATAAAAGAAAAAAGATGAGAAGTACACATAGACCCCCATTTATAATGTAGCATAAATATAATAATAAATCAACAAAATCTATCGACTGTTTTTTTTTATTTATTGGCTCCATATCATAATAAGATTTTTCTCATAGCATTTCTATTAAAGGGATATTGTGGTGTAAAATTAAGTTCAAACACACTGCAACACCGAGTTAGACACTCCATCGAGAGATGAATGTGGGGCGCAGCTCAAGGAAGAACATTTATGATTTTTTCTTAAGCATTTCCTTGAAGTAATAATCATCATATTAATCATTTTGCACTGCAGACGCAGTAGTTCTTCTGGCTTAGCGTCTCGGTCTGATTGCATTTCCATGAGGAAAGGATCATAAATGTTCTTCCTTGAGCTGCGTCATCCCGCTGCAGTTGATGGACTGGCCCGAGGTCTCACTACATACAAGCGGCTGCTGGAAGAGAGTGGGTGAGTTGTTTTTAGTCTCTTTGCTAAAGAATTCAGGCAAAGTTAAAAAGATGTTTGGTGGCTAGTACTATGGCTGGGACCCTATTTGTACTGTTGATGAAGTTAGGTGCTGTTCTGAGCAATATTTGTGTCTATAGAGTGGTGTTTTGGTTAAGCGTGTAGCTATCTGAATTGCTATCTTGCAGTCATTACTAAAGTTGGTATAACTAGACTAGTTGGTATAACTAGCGGTTGGCAACGTTCATCTCTCAACGGGGTGTCTAACTTGGTGTTACGGTGTGTTTAACCCTAATTTAATTTTACGCCGGACTATCCCCTTAAGACCCAGGTCTAGACTGTAGTCTTTGTAAAACCAGTTACAGACACCCAAATGAACCCACAAATGAGCACTTGTTGGTAGAGGCTGCTGAAAAACTATCTCAAAACAGGCAGATATCTTGGAAAGAACCAAATTCAAGAGTGAGCACTCATCTGCACTGACGAGTCTGAGTAATATTTCCATTTTCCATTTGAAATACAAAAGTTCAAGTTCAGATAAGAGTTCATGAGTGACAACAACAACATGTCCCACATGGATCTCAAGCATTTTCAGCCAGCACTACAGAATGAGGGTCATCCCCTCAGACAGAAGCCTCCTTCAGAGTCTCTGTGTTTTGTGTTTCTAAGTCTACTCTCCTCTCCTCCTCTGGCATTGTCTGTCCGACCTTAAGATATTTCCCTTTTGAGGCATATGATTGTACAAATCTTTTATAATCTAATGTGCACATGTCTCTTTGCACCATAAAACCACAGAGATAGTCATGTCTCCAAGGAACTTGATGTCAAATCCCATCAGCTTCTTACAAAATTTACACACACAAAAACACAATGTGTGCACAAGTAATGCACAATCAACATGCAAATAAGAGAAGTATTGAAATATCTTTCAATTTTTGTAAGGGAATACAGCAAAGAGGAGTTTGAATACTTGGGCATTTTTTCCTTTATTTTTATTTAAAGAAACCATGATACACACATAATACACAATCTATCTGCAACATCTGGTAGCAGGAAAATACAGACATGCATATTTAGGTCACTATGTTAATTCAAATTACAGTTGAGAAGAGATTGTGCGCGCTGAATCTATCCTACAGTTCAATTTGTTTGATGTAATGCATTTACTAAAATGTGATTCAATATATCTTTAAGTCCAAACTGATCCGTTTGTTTATATAAGTAATTATATGTGGTCTCATAAAAGGCTCTTGCGCTGCAAAATTATAGGTCAGTATACCAAATATTTAAAGCTAGACACTAAAAATGGTTCCTTTTTGTCAGATTTCTGTAAGCCCACATAAACCCAAATTGATCTGGCCGTTTTGACTGATTAATGTATTCTTTACCAAATGAGAATCCTTCAACTAATATAGTGAGTATACAGCATAGTTCAGTATGACAAATAAATAAGCCTTTTAAAGACAATCAAATCTATCATTAATCGAGCATTAAAGCTGACTCATGTCAGGAGTTAAATCTGAAGCAGTTCATGTATGGATTACCAACAGAGGAGCCTATTGTTCAGACCTGGTGTCAGTTTCCTCGAATCCCAGTGGCTTAATTAAGCTGAGAGTGAGAGTGGGAGAAGTTTACCGGTGTGAATTATTGAGCCAGAATTATCTGCCTCATATCCACTGTCTCAACAAGTCAGGCAAGATGACATGCAGTAATTAACTGTAGTTAAAGGTTATTAAAATTCATATGTCTCTGTTTGGGTTACAAAATACTGTCTCACCTTTTGAAACAACAAAGAGCTCTTAACAGGAGTCACACTGCAGACTAAATTCTGTGGGGTTTTCCTGTTTCTTTTTTTTTTTTCTTATGCTGGTTTTACTTCCCTTTTAATCTCTCTCTCTCTCTCTCTCTCTCTCTCTCTCTCTCTCTCTCTCTCTCTCTCTCTCTCTCCCTCTCTCTCTCTCTCCCTGTTGTTTCCATGGAAACTTGCCAGTAGATGGGTGAAGAGGATAGGGAAGACAGACCAGGACAAGTGGGCCAGTCAGACCATGCATGCTTCATGGTCAGACTGGTCCTGTGGGAGATCTGGGAAGCTTGCATTGTGAACTCATCAAACTGATCTGACTCTTATCAGAGCTTTACATATTCTGCCTTTGAAACACATCTTAGTAGAGCAATAGCAGCACGATTGAAGCTACAAATGTGCTGATTTGATATCTCATCTTTCATCCATCTATATTCTGTCTTGTCTAATGCTTATTTTTTTGTAACAGTTTATTGCCTCAGAGATTTTTCTGTTTCAAACATTGTTGCCTTTTAATAAGACATAAGATGTGACATGTTGAGTCATATTTGAAGAACTATCAGTGAAGCTTTTATTTTTCAAACAAAATAAGCATGAGGATGTCAAATTTTTCATTTGTTCCCCTGATTGTGTCAACAAGTGAAAGTAGATTACAACAGCCTGTGCATCCGAGCCAAACCCCAGTGTCTTCCCTTACTCAAAGAAACAACACAAAAACTGACTTGTTTGCAAGGGTTTCAAATGCTTGGGGAGTTCATTCTGGATGCCAGTAGCTTTTGACACATAGCCACACAAGTTAAAATGTGCAAATGGGGAAAGAAACTACAAGTCAGGCCTATAAGCACACTTAATAAATGACACAGCATCCAAATGCAGGCAATAACAAAAAGCACTTAGCCTGAAAAGAGAGTGGTGACAAAAGATTTCTGACTGACACATTGCAGTCTCCTCCTCTATAAAGCATTCACCTCACCTCCACCTCAACCCTGGACTCCAGTTTATGCTCAGTTAAAGTCATGGTTGACGATTGTAGGGATTGGTAATCATTATGAACCTCATTTATATGGCGATCATGGTCCTAAAGTGCAATCTCCGCAAAGTGAAGAGAAAAAAGAATGGAAAAAATCTGTTCACCCTAGCAGGTGCAGGGCTGCAAAAACATTGACCAATGGGAGCCATCCGTCCTGGACAACTCCTATTGGTCAATCTCCTGCTCCGCCTCTCCATCCAATTGCCTCGCTGTATTCGACACACCCCTCTCCCGTAGTTCCGACTCATCCCCTCCCACTCTCCCGGCCCTCCTCGGAGCTCTGAGTGGTAAAAGTAGCGTATCAGCTTAGCTACAGGAGCTTTGATGGACAAGGACGCAAAAAATAAAAACACTTCTGCTCTCCCCACCACCAAAAGTGGACAGAAAACGCAAGCTGACAGGAGAAAGAGCTCTGCCAGGATTTGAGCCTGAAAACAAACATCAAGACAGAGTTTTTGTTGAACAGGTAATTTTTGCCTTTTATCATACATCGTAACATCACACGCTACAAAAATAACTCTTATTAGTCTCTGCAATGTCAACATGGTAGCTGTCCAGGCAGCTGCAGACGGTGCTCGCTAGCAGAGCTGGCGTTTACTGCTGCTAGTCACTAGCAATCCAACATGGTGAATCCTATTTGAAGCTAGCGTAGGATCTTCTGCCGGCAGGCTTCTTGCTCTGCCAGAGGGGTTGTGTCATGGGGAGGGCGATACAGGTTCAGGGGGTAGTTATCATGGAGAACAGAGGGGAGAGGTTTGTGTGTGGGGGGTGGGGACGCTTTTCTCAAATCTGCCTCAACGGCTCAGTTTTTTCCAGCTGCTTCTCCGATTGTCAACCATGCCTTTAACTACAGGATACAACCTATTATGACAGCACTCACGCCCTCATGGGAAAACCATTTTTTACACTTTTACTAACATGATGCAGGCAGGAAAAGTTCATACATACTGCAATTTTGAAAAGCAGTACATGCCTTCTGACAAATGTAACAAATACAGTTAAGTTGAAAGACTTAACTCTAAACTGTAATTTGAATTTCAGGAAAAATTCTCATGTTAAACAACACTTTTCTGTAACTTTTAGGCTTGTATTTGAAAACTTTATCACACTTGAACCTTCTGTTTTTTTAATTTTATCATGATCTTTGTTTTAACAGCTTCTGTAACTTTTAAATATCTTCTTTAAATGACTTGTTGATGTCTTTTTTCATTTTTTTCCCTGACCTTTCTCATGATTCTTTTGATGTCAGTGTGGAAAGCACTTAAAATTGCCTTTAAGCTGTAACATGCATTTCATGCATTTACTTGCCTCAGCTTTTCTTAGTTTGCATCATCTTGCCTTGATTAAAGGTGGGGTAGGCAGGATCTGAAGAAGTGACAGTTTTGGGGAGAAATCTTGAATGTAAACTCTACCCCTCCCAACCAGTTTTTCCCTCAGCTCCTCCTCTCCCCTCCTTTTTAAGCGCCCATTATTCCGCCAGGGTCTCCTGTATTTAGTTCATTTTCTTGCTTGTGTTGGCAGTCGTGGCTAAAAGAGGATTCAGAAAATTTTCTGTACTTTCTGGTTGGTTTCTACTGTCTGATATTGTAGCACACTAACTTTGTTTGGGCTCATGAATGACACAGGGAGCACATCTGCCTCACAACCAATCAGGTTGGGGGAGGCAGAGAATGGCTTTGTTTACAGTCAGAAAGAGTGGGACGCTCAAAATGTTGACCACACAGACATAACAAAACACAGCGATATCATTATATTACCAAATGTCATCAATAACTAATAGCCATTGACTGATATTTAAAGCTTTTTTGTGTATACACCACAAAAAGATGCTTCTTTAACAGATTCCTGCCTACCCCACCTTTAACTAAGAGTTACGTTAAAATATACAAGCTAGCTATCCATCTCCATGTGGATAGCTATAGTTTCTTTTATCACATTTTTTTTCTATCAAAATGGTTTGAGACATCTGAAGTTCCTGTGAGGAACTTTCAATTAGTGTCAACTTTGGCACCCCCTGTGGGCAAGACAGTTGTGGCTTGTCTTGCCCTATACAAGCCTCAATAGTCTCCAACAAAAGTCTCTTTTTTTGGGAACAAATGTCAAAAAACTCTCTACAGGAGCTTTAAGTGGGAATTCATACTCAAAAATCATATTGTCATTTCCAGAAAATGAAATATTTCTTTGGTTTTCTGAAGTCTGAAGCCATCAATGTAAATTTAAAAGCACTTTTTAAACTCATTTATCACCACTTTTTTTTAAATTATATAACTGTAAGTTTATTTGACGGGGACAATACCTACAGGTATAAAATTATAAACATAATGTAGTAATAAAAAAAAAAAGAAGACTAGAGCTCATCTACATTTCCATCTTTGACACTAGACTGTGATAATGCTGTCAAAAACTCTGTGTGTTTGTGTAAACCACTGATGCTAGGATTAGTATTTACACTTAAGATGCCATCTCTCACATGTGGTACTGTCTGTGTGTTAACTTCAGAGACAAGCTCTGCCTCTCATTTTCCTTCTCTCCTCCTATGCAGCCATCTCTGTTTCACTCTTTACCAGATGGCCTTTTTAATTCAAGAGTGTAAAGCCAGCCAGCCTCTTACACACTCTACACCAGACTGTGTGAAGGAATGGGAGGAGTGGGTGGGGGCTGAAGGGAAAAAAAAGAAGAAGAAGAGGAAGAAGAAGATGGCAGATGCAAGAGGGCAGGAACAAAAAGCAGAGAGGATGGCAGCGTGGGCAGTAAGTGAAAGAGGGATAACAGCAAGGATTGAGAAAGATGCTATCCAGGCTGATTTTTTATAACACTCATTTGCCCCAGGAGTGGAGTGCAGCATTAATATGGTAAAATCCCCCCAGGCAATAGCAAGTGTTGAAGAGTGGAGGTCATCTACTGTATATGCAGCCCTGAGCCCGGCTGAGCAGGTTGGAGATTCCCTGTGGAATGACTGGGAGGCTGGCTAAGAGGAAGCTCAGGTAATGGGAGTCAGGCTTCCCTAAAATCACATTTCCAGCTGACAAAGAAAGTGGTCCTGGGTGGGTGGGAGACTGAAAATGGTCTGTTAATGGGAAAGAAGACTCAAGAGTACACACACAACTCATGCTAGGCATAAACAATGTATGGAGCTCAATTGCCTGAAACACCTGCAACAAATGAAACTCTGCAATAGTTCCCTTTTAAATGGATTTGATACCTGATTGGATTTCTTAATTTTCCTCACAAGAAAAGACTTAGAGAAGCTATTTTCTCATCACAAGATCAAAGTTAAAAAAAATAATTATTTTTTTTACTATATGTACCCAATATTGTTTTTTTTTTCCATAACTAAATAAGTTTGTTGCCACAAACTTTGTTTTTAACATGAAAAAAAAAAAAAAAATTAGTTAGGGGAGCTAGTGCATAGAGGCTATTGTCCTGGAAATTGATTTTCTGGATTCAAATCCAACCTGCAGACCTTTTCCACATGTCATACCCCATTATATTACCTATTTCTAGCTATACTTTCCTGTAAATAAGACACAAAAGCCAAACCAATTAAACTTTAAAAAAGATCCATTTATCGTACCATTGTACAAGGTGGCATATCCCCTTTTACCTTGAAAATGTCATTTTTTATTCTTTTTATTTGATCTGACAAACACTAAGGTGGTTTTATGAATATTCATTAGAGCACCATATTGTACTCATTTTAATCAACTGCTAGAATTAGTAATTGGTAATCAGTGAAAGAATAATTATATCATTAATAAGAACGAATAGGGAGAATTATAGATAGAGAAAACAGACAATGATTCAAATTTTGCAAGTGTTTTATTAGCGTCTCTTCAAGCTTTGTGACAGTTACCCACAATACACTCCTCTTCTTATTGTGAGCTAAGTGCTGATTTGAGTAGCTACATCTGATGCATATACCTAACCACTACTGTGTGATTTTTTTTTTTCATTTGGCAACAGTGAAGGAGGCTTCTGGAATGTTGGGGTGTGGAATGCTGGGGTTGGAGGGGGCGGGGCTTAAAGGGATACTGGTTTACATGAAGCATTCTAGACAGAGATTGAAATATGTAAAGAACCAGTTGAGAAGCTATCAGGGGGATAGTATAAAGCTAAAAATGAGTGTAATACTCCCCCTTTGAGCCTTTCGAGGTTTGTCAATTAGGATTCACAATCCATCCATTTTCTGAGGAACCTGACAAACAATCGCAGCACTGAATCCGTTTCCACCTATTAGAAATATTTCCTCTCGTCATCCCTGCAGAATCAGCCGTATTAACTCATTCAGACAGATGCAAACATGGTTACATAAAGCTGTATCGTTCATGTCTGTAAGATTAACAGCTTAATCCAGCGTAACTATGGAATACATTTGTGTTAGTTATGGGATTTTCAGAATATTTAACATGCTTACTTTCTGAACAGCGCTCAGAATGAACAGAACATTTAAACCCAGTTTAATTAATGTTGCAAAGAGAGTAAATCAATATCATACAAACTGAAGGTGGGAAACAATTTCTCTCAAACACAGGACTCCTAACCTTTCCTGATAAGGTCACTGATGCAATTAGCAATTAAAAAGTGAGGAGAAGCTCTCACTCCATGTTTGAGTAGCAGCCACGGCAATCAAAGGAGGCATGGATCAATGCAGAGACTCTCTGTGACGAAGAGGCAACTTTTAACAATCACAAAGTTGATGTAAACTAACCTCATATTCAGTCCTGATTATCACACAGTCTACCTCATTCTCCATATGCTTTTATGCATCTTCTTCTTCTTCTTCTTCACAAACGCCAACCACATTTTTCAAGCTGACTGAACCACACCTCCCCCCCATCCATCTCTTCCTCTTCCTCTCTTTTCCTCCTCTCCCTCTCTCTCGCTCCACCTGTATAAGGGGGAATCCCTTGCATGTCCCTTCTCCTCCCAGGAGCCTCATTCTGCCTCGCTCATCAAACATTGATCCTCTGTCTTTGTCTCTCAGAGATCATTACTACTAGGCCTATGATTGGCCAGAACATGGTGATGGATGTGTGGTGCTTTTGTTTCAGAGCTCTTTATTGTATCTTTGCATTATTCATCATCACACCGTTACACTGGAAAGAGAATAAAGGAACCCGAAATACCACAGTGTTTCAAAAACCCATTAGGACTTCTCTTTGACTGACAATTGATATTAGTAAGGAAATTAAAGTCATGTCATCTTATCTGTGGTGACACTAGAGCGAGGTTTGAGTTTTTCATGTTTTTTAAATTGCATCCTCTTTTAAATTAAAAAAATAATATGAAATATCCTGAAGCAGAATGAATTGATTTAAAGTAGGTGGTGCAATTTTTTGGAAATTGGTTTTGGCCGGAGCTATAATGTTCAATGAGACCAGTTTTAATGTTTTGATATGTGATATTTTGGGGGAAAGCATCATGCAAGATTACACTGATGTATTTTATAGATGTTTTTCTTAAAGGTGGGATGGGCAGGAATCTATTAAAGAAGCATCTTTTTTGTGGTGTTTATACAAAAAAGCTTTTAATATCAGTCAATAGCTATCAGTTATTGATGACCTTTGGGAATATAACGATATCGCTGTGTTTTGTTATGTCTGTGTGGTCAACATTTTAAATTTTTTGAGCGCACCGCTCTTTCTGACTGTAAACAAAACCATTCTCTGCCTACCCCAACCTGATTGGCGAACACTGCTCCCCATGTAGTTCACGAGCCCAAACAAAGTTAGTGTGCTACAATATCAGACAGTAGAAACCAACCAAAAAGTACAGAAAATGATTTGAATCCTTCTTTGGCCACGACTGCCAACACAAGCAAGAAAATGAAGTAAATACCAGAGACTCTGGCAGAATAACGGGCGCTTAACGGGTTAAGTGGGTACAGAGGAATGCCCTTGCTCATAAAGAAAAGAAATTCTTAATTCTGATACCAACACTGCAGGTTATTTGCAGACTTCTCTATAAGCTCTGCTTCTATGTTCTATGATTTTAACAGAGGTGGGGTGTGCGCAAACTTTTTTGTTGTTGTTGACTGGTTTGTGCTCAAGTCCTCTTTTTTTCTGTACAGCTCCATATTTAAAAGTTATGAGGGGATTCATGTTTTCGATGATTGATACTTGATACAGCTTATGGGCGTACGAAGATTGCATAGCTCACCAGGGGCTACAAGTGTCATCACAGCGACTCTCAGCGACTCTCCCACCAAATGCATACAACGCTACTGCGCAATGTTGGTTTCAGGAAGTGGAGAAAAATTGCAGAATTACCGTGGGCTTTTTGGCTTCAAATCGGCAGAAAGCGGAACCAAGCCGTCCATAGTATATACAGTCTACGCATGTAACTATGTACATACTCATCTATGAATGACATTTATTCACCCTTTCTGTTACACATATCCACTCCAACAACTTATTGTTTAAATAACATACAAATGATGTATTCCTGTGTAAAATCAGTCAAACACTGTAGACGTGCAACATGCAGCATATAAATCTACTGCTCCTTATTCTTGAGGACTGACACAGACCCACATTTTAGTTTCTTGAAGTCCATTTTAAATACATTTACTTATTGAATTAATCAGACATATTTATTCTTCTAAATAAGATCAGTAAAAAAATATCAATTAACAAGTCACAAATATCAATAAAGGACTTGGCGCAATATTTAAATATCAACAGCCGAATAGGATGAGACTGTCTGAATAGGATTTCAGGTGAAACTTGGGATGACCAATCAGATTTCAGTTAGGAGGTGTTAACGTCCCTCACCATTTCTTTTGACACCCCATGCATTTAAGCAGCCAAAGTGATGACACTACCAGAATTTAATCTGCCTGACCTGCTCTGAAGATATATAACAGTTGCATCAAGTTATTGCCTAATTTAAGACACCTTGTTAAAAAAAAAGCGAACTGCTGCTTTAATACATGGATGTTTTTTTGTCTGAAAACAACAGACAGTTGAAGTAACCTTTCAATATTCTCTGACTCATAGGGTCAGCTTGAATCAGTTTTTCTGAGTATGAGACGGTTACTTTCAGCTCCATGTGACTTGTTCGAAGTAGAAACAGCTTGGGCTGTGCTGAGTTGATCGGTACGGTATAATGAGAATTTCAGGACTCATCATGAGGGAGAAGTAAGCAGAAGAAATCAACATCAGTTCATCTTTACTCACAGCTTCAATTATTGATGCATCTGACCCAGGACTCACCTAGGAGCCTTTCACACATACACCAGGAATGTAAAACAGGAGTGAGTCATTTGCAGTCAGTGCAGCTGTTAATTTCAGTCTGAGATTCAAGCACACATCTTTAATTAATAGGGAACTTCTTTATGCTTTACTTAAAATACTCTGCTTAAACATGTCTATATGGGCTTCAATCTACTGATGCTACAACACCTTTTCAAAGTTTAATGTAGGATTAAAATATGATTTTGCAGGGCTTCATCCTGGGGAATGGCAGACTGCAGACTTGGTGAAGGTATATGTTTGAGCTAACACTAAATTCATTGGAAAAACACCTACAGCATTTTCTGCAAACTAATTTTCTATTTATTGTGGCCATCTGAAGGAAGTATGTTTCCTGTCATTTCTAACCTTTTTCTTTTTGTGTCTCTGCCACAAAAAATTGTGCTGAGAACTGTGTTCTTTTAACACCAGTGCAGGTGTACTATCAGCTCACTGAATACAAAACAGCATAAAACAAAAACCCTACTTTTTTTTTTTTTTTTTACTTTAATGCAGTGGCACAGTACATATTCCATGTGACAGATGTTACTGGCACTAGAAGCACAGACCAGGCTTTATGCAGAAGGTGCTTACAGACCTCACCTGCACATGTGTGATTATGTGTGTGCATGACCATAAGGCAGAGTAAGCTATTAAGCTGTCCCTTTTTGATAGGAGCAGAGTGATTCATCCTTCAGGTATTTAATCACTAAGAGCTGGTGGCTAATACAAAGAGGCTCCATCATACGGAGGATAAAGTAACAAGGCAGATGTCTCTTACTTAAAACTACAGTCTGAAAGTAGAGCAAAGAGGAAAACTACTGTATCCCAGTTTGCATGTGAGTGGTGGACAGGAGCTGTGTAGACCACCAATATCAGCAGAAAATTTGGACTCTTTTCAGTTTTTAACAAGCGTGCAGAAATGCAGAAATGTCTGTATCAATGAGATTGAGTCATGCAGTTAAGTTGTCTTTTAGAACTATTCTTGCCGACACTCTCATCTTGATAGTAATTAACAGGAATCTCTGTTGCATTGAGTCCTTGTTGCATCAACTCAAAAGTAACTGGGGAGGCAGACTGCTGTCAGGACTGAGGGAGGAGGTAGAGCACAGGTCAGACAGCTTCACCTCCTCCTGATACTTTTGGCTTCCGGATTCAGATGCTGATGATCGAGGGTGGTCTCCTCAGTCAGCCATGAGCTGAATAATTTACAGTAATCCTCATCCTTAGCTACAACCCCTGATTATTTCTGAATCTCATCTTTACAGCAAGAAGATTTCCAAATATGCTGATCTTTACTTTAAAAAACATGCATGACGGTCAGGTACAATGTCATCTACCACTCCTGTGCTTTGAATCTGTGTGTTCAGTGAAGGGAGTCTTCAGCAGGCTGAAGGGGTTTCCTTTTGTGTTTTATCTGCTGAACATGCAGCACAGAAGCCCCTGGGACTGCAGGAAGCATCTACAGTACATTTTGCTTCCTTCATAATGACTTTGTCCACTATTAACCACGCCGCCTCTAAATATTTACACCCTGAGGTACTCATTTATATTCCTCCTGTGTTTAAAAATGTATTTTAAACTCTTGTCTATTTAAGCAGTTGGCAATCCTTTCACCTTACCCACACAAGCATTATATCACAGTTTATTCAGTATGATGTTTATCTGCACTGATGAGACCACATTGGAGTATTATAGTATGTTAAGAGGGGAACATAATAATTATAATAGACAACTCTCCTCTGGGAAGAACAACCTGTTAAGGAATTAGCCCAAGATTAGAAACCAAAAGAGAGGATTCTTCTCCTTCTCCACACCTTTTTACTCATGAACGACACATTTATTTTTGACTACTTTTAAATAGACTTTTTGGCTTTCCCCCCTCACTTCTATTTTTCACAATCACACAAAGGCATAATCCAAATAAGGGTGATTGGAGACATGGCGATTGTTATGGAGCTTCTGCAGCGCCTCTTAGGTAGTTTGTCAGCAGCCTCGCACATGTGAAGATGAGGCTGTGGCCACAGATGTGGAGATAAAAGAAAGAAAAGATGCTCAACATTTGACAAACGATTCTACAGCCGATTAAAGCAGAAACAGACCGATTATCGCAAGATCATTGGAAATTACGCACTGATCTTTCCCTTCATTTAGTCGGAAATCATAGTAATGGGACACAACTCTTCAGTCGAAATCATTATAGAGACGACCACAACTATATCATCACCATCACAGAACTTCTCTTAAATGTACCTTCAGCCGCACAAAGCTCACATCAGTTCAGACAAAAACACACAGCATCTCTTACCTGTGCGGGGATCCTCAATTTGCAACGCTGCCGTGCGATGTATGGAGGCAACACATATCCTCAGCAACACTCTTACACTTTTTTTAGCGTAAAGGCGCCAGCGAGGCTGTGAACTACGGTGGAGCTGTGGCTGAATGAATGAATGAATGAATGAAGCAAAGAGGCGAGTGGTCGTTTCCCTGAAGTTTGCACAGCGTGCCAGGACCTGTCCGTGGTGCTGAAACGAGCCCCCCTCACCCAGACGACGCGCCGCTGGATACCTGCCGGTCTGATCGCGCTCAGAAAAAAAGTCACATTTCCTTCGCAAAAGCAACTAACGCCCACCTTCCAGCAAGAACACAGGCGTTTCACTTTGTTAGGTGTAATTCAAGGAAAATTTGATGGAAAACTCGACGTTTTCTAGTCTGGTAAAACGCTACCCTAAGTGATTACGCGCTTTCAAGTGTAAATTCTACCTGTTACTTGCGCAGGTTACGTAAAATCCTCAATTAGACTTGCAACAAATTAAAACAACTGCCGCTGCTCTGACTGCAGATGAACCTCCACAGCTCTAAGAAGGTTTGGACACTCAGACAAGGGCGCAGCTGCTCCACAAACGATCAGCCCATGAGATAGTCGGTCTCAACACTGTTTGCCAAATTTACGCACAAATAAACAGAACCTTATGGAAAAGATTTCCTTCAGCCGCTGTTGGTCTGGTTTGTAAGCTGTTGGCTTGACTGTGGATATCAAAAGCAAGGGAGGGGGCTTAAGAATCGGCCCCTATTTGTTCAAGCGGTCAAAAAAAGGGGTAGAGTGTTTTAAAATACCGATTCTTTGGAGACTGCTTATCTCCAGCGGTAGAAATTTTAACAAGTTGTGACACGGAGCGGGAGGGTGCGAGGTCAGTCCCAGATGGCACAGACATGCGCTCTGCGAGGGATGAGCTGCGACCTTCTTTTTTTCTTCTTCTTCCTGGCGAAATCAACTTCACACATACGCAATTCTCAGGATCCGAACTTCTTTGTCGAGACATCTCCTCCCATCTCAACCTCCACGTACAATGTAATGAGATTTATCATTAACATCAGGGGGAAGCAATAATCTCAGCGCCCTCAAAGCTGCATGACACCCCCTTGGGTTTCACAATTAATTAAATCAGTGTCTGACTCAGTGCTTCATCCTTGTGCAGCCTTCAGACTGATTCTCATTTTTGCCTTGAGACAAAGTTTGAGGTGCCAGGATTTAATCTACAAGTACAACAAACGTGGTGGGGGCAGCTGTCCCTTCAGACGGATCACACCCCAGTGAGCCATGCCACTGAGGTGTGATCAGTCTGCAGGGGAGTCACTGAAGTAAAAGACATTTTAAAGAGAACCAACATATTGGTTGATATTCTTTTGCAAACAAAACAACTCTGATCAGAATCCCTTAAAGCCCCTTATTGGGGGGTTTTGTGGCTGTAGCTGTGACATCTTTCCAATGCAAACAAAATTTTGCAAGCGTATGGAAGTAAATCTGTGTCATCTGATTTTGAATTTCTAAAGCTGAAAATCAGACTTTGAATTTCAAAACCATCCGATTTCAAGCACGCAATTTTATTTCTTAAGGTAATTACACAACGGGAACGATGCAAATATACGACGCGAAATTACGAAATATTCGGAGGCGAATTTTTGACTATACTCATCAAGCGCGATAAAAGACACGTCCTGGGTGGAAGCGAGAAGACAAAAATGCTATCACTTCAACTTCAAGTGATGGCAAATTGGTACTCCTTTTCAAAATAATAAGAGCTACCATATGCCACAGTTACTAAAAATAGAAAACACAACACCAGACTGAGTGTTTTTCAGGTCCGATTAGACACTAGTGTTGAGATGGCTGTCTGTCTTGATAGCATGTACTGAGTCGGGGCCAGTACCAGATAAGCACATTAAACTATAATCCATAAACGTAAGGTAACAATGGAGACCTAATGGTGCTGTGACAGCAATACATTAGGTATGTTGTATCTGAACAGGTTAGCTTATGAGCTAAAGTAACTTAGCACAGATGAAAGTTAAAACAAAGACATTTAGCAAACTGTTAAAGTACACAAACCATCGTCATATGAGAAATCTGACGCTATAACTCTCCACAAGTTGTCCTTCAGGTTGTTATCTTTGTAATATTTGTGTCTTTTATCAAAACGCACTCTGTTATCCGACGCGTAAACAATCAGCCAGTCGGCCATATTGGATATACTGCTGAATCTGACATCGCAACAATACGAAATCTGATTGGTCAGAAGTGGACACACAGTATGTGAAACTCAAGAAAAATCGACCGTGATACGAAAAAATAAATGCCGCAATATCGCAGGACGGGAAAACGTCGCTGATGTGACAGCTTGTATTGACAGGATACGGGTTCGAAAAGAAATATTGACGTCCACACTAAAAAATGCTCCTGGTGTGTAAGGACCTTTACCCTTTTTTTTTTTTTTCACATTGATGAAAAAAATTCAGTGTAAAAAAATAGGTCCCTCAAAATATTTGTGTAACAAAAATTCGACTTAAAAAAAAAAACTGTTAAAAAAATTCAACATAAAAAAAAATTCAGTGTCAAAAAATTGAGTGTAAAACAGACCGACTCAACATCCAGGTAACCAGGGAAAAGCAATTGATTCCTTAATCTTCCACTGGGGTCGGCGCCACATGACCAAACTAACATTATTTGATTGGCTGGACGATGGATGATTGAGCCCTGGTTACCCGGATGTTGAGTCGGTCTGTTTTATACTAAATTTTTTTACACTCAATTTTTTTTCTATGTTGAATTTTTTTTTGTTTTTTTTGTTAAGTTGCATTTTTACAAAACAAATATTTTAAGAGACTGTTTTTTTTTTTTTACAATAAATTTATTTCGTAATTGTAAAAAAAAAGAAAGTGTGAGAAATAAAAATGCATGCTTGAAATTCAATAGTTTCAAAATTCAAAGTCTGATTTTGATGCAAAAAAATTCAGCTTTAGAAATTCAAATTCAAAATCAGATGGCACAGATTTACTTCCATACAAGCGCCTGCTAATCAACAATTAAATCATAGAATGCAGTACTATTAATACAGCGCATTGTAAATACCATCCATCATGTCAGCTAGACCCAGGGTAAGGAGGACTTTTTCCCCCCTCCAGCTGATTATGCATCAATCACAGTGCCTACTTCAGCTCTGGATTTACATGACAACAACAGTACTTGTAGGTCATGATGCTCATTAAGGAGCACCTGCAAAAGAACTCAAGTGTCAATCAAATATCAACTGTGCTTTAGAGCCTGATCTCCCTCTTTGGCTGTACACACGGATGATTAAATAAATTGTGACACAAATGCCAAACCTTACTCAGAGTGGTGCACTTCTAGCTGAGGTTACAGAATTCTGACACAGCTACTTCTTTTGCAATCACATTTACAAGTCCTTGAGCATGCCAAAGGTAATCAAATTCATCTCAAAGTGAGCAAAACAATTTAAATTTTGAGTGCATCAGGGCTTTTCAGCTGTTGCTTAATTTCTAAACTTGCGCAATAAGTGGCATTTTGCCTTTATTGGCTCCTTCTTGAACATTTCTTTTTTAATTCGTCTTTTGAATCCTGTGTCTGTGCGTCCCCAAAGGATGTCACAGCAAAAGGAACCATAACAATGTGGAAGCGTTTAAAAGAGAGCTTAATAAGTTATTATGTGCCTGGTGTCTCATCAATAACATCTGCACAACAGTGTATTTCAGTGACACCCACACTTTGTTACATTTCTCTGTCTCTGTTGAGAAACAATAAAAATGAGATTTGTCCTCAGGGTAGAGCAGTAATGATGTGACTTTGTGTTATAAAACTTCAAATTGAGGTTGTTTTTGACAGAGTGTCAGGACAAAATAAGGGTTACATAAGTGCGCAGCAAAATCTTTGCAAAAGTGATGCCTGACAACCAAACTTTTCATTCAAACATTTTATTACAGACATAATACACAACCATGGCAATGTACTGTACATCATTTTACCAGATTTCCACCTACACACGGATCAGAACTAGTCTCTCAAAGTGAGAAAGTTTTGGCATCAAACAGAGCGGAGGAGGAGGGGTTTAACAGAAAGTTATGGGAGGGGGCGTTATGGTAAAAATGTGAAGCAACTGATTAAGCGCAGAGTGATTATAATAAAGATCTTTACGTTGTCCAAAGTAAAAAGTTTACATCTTAAATGATATTTTAAAACCTAATCCTGGTCACTCGTGTCATCTACTGAAAGTCCACTATATTGATTTGGATTTAATTTCCATTTGTAGGATTTAAAAAAATAACAACTACGTGGATGTCTCTATAAGATTAGGTCCTGCACACTTCTGTTCCATCAGTGACAAAACTCCGACAGCTTTCACAAACACACAACATAAGCTCTCTTGACATATGACCTCAGGATCATGTATCAAGAGACAAACAGGGACAAAACATGCTGTGTGATGATTCTGTTAGCTGTCACATCTAATCTGGACAGAAACGAATGGGATTCATGTCAAATTGTAGTAAAAAATATACGTATATATATAAGATGTTGTTGCTCAATCTTGACGGTTTTGATATAGGCTCAGGGATTATTTTATAAGAAGGATTCAACAGTACAATAAAATTACAGGATTTAATAAGCAGAATGACAAGGCGCAGAAATATGGCATGTTGGTCATGGCATAAACAGAATTAGCTCCACCAACCAGATTACACGACAGATAACCAGCAACAACTGAGAAACTCTCTAGCATGCCAGTGTGGCTGCATCCCTTATCTCCTCAGCATCCCCCTACTCCTCGCCATCCCCCAAGGGCTCCTTCTTCTCTGCCATTAGTTCAACTTCTTCTCCATCCCCCTCCTCACTCTCAGGGACCTTCTCCTCCTCCGCTACCACCTCTTCTTCTTTGTGTTCCTTCTCTTCCTTCTCTTCCTTCACCTCCTGCTCTTCTTGATCCATGTCAAGCTCTTCAAAAGACGAGCCACTGCCCATAGACTCGTTTGAGCCTCTGTCACTCTGGTCTCTGAACTTAATGTCTTCGTTGATGTCCACTACGTCCCTCAAAGGCAGGGATGAGGCCAAGGAGGCAGCTGTGGAGGCAGCCAGGGATGTTTCTCTGCTGTCCCAGGGAACACCTCCACTTACTGAGCTCACATCACTGTGAGAGTCTGCACCTGCGGCAACACAAAAATAGTGAATTACCTTCTGTAAGAGTGCAGAAAACCACATCAATTTGAAAAGCATTCATGGCTAGATTTACAGAGCAGATAATATGGGAGATGAGCATAAGAAGTGTTTCTGAAAAAATCTCACCAAATTTATTACATTTATTTGTGTCAACATCTCTGGGGTTAATAAAAGGCGGAGTATAGGCATTCTCAACAGACTTGAACAACTAAAGAACTTAAGAATTAGATTCAAATTGCTTCTTTTTTAATCCAATAAATGGGTTTCTGTGCAACGTCATCACAGGTATGCACGTGCAGCCAGGGGGCAGAAAGCGGACAGTTCTTATTTGTTTCCTAGCGGAGTCAACAGAGAAAGAAAATGACAAGGAGCTGTTGTGCTGTAAACTGCACAAATCGGCAAAACAGACAATCTGCAAACATTACGACTCTGCTCCTGATGTTAGAAACATCTAAAAAAAACGTCACAACCTGGTAAATTGAGTGAAATTCATGGACATTTCAGTAAGTGTGTTTTCTTTTTTTTTTTTTTTTTGAATTTGTGATGTAATGAAAACAAAGGGATTTTTCAATGAAATGACATTTTATTGCAACTGTGTCAGGGGGGAACTTGCAAACAATACAGCATCTTCATTGATATCAGTTCACCCCCAAGCAGGCTTTTGCCCCCTGGTTGCACGTGCACCTAGTATTGTTTGTACACAAGAAACCCATCTATTAAAACATGGACATACACAAAAAAGAGAGGAAGTTCTAGTTAAGAGCCTTGAGGTTCACCAAAGAAGCAACAATACATACACTTCACCGTGAGGTTTTTCACAGTGAAGACCAAACAATATTGATACTAGCATGACGACAGAAGATGACCATGATAGTGACCAAAAAGTTAAAGTTTCCTCGAGTTTTATTTAGATTAGATTAGATTAGATTAGATCAGATACAACTTTATCTATGTTCTTGGGAGTTCCCTCAAGGAAATTAAAGAAAAATTAAAATGAAAAAATAGATAAAAATGAGAACAGTTTACTTTGTCTCAGCTATGGTGCAGAAAAGCAGGGACACATTCAGCACTTTGCCGCTTCCACTGACAAAAGGAACAAAGCGTAAACACTCCTTTGTTTCAGTTTTTTTTTTTTTTTTACGGCAGATTTTTGTTGAAAATAAAACTATAGATTTGTGGTATTTTTTTCCAAAACACTTGGTAAATTTGCCCCTGATTAAGAACAAGATTGTATCCTTTTGGATATGTGTTATCAAACAATATCAAGATATTCGAAATTGGACAACACTGATCTAGATGAATGAAAAAAAAAGTAACTCAAAACTCAGTAATCATATGCTACAGAAAAAGCTGGGGGTCCTCCAAAGTTACTATGATTGATCCTGTGGACACCATAAATGCTTTTTGAATATTCCATACATTCAGTAGATGTCGGGAGAGGATAAGTTGGAACTCAATATTAACTTGTTGTTTCATTCAGGGGACCACTATTGCCACTCATATTAATCTTGGAGGAGCTATCAGTACACCTGCGACTTTTGATTAATTCAATGATATTTAATATTACTAAACTAAACATTATTCAACTCATTCTCCAAATAATCAAAGAAACACACTGAGCTAGATAAAGCTGCATTGTTGATGTTTACATCAGTTAAAAAAATGAAACAGAGAAAAAGCAACCTTACATCTCTGCTGTCCTTCAATCATAGCTCAGCTCTGCTTTTTTGTTACTTGAAATTTATCAAAGCACTTCTGGCAAAATGTAAGCTTTTAATTTTATATTTCAGCACATAAGGATTTGATGTGTCATCTGCACTCAACAGATTATTATTGTTAACAGGGAAGGATGTTTTAAATAAAAAAAGAACTCCCACTGCTTCTATGTATGTCATTTTCTTGTGCTGTGCCATTACATAGCTATCTATAGCTCTAGGGGGAGGAAGCGTTCTCTCTACCAACGTCTGAAGCTCATATCATATATCTGAAACCATCAAGAAGAACGTCCATTAGCCTAATTGATGGAGATTTTCTCACCCACATGATCAGCTTGCTAATGCTTTCAGACTTATCCTGATTTTAATTGGCCTTTGATCTATGGCTCCATGTGAACGGACGGCCATTCATTATCCTTAAATCCTGGCAAACAGGGACATAAATGTAATGTGCACAGCTGTAAAGCTGAAACAGAGTAATTTCAGGGAAAATTAACAGAAAAGTTAAAATTTATTGTGCACAAGGGTCAAAGGTTCATACACAAGGCAGCCCTAAGTGTGAGGAGAGTGAGGTTGAAGTTGAAATCAAGTCAAACAAGAGACAAATGTTACCCAAACCGCCTAAAATTACACCTTGAAAAATAGCATTAAAAATTATAAGGCACTTCACATTTTCAACCTACGCAGCAAACATTAGTCACTGAGCTTTCCACAGTTGGTCCTCCAGAAGAAACTTCAGAGGCACACAAGATGAAGAAAAAATAAGACAACCTATAAATAATCTGCGTTTTGTATGGCAGCTAATGTTCAAGCTGTGCAAGCTAAGGTGGATGACTCATCATCTGACTAAATTTGCTCAACAAAAAGCAGAATTAAAACGTTTGTTCTGCACTTAAGTTACTTCAATTTTTCAAAACTTTTCTTATCTGTGTACACACACAGTAGACAGTTTGTACACCACATTTCTTCAGCTAATAAAATACCTCTAAACATTAATAAAATCTGACTCGAGTTAATTTGACCATCCAAAAGGTCACTGAAATGCCCCTGTCCAAGCTATTTTCCCTCTAGCTTCACACCCCAAATAGATTTCATCCACATATCAAAGTGGGTTTACACCAAATGTATCTTTAGGGACCCAAATACAATAAACAGGGAGTCTCTGAGCGCTGGACCCAGGTCACTCTCCCTGTTCATTCTTCCCAAACTCAACATCACTCAGCAATCTAATTATCACATCTAACAGATCTCATCCTGTCTGCAGTGAAAAATGTTATAGATGGGAAGTCAATTTAGGTTGTTTATGAGATCTATAAAAAGGCCTGTTGATTAGCTAGCACATCTTAACAAAACCTTTGGGGACTGTATTTGGTGGAACAGGTCCAGTGTAAATGTGATCTGTCTCAGAGGTATTGCTTTAAAATGCAGATTGATGGACTAAACATGGGGATTTTTTATTATTAAATTTTCTGTTGAATCGAAGCATTTATCCCAGGGAGACTCATTTTTCAATACAAAAAATTCAACTGAAAATAATGGATCTCTTTTCTTTACCTAATTGAGTGGACTGCCCCAAAAATACTGGCTAAATTAGGCCCATTGGGAAAATTAGCAGTGACTCAAGATTCCTCAAACTGTTTGAAATAAAGGTTCAGAAATTTTTAAGAGATACTGAAACACAGACATAAAAATGAATCTGATTTTTTTTTTTATCAGAGACCCTCAAACTGCTTTACATTGGATCCATCATTCTTTCACTTACATAGTCACACCCTGGTGGTGGTACAGTAGCTTCGTAGTCACAGCTGCCCTGGGGCAGACTGACGGAAACATGGCTGCCAGTTTGTGCCTACGGCCTCCCCGACCACCACCACATGACATCCATAATCATATACCAGTGGAGGACACACAATGGGAGCAAGGTGGGTGTCTTACCAAGGACACAACGGACAGACTCTGGATAGTGGAGAATTGAACCACAAACCTTAAGAGTTATTGGGTGACCTCTTTACCTCCTGAGCTACTGCCACCTTCAACTCATGTCTGAGGGTTGCTGAGAGATCAAGTCTAGATAAATAACCAGAAGAGAGTGACAGTGACAAAAGAATTACCAGGATGTCAGTACAGACACAATTTGGATATTCTTGTCTGAAGTAGGGCCTCGAGGACTGAGTAATTAGGGGTGCTAAACATAAAAATATGTAGACTGACTGAGAATTTGTGAAACTTTGTTTCTAAGAGTACAAATAACATAAATTGAAAAATAGCAAAAAGTACATTCATTCTTTAAGTAGCTGAAGTTAGTGTTCATATTAAGTTTATTCATATGACTTCAGGAAATAACAAAAATGAACGACATTCAGAACAGAATTTGTAACAGAGAACAAAACAAACGCAGGATTAAATTTTTCCACCACTGTGGGAATATTAATATGGCGTAAAATCCTTTTTTTGCTCTATTTATCTGTTTTTATATCTCTTATGTTAAATCACCAGTGTGTTGTTCAAACTTTATGATTTTTGTCTTTGTCGTCTTTTCATTTCTCTCCTATGTGTCTCTTAATTTGTAAAGCACTTTGTAATCCTGTTTTGAAAAGTGCTATATAAATAAAGTCTAATATTATAAAGCCGAAAACATACAGGATCCATATTAAGCGCGTTCCATATTTTCTCCGTAGAGCATCATTGGGTATCGCATACATACAGGATGCATATTTGGAGCAGGGCAGCAGGGTAGTGCAGCCCCGGTCAGCTGGGCTCAGCATAGTGAAAAAAACATGCTCACAACAGGTTGTTTTGCCTTTCTGTGGTCTATTTCCTGCTAATTTGGATATAATTCAGTGACTGTTGAGCCTCTAATATATGTAAAAAGAGTATGGGAACACGAGTATGTATGTTTTCGGCTTTAAGTGTTATTAATATTAGATGTGCACTGCGATCAAACTGAAGTGTGGAACAAATTCTATTTTTTTATAAACTAAAGATATTAAGGGCCTTATAAGAGAGCTTAGTTAAAAGATTTCAGGCCTTAAACAAACAATAAACATTCAAACACATGACAGGATGATTCTTCTTGTATTTTGGCAAAATCTGCTTCCTTTGTCATATTTTGCTTTCAATCAAAAAGTTCAAAAAGTGCTTTCAAAGTTTTTTCAACCCCACTAAAAGCAGATGCATTTATTCACTTGTTTTCAGGAGCATTAAAATAAGAGGACAAAAACATGGGTGCATTTTTATTGAGAATTATCAGTAAATGATGTATATGATGCAGTAAATACAATCACATGAGTTATACATGCATGTGCCTATATAATACATTTATGAGTGGACCATAGATATAACCTTTGTAGGGTTTTTTTGTAGCTGGAACTACTATGCACCCTATTAAGTGATTTTTCCTGATGAACTATTTACTACAAGAGTGTTAAACAGGGTTAAAATGAGTCTCCCTGGCCTGTTTCACTCTGAGGCTGGATTAACAAGCTCCTCTCAGCACAAACACTGGCTGCTGTGATCACCAGATTATCACGAAAATGTTTTCACTCTATCAGTGTTTACCGCTGCCAGTGTGTGGTAAAAGCTGGACAAATGTTTCAAGCACTGCCAGAGTTTATGGTCACGATGGTCTATAATGTGGACAGTTGAGTTGAGAGATAAAAAGTGGAAGCCAATCTCCCAGGTGCCGGGGTGGGATTTCCACAGTTGGCTTGTCAGGAAAAGCTTTGCTTCCTTGATTGATCCGTCTCTCATTAGGAAAGCTCAGCCGTGGCTGAGACAGCATAAACACACACACACTTACAAACTATTATTAAAACTATTCTAATTCTGACTACAGTTATTAAACCCTTAAATTCATGTAATATGCACACACAAACTCATTAACACTTAGATTAATGATGCAGCAGCTTTGTCCACAAATAGTGCAAACATACACCCTCACATCTGCTTTCAATTTGCTGTTTAACTTACAACACCTGAGCTGGCAGTGCTGAAGTGCATGCCTCAAAAACAAACAACAATACTTACTTAAGGGTGGGGTAGGCAGGAATGCATTAAAGAAGCATCTTTTTTGTGGTGTATATACAAAAAAGCTTTTAATATCAGTCAATAGCTATTAGCTATTGATGACATTTGGTATTACAACAATATTGCTGTGTTTTGTTATGTCTGTATAGTCAACATCTTATTTTTGAGCGGGCCACTCATTCTGACTGTAAACAAAACCGTTCTTCACCTCCCCGGCCTGACTGGTTGTGAGGCAGACACTGCTCCCTCCATGTCCTCGAATAATGTGTGAAAGCCCATGTTCTGTGTAATAAATTTCTAAAGTTGGTCCACAGCCCCATAAGCTTTGCTGGTGAAGGCGGGATTTATGACCTATTCTGCAGCCCATCAACAGAGGGTGCTGTTCTTGGAGTGGCTTCACCCAGCGAGGAGGCAGACTCTGTCCATTCTTTATACAGTCTATGGTTTTAACAGTATGTATGTTGAGTGTTTACAAATACAATTATAATAAAGACATTGCCCATAGCATAAGTAACATGTTTTTGCACTAAGAGATGCAGCAGATTCCAAGTTTAAGCCAAACAGCACATAATATGCATCAGCCTACCTCCACCCACTCTGTCCCATCAACCCGACACCGTTTCTCTCTCTGGTGATTTGTGCAATGGCAAAGTCAATATTGCCACAGGTTCAGCCCACAGGTCCAGCAGGTTTGGAAGAATAGAAGCACCAGAGAATACATTGTGCTTGAAGAAACACAGTTGTAGTGACAAAACAGTAACAGTGTCTCCTATAATACACGTCCTCAGTGACCATGGACAGATTGAGGGGTCAGTAAAGTGTCTGACTAAACAAGAATTGCCACATAATTCTCTTTTGTTTGCTCTGTACTGGCACAAACTGCATACCTAATGGAGCAAACACAGCATTTCTAAAAAGTTTTCTTAAAACTACAGTGAACAAACTGGCATTTCTTTAAGTGTGTGCAATTGTGATGTAACGGAGAGCTTTTTTGGCTGATGGTATCAAGTGTTACTTTTCTTGGAGTCGCTTGGACTACGAAAAAAAAAAAACTGCAAACTTTTTTTTACTCTTGGAGATGCCTCTGATTTCCCTTCTGTGAAAACAGTTTTCCAGCCATGGTTACACTTATGACCTTTAATTCTTAATGAGGTGGGTTTTATGATGCTGATACTGAGGTGCTTAAGAGAGGAATGTTGGTAAACAACCAATATGAGGGACACCTTTAATTGGCTGTTCTGTCGGGGTTGAACAAACTGGGCATTCATCCACATTAGGTACTAATGGAGTGAAAAATATCTGAGCAAGCTACTGAAACTCTGTACAACAACCATTTTAGCTGTCATTTCAAAGTCTACATATGGATATACAGTGATTTTTATTCTTATTTTTTGTTTTTCTTTAATATATTTCCACTTAATCTTTGGAAGTATATTGTTGTACTTCCCTATCCCTTGTTTTTTAGGCTGCTATAACAATTTCCCCCTGTGACAGATCAATAAGGTTTAATAGAGTATATCTCATCTCATCTTATCTTATCTCATTTTATCTCATCTCGTCTTATCTTATCTTATCTTTTCTCATTTTATCTTATCTCATCTTATCTCATTTTGTCTCATCTTATCTTATCTCATCATATCTCATCTCATCTTATCTCATCTTAAACTAGTGGAAATACAAATATGATGTTCAGACAAGCCATCTAAGTGACATGTCATCCATCCAGTTTCTCTGAATGTAATAAGTTTATTGAGGCAATTTGGCCTGCATCCCTTGGATTACAAACAAACTGAGAGCTTTCAGGCTAACTTGCACTAACAAATCTGCTCTGACATACATCCTACATTTAGGATACTTCAAAAGTAGCAGCAGTTGTTGCCTCAGATTAAAGCTCCTGTCACGGACTTAATTGATAAAGAAAGAAAGCTGTTTCAGCAGCTTACACTTGGTCACTTTAGCTGACATCTGCCCTGCAGCAGTGATTTGAAACCTAAAAAAAAAATGCAGAAAAATCAGTCTATTCACACAATTACCTGTAATGTCAGTTCCCCTGTCTTCATCAGAGTCCTCTTCTTTAACATCTGTCTTCACCTCCTCCTTCATCTCTGGAACAAAGAAGTCTGTCTGACGTGCCAGAGGAACCATGTAGTTGGTGACATCTGCACTACAGATCTCTATGGTTGGGAATGCAGATAGTTTCCTCTCCTGTGAGAGCAAGAGACACAAAGAGGACACTTAGATGTAGACAATAAGGTTTATAAGAAAAAGAAAAAAAGGCAACCTAATGTCAACATGGAAAATTTGCTGTAGTGCTCTCGTACCAAAAACTACACAGCTACTATGAGTATTGACTGCTGTTGTGCGCTGAAACCTTCAAAGAAAAAGAGGTTTGAATCAGACATTTTAATAAAGCAGCTCCACAAGCTCTAATCAAGAAGGTGAGAAGTGATAGTTAAATAAAGACAACCACCTGTTCAAATTATAACTTGGTCCAGTCATAAAACTAGGCTCAAAATTTACAGTGAAAATCTTGGCAGTTCAGATCCTGCTATTCGGTTTTATCAACTACTTCACACCCACACAATTGGACAGATTCAGGCTTGACCAAAGTACATGGTAAGAGTGGACTCTGGGCTTGTCCAACTAATCTTTTGATAGTTAAATGGCACATGAACTGCAAAGTAGATGGTTTCCATTGAGTTTCTTTATCGGTTGTAGGAGTACTCACAGTGTAAAACATATGAACCCATTCACTTTGAAACCCACATGTGTGTTCACAGCACAAAAGCCATTTAAAAAAGTACAACATGTTTCAAGGGTAGGAAATAGATCTACTTGCTCTTGTGTTAAAACTGTCGACTTTTTGCAGGGGAAGTAGGGATCCAACAGCATCTTTACTCTTTGATGCAAGACAAAAATGTGCCAACAATATGTGTTGCCTGTTTGATAGCAACACAAATGTCTTCATACAAGAGGATTTTTGTTTCTGATGATCCTTCTAAATACATTCAGATTGATAGTATTTGACTTTTGCTTGAGTGAAGATTTTTTCAAAGAAAAATTTCACACAGATTCTCAGCCAACTCACTGTAAAAATTAAGAAATTCACAACCTTCTCCACCAGCGCCTCTTACATCTGGGTTAAAACATGAATCCAGTCTTGAGTGACTGGAACTGAAAATAAGGAAAGAGTCAATTAAAGTGATGTTTTTTGATGAGCAGAGTACCTCAGTCAAGTAGAAAATATCAGATGGGTTTCTTCAGAGTGCCTTCACTTTGCTGACATAACACTATATATTGGTCACATTAATATGAACATGCTCTACCATGTGATGCCATTAAAATTGCATAACCCCATCCATGCGTCTACATTTGCACCCTCCAGTGGTCTGCACAAAAAGTGGAGAGTTTATAAATATTATACCATATTTTATCTAAAGAGAACATTAACCTTGCATAATTTCATCCCATGCTTTCATTTGGCTCTCACGGGAAGGCCTCTAGTCGACCATCATCGTAAAGCTAGCAGAGGCCTGAGTGAGCCGTACAGGACGGTCTCAGCTATGATTGCTTGCAACGTGATGGATGAATTTTTTAAAGTATGAGCTATCGTGAGGAAAATTTCCTTCGCTTATTCCAGGAGGTCTGTGACTTATTTTAGCTGTTAAATTACCACAGAAATGTTAATCCAAAGTATCCTCTAGTGGCTAGCTGCAGTACAGTCATAAAGCCTGCCATGTTAACAGATGGGACATGGGTGAAACAAAAACATTCATCTACATATCAAATAAAATTTCCTCAAACATGCTCTCTGTTGTGATCATTATTTCAACTATGATAGTTTTCACTTTAATGAGTGATTCACTCCTGACCAGTTACTTGATGTTTGAAGAAGACCTGTACAGTATTCATCACCCAATTAGCAGATAGAAGAGGCACCAAACAGACTTTCAAGTATTTTGGCTTCATGGGGCATGCTGAGCGTGTTTCCTTCATATTGATTTTATTAAATATAATCTTGTTCGCAAAAAATGTGTCAAAGAAGCATTTCAGAAAGTGTCCTAACTTTGAGATAGCACCTTCTCCTCCCCTCATTATTCTTATGTAAGCATTGCTGCACATTTTCCTAATTTCTCTAAAGAGTTATAAAACTTCTGACTAGTATGCACGGATGTAATTTGTTAGTTTCAACCGTCTGAAAACAATGTTACTTTATGCTACAGCAAACCAATACACGTCAGGCACCAGGACTAAATGGTCACTCAAGCCAAAAACTGGTTTCCCTCAGTTTGGACCGCCCACAAGGTCCTTCATCGGCTCTGCCACAGGTCTGCTTTTTGTGTGTGATTGGCTATCCCTGCCGTCAGTCATTCCATGCCCACCAGACTAGTATTTTGCAAGTTGCTCATAAGAGTCAGTCCATAAATATCACTATCTGCCAAAGTAAGTTTACAGGAGGGCAGTGTTCATTTTCCCTCCATAACGCCACATTCATCAGAGGTTTCATTTACATCTCTGTATTAGGTTTGTACTTCCATCCACCCACTGGCCGTATTGCCTCCTCTGTCACTGTGTGTGCAAGTTGTGCTGTTTGCTAGGCTATATGTCTCAACAATACTCAACAGTACTGAAGTCACACGTGTGTCCCCCACCTTTGAAATCAAAATTTCCCCCATGTATATGTAGTATCTAGTATGTCTTTCAGTTAAATACATGTGAAAATTTTGGTGATCGTGTTTTCCATCAGGGCTCCAGATATACAATTTACAATAATCTAATTGAACTGCACTTCACTGTGTGTAGTCAAACAGCTTCCCTGAAAGATATACTAATTTCCCTTAGTAACATTTGTCTTCAGTAACTCCTCATACTGTCTGGACTACAATAGTTCCCCCACGTCGCTCACATGTCTGAGATCCAAACACTCAAATAAGTTAATCTTTCAGACCTCAAAAATACTATCTGAACATCTGGGCCTAAAGTGACCAGTCTGGATCTCTGAACCTCCTCTCTCTTCTATGGGCAATACTCTTTTTAATACCACCTGAGGAAACTACAGGTATTATTTACATATAGTTGCTGCTAGAAATATGTCCTTTTGTTGACTGGTTCTTTGTTCAGGATCTCTTGTGGTGGCTGTATCAGCATGTTAACAGATCAAACCCCTCACACCCCACAACACTTTACATTTCCTTTATTTGAATTTTTATGCTCACATGGGTTGGCCTCTCGCTGTGTGAGTTTTGCAGGAATTTCAGAAATGTCTCCTCACTGAATTTAACAGAATTGATAGACCTGCAATATTGCCGTGGTTGTGCGACAAATGGGTCTATTCTGGTCTTTTCCGAGAGGGCAAGAAACATATAGGCTGGTCTTATGGCAGTCTCAGAGCTCATTTTTCCTGTGGGTCAGGGTGATCTAGGCTGATTGATTGGTTTTAATCTAATCCTCTGCAAAATAAGACTGTAGGAGATGGCATGAATCACCTGGCTGCTACACACAGGGGTTCCAGCCCCGGGCTGCCTATGCAAATGAGTACCCATCTCCTTGAACCTGCTCCGATAATGAGCTGGGAAATGGAGACAAAGACAGTTCACTTTACAGTAGGGACGCACACATGCATGTCTCCAAGGGATACTGTCACAGATAAGAGACTGAAAACAGATTGCGAGAAAGATGTGTACCAATGTGTGCAATACTGACGTTAACATTTAGCTTGTTATAACAGTCATAGTCTCTCAGTGTGAAAGATTTTTAACTCCGGTGTCAGGAGGAAGGATACAATTTCCTTATATCAGCTGGAGTGGAGAAGCCAATCATAAAAAATAGCCTTATATTCATCTTTGGTAGAAATGAAAACCTGAATTTTTTCATGAATTTATGGACCACACCCTACAGTATCTGTTTTTTTCCTTGCCTCAGGAAATGATGGATTTGCTAAAGACTCTGATTTTTCTTTTGTTGCTGGACATATTTAGTGACACTGACCATTTAGAGAGACACTGAGTGGATTATGAGCTATTGCGGTTCTTACTTAAAATAATTTAGTGACAACATTTGGTTGGATAGCTTTTTTAAGGGATTCATGAAACCTGAGAAATGTCTGCATGCTAAGTTAAGCTCACACATTGTTTACATTTATTTTAAAAACTAAACCATTCATTAAAATATTGAGAGAAACAGTCACTGTGTCATTTTTAATCCGTGTTTTTGATTCCTTGTGTATGTCTGTGCGCATGTGTGTGATCCAAATCAGGTATTGGCTGAATAGGGAGCATTAATATATTTACCAAATAATAAAACTGATATCAGAGTAAAAGCAGATAAGAACTAAGAAAGTTAAAACTAGTTTACAATGAAGGTGTCAAGTTTACAGTTTTCTTTCAGTGTGAGCTTCCAATATTTGTAGCTACATGTGTACCTTAACACAAAAATTTTATGTTTCATTCTGAGTATTTGAATAATTTGTCATTGAGATTTCATTAACACACCATGTTTGAGATGATGAGTTTCTTCTCAGTTAAATGATGTTTTGGCAAAATCTTCAACTTATACAGTGCCACATAGATATAAAATTTGGTTTTATTGGCAGATTTGCATATCAGAGGATCGACTGGACTTTTGGCCTGTTGCAATTATTAATATGCAGTTATGGTATTCATTACAGTTCCATTTTAATATCCTCAGTTTTGACTTTTGAATAATTTAACACAGCTCTCTGGCTAAGGCAGAGCCTAATTTGAGAATATCAGGTTCTTCTTATCACTCTTAATGGCTGACATGAATGATGGAATAAAATTGCTTCAAAAAAGATGATCATTTTTCAACTTGAAACAACTCCAGGTGAGATTTTTTAAGCATCTTTCCAACAAGAAGAATTTAAATCATACATATCAACCAATTTCCTCAAAGACCTTTAAAATAGGCTTTAATATAACTGTCCACAAACCGTTATTTGATATAACAGTGGCAGCATCTTTCCTTCATGTAGTTTAAGCTAACAATATAGTCAAACTTTTTAATCACAATGTTATTCTTTCCTCATTTTCACTCTACCGATCTGAACCAAACCTATGCTGTTCTCTGACATTACAGCAAAGACAGGAAATAAAAAAACACTCTTCCCAGCATCTCATGGTAACTGCTGTCTTGGCTGACAAACCAATACTTAAAAACTATCAAAATCTATTACAAACTTTTTTAAGAGGTCTTATTTTTAGAGAGTAGCTACATTATGTTGACCAGTCATCCATATTTCCCCTCATCAGGGAAATGAGCTAAGAAGTAGTTGACGGATTAAGTGTGCCATCATAATTTAAACTCACTCTTGGCCTCAGTGTTTTAATTGTACTGCAAACAAGTGCTTTGTTTCCTCCCTCTGCCCTTTTCTACTCTCCGCCTGCATGTCTGTGGTCTTGATTGGTTTCTATCTATCTCCCTATAGTCTATCATAAAGTCAACATGCATCCACTTAACCTGCGTCTGTGTCTAGTAGCTGCCTGAATTGAAATGCGCTCCCCTGCAGGACTCATAGAAATGGGACTGAACCCTCTGAAAATGCAGATCAGGTGTTCCTCTCTGCTGCCTGAACAGTCCCAATCATCACAGTCACACTTGTTCTATCAAAACTGATCCATCAATATGGGCAAAATATATTTTGATCACCAGTGTTTTACACAGTCCATTACCTCTCCCTCACCCTTATAATGGCTCTAAAAATGGGTCACTCCCATGGCCTTACTCTCCATGTTATGTAACCTCCCTCTTAAAAATTAATGACCTTGCAGCACTCAAGTGTTTAGTCTATTCAACTTAAATTGGTGGAAAATCAGTGGCTGAAAAGAAGTGACCCTAGCACCAAAATAAATAGCTTTATTCTTTCTCCTTGTGCAAATATTGCACAAAAATATAGACACATTTGTTTTTATTAGTGTTTGCTCCTCCCCTCTTGTCTGTCACTGGATTCCTTTCAAAAGAAAGTGACTGAAATTCATTTTACTCAGCACCACACCGAGGATTCAAAGAAATATTTCATGATGAAGACATTTTTTGTTGGAGTGTATTTTGAACTTTAAAGTTTAACCTGTATTGATCAACAGTTTGGCGATTTTGCTCTTTTTAGCAGGTGCTGGGATTTCTGATGTGTTTTTAGCAGTGACAACTTTTTAAATTTTCTGTATTCGCATCTGACGGAAAAAAGAAACAGCCAATATGTTTTAGTTTAAGTATTGTTCTAACTGTAGGGGACATTTGAGCTTTTTCTTTGAGCCCACTGTGATATCTGCACTGGACAGCAGCTGTTGGCACAGCATGAGGTAGCTTGAAGATGTTTTATGAGGCTGTCATAGTTTCGTATAACATTATTCATGGCCTGTCAGACCACCTTGTTTATTTTTGCTGTATAAACGTAATCAATAATAAAACAACCTTTAGGAGTCAGATCCTAATAGACTTATGCTACTACAGTTTTTAACAACTCTGCATTGACTTCATATTTACAAGATAAAAGCTGTCGCCATGGGTATGAATAAAGTTGTCCAGCATGTAATTGATTCTGTTACATGTACAGCATATACACTTCTATGAATGCATGGAAACCTTGACAGTAAGAGGTGAAAAAATATAACTTTCCTTGTAATTAATTATGAAAATGCCCATTCAAACTGCCCATAAGGCAGTAAAACAGAAAGTGAACTTGCAATTAGTATAAAAACTTAGTTTTATAGGTAAGAAACAGATCAAAAAAGATATTTCCTTGGCTTTCAGTTGTTGTCCTGCTACTATGAGGCATAACTAAAAATACTAACCAAAGTGATACGAAGCCTTCTCCTTGGAGGGGTTAGTTTCATCTTACATATGATTAATGCAAAGAGACAGCTTAGTATATTCAGGGGCTAATAGTCTGAGAGAAAAGAGAAACACAAGAAAGTAAGTAAATATGTGACACAGTGACACATCCAGCTATATGGTAATAGTCCTTTAACAGGTCAAAGTTCAAACATTAATTTTGCTGATGTGCCCTCGACTAAGACGCTGTCGCACCTGTTTCCCCAGCATCCCCCTGCTGTTGAACTTTTCCCATTACTGATTACAGGCAGTAATCTCCCACAAAATCAATAAAAAACACATTTTTATTATGGCCACTCTCTGAGTAGCCTCTGAGGGAAAATATAATTGTTATCCTTACGGTCAAAATGAGACCTATAATTTTAACAATGCCAGAATTCAAACAGTATTTAGAGACCAAACAGTAATCATGAAAAAAAAAAGACCTCAGAGAAAAATAGAAAGAAAAAAAAACCTCTTCTTTGTCATTGTCCAAAAGTTCAATGAGTCTTAATGGGATTTTTATTTTTAAAAGAAAACAATTTGAGAAGAAAATCATTCCCGCTAAAGTCACCTCATTTAGTTGGCTGGTTCATTACATGCTGATGTAGCTGGTCCTCTGGGTAAATCATGAGTGATTAGATGGACAGCCTGGACTGTTTTAGGACTACAGAAACACTTGGATTTGGTCCAGCTTTTTAAGAAATACTGTATTACATGTAGTATATCTCTGGTAACTCATTATTATTTGAGTATAACTATTAATGCTTTTAAAGTGATTTAACATTTATTGTGAAATACAAAATATTTCAGTCCAATTTCACTTTTCAACATATCACCCTGCATTTCTTACACTTCCAGGCAGTGATTTATGTTGTGAGAGATGTGAGAGTGGGGTGGGAACCCTGTTACAAATATAATATGATTGTGACAAAAAAAAAAGAATAAATGTGGGAGGAATAATATATTATTGAATATTATGTTTGCACTGAATAGAAGTCCCAGAGGCTGTCAAAAAATGATTTATTATGTTTGTCTGACTGACACTGTACTTTTGAAATTTATGTAAACACGTCAGTCAGACTGAAATCACACTACAAAACAGAACTAGACTAAACTAAACCTGGACAGAAGAAGACATGAAATAAAAAACGTCACTTTCACACTGAACACACAGAAGTTACAGAGCTGTAAGGTTATTTGTGTTTTCATCATCGGACCTACAGCGCAGACTCCTGCTGCGTTTGCTAAATGTTTTGGTATGTGGTGTAAAACGTCAACTGTGAGTTAGCCTAATCGTAACAAGCTGAAAGGGAGCATGTCACCTAGTGCTGGACGATAATTCGATAACAATATATATTGATCGATAGACGTGTGGTGCGATAGAAAAAAAACGGGTCGATAAAAAGTTCGATAGAAAAACACAGTTTCCCTTTCTTTTTCATCATAGCCTATCATGTAGCTTTTACTACAGTCATTACTTCCTCCCAACCAATCACAAACGCAGACCCAGGTACGCTACGGCACCAAGCCCAGCCCCTATCAAACCACAACAGACAGCACGTGTATTAGAAAAAATGATACAGCAAGGAGAAGGAGGACATTGTCCCGAAAAAAGGTTTCAGTAGTTCACCAGCATGGCAATGTTTTGGTTTTTAGAAGTCTGACAAAAAGCGAACAGCGGTCGTTTGCAAAATTTGCAGAGAATTAGTAAAAACCAAGTCTGGTAACACAACCAACTTGTTTAACCATCTAAACCGATCGCACCCGCAGGAGTACGAGCTGTGTCGGCCGCGCCGCGGCTCCACGTCATCGTCGGAGGAATCCTCTGGAACCGCTGCCAGCACCAGCACAAAGCAAGTGAAGCAGACCAAACTGGACTTCGTTTCTTGCCAAAATACGACAAAGCGTCCGAGCGGCATAAGGACATCACCCATGCAGTAACATGCTCCATAGCGAGGGACATACTGCCAATAACTACCGCTGAAAAGCCTGGCTTCGACCAGCTTCTAGCCACTCTCGACCCGCGATATGAAGTGCCCGGCCGCAAGTATTTCTCAAACACAGCGCTTCAGGCATGAAAATGGGTCAGGGGTTGAAAAGGTGAGAATGGTGCGGAGGAAATACGTTCAAATGAGCTCATATTTTACAAAGACGCGAGTATTTGGATCATGGCTACTAGCAGGGGGTGCATTCGGCAGGGGTGCATTCTACGACACAACACCGGCGTGGATAAGTCCTGCTTCTCGTGCTTAGTTTGTGTATTAAGTCAATCACATGATAATTAAAAATAAATAAATCTCCCGACCCCGGGAGAAATATTTCAGTGTTCAGACACCAGGCTGTGGGCAGTTTCCCACACAGTTAAAACTGGTAGTATGCTATTCCCACCTAAAGCTATTCTGTTTATTTATATATTTGTTTGTTTTGTTTATTTTCATCAAAAGACTATTTAAATATTTATTTATCAGATTTTCTGGTCACTTTAGTCTTTATGTTTGTCAGTATTTACTGACGTCACTCAGGCCACTTAAGTTGATTTCTTTTTTTTTTTAGTTCTTTTTTTAAAAACTTTCAGTTGTGGTAAAATAAAAAAGGTGGTTGAATAAAGGTTTGAATTTGAATTCAGTGCTTGTGTGTTCTTTATTAAAAGTAGGTCATTCAGCAATAGCATAAAACATCCAGGGCTGCAATTAAAATATATGTTAAATAATTATAATAATTATATCGATAATTATCGATATCGATCAATATGATTTATTTTTTATCGATATGCTTTTTTTCTATATCGTCCAGGCCTAATGTCACCACCTTCCATAGTGGAGGCTTATGCCAATAAATTGATTTTTGCTGGTGCTTGTAGCCTGAGGCAAGGACAGTAGTCGAATTAAGTCACCCGCTAGAGCTATAACAGTAGCTTGACTTAACTATGCATGAAAATGCACTGAGCTTTCCTTTTGGGAATACCAGCAGACAGCGCTGGATTTAAAAAAAACGTCAAGCCATGATCAGGTCAGTCCCAGAGACACTTGGGAAAGGGTCTATTTAATGAACTAACTTCTTACTCATCAGGTGGATGTTAAAGACTTGACAATCTGGCACTGTTCTGTACGTGGATCAGGTACTTGACATATATGCTGCGTAGGAGGGTTGTTGAAAATAATCATTTTTCAATGCATTGCAATGCAGACATAAACAATTCTGCATCATTGCAGTGATAGGACATAATCCATTATTATTATAACTGTTATTTTTGATTAAAAACAAGCATAAAGCAAGTTGGATCACAACAACAGCAACAGCTTTACGGCAGCCAACGGTAACCCTGTAGGGACATACTCTTGCAAAGAGCGATAGCAAAAAAACAAGGAACATGGCAGACAGCAGCCACTAAAAAATGCTCTTGGTATGATGAAAGCGGACATCTGGGCTCATTATGGATTTTACAAACTCCTTAGAAAGCAAGAACTCGACAAGGCACTCGGTGAACAAGATATGTCATTCAAAATCAAATACTGTAATCTGAGGAACCACATCAGCCATTTCCACCCAGAGAAGTTTACGCCTGCTAAATACTACTGTTAATTTGCATGTTACATTTAATATGTTCAGACTTCATTCTTTTTTGTGTTCATTTCTGTGATGTTTCCCACATCCAAAATTGTTCTTTCTTGGAGCAAAAGACAGTTGTTAAAGGCCGTAGCTAGACTGCAGAGTTAATCATAAATACAAGAGGGCTACATCTATTTATTTTTGGTTAACTATGTAAAGGCATTTATGTTAAAATTGATTTCTATTTCTAAACATTCTTAATTAATAAAGACAGGGAGTTGAAATGTATCTGACTGCTTGCTTGTCTTCATTGTTGCAAAAGTAGATTTCCTGTTACATAAGAATTCAGGATGTAACCTGTTGTAATCAATCATGATGCATCCCAATATTAAATCGGATCCAATCCAAGACAGAATCATGAGACCAGTGAACATGCGCAGCCTTACTGTGTAGACTCTTTAAGTTTGTCTATTTATGTAAATAAAAAGGTACAGTGAGTGTTTGCCTTTTTGTGAGGTAAGCCATTGAGGACAGCAGGAACAGACAGACAGAGGGTCTCATGGGGGGATTGCTGTGTCTGTGACCTCTCTGGCAGCTGCTCTACGAGGACAATACACAACAAACCTCTCAAGAAGCAATACCAATAACGGGAAAGTAAACACAGACAACAAAGCCATAGCTGCAAAAGTGAACAGAGAAGTGTAATGGAATTCTTTTTTTGACATTTTTAGGAGTAATGATGAATCAAAGCTTCTGTGAGAGATTTTGGGTTCGTGATGATTTTTGAAGCCCCTGTAGGCAAAACGGTTCCCCTTGTCCTATAGGAAAATCTTGACCCAAATGTGTAATCTTTGTGAGGTAAATGCGAAGGAGGACTGTTTCTGCGCGTCCTTCTTCAGCCACCTATCAAGTGGCTAGAAGAAGTCAAACATTACAGAAATAGTCGATAATGTACCTGACGGTCTTGTTTGCTCTTGTATCTCTCATTTAGAGGCGAGAGTATGGATTTTAGTCCCGATGCATGACACATATCAAACTGGTAGGTCATTGGTTGATAAAAGTAAATTTCCATTATTGTCCATTATTCAGATAATAAAACCAACTGATTAAAATTGTTTTCATTTACTTATTGCAACTAGACCTTACAAAACAGGTGGCAAAATGCAGTCGTTACATTCAGAGATGAACACACACAGCTGTGACAAGCTGGTGAGAGAGCAAACATGGTACCACCCCTGTGAGGATCTTTTTACTGTTTCAGAGGAGGCTAACATGACTGCAACTTGCAAAACATGCCAAAAGGAGGAAAATGTCCTCAAATTGCAACTGCATTAAAGCAGTTTGGCATTACAAAACAACACCAAAGCTGGAATTGGTGCCAATAAATAATCTAGCAATAGCAATAAAGTGCTAGAGTGTTGGTTTGAGGATGGTGGAAAATTTGGTAATGGTAGAAAAAACAGAAGCTAAAGCAGGTAATGATCAAATCACTGAATTTACAGTACCTCATGACCTAAGATCTCACCAGCTGATAGGTGAGATAAGTTTATGATACCACGCAATTTTCCTACCTGTCCTGTGGGGTGTGAAGAGTGAGAACTTTTCTTTGTTTCCTGTGTAATCCATACTGTAAATCCCCAAAAATGTAATACTTTTCAAGCTAAGCTAAAAACTTTTACTAGCAGCTGTTCAAAAAAATGAATCCTGAGATGCAGCCCTACAAACTCAATCTGGATTTGGAGCCACTGTGTAACTAGAGCGTTGTACTGACACCAGACATAGATCTTTCATTCTGTATGAAGTGTGTCATGTCCTCTCAGCTTGGATAAGTAACATATACCAACAATGTTCCACATCCAAATGTGGCTTGAAATACATGACACCAAGAAGCCATTTTCAAAGACCAGTGCATTAGCTCCGCTCTTGTGTTCGTGTTTCATCTTAAACTCTGTTTGTGTTCAGCTCAGAGGCTCTTCTGGCTGATGGCCAGGAGGAAAAAAAGACAGGAGACAACGGAGAATCTCATTCTCAAGAGGAAAACGGACAAACAAAGCAGAGAAGGAAACCATAGCAAATACCCAAATATCAAGAGGTCTAACTGGAGCCCATCCAAAAAGAAACAGTTTTACTGTGTTTTGTTTCAGGCAGTTTCAGGAATACGCAGTGGGATTCCATGGTTTCACTGTAATAAAATTTGAGAAGTGTGTGCTTATGGCATGATGTATTTCTGAAAATATACTATAGACCCTCCAGTAGAGTCGGTTCCTATTCCCAAGGATGTGGGGGAAATATGCACCATCACTCTGATAAAAACCTGAAGAAAAGACACTGATTTACATGCTGAAACAAAGTCCATTCAGGAACCCCAATGCAATAATAAAAATAGCTGTGAACACTGGCAGTTACTGAACACTCTCCTCAATCAACAATATAAGATTCCCTCAAGCTGAGAGACTTGAGCTCACTTGTTTCGATTAGAAATGCACCATCCTGCTCTTACTTTCACTCCTGTTCATTATTCCCTCCACCAACACATAAAACTCCGCTGGGCACTGAATGTCCTGTGGTGTTCCCTAAGAGACGTTGGAAGGTATTCTAGGAGATTCAGAAAATCACAGACTTAAGTAAAAAGAGGCACGGCAGGCACCACTTCATCACAAACCCTGGGATTCTTCTTACCTGAACAATGGAGGATTTATGGGAGTGGATACAAAGAACCAAGCATACATTTGTATTAAAAAGCAGCAAGGCAGAGTGGTGAGAAGAGTGCTCAGGATCTTGACTTGACTGCGGCAACCATTTAACTAGATCTGTCATGCCATGTTGCCTGTCTGCGTCTGAGGAGTGCCCTTTGTGGCACCTCAGTAATGTTAATAGCTATTTACAACTTTTCACAATCTCATTTAAACTCCTCTAAACTAGTGAACCTTTCAGAGCTTCACCCACAAATCATTAATTATCAATAACTGCTTTACAGGGGTCACTTCCTCTGCCCTCTTCCGCCCACACAGCATCGCAGGTCAGCATCTCTGTTGGCATTCACACAAAAGTTTATCTGGAACTCTTCAGCACTCAGTGGTGAGTTTCTTATATTGTCTTTAGTGCTTTGTTAACTCTAAAAGTCTTGCTGGAGTGATGTTCGTGTATTTGTTACTTCCTGCTATAATTGTGGTAGCCTCAGTTCAAAAGTCCTATTGAAAAACTGTAAATTTACATCAAGCTGCCGACAGAGATAATAAGAAATACTGAAAGTGTTGAATTTTTTGTTAAAAATTTCTGAGGAATTTGAATGTTTTCCAATGTTTATTTTAATTTTATAATTTTGTCGGTAATAGATTGATTATTAAAAGTTGTCTTAACTTATACATACATTTGATTTGTGTGAACTTATACAACTTGTGAACTTGTACAACAAAGATACTGCTTATTGATGTTAAAATGTTGGTTATTTTTCACCCTTGGAAAACAACAGATGGCGAGCTAATCACAGACGCTCTTAAAGATTAACCAACCCAACTCATCTTTTCCTTTTCTCAATACTGTGGCGAAAAAAAAGTGATTTGAGATAAGATAAGAATTCTCTTGTTTCAGCAGCTCAAAATCAATTGACTGGAGAATACAACAATGTACTGACAAAGTTTGAATGGAACAATATTAAAGGTAAAAATACAAAAATAACATTATATTAATATTTACACTTCATAATTATTGCTAAATTGGTCATTTCAGAGTTTCATCAGGTTGTCAAAGACACACAGTATATAATGATCTGATGACAGGAGTGCTGCAAACAAGCATTCAACACAATTGTACAAATGCATAAAGTATAATTTAGCAAAGATTTTGACCTTCTAATTTAACTGTGTAACAATAATAATGATTTACTATTTGCTAGATAGGTATACATAAACATTAAACCTTAATATTGTAATCATTCAAATACCAAACGATCCAAAATAATAGCGATCACAATTTGCATAACATTATACATGAATTTAGCTGTGTATTTGGTTGTTTTTTTGGTATTTATAAGAAAAGGTCTCCTAAAGATTAGCCTAAATTGCTTCTGTTGATTCATGTTTTTATATAATTTCATTTTAGGATCACCCACACACTGCACATTACTGCCTCTTAGGTTTTCAAAATCTTTAATAATCTTCCATTTTTATGTTCAGCAGTATTGAGAAGGACTAAAGCCAATCTGGAAACAGATTCACTCTCATATTTTTTACCAGAAGCTGCTGCAAGCAAAAAAGAGAGAAGCAGTAGCCAGAAGTCTTAGAGTGCCAAGGAACATTTACCTGACAGGAAGTGTGTCAGGAAGTTTTATTCACTGTTAAGAGTTTGGGTCAGACTGTTAGGTTAGATTCTCATCTTGACAAAGAAAAAAGGGTGCACAGGAGCTCATTTTTTGTTGCTGTAGTATTCAAAAAGGATTTTGACATTCTTTAGTTTTACTTTTTGATTTCTACAGGCGTAATATCAGAGTTCAAACGGCTGATACTGTGACAACCCTACTTAGTTGTGATCTTAGCCGATATGAAAAGAACAACAAAATTAATGCAGCAAGTTGTAAAGTTCTTTCTGTAACTACAGCCTATAGGGGCTGGGCGATGTGGATAAAAGTTTATCACAACATATTTTTTTTTCATGTCAGTCAATATTGATATATATCACGATATAAAAAAGGAAATTTAACAGTGCTTATTGGTAGCATGTCTTTTGCAATACAATAAGCTACTGCATCTGTGAGGTCTTAGAGTCTCTTTAATGTTTTGTCATAAGGCGTTGCACTAAAGAAAGGGGACTGAATAGTCAGCTGTTTCAGCTGCACAGGCGCCATGGGCTCCTTGCCCCACTTGGGGTTTGTAACCTTTTGCATTGCGTGTGTTCTGCCGTGTGGCACTGCTTCAGGTGGTGAAAAAAGATTTGAGGTATTCCTCGACTTTGCTGTACTCGACATAATTTGTAGTACACATTACTCTGCTTCATGTCCGACCTCAAAAAACAAAATACCTCCACACCACCGACGTTGTCATGCCAGTGTTGTCAACAATGTCATTATCTGTTGAGCCTTCATCTGCATTTCTGCTGGGGGTAGCACTCATTTACTTTTTTTCTCACCGACAGTGCTGTTGACCTCACATGTTAAAGTGCTATAGTTGCGTGTAGCTGCAGCCTGCTACTACGCAGTTTTTTGCTACTTGGTTCTAAATCAGCACATGATTGGTTCAGCACGAAGCGGACCCGGGGCAGCTCCCCTTTTCATTGGCTATTCATGTAGTCTACCAAAACATGGCAGAATGCCGACTATCAAAAAGCATATTGACCATTAAATTTTCTATCTATATCGTTATTGTTTTATTGCCCAGCCCTACAGCCCATTTCGCAGTTGTTTCTAAAGCCCATTCAGCGGAGTCTGTGTCCACTGAATCACAAAGGTCTTAAAGGAATGACCACCGAATTACCACCAAAAAGGTAATTCCTATTTTTAAAAGTGGCTTAAATTGGCTATCACACTTTACTAAAGGAAAGTAAATTCTTTACTCTTTATTTTAAATTATCTATTCTTCTTCATCCTACTTCTTCTAATTAGCCAACATACCACGAAACTGACATCAAAGAGACGCACAACAGTCTACCACAATGAATGCTCTGTCTGTGAGTGAATGTCTCCTTTCAGTGTCCCTCACTGTTGCTCAAAGATCATCCTGAAATTAGAAAATAAAAAAAGCTGTCGTCTTCCCATTCGTGAGGTTTGGTGAGAGCACACCTCTGCCTCAGGGGACAGATGTAAGATATAGCTGAAGCGATTGATGAAAGGCGAACAGAGCATTCATTCAGTTCTATATTCACAGTCACACTCTCCAACTAGCATGGACCCTTTGGCAACAAGAAGAAAGACCCCGGCCCTCAGCTATGGGTGAGAGCTACTCCATCATAGTGGGTTATGTACAGGACACACACACACATGGACACTCTCCTACACACTTCTATTTTAAGGTGGGTGATTTCTCACCCGACTCTCCAGGCACACCAAAAGGAAAATTAATACAAAGGCAGGGCGACTCATGGTGACGATTGGTGACAGTCTCCTGAGCTCCCCCTCTCCTTTGGTCTATCTACTCCCACTGCACTATTACAGCCACCTACTCTACCCTCCCTCACACCCACCATAACCTCCTCATCCTCTTGCTCTCTGTGGGGTGGGACAAAAACTCTACTTCACACCTCTGTGGAGGTGTCCAATTCAGAGTGTCCCTCATGGTCCCATATCCCGGAACTGAGCGTTTTCATTGTGCCTGCACTGGGGTTATTTTCTGCATCTGTCTTAACAAGCCCAGACCTCCTCTGTCACTCTACCATGCCCTGGTGGAAGGAGTGTGCAAAGACAACTGTGAATGAAGGTAGCTTAGATCTGAGGACTGAAATTGGCATTGCTCTCGAGGCTTTGGGACTGGAAGGGTGGGAGTCAGGGCGATGGGTTTGCTGCAACCTTTCGGTGCACCCGTGCAATCAGTGAGCAGAATCACTGGATGAGCTGCAAGTATAGTGGCTCTGTCAGCAACTGACATGGTCGATCTCCAAAGCGCAATTGATCTAGTGAGCTGCATAGAGAGGTGAGAGGCAATAAGATTGGCTAGTTTCTCAAGTGACAATTAAAAACCACCCATCCCCCAACAACTACCAAGCTTCTGTACCACCAAGGAGCTCTTCCACACATGAGAAAATGGAGAAAGAAAAGGTGAAAACAAGTTATTCATTCTTTAACTGCAAAATAAAGCTCTGCTACACGACACCATATGTGCTTCAGAATCAAATCTTGAGTAATACTATGTGTTTAAGGACTCAAATACCACTTTTAAAGAACCTGAGGGCATTTATGGTCTGTAGTTGGCAGTGTCATTACTTTAGTAGAGACTTTAATAGCTCAGCGATGACTGAATGAATCATCATGAAGTTTAAGACATACATTTAAGTTTCCCTGAAGATGGACCCCAGAGACTCTGGTGATTCACTTGTCTTTGGAGCTCTATGTAGTTGGATTTACATGTAATTCAGGACAGAGGGCCATGATGAATTTCCTTTTGGGGATGAATAAAGTTTGTGTATTGTATTGATGCCAAAAGTAACCGCAGTAGGAGGCTGATGTCTTGACACACATTGTATCTATCTATCTATCTATATAAATATCTCTCTCTCTCTCTCGATCGATCGATAGATAGATAGATAGATAGATAGATAGATAGATAGATAGATAGATAGATAGATAGATAGATAGATAGATAGATAGATAGATAGATAGATAGATAGATAGATAGATAGATAGATAGATAGATAGATTTTTTTTTCTTTTTCACATCCAAAGTTCATTAAAAAATCTGGTAAACATCCTTGTATCTCAGTTGACATCTCCTGTAACTTCACATTGAAAAGACTGAAAAGTGGGGTTCTCAGTGAGACCACCCAAAAAGACTAAATGAAATAACTTATGTGATCACCTCATTTGATGTCTTTTGCCATGGTCTATTCTAAAAACAATTTATTCCTCATTTGTGATTCGAACTAGACAACACCAATATACTTCAACATTGAGGATGAAGCTGTACTTATAATACTACCTGCTTGAATTAAATCAACCAATCAAAGTTTCTACTTTGCCTGGGTATAAGCTCAGTTATTTCCTGTGTGGTTAAATATCATTGAAGGTAATGTGCTGTCCTTCAGTTTTCCACACAACAATCAGAGAACTACTTTCCCTCAGTACAGCCTTTGTCCTGTATTATGTATCTTTAAAAAGGCGGCTGAATCCTGGTTGCGTGTAACCATAATACTGGGATAACCGGGTTTTTCTTAATCCCCCTCAAAATATTTTGGGTTCTCATTTACATGATGCTCATGAAATCAGGTTAAAACGGAATCACAGGATTACTCGAGTGAATCCAAACACAGCAGAGCTCTAAATACACGGAGGAGAAAACTTAATATGCCTTCAAGGCCTGAAATAAGGACTAAAAAGAGGAGAGTAAACTTAGAGTAGCAGTGAGATCTTCTCTGAAAACTGATTTAACAGAAAGCACAAAGCCATTAAAGAAACCATTGGAGAGGCTTGTGGTCAATTAGTTCTGGCTTAATGCTTCAGAATTCAGTGAACCATGGCAGGATATAGTGGATATGAAAATACATGAATATGAATAATGATTCATTTCGAACTGGGTGACAGATTCCCTCCTTTAATTGAGATCTTAATCTGAGAGTCTAATGTTAAAGATATTCACATCTTGTTCCTAACGAGATACAATTAGTGCAAGGGAATCAGTACAGAGAGACAGGACAATGTCTTCATTCGTATGTCGGCTTCTCTTATACCAGAGCAACTTAAATACAGCATACGCCATATAACAATAACAATACTCTACACACTGTAACCGTTTGCTGTGCACCAGCAAACCTGGAGGCTGCTAGACAGGCTGAAAAGTTATTATTAGTGAATCATTTCTGACCTGTCAACCAAAGACGGCTCAATTTTACAGAAGTTGTGAAGAGCTTCAGCACAATAATTAACTCACAAAAACCCCAAACCTAAAATGGATCATTAGGATCCTGTACTTTCCTGTGGCATCTTGTTGCAAAGCCAACCGTTTTTATGTGTGAGTCTTCTTCGTACACAATTAAAAAGTCGAGATAAGCAGAAGAGGCAAAATAAAACAGGTTTATGTCCAAGGACGGGGAAAGGTTTGATTAATATAGCAGTAATGAGTTTTGGCTTGTGTGTTTCGAAGACTTGGCTAAATAATGAAATGATAGACAGGGCAAATTGGAGCTGTGACTTTTATTTTAAAAAAAGCAGCGTGGACTGAGAGCGTGAAAAGACATAACAGGTGATTAAAATTATTCTTTCCACACACAAATATGGATTATTAACAAAGAGCCCTGATCCTGCTGACCGGGCTTGGCTTCATCAATTGTCCTTCACAAAGTCCTCGCCTGCCTGGCCTTGTAGCCTTAGAAATGAACCATGAGGCATTCTACCACCTCTCTATGAATAAACCATGGGTACCATCCTTGGCATTCACAAAGGAAGAGGGCACACATCCGCTCACAGAGCACATGTGGTCACAGTGCACACAGAAAAACAAGCAAACTGACAGGAGGACTACAAAACAGGACTCATTAGCCTCTTGAATCGTTTCCCCTCCCTTTTTTAATTTTCTATTAATTTGCATCCCAGTGAAGGGAAATCATCACACTCATTTCACATTGTGTACCATTTTTTTGGAGCTCCATCCTCTCAACTAAAAAAAATTGAGATGTCTTTTGCATAATTTGAAGCCCACACACATCTCTCCACGATACAACCTGACATATTTGGTATCTTTGGTAACCTCAGCTCCTTGGAGCAGAATTCAAAATAAAATCCTGTGGGTTTGAACACGACAGCCTTCCTCTCCGAGAGCTCAGATACACAGAGCGGTAACTGCTTCAACTAATTGTCGCAATTCTCAGCTCATCTTCAGAGACAAAAAAAAGTCCTCGTCTTCCCTTTTTTACACTTCCTTTCTGTCCCAGTCTTTTTGCTGCTGGACATGTGGATGACTGAAAACACCCTAAGCAGAACACTGAGACCTCAAAACCTTTCTCATGTCTTACTGTCTCCCTTAACTAGAATCCGAGAGAGAATGTGGATCCTTTCTGCCAGCCAGGAAGTGGGAGAAGTCCTCTGATTTGTGCCAAGTGTGTAGATCAAACTTGCAGAGTTTTTGGACTGACTATTTAAAGCGTCTTCTATTTTGTACATCAATTTGGAAGCCTATATATCGAGGCATTCCAGCTCTGTCTGTTGGCAAGTCAAACCTAATTATATTTTAAGGTGGGTTTTTTTTTTGGTCATGTGAAAAGTAGGAAACTACTTTAAACTTCATGATAGCATCAGATTAAAAACTGAGCTTTTACAAGTTACAATTCATCCTTAAAGGAAACATAAATATGAAATGGCAACCAATCCAAAAGCTGTTGAGATATTTAACCACCATTTATTTATTAAGGTGTGGTTCTACAGCAAGTGTGTGCACTTTGCACTTCAGGTGTTTCAGTCAATGCTCATGTTTCCTCAGTGCACAACTCCAGAACAAAAGCCCCCCAGAGTCATCTCTACCACACAGTTCAGCTAGTTTTAACAAAGTCCTGACAAATCACTATTCTCAGAGAATGGAACTACGCCATTGTGTGATTTTCAGCACTTCACTTTGCTGTCAAAAAGCCCTTTAAAAGTCTTCCACCTGCAGCGCACTTAAGTTTCATCAGACTACAGGCAGTTGCATTGTGTAAATGCAGGCAATACATTTACACTACAATAAAGAATGTGTTGAATTAAAGGGACACAGGGAGTACAATCTCTGTGGCTCAGACAAGGAATGCACAAGGAATGCAGAACTGGGCAGACCTGTAATAAGAATGGGGATGTCCCGATACAACTTTTTGACTTCCAATACAATACAGTCATTGTAGCCTTCAAGACTGACGATATTGATATGATATCGGAACAAAATTGTGCATGACAAGTTTTTCACTCAGCTGCAATGTCTTTTTCGGACTTAAAGGGATATTCCAGCGAAAAATTAATTTAGGGTCAAACACACCGTATCACCGAGTTAGACGCCCTCTTGAGAGATTAACGTTGCCGACCGCTTGCTTCTCTAGTTATACCAACTTTAGTAACGACCGCATGATAGCAATACACAGCGGTCTGAGGAGCCACAAACGAACCTCAACCAAAACGCCACTCTATAGCCACAAATAATACTCAGAACAGCACCTAACTTCATCAACAGTACATACAGTGGGATGCGAAAGTTTGGGCAACCTTGTTAATTTTCATGATTTTCCTTCATAAATCATGGTTCTTGGGATAAAAAAAAATGAGTTAAATATATCATATAGGAGACAAACACAGTGATATTTGAGAAGTGAAACGAAGTTCATAGGATTTACAGGAAGTGTGCAATAATTGTTTCAACAAAATTAGGCAGGTGCATAAATTTGGGCACTGTTGTCATTTTACTGATTTCAAAACCTTAATAACCAATTATTGGAACTCAAAATTGGTTTGGTAAGCTCAGTGACCCTTGACCTCCATACACAGGTGAACCCAATTATGAGAGAGTATTTAAGGGGGGCAATTGTAAGTTTCCCTCCTCTGTGAATCTTCTCTGGAGAGAAGCGACATGGGAGTCTCAAAAGAACTGTCAAATAACCTGAAAAACAAAGATTGTTCACAATCATGGATTAGGGGAAGGATACCGAAAGCTGTCTCAGAGATTTCAGTTGTCTGTTTCGACAGTTAGGAACATACTGAGGAAATGGAAGACCACGGGCACAGTTCAAGTTAAGGCCCAAAGTGACAGACCAAGGAAAATCACAGATAAACAGAAGCGAAGAATGTTTAGAACAGTCAAAGTCAACCCAAACACCAGCACTAAAGACCTACAACATGATCTTGCTGCAGATGGAGTCATTGTGCATCGTTCAACTATTTGGCGCACTTTACACAAGGAGATGCTGTACGCAAGAGTGATGCGGAGGAAGCCTTTTCTCTGCCCACATCACAAACAAAGCTGCTTGAGGTACGCTAAAGCACATTTGGACAAGCCGGCTTCCTCTTGGAATAAGGTGCTGTGGACTGATGAAACTAAAATTGAGTTATTTGGACATAACAAGGGGCGTCATGCATGGAGGAAAAAGAACACAGCATTCCTAGAAAAACACCTGCTGCCTACAGTAAAATTTGGTGGTGGTTCCATCCTGCTGTGGGGCTGTGTGGCCAGTGCAGGGACTGGGAATCTTGTTAAAGTTGAGGGACGCATGGATTCCACCCAATATCAGCAGATTCTGGAGACCAATGTCCAGGAATCAGTGACAAGGCTGAAGCTGCGCCGGGGCTGGATCTTTCAACAAGACAATGACCCTAAACACTGCTCAAAATCTACTAATGGCCATCTCAGTCCCCAGACCTAAATATTATTGAAAATCTGTGGTGTGACTTAAAGAAAGCTGTCCATGCTCGGAAACCATCAAACCTGAATGAACTAGAGATGTTTTGTAAAGAGGAATGGTCCAAAATACCTCCAACCAGAATCCAGACTCTCATAAGAAGCTATAGGAAGCGTTTAGAAGCTGTTATTTCTGCAAAAGGGGGATCTACTAAATATTGAGTTAATTTTTTTATTGTGGTGACCAAATTTATGCACCTGCCTAATTTTGTTTAAAAAATTATTGCACACTTCCTGTAAATCCTATAAACTTTGTTTCACTTCTCAAATATCACTGTTTGTCTCCTATATGACATATTTAACTGATTTTTTTTATCCGAAGAACCAATGATTTATGAAGGAAAATCATGAAAATTAACAAGGTTGCCCAAACTTTTGCATCCCTCTGTATTGTATCCCATTGGTTATCATTTCCTTGAAGTAATAATCATATTACTCATATTGATCATTTTGCACTGCAGACGCGGTAGTTCTTCTGCCTTAGCATCTCAGTCTGACTGCATTTCCATTAAGAAATGAATATCCCTTTAAACAAAAAATTCTGCACAAGGCCAACATCACTCTTACTCTTCGCTACTTTGTTAGTACCTTAGTACACACTGTTGTTGTGATTTAGTGGGCTCAGCTTGCTGGATCAGGGGGCTGCTAGACAGAGGTGCCAGAGCAGAGTCTGGAATGGACTGCTTGTTTCAGAGTGCTGATATCAGAGACTTTAGTTGCAGGTCGATGTAATCCGATATTTGTTTTCTTTGCTGATATCCGACCGATATCCGATATCAATATCATATTGGGACACCCCTAAATAAGAACAAAGTGTTTGAAATGTCATTTTTGCAGCCTATGTTTAATGCTCTGCTTAACAATAATGCTCTGCAAAGTAAGCCGTTAAAAATACCAAGTATGACATCAATTTGAATACTTTTAACCATTACCATGTGATAAATGTGAAGAGTAACAGCATGCTACTGGAACAGCCTTTCTCACAAGAAGATTCAGTGCTATGTACGACTGGTGTAAGAAGTAAAACGATGGAGAGAAAAATTTACACTCCCGTGTACAGGACAGAAACAGTACAGAGATGAGAGGAATCACTTTGTCCTGAGCGACCCCATGAATTTACTCACACACAAAATTTCTCACAGTGGCTTTTAGAAAACCCTTATCTGCATGTTTAGCCAAGCAGGTTTCACTAGTTCTTTCCTCCTGTTTACTTTTATCACAACTCTAAATGTGAGCAAATCAAACACCCATCACTGTTATCCTCAAGCATTAGTATCGCCAGTATCTAATTAAGGCACAACAGGGTGTCTAATAGGGGTTTAATTATGTTTGAAGCTTTCAATTAACACCATATAAACTGCATACATCCAACAAAGCTAAGATTTATCAGACAAAAAACTTCTCTCCCACAGCTACAGTCAGCTTGAGTGTAACGGAGAAAAAAGCAACGGAAACTGAAGCTGATCCTCTGACTAATGGCATGTTTTTAAGAGGAACCAAAGGTAACAATTTGTTTCAGAACAACGCCTCCAATCCCTGAAGACCCTGGAAAAACAACCACAGAGGGCTGACTCCTTGTCAGCTACAATACAGGAGCTGCTGTGGGGTTTGGGTTAAAATTGCTGTAGCCCTGCTGCTGTCCACAGGGCAAAAAGGCATTTTTAAACCAAAGGCCAGTGTCTATTAGAGCTCTGTCAGCATAGCACCACAGCAGCCTAATGGTTACAATTAACAATCCCTTCTGCTGACAGAGCCCCTGACTGAATGCCCCCTGTGCGCCTGATCCTGCTCTAATGATTGTATTTTATGGGTGCAGTGAATGAGAAACAAGAGCCAAAAGATGTGAAGAACAGAGTGTGAAGAACACACCAAAAAAACCTGATTTATATGGGAAGAGAACTGAGTAAGAAGCTAATATAAATCTTAAAATAGCTTTGAGGAGATAGCAAAGGATGTGACTCCTGGATCAAGACGAGCAACAGTACATAGTGATATGAGACACTGGAGTTATTGCAAGATTCAAGGAGAGTGCTATTGCATTACAAAAAAATAAATATGAGACAAAACACTGCCAACCAATCCATCTTGAGAGGTTTCCCCAAGATACTGTCTTCAACCAAATCCTTAGAATAAAAACATTGTGTAGAATTCATTTTATACAAAAAGATCGACTGCACATACTGTACATCAATGTCTGCTGTGCTGGAAAACAGTCAGACATTAATACCACAGACAGAAACAGCATGATTTTTGCCCTCATGCCTAAATTAATGTTTGGTGCTGTTTGAAGAAGTAAACCCTTAGAGAACAGGGGCTCCCACTGAGTGCTGGGAAAAATACTGTATGCTGTTTTTTTGGTCCTTTTTACCGCCTATTTTGCAAGCAGCCTCTAATTCAAAACACCATCTGTGGAAGAGGCAAAGTTGGGCAAACTTCTCTTCATAACAACTGCAGTTATTTTGTAATCAGGAGCTAGGTCACATAGCTAATTTTCAGTTATCTAATGTTGTTGTTGACCACCTTTTGATTCAACTGCTGAAGTTATTTAGGTATCCAAAACAACGCCCGCACAGATATTGGCAATCAAAGGCAGACAGGCCATCTGGAGGAGTGGGAGTTCTTCTCCTGGTGGGCTGTTTGACCAGCGGGCTGGTGATGAGTCTAGCAACACCTCCAAAAAAGAAAAAGACCCTCTTATGTTGTTTGAACCCTCATTAGGCTGACTGGCCCATTTCATACACATGTGAATCTGGCAGAAATTACATTTGAAATCTCTTGAGTCCATTCTTCCTCTGCTGCCAACATCACTTTGGTGCATTCTGCTTTTAAAATCTTCCAAGAAAAATTTTGCTTAACATTTCGCTCTATGGGATTAAATATGATTGCTAACATTTCATGATACTTTGAGGTTTGTTTACGAAATACTCGAGCCAAAAATGTACAACAAACTTGTACATGCAAATTCAGGGGGAAGTTTTTTTTCTGCTCAGCAGCAGCTGATCTCTTCATGAAGTCCCTGAAATTAAAAATTGAATCTGATTCAAGAGTTTCTAAGTTCACTACCTTGTTTATTGCAAATTTTGTACATAACCACTCCATACTGGCACTGATTTCTGTAGTGCATTTTAATTAGTTTGTAAGCTTTGTGTGAACTGTATTTGGTTTGGCTTTTTCACAATATGGTCCATTTTGTATCCAGGACATGCATATTCAGAGCCACTGTCTAAGAAATGTCGATGACTGTTTCCAAGCCCATACTGACATATTTAAATTTTTTTTTTTTTTCCCTAAACCAAGAGATTTTCACTTTGTTGTGACTAAGGAGCGAGCTATACAAAAAAATCTAATCTAAAAAGATGGAATCACTAGCTTGAGCTTTTTCATTCAACATTTCTTAAAATATTGGATTAATTGTCAATAAATTTGGATTGTTTACAGTTTTCAACTAATCACTTCCCAGCTATAGCTCTTTGAACCTCATAGTCTGGCTTCAAAACTGTTCATCTTTTATTCAAATGATGAAAAAGAAAAAAGATTATTAGTCGTTTGCTATTATTAGTCGTTTGCTATAAGTATTACCATTATATGAAGAGTTTTAGGTCAAGGAAAGAGAAAAATAACTTTAAGAGGAGGAAGATTTTTTTTTTTTATTATGCACCACGAGGATAAAGTCAAAAATTTGGAAATTAAATACATCACGATTGTCTCCCCTGTAACTCTCCTGTTGGTGTTATTTCCCTCTGCACCTAGTCCTGTAAGATTTACAAAGCGCACGCTGTGTTGTGCCTGATTTTGAATTTGGTCAAAAGCTCTCTCACTGATTTAACATCCCTTACTCTCCTTTTCGCATCTTATTTTCTGTGTCTGGTCGGCCATTAAACACAAATCTGACATTTTATACTTTTCTAATTAATTGAGGAGATGAAATTTTAACCTATTTGAATGTGCTGGACTCTTTTTTTGCAGCTTGATTTCGTAGGATGTGTGTGATCTGGTTGTCTCGGGCTTTGCTCTTGCTGTTCAGATTTAATTACCATTGTTATGAGGTTTTTGACTAATCAGGATTAAGTATTTCAAGCAGCTGGGTAATTAATAAGAAGGCCAAGTAGAGTAAAGCTTACAGTTTTAAACAATGACAGTGAAAAAAAAGCTGTTTATTAATTATCCTGATTAAGGCAACATAAATTGATTGTTAGTTTTTGTGGGTGCATGGGGACATGTTGTGTAACTAATACGAGATATTTTATTAAAAAGAAGCACATTACAAGAAACCTCAAAGTCTTTCAGGATTCCTGTATTTTATTCATACTTTTCAAAGTCTCTTATAAGCTCACTCCAGAGAACACATGAAGCTTAACCCATCTCTTTTTCTAGAGTCCATTCACTTTTGCCACAGTCCACTGAGTCTAAATTACTATTTAAATAGCTAAGAAAATCCTCATCACAAAGCCCCTGTGTTCAAACCAAACCCAGTGATTAGGGTGTCTTTTTCACTGCTTTCCATCAGTATTTCTGGCCGTCTACAGTGTGTCTCAACTACTGTCACTCCGTCTCTGATAGCTACTCACTATGGACCGTCCCTGAAGGTAACACTTGAAGCAACGTTCAGCTGTCTGTCAATCTTTAGATCCACTCTTCTTTCTCTGTCTTTTTGAAACCTACCTTATATTACCTCTATTTACAACTAAGTTAGTTTGATTTCTGCAGTTTATGATTTGATCTAAAAGGGTGAATTTTTCTTCAATGTTGTCTTCAAACTGTCCAGCATATTGATGATTCTGCACTCCTTAAACACTTCACAATAGTCAGCGTTTCCTGAGGTAGAAGCAGTTTACTAACTCACAGGAAAACTGTCAACTGATGAGATGGACGTTTGTCTATTACATCCTGTGCCGCTACTTTATCTGATATGGCTGACATTTTCATTTTTTGGACCTATACTTTCAGGTGTTTCCATGTTCACATTCCCAGCCTGTCAACGGAAAACTAATTGGATCATAGATTCCCTCAGGAGAGAAAAGACCGGTCTTTGTCAGCAGCAAAGTTGCTTTCAGTCAAGACCAAACACTGTTGGTTCAGAGCGAGAGAGAGAGAGGGAAAGAGAGAGAGAGAGAGGGAGGGATGTATACTCCTGAGCAGGTCAACTCGACAAACTGTCAGACCACATGAGTTACACATGCATTATTTAGTCTTCAAGATTTTAAGATGTGGCCTCAAACTGTGAATCAATACACTTTTCTCTGCTGGGCAGACTGGACAGAATTTCAAAGTGCATGAAGGTCTTCACAGCCCACTGGATAAAAGAAACCTTCCAATAAAATGAACCAAAGCAGTCAGTTTTACTGTAGCGTGTCAGGAAGAGAGGTAGATCTTCAGACAAACCTGTAGTAGGTTGAAAGAACATGCAGCTTGTCAGATTCAGTTTTCATGATTTTCTACCTGGGCTGACAGAGGCATAGTTGATAGAAATGTCAACAATGACTGCTTCTGTCAGTGACATGTTACCAGCCTGACAGCTATCCTTAAAGTCACTCCAGTATAGGAGTTTGAAGGAAATGGGTGCACTCAGCAGCTTTGCACTAACAACCCATGACACAATGTTGTGATGATGACTGCAGCTCAAAATACCTGGCGTACAAGTATAGATGTTTTGATACAGTTTTTTCTTCCCAGTACTAACCCTGAAAAAGCCTTAAATTTGGCGTGATACCAGTTGACCTCTCTGACACAAGAGGCAGATCAGGGTGACAAATTTGTGTATTAAAGGTGGGGTAGGCAAGATTCTGTTAAAAATGCATCTTTTTTTGTGGTGTATAAACGAAAACGCTTTTAATATCAGTCAATAGCTATTAGTTGTTGATGACATGTGGGAATATCAAAATATCGAATTGTTCTGTTATGTCTGTGTAATCAACGTTTTAAAATTTTTGAGCGGCCCGCTCTTTCTAAATGTAAACAAAGCTATTCTCCGCCTCCCCCAACCTGATTGGTTGTGAGGCGGACCCTGCTCCCTCATGCTGATTGGTTGTGAGGCAGACGCTGCTCCCTTATGTTGTGAGGCACAAAACAAAGTAAATACCGGAGACTCTGGCGGAACAGCAGGCGCTGAGAAGGAGGTAGACCACCTGAACAAGAGCTAAAAAGACGGGTCAACATCAGTGAATGCTTTGGGATCTTACGGACCCTGTAACCTTTCCGCTGGACAGGTAAACTGCTTTAACAAAGCAAGCCAAGTGTCTTTTACAGAAGTGTTTCTTGTCAAACGGGACCTGCTGTGTGTTGTGGCGCCGCTAAACTGTTTACCTCAGGTCCTGGAGTATGTCACTTTATCCGAGTCATAGAAGTCCTGCAAACATTGTGTTTGCTGGCAGTCTGTTGGCATCTACAGAAGCACCGGTGCTTTTTACTTCATGTTGACTGGGCCCCATTTGTAATTATCGGAAGTATCTGCATTATATCTGAATTTAATTGAAATGTTAGGAGCGTCTGTTTGTGGGCGGGGCTTGCTGGAGCAGAGAGGGTGGAGAGAGGAGGGGCCGAGAGAAAAACTAGTTAGGAGGGGTAGTGTTTACATTCAAGATTTCTCCCCAATACTGGCACTTCCACTGATCCTGCCTACTCCACCTTTAACTGGCATACTTGCTGGCACACTGTATTTCATATTTCTATCAATACCAATATCCTATTGGCATCACTACTAGAACAATTCAAGCTGCAAATGGTAAAAGTTCTTGCGATTAAGAGGAAATAAGTGACACTGTTTCAAAGAGGAACACGCAAAGTGAGAAATTTTGAGAAGGACTACTTTAGGACAAATGTAAATGGTGATATAAGGACTCACCGTTTTGAGAATGGGTACAAGGATTTAAAAAGGACTTTGAAACTTTAAAATAGATCTTCGGCTTCATGATCCATTGCACTTCCTCCCCCAGTTTTCTTCCCAGACGGAGACAGGTAGCTATTTCATCCTGTCAACTTTCTGCCAACTTCCAGTTATGTGGTTTTGGTCGGTTGTGTTTTACCTCTGCTCTGGGCAGCTGACTTTACTGAGCTTGTTGCCAGGGCAACCGTCTCTTGCTAAAGATCCCCCTCTGTGTTTTCCATGGAGACCGGATACTTTGATAATCTGAGGGATTGCAGAAGACGTAGGGGGAGTGTGGAGTGGCTGCCAACTGTCTTTTGAAGCATACGAGTTTTCTCAACAGAGCAACAAGAGAGAAGACGAAGAAGAGGAAAAAGAAGAAGAAATGCCACTAGTGATACTGTGTGTTTTTGGGAAGTCTGCAGGTAAGGTTGTTGCCTCAGAAGTCCTAGAAAACAACAGTGTCCACAATAGTGTCTTCAGAGGTCTATGGGAGGCTGCAGTTACACTTATCATAATCCCAACGTTCAATTCATCATGGTGATAAACTGTCGAGAGCCAGAAAGCAGAGTGAGGTTTATTCTATCCTAAATGATAGTACATAGAATCTGAAACGATGGGCTTTATGCACTGATTCCCATCTTTCTGAACTTAAGGCAGCTCCTTTATTTCTGCCTTACATTATTGGACAAACCGATTAATCCAGGTGTGTCTGAGTTGTCACAATGATCAGTCACATCTGAATTAATCAGTTCGTCCAATAATGTGAGACAGGAAATAAAGGAGCTGCCTTAAGTTCAGGAAGTAGTGGAGCTGTGCATAGAGCCTATTGCAGGCTCTCTATGGTGTATAAAATAATGTAGTGTAGCAGGACTCGACAGTGCAACCGCTTCACTTGGATTTGCGACTAAAAATAGATGTGTGCGAATTGTAAAATGTATTTAGGAGCACATGTGCGCATAAAACAAATCAGCCGAGGCAACAAATGTTTTTTCATGTAAATACCGCCGCGAAGTTAATTGTAGGTTGGATATCTGACGGACATTCACTGCGGATCTACCGGTGTCTTCTCACTCTCCATAACCGGAAACAGCAACAGCAGCGTGGTTAAATCTACTTGGCACCCTTGTTGTTAATGTCAGGTGTTGAATAAGGGACCATCAATAAATTACCTGTTGATGTTCTCAAAAAAGGCTGTTCTCCTTCAATAACTTCCTTGTTGTGACCAGTAGACCTATGACTGATTTCAAATTATAGTAATCAGACAACAAGACAAACCTCTTTCCCTAGTTTGTCATCTTAAAAAATTTTGTGTTCAATCTAACGGCAAATTTTGAACATTTTCTTCGATAGCTTTTATGCCATGTGACCAAAAGACCTATGTTTTACAATAAGACACACATCATTTGATCAATTTTCATTGTGCCCATAAAGTTCTTTATGTGCTCCTTACTGTTTTAACTGAGGTGCACATGTGCTCCTTGTGAAAAAAGTTAGAGTCAAGCCCTGTGTAGTGTTAATTCTGACATAAAAATTAGTCATGTTTTGTCATATCTATAGCATAAACTAATGTATTTTTCTATTTCAATCCATCTAAAACATTTTACTGGCTAAGATAATCAAGTTTATTAGACTGTAATGTGCATGACATAATGAAACTATTTCCACCTTAATTTTGCTAATATCTTTTTTAACCAAACCTGTTTTTTTAATTATTTTTATGGATGTCTTAAAATCCATTAAGTCCCTTGCAGCAATATTTTCCTGGGTAAAATATTTTTCTGCCAACATTATTTGAGGAAATGGTCATCCAAGTTAATCTTTTTTTTCTCACTTGTTAGTATTGTTAAATTGTTATATTCTATCAAATGCAAGACAACAACAACACAACAACAACAGGATATTGACATAGTATTGAACCCTGTAGCATCCTTCTCTAATGAACAGCATCAGCAATGGCCACTGAAAACCAGTATGGATCTACCTTTATCTACCCTCAGACACCAGTGCCTTTCAAACATTTGAATAACATAGTCAGAAAAACAGTGACAGCTTTATTTGACTGGGATTACACTCTTAGAAAGCACCATGGTGGTTAAGAGTTTTGGTAGATTGTAATCTAAAGACATGTAACAAACTCTAATGACTACATATTTCCTTTTATTGTGTTTTCAAGCAAAGTTTTCCTACTTGGAAAAGGTTACTGATGACATCCTTGTAGGTGAGGATTAAGTTTTTTCTACCTCCTTTCTGATATGCTAAAGCTAAAAAGAGGTCCTGTATTCACTGGGTGTTTGAAACGATTTATTGTCTAAGATCCTTACACTGTTTACTTTTTTAATAATAGGCCTAAATTTATTTTCTGATTATCCTAAGAAAATCATCGTAGAGGAATTAGACTTTTTAGACTAATGGTTTTTCATCCGCGGTCCCTCAAAAAAGGTTTAGCCTGCAGTCAGCTTCATCATTTTAATGGGATTTGTGACAGAGATGAATATTCTGTTATATATGTCAGTGAGATGACGAAACATTTCAGAGATGATTCACACAAGCCTAGCTGATGGCTGTCAAAAAATAAATTTAAATAAGATCATATTTGCCAAAAACCAGTGCAGAAATTGAATTCCAGGAATTATTTTCTGTTTACCAAAAGAATTAGGTTTCCAAATTAAATCAAGCTATTCTGAAATATATGGTAAAGAAACTTTCTTTGGTGAGATTTAGAATTTCTGGGTCACACTGATGACGTACTTGTGCAAAAAGAAAAAAAGCTAAATCACTAAGCGGTATATTCCGAACATGTTACACTTCAGTGTTGGCCTTAAGGAAAGTGTTCATTTAAACCCAACATCATCACACTACAACTGGTAAAGTAGACAGAAAACAAACAGTCCAGTCGCCCATGGGCAGGGAAACATAAAATGAGCATGCATGCAAATGAGTCATGGAAAGAAGAAAATGTAAATCTGTTCTCTGTCTTCCACATAAAACTAAGGAACAATTTATCTTCATTTTCAGCGAAATATGAAAAAGTTCCCCAGACAAGAAAATATGGAGAACAATAAGCTGCCAACGAGTCTCAGGGGACAGAGGATCTATATGAAAGTATTGCTCATAGCTGCGGCTGTGCCAGTGACAGAAGGGAGATGTATGAAGACACAGAGGATAGTTCTGTTCTCCTCAGTGGCAGAGCGGCGGAACAATGACACAATATAAATGTACAGCAAACAGGGAGCATCCTGGATTGCAGATCATTGCCTGATTAAAACTGTCAGATAAAGAGACAAGATATGTAACACACATACTCTCACACACACACAAACATGCACACATACCAAGTCACAAAGTGAGAAACATATCTGAGACAAATTCCACTTCCCAGTAGATGTGCAAAGATTCCAGGAAAATCCTATTTATAGCACACACCCTGTCCAATTAGCAGACATGTTCAAAAGCAAAGAAACACACAATTACAAACACACACACGCACACACAGACTGGATTCAAGCCCTTCTCTGTCTGATATTATCACATCTATAGTCTCTATACCTCATAAAGCACCACACTATGAGGGAAAATACATTATATATTATACAGCTCAGTGCAAAAATAGAGTGCTTTCTATTGGTGGACATCGATACACATACCAGTACACACACACACACACACACACACACACACACACACACACACACACACACACACACACACACATGCATACTCATGTCTGTACACTTAAATGAACAGATTTATTAAATGAAAACCAGGTTCAGCAGTCAATATTTCATTAAAAAAGAGGTTCCCAAACTTTTCAGCCTGTGACCCCAAAATAACAGCGTCAGGGCTGGCGACCACCACTGTCTGCTGAGGTTAAATGCGGCTCACTGCCTTGAAACCACACGACTCAGCCACTACAAAAACATGACACTTGTAACAACACAAAAAGATCACAGAATCCAAACAACGTAACTATTATTTATGGAAATTTTAAAAAATTCACAGCAGAAATTAGGTACTCTTGATGTTTGGGCTGCAGCAGTGATTGGAAATCTTTGTTAATTGTGAACTTAGGCTGTGTTCCAGTTGTACTCAGAAGTCAGAATTTCTGAGCTCCAAGTTGGAACTTCACCTGAAACGCACACATTAAGTCAGATTTCCGACTCAGGAAGTCAGAATCCTTACCAACCCCGACTTGAAGACAACATCATAATCCAAGATGGCAGTGCAGTGCATCAACAGTAAAGAGTAACAGTGAGAGTTCTCGTAATATATTATTTATTAGCACTTCTGTTTTGTTTTTGTGAAATGAAATAAGTGGTATATGTTGTACTGCCCAACGTCTAACTGTGAACACAGGGCTATGGTATTTGAAAGTTGTTATGCATTGTTTACAACTGGTATAGCTAACAACAACTAACAACGGCTTACAACAGCTGACAACAGATGAAAATTGAAAACAACAGCTAGAAGTTTACTGGAACGCTGTCAACTGGGGTGTAACGTCATTCCCAGTTCTGACATTGGATTCCGAGGTAACTGGAATGCAGCATTATTCATTTACCAACAACATTTACTGTGTTATAGAGGGGGACAGGCATGGGAGCACCAAGCATCCTGTAACTGTAGTTACTACTGCCAGCAGGTGCAGTGCACATACTGCCAGTGGAAAGGGAGGTATTGCTTGAAGAAAATGACTCATCTACCCTTTGGTCATTGGATTTTTCTGTCCAGAAATAGGCACCCAAATAAAGTTTACACCTATCAGAGCCATTTTTAACAGAAAATCCAATGACCAACATAACTTGGACTAAGGAGCCACAATAATAATCCTTCATTGCCTTTCTAACATCTTTCTCCATGTGTAGTTTGCTCCACGCTGATAACAGATCATATCTGGAATCAAATCATAAATCGGCTGTAGTAATAATTTTAAATCCTAAATTACCTGTCCCAATGATACTGTACCTGCTAGCTAGCAGAAGAAGCAGAAGAAGAAGATAATGTATATCGCAACGAAGAAGAAAAAGTAGAAATTGCTGCATGAATAGACTAAATGTATGAGCTGATATCGATCACTCCCTTCTGAGAGCTTGATAACATATATAGAGACACCCAGTCTGCTATTCAGTCTTTCCTAACATGTAGAATAGTTTCTACCATACGCTTTGATTTTATGGTTAAAAACAGAGACCATTCTAGGGACAGCTTCAGCTGAAAATAGGCCACCAAACAGAGACTGTCCCTGGTACAAAAAGGCTGTTTGGTTAACTCAACACAGAAACACAGAAAACAACTCAATGTTGCATGAGCAACAAGCTTATAGAACAGGGGTGGGCAATCATGTGGGGGCCGAGAGGCTGCAGGTTTTCTTCCCAACCCAAAACTCCACCAGGTGGTTAGTCCCTGCTCTCTGCTTGGAGGTAAGGTAATCAGTGAAATCAGCAGTGCATCAGTATGCTGATGCACATCAGACAAATTAATGCCAACAATTGGAAAAGGGGGGGGGGCGCAGTAGGCCCTGTCTTGCAAAGCTTAGATATTTGAAAATTGTACAAATATTGCAATTTCTTTTAATCCTATATCATGACACACACTATATATCATTTTCACATTTTGTAATCTCCTGTCAAACCTCTGTATGAATATTACATTTTACCCTTTGACACACAAAATGCAACAAGTAGGATGGTTCAAGTTGGCCCTCTTGTTTGAATTTGCATGCAATAATGAGAATATTACAGCCATGTTATATTAAATAAACTTTATACAGTAAACCAGAGAGGCTCATATGCTATCAACAAATAAATAAAAAATGGCACAGTCGACCTTCCTATCATAGCCTTGTTCACAAGGACGAGAAGAAGAGATAGAAGACATAGTAACAATAGATGACAATCAAATAGAACTCCAATCAGTGTTTTTCATGCTCTATATCCAGCATGAACTGTCCTGTATTTTATTGATCAAAGTATGATCGATGCCCTCCACGTCCTCCTATTAGAGTTTATCAGTTCAGCACAATTATGAGACTTGGATCCGTGTTCATGACATCAATGTTTTTTCCTTGAAATTCTTTACTTTCTTCAGACAGTAAAAGAAAAAAAGGAACCATAATCCTCTACAGTCTCTAACTTTTTCAGGATTATTAAAACTGTATGCGATCTGGGAGAGACCGTTTGTATAGATTAGCGCAGCCAGAAGCATATACAGGAGAAATTAAAGTTGAGGAATGAAACAAAAAAAAGTAAGTTTGCTAAAACAGGGCAGTGTTACAGGAACAAAAATGTTGCACTCAAAAAAGTTCACTTTGTCATCCCTATCTCTTACATTCACAATCCCCCCGAGAAGAAATTCAACAGGACAACTGATTACAACGGTGAATGACACTCATTTGTGTGGATATGCATTATTTCATTCAAAACTGTGAAGCCCTCAATCAGTCCTTACAATTTTAGATATAAAAAAAAAACAGTGTAACATATTCCCAGGCCCACTTCATTGTCAGATCTGTCAGTAACTTTGATCTGCATACTTCATCAGCTGTCATGTGTCACTGCTCCTTCAGGCCTGAACTGAGTATGCTAGCCACATACCATGAGCCCCACACATCAGAGGCTATAAATTAATACACACAAGCCCAGAGAGAAGGAGGCTTAAGTCTTGCAGTCTAGAGGTCTACAGCATAATGCTGCCTTCACTACTCTGCTTATGCAGCGTTCTTCATTGCACTCGGATGCATTCCATCACCTCCTGCCATCCTGCTCAGTAAAGCGTTGAGTGAAATGAAGACTATTATGGTATTTCACACCAGGCCCTGCTCTGCCTCATTCCTCTGAGGGACAGCTTTATGAATGACATTAATAAATTGGAACAACCAGTTAACTGTCTTTACTTGGGCACACTGAGGGACAAGCTCTAGGTGGGCATTTGTGAGCGATCTCTAATCGGAAACTTAGGTATGTCCAAAGCATCTTACTGCCCCTTAAATCCTCACATCACCCTAATTCCTGATTACACTAATGTGGGACCATTCAATATATAACAAGACACAAAATACCATCATACAAAGTCAATGTTTATAGTTTCATCCTTTAAAAAGTTCAGCCATTGATCTCACTGTCGCTTCACTGTCTTTCACTGCTCTAGCTTGAACTGTGGGCTACAATGCTTCCTAATGGCACTGCAACATTTGGTGTATTTCCAAAAAGCCTCCAGAAAGCATGTAATAATGTTGCGTTCCAGTTGTACTCAGAAGTCGGAATTTCCGAGCTCCAAGTCGGAAATTGATCTGGAACGCACACCTGAAGTCGGATTTCCGACTCGGAAAGTCGGACGATCCTTGCAAACCCCGACTTGACAACAACATCATTACCCAAGATGGCAGCGCAGTGCATTAAAGGTAAAGAGTAACACTAAAAGCTCTCGTAATGTATTGTTTATTAGCGCTTCTGTTTTGTTTTTGTGAAATTAAAGAAGTGGTTTATGTTGTACTGCCCAACGTCTAACTGTGAATACTATGCTATGGTGTTTGTACAGTAGACAGTTGTAAACAACAGCTAACAATGGCTTACTGTAGGCGTCTATCTTGATTTTCCAACTTATGAACTGGAACGCCATCAACTTGGGTGTGGTGTCATTCCCAGCTCCGACATCTGACTTCTGAGGTAACTGGAACGCAGCATCAGACCAAAAACTGAATGTAGAGTACTGGCATGTGACATGTGTCAGACATAGAGTAGAAATGATCCTTAACTTGTTCATTTATGTAGCACCATTTGTTTTTTTGGGGGGATAAATGATCAATTGTAGACCAGGATCAGTACACTGGCTAACAGACTCAACAAGTAGCTGCATTTTTGGTGGCTCTGGCTGTAATGACAGAATCCGGACCTTTATAGCCATCACCGACCCCCATAATTGTGCACATAGCTTACATGTTTTTGGCTATACTTGTCTTCCTTCACTGGCAGTGAACCAAATATAAAAACATCAGTTTTAATCACTGATCTCGTTGGGCAGTTAAGATTATCCTCACACTTTGACTTCCTCCCTCTGTAACATTAACCTTTCCTTCTGTTGCAAGTGTTTCTAGCCCCTGCAGACAAATAAGAAAATTAGAGTAGACATGGGAGGAGAAATCGGGCCAATAAGGGCATGAGCAGTAATTGTAGAAGTAAAAGGATATGAGGGAAGAGAAGGGCAGAGGGTGTGAGGAAGAGTATGACTTAGACTGCTGATCCATAACCTGTGGCATGTTGAATGTTAAAATACCACATCTGCCCCTCAGATAGAAAGCCCATCTCTCTCTCACTCAATCCCCTCCCACAACTCCCACAGCATGATTTAAAGTCAGTGTTGCAGAGCTGAATGCTCCTTAAAGGAACCACAGAGTGATTAGATTCATTTCATGTTAACTGGATGTTATCACTGCGCAATATTCAAGACACAGTGGATCAAGAAAAACACTTATTGCTTAAGTTTGTGTCACCATCATTGATTGTAAATGAGCCCTCATGAATGTATGTGAAAAAATAAGAAACAAAAGTACTGCAAAAGTCCAGAATTGAATAGCTGATCTTTAATGGTCATCGTTCAGGTCTTCAGTAAAGCAAACACTTTTTTTAATTAATTAAAAAAAAAGGATAAAGAATTAAATTTTTTTTGAAAAGATTAAGAATTAAAAGATAAAAATAAATACATAAAAGGGATTAAGAATTATTATTACTGTTCGCTTTACTTACTCTTTAGATCTTTGATAATTTAATGTTTTTATAAACAAATTTCATGGTCGACTAAGTCATTTAGCTGAATACTACAACCACCAACTTTGACAGGAGTCTCAAATTAACTTTATCTCATTAAAATGATGGAGGAAAAGAAAGTTTAAAGATCTGCTCAAAGATCTGTCTATCCTAATCCAAAATTGGAAAGATATTGTCTCGGTATCTGCCTATTGACCATCTCATATTGGTTTGATATCTAGGTCTGAAGTCTAATAATGGTCTGGTATGGATGCTTGTTGGTGATTTGTATATTGTGCGACTGATTCTGGGCTGATCAATTTGATTCTGTTTGTGCATTACTAATTTAAGTCAGAAGTGGCCATTTAGCCATCAGAAGAGGTAGCTTGTGTATATTGGTAGTATATTGTATAGTACCACACAGTACCATATCATATCATATCATACCATATCATTCTGTGTCATATTGTGCCATGTCAAGTCATGCTGTTTTGTATCCTGTCAGATCCTATTCATGTATGGTATCGTATCATGTTGCATCATATCATCTCAGGTTGTACTGTAATTTATCACACTGTCCCATATGGTATAATATAATAGTATTGACCATGCTGTATCATTTTGTATCCGTACTGTACTGGGTTGTGTTGTGGCCTTTTATCCTTATGCAAGTGTGATTACAAACATTTTAACTTATTAAATTGATGCTTGTTGAATTTTGTTTGTGCATACAGAAGAACATTGTATGTTTCAACAGAGATAGAAATAGATAAATAAAACATCCATGGTTGTAGGAGTCCATTATTAAAGAAGAAGGTCGACAGATGTAGTGTGTTGTTGTTTTTCTATCAGTCAGTCAACAAGCATTTTACACTGTTTCATAAATCATCCATTTCTCCCTTTTCTCTCTGTTTATGATTTGCCTCATTATTTCCACTAACAGCTGACATGGTTGTTGCAGACTGATTTGTTTACTCTTTATTTTGTTATCATCTATTTTTCCATGTGTTACACAGTCCTCTACCACTTTTATTTAACTTGGCAGAAATGAACAGAAGTAAGGATTTGTCTCAAGGTAGACCAGTTTTACACTACATATATTTTCTACTGTATGCTATTTAGAGTCTTCCTGAATACTGTTAAGGATCCATGACGAGTGGAGAAATGCATAAACCATGATGGAAGCTGCTGCTCAGTCGGAATAAGCAATCTATAGGTGGCAACACAGGTATAAGAGCTGTCAGTGTGATGCCACTGTGGGAGACGGTCTAAGGCATGCTAATGTGGCATTTGGCATCAGAAGTGAATGTGACAGGAGATAATGGGAGTAGACAGGAGATAGGCAGGACCTTTATCATCAATGTGATAACCAGCTCTTCCTTCCTCTTACCCATTTCATCTGAGGTCAATCAGAATTCAACTACAATTTGATCAATACACACATGCACACCTTGCTCTATTATGGAAGGAGTCCCTATTATAAACCAGATCTGATCAATAAAAGAAAAGAGTGGAGCTAAGCATGACAAGGTCATAAAGACAGGATATGTTGACAACGAAGAGCAAGAAATAGTAATCCTAATGATGTCAGTAATTTTGCCAGTAATTTTCTTTATGGATTAGCAGTTTCTTGTGTTTTCTTCAAGTATGCATCAGGACTAAGGATGGAGGCACAAGCATACAATGGCAGATATGGCAAGGAACATATGCCACCAGTAGTAAACACAAAAAAAAACAAGGAGAGAAAAAAAAAAAGAAGAAAAAGAAACCTACAGTACACACTTGTAAACAACACATTAAACATTCTTAAATTAAACATTCTTGTCCAATTATGATGTAGAGAAAGCACTGACACTCCTTAAAGCTCCTGTGAGGAACTTTTTGTTTTTGACAGTTTTGGCGCCCCCTGTTGACAAAACAGTCTTTGCTTATGCTGCCCTCTGTATGCTTATGTAGAGTCTTGCTGACTGCTGATAGTCAAATGCAAAACTTAAAAAAGTGAAGATTGCAAATTCAAGAATGTGTCTAGAGCTTCTCGGCTGACAGCTCCCCCCTTGCGCCACTTTGAGGCATTCAAAATTACAGTATTAAAAAACTGTCAGTCTTGTCACTGATGGTCTTGTTTGCTTTTGGATATCACAATAATGACAAAAATACTCACAGGAGCTTTAAGAAACGGTAATTGGTTGATGAAATTTACAATGACGAATATATTGTTAATGGTCACTCGAAAAATGCATGATTGCTCTTAATGTGTGGCTTCTGTTGGAGTGTCTGACCATTATTCAGTGATGCTAATGTAAAGACATTGACAGTCACTGCGCTATGTGAATGCTGTGTCTATGTGTTGATGGAAAATGCAAATGTGTTCTTTGGGTTCACAGATGGACATCCAGTAATAGTCTTCTGCTGAATTCATGGACAGATGTACCTTTTGGAGATCTAAACTGAATAAAACTTTCTTCCTTTTACATGTACACTTCTCTTTCAAAGAAGATTTGGTTAATTTAAGGTTAACACAACAGAATATTTAAAACATAGTAATTTTGCTTGAAGACTAAGCCCAAGAAAATCTTATGATCTTCATTTTTGCATCCTGGGATCAAATTCTTTTTTTCATATAGGCCGGTTTTAATGTCTGGATGCAAGTCATTCTGCTAGTCTATCAATCACCTCCCTGTGTGGGATCCCCACTCACCTATCTTTGCTCCACCTCCTCATTCCATACTCAGCCTATTGGCACATTAATCCCAAACTGCAATAGCTGCCGTAACGCAGATTGCATTAGCTGCTGAGTGATCAAATTAGGCGCCAGCACGCTTTCCCGCCTCCACAATCAGTGGCACTTTCCAATGGAGACAACTACACGCTTACAATCAATTTGCTCTCCTAATCTAATCAAGCAGCTCACGCATCTCTTTACCCTGTTGTATTTCTTGCACACTTGGTGACATGGAAAACATGAGCTCTGCAGTTACATAGTGACACACACTCACATCCACAGACACATGCATACGCCCCCACACGTACTGACATAAATTGCATGCATGCGCGGGCTTAAAGCATTTTCCAAGCATTCATATCTACACATGTCCTCGTGGACATGCATCACTACATCCACAAATAAACAGATTTGCCTCCTTCCTCTCCTAGGAGCTGGCTGCCAGCTTGTTAGGAGTTGGTTAAGATGTAGAGCAGTGAGCAGAGAGCAGGCAGCAGATGATGTTGACACTGTGTCTCAATCAACACCATTCATCTCTAAAGTGTGTCAGGTGAGAGGACAGGTGAGAGGAAAGGAGAGCGTCACAGTGGAGCAGGCAGCAAAAACACTGCTGTGCTGACTGTGTCATGTAAAAAATATGTCTACTGTGTAACAGAGACTTTCATGAAACAGTTAACACCTCTACTCATTTTCTCTGAGATAAAACAAACAGAAGGATTTTGTTTCTTTGAGAAATTCGATGCTCAAGACTGTTGACCAAACAGTGGTCTAAACTAATCTTTGTTCACAGGTAAATTAAAACATATTATCATGCACATTTCCTTGGTTTAAATTTGTCTTATGCAATTGATTTTATTGCAAAAACACCTAAATGAAGACATGATTTTTTAAAAGAATAAAAAAATGAAAAAAAAAAAACAAGCTTTTGACTATAATGGACATGTTTCAAAAAATCTCAATGACTTTCAGTCTTTGATCATTAATCAGAGCAAACACTCCACCACATGGATCTACAACATTCATCCCACAGGGAGAGAATCAACTGAATCAATATTTGCACCCATGAAGCATTTCTCCAGGCTCGGCAGTACAAACCACGGATGTCTCATCTCTTTTAATGAGGGATGGCTCACCAGGCATCTTTAACACAAAGATTGTTCCCTCTGCAGCTGCAGGCAGCCGCTTATTATAATAGGACATACAGTGCAGTCCATGGGGAGATGCTAAAAAAGGGGCTTAAAATACCAAACTAAATATCTGCATGCACATGAAGTCAGTATATGTGTAAAAAAGATGGAAGAAGTGGCATGGCCTTTTTCCATCATTTTATCAAGTGATGTCTTTATTCTTAAGTCTCTCTATACCAAAAAAACCCCACACATCTTAATCATTACTTTAAATGCATTTCTTCCAAGACCACTTTTGTCAAAAAGAATTAATAATTATTTTTCATGCAGTGGTTATAAGTCCCTGTTCTTACAGCTCCCTGTCTTTTCACATGCGTAAATGGAGTGCCAAACCTGCAACAAGGAGAGCACACCTCTCCTCTGTTTCATGTCACGGTAAGGAGAGCAGCAGCAAAGACCTCTTGGGGTACAAAACACAGCAGGCATCAGAGACATTACAGATGACAGTCATGAAATCAGTTACAGCACAGGAAGAAGGACCTGGGAGTGGAAGCTGGTTGCAAAGTGGCTTGTGGAGAAAGCAGCAAAAGAGGGCCGACTGACGCCATTTAAATAAAACGCTCATTTTGTCATGTACCAATGAGATGCACAGATGGTAATCTGAGCTGAACGGTCTGGGCTATATTGTGCTGTACCAGACTGCTTTGGTTGAAACACAGCTATTGATTCAAATGACTTTAGAAAAATATTTGACAGTCAGAGAAAAAAAATGTGTGGACTTTCATTGCTTGTGTGAAAATCCATATACTTGGTTGTTGAACCTGCTGAGTTTAAGGTGCAGAAACAATGTGGTGGAATAGGATTATGAATCAAATTAAGAATGGTAATATTTATAGATTTAATAGCTGCACGAGGGTAATGTCTCCTGAAGCTAAGCTGCAAATAAACTGTAATCTTCACCTGGAAATAAGGAGCACATTTGTGAAAAAGTAAAGGAGTTTCTAAGCTTCTATCTAAAAAAAAAAAACATGTGAAGGTTAGGTGGACTTCTTTTAATCTAAAGGTGTAATTCTGAGAGAAAATGTGTTTGTCTGGCATCTGGTAACTGACTGGTGACCTGGTTGCCCACCAGAATTGTCATCAGAGAATCAATACAATTGAAATTGATATGTTTTTTTAGGTCAGATGGTCCAACAGCAGGGGCATCAGGTTTAGAAAACAATCCAAAGAAACAGGACACCAATCTGAAACAATAAATCCGGCCACAAAGTTCAACAAACACCACGATGAGAAAAGAAAAAAAATATCTGAGCACCAGGTGTTAAAAAAGCTGAAAAATGTCAACTATAAGGACTAGTGTAGACTTTTATACAGGTACTATGTCTTTATCCTGTATTTCACTGGTCAGACAGTGATGACATTTATGCTAGGTGATTTTGCGCACTCGTTTTGAACTAATTAAAAAGCATAATAGCTTTCTACAAAGGCATCAAGAATAACCTAAGCTTAAAATGTGAAAGTGGCCACCAAAGACAGAGGTGAACAAGGTTTTTGATGATTACTTTTACATGAGAAAACAAAAAAAGGCATATACTGCGTGTCCCTCCATTTTTGAACCCCTTTAATCCCCTTTAAGATAGCAGAGCAGCAAGTGGGCAGTGATGCTGGCACTGAGGAAGAGGCCACAGGACAACACTGATGACAACAAAGGGAATCAAAGCTGGTCTCTGATCAGAGAGGATCGTCACTGGACATTGTTTCATTCAAGACCCCACTCAGTTAAAACAGAGCTGACTTCATTATGTTGTTTATGAAGCTGTGTCCTAGTTTTAAAGACTCCTGCTTACCTTCCTTATGTCAGACCTGGATCCCCCACTCAGCGGTGGAGACAGGAGCAAATACTCTTTCATTCCCAACAGGATTTAACTCTGTTTATATCCTAATAGTGCATGTCTGATTCTTAGGAGGAAGTCATTTTGTGCTGGATGCACTTTCAGTCCTAAGACTCGACATAAAGAGAGACACCTGCTCGTTTTACTGCATGAGCTACTGACTGATAGGTTGACTGATGGTTGCTCAAAATGTTCTCTGCATTATTTTGTTGTTTGTTTGTTGTTTAAAAGCCATGTTAGAGCCCAATATGCAATAATGACCTGATATGTAACAATGACTCAGTATGTACTGTAACAATGACCAGATATCCGATATGTAACAATGACTTGATATCCAATATGGAACAATGACTCAATATTCAATATGTAATAATGACCCGATATCTGATATGTAACAATGACCCAATGAAATGTAATAATTGGCCAATATTGTAACTAAAGTGTTCAGCCTGACATGTTATAAAAAAAAAAGAAAGAAACAAAACCCAAAATGTAACTAGTTGCTACATTTTGGGCTCAGTATCTTGTTACATCGTGGACCGATTATTACATTTTGGGTTTTATTACATTTTTTTTAATAACATTTCAGGTCATTGTTATATATTTTATTTTTTGTGATTAACCCTCAGGCTTTTTGTGGGTTTTTATTTTCATTTTTGACAATTCACATGATATCAGAATTCACTGTCAAAATCTGTTTGTTTTTATACTGTATTAAAAGGTAACGTAAAGGTGTCAACTTCTCCCTGGATAACAACATACATTTATATTTGTATAAGTTTAACATGCCAAATTATAAGTGGAGAGCAACATGTGGTCAAACTATAATTATTCCTGCTCTCTTCACAAGTGCTTCATGTTCAGCTTCAGAAAACACAGCTGAAGAGTTTTACCTTTAAAGCTTTGATGGGCAGTCACAAACCAGAATGGGATTACTTTAACTGTGGGTCTCTGATAAAACAAGGACATGTGCTCCCTTGGACCAGCCTTTTTATTGTGAGAGAGTGAAAAAGCAACCTGCTGTTAAGGGTCTGTTCCTGTTGTAACATCTGCTCTTAAGTGTCAGTTGCTTGATCATTAAATGCCACTCATAGTCTTAGAGAAAGTAACTCTCTGTGGGCATCACAGTAAACTGCTTTGTTGTCCTCTGGCTATGTGTTTTGTTTGGTTTTGTCTGAGAGGCTTACTTTGGTGGTTTTTGGCTGGATTACTTTTACTGAACACCTGAAGGGGGACGGGAAACTTGGAAAAGAGAGCGCAAGAGTGAAATGCATAGTCTCAGGTCAGAATGGGACCAATACTTCGGGGGCTTTTCCTCTGTGAATAAGGCACCTGTTCAAACACCTGTACTTAACCAGTGCCCCCTGATGAGCTGAGTCCTCAAAGCACAAAAAGTTTTGTGAAGAAGTACACAAAATATTAACAAGCAGCAAAATATGCAAACTAAAAGAGACACAAATTTCAGTTTCTTTTCTAAGTATGTTGCATTTAAACATCATCCAGTACACTGCAACCAGATTATTACCACTTTTGCAAAGCAAACACTACACGCTCTGTCTCCTCCCAGAATATCACTTCTATCCAATGCTGCTGAGATGGAACTGCCCAAGGGCCATCGGTGTCTGTGTGACTGCTTTACATAATCCCGCATCAAATTGTTCATCCACTGGGGTAAAAAACAAACACAAAGGGAAACACATCTGCAGCACAGCCACAGTAACAAAATCAGGAGATAAAAATCAGTCCCAGTAACACATTTTAAAAAATGTCAACAGCTGATCTCTTTTGACACCTCTGTGTCTGCTCTTCTTGTGAATCTGCAGCCAGAGGGTTGTGGATTTGTAGCCGTATGTTCCACCCAGAGGCGACTTTTTCAGTAATCTGGCATCTGTTTAATATTGCTCACCCAGAGTTGTGAGGCACTGTGGCCTTTTCACCGCAGAACAGCCAGAGAGGCAGAGGAGGGTGACAAAGGCAACAAGATTGCGGTTTATAGTACAGTGACCTGGAGTACAGGGCTTTGAGTAAAAAGGAGATTAGAGTATGACCATCAGTTGAAGGCAAACATGAGGTCTCTGATTGAAGTAAAAATTCAGCTTTGGAATAGGCTTTGAGCGGATTTTTAAAAAAGAGGATCAGAAAACAGAACTTTGTGAGCTAGTTTAAAAACACACTGCAACAAGAGCTAATGATGTTCATGGCCTTCATTGAGGTAAGCCTGATCCAGGGTAACAAACAGCAGTCACTGTATGATGCTCATTGAGAACATCAACTGCTATAAAAACCACACGTATTGTTTTAATCCCAATGTTATTGATAATGTTTTCTGTTACTTTGTGCAGCTTCTCCTGTCATCAACAATCAAAAGTTTTTTTTCCTCTTCAAAAGAGAAACTTTTTTCCTTTTCTAGTTCACATTTATCCCTCCAACCTTAAACTGCAGGGCTAGTCTTGCCTTTTGCGAAGTGTGCACACTTTAGCTGTCAATCATAAATACTTAAAGGTTTCATCTCAAAGCTGAATTTAATGCTGAATAGAACAACTTGCTTCAGATGGTTTTTTTTTTTATTTTTCAAAGAAGTTTGTCAAGCATCTGTGTAGATAGACTTCTGAGCGGTAAGCAGTTCATACATTTAGTGTTGCATAATGATTATGGATTAAGAACAAATGTGCAGAAAAACAGACCTCTTTGTGGCTCCAGACAGAGACCTATATTCAACCTGCAATAAACCTGTGTTTGACCTAAAGGGATATTCTGGCGTAAAATTAATTTAGGGTCAAACACACCGTAACACAGAGTTAGACACCCCCTCAAGAGATGAATGTTGCCGACCGCTTGCTTCTCTAGTTATACCAATGTTAGTAACAGCCGCACGATAGCAATACACAGTGGTCTGAGGAACCACACACAAACCTCAACCAAATTACTTTAATTTCTTTATCATTTCCTTGAAGAAACAATCACCATATTAATCATTTTGCACTCCAGACACAGTAGTTTTTCTGCATTAGCATCTCGGTCTGATTGTATTTCCATGAAGAAATGATCATAAATGTTCTTCCTTGAGCTGCGTCACCCCGCTGTAGTCCGTACTGGACTGGCCTGAGGTCTCGCTACAAACAAGTGGCTGCTGGAAGAGAGTAGGTGAGTTGTGTTTAGTCTCTTTGCCAAAGAAATTAGTCAAAGTTAAAGAGATGTTTGGTGGCTAGTACTAGTACCCTATATGTACTGTAGATGAAGTTAGGTGCTGTTCTGAGCATTATTTGTGGCTATAGAGTGGCTTTTTGGTTGTGGTTTGTGTGTGGCTCCTCAGACCACTGTGTATAGCTATCCTGCGGTCGTTACTAAAGTTGGTATAACTAGAGAAGCAAATGGTCAGCAACATTTATCTGGCAAGGGGGTGTCTACCTCGGTGTTATGGTATGACCCTAAATTTTACGCTGGAATATCGCTTTAAAAAATAGACTGAAAACGTACGGGCTGAGCCACAAGAAAAGCATTTCTGTTACATATTATGAGTAAAAGCAATAATTGAAAAATTTGCACAATACCTCAATGACCCTCAACCAAACATCTCTATAGATCATGTGCTTAGAATCACAGTGACTCTTTTGTCTAGACTCCTTTTCTTGCTACACAGCTACAAAACTTTGAAAAAGACATTTAAAGTATTTTTTGTCAGTTTTGAAAGAAAGAGAATTTCCTTATTGATTTTTGTTAAAAGAAAGTAAAAAATAAAAACAATCAGGCAGACATTGCTGCTTTTCTTTACAAGTTAATGTGTCTGTTTTGCTGCCTAACACACCCATCTTTCTCAGATTTTAGCTGACTATACCGCCTTGTGACACTTCTGTTAGATAAACCTAGTATTTCGAGTCTACCACTTCAAACAGACTCAGACTGAGCTTCAACTCCCCAGACAATTGCTATAAAAGGCCATGAACTCCCCTTAAAAGGCTTACATGTCTTCGCTGTGTGTAATAAGCTGAAATAAAGCCAATAAACCTGATTGGACTATCTGATGGACTAATGATTTTACACACAAACAAGATGTTGTGAGCTGAGAGAGTAAAAGTGCCTCCAAAGAGAGATTTTCCATCCGAATGGGCAATGACCAGATACCCTGTGGATACATAAGCTTCTGCAATCAAACCTTTTCATTTCTCCACTCTCTCACTACCTTAGACTCACATTCAAAAGGTAAATGGATAATTATTAGTCCAGTGGATCAGGTTGGAGCAGGATTTTCAATTTCAGAAAGAAAAGACTCTCTTGAATATCTGTAGAAAATAAATCAGCTTTGCATTTATTCAACACATCCGTAATGAAAAGCACATTGAAGAGTTAAAAGAATTCAAGACCTTTTCACGCACAATCAAATGACTGTTAAAATCAATAAGGTGTTAATGTTGCAACAACATTGCCATAGCAGCTATTATCCCCAGATCAATCAAAGTGTGGCAGTGTAGGTTGGAGAAAAGAAGCATAAGGTTGGTTAAACCCCAGTAACGCACCAAAACAGTCAGGAATTCAGACGAAAATGCCCACAGGTCACAAACACCAGAGTGAAAACACTGCCTGTCAGAGTGTGTGTTCAAGAGAGAGCATCTAATTGGCAGCATGGCGCGTGATGCCCAGCTGCAGTTTCAGAGGGAAGAGTATCCCAAGCCAGAGGGAAGCAGCAATCAATAAGAACAACACAAATGCTTCTGCCTGCTATCAGCCCCACTTACTGCTTCACTGGATTGTCACTTAGGATAAGAGCCTCAGAACAACCTTAGCAGACCAGCACAATGATTAAAGCCTGAAACCGCTTAAGTGTTTACAACATGGGCTTGAAAGGTGCAAGTGCTTGAAGGAACAGTCTAGTATTATGTTTAAGAAAAAGACACTCATTTGGTGCGAGGCCACAGCCAGCAGGAAAGGGGAAACAGCTGGGATGACTCTGCCTAGTGCTAAAAAAAAATCTGCCTGGAAGCAAATCTTATCACTTCAGAAACTAACCCAATACAGTCAATGATGTTTACGTCAAAAAAAAAAACTATGAATCTAACTAAACTTCTGCAAAATAACTGAGAGCATCAACCACAAATCTACATAGTCACATGTAAAAGTACCCCTATGAAAAATACCTGCTCAAATATTCTCATTATATTGTATTAAAAAAAAAAGAGTTTTGTGCTGTCTTCCTCTCTTATCACTGTATTTTGATGTGTTTATGACCCACGTTGAAGTCCTTCAATCTGATTGGTCAAGATGCATAACGTCACTGATTGATTGTCAACATGGACACCTGATCCAATCAATCTGCAGGGAGTGGACCGGTCTCCTTTCTCCATACTGGAAAGGAGACCGGTCCATCCCCCTGCAGATTGATTGGATCAATTCATTTAGTGGTTTTGCTCAATTTAAAATGTTTTATAAAAATAGAGAGCTGATGTCTTAACTTGACCATGAATCTCATCTACAAATCAAACAACTAAATTGAGAATACCAACAGACCAATTTTAATTTGTATGTTTGATGGGATTTTTAACAGTAAAGCAGGATAATGGTGAGACTGTATACTGAATGGATATGATATGTTACTGTTAATTTGATCTGTGAGTTAGCTGGTAAGAGTGTGGTTGCCATGGAAACTCTGAGGTTATGATAAACTGAACCTTGAAAGGGTAGTACAAGCCCCCAACCAGTTAGCTACACATCCTTCCCTACTTTTGTGTGACATATGTGTACTCTGTTCTTTCTATTCATCTTATTTCATTCAGTTACTTCTTAATAAAGTGGATCAGCTGAATATTCCTGGATAACTTACAGTAAAAATATGATGTTTATTTTCTCTTCAGCCAAGGTAGAGATCAGTGAATGTACTCTCAAGTTCAGGGTATTTGAAATCTTGAAAATAATTCTCATGACTTGCAGATAATTATTTAAACAGAGCAGTACTTTTGACCTATTCTGAACTTATGTTTAACTGATCAGGGAATCATCTCATTTTTTTATATTTATGTCTCTATTTGACCCACAAAAGCAATCAAAACATCAAGACAGGGTTTTCTATTTTCATACAGATATTTCTATCAGTATTTTTTATCATCTTTATGTATGTTATAGAATTTTGTCGGATTGCAGTGACTCAAATTTAGGGCACGCAACCCAAAAGAGGCTTTGTCTTCATCTTCATTGACAAAGTTGAATGGTGAGCGGTACGATAGCTCATTTTATACAAAAAGAAGAGAATTAAAAGAGCAGAAAAGAGTGTAAATAGGGGTTTTTGTTTCCTTCCTCATTGAAAGGTAGCTAATAGGTCTGTTTTATTTATGGCATAACTTGAGTGGTTGTGAATGGATAATGCAGTTCTTGGTGGAAATTGTGGTAACAACACTGAGTAAGGTTACAGCTAAGATGGTTTGGCTACTAGACTAACCCTTATCATTTTATTAGGGACATATTATAATTTAATGTTAATATCTCACACTGTAGGAACCAAAATACTATAAAACCAACAATTAATAAAATATTAAATATGTTCATCGAACCCATTTAGTCACAGACACCTTGACAAAAAGCAGCAATACTTCTAAAGCCTAAAAGAGGTTGAACAGTATGTAATGAATGTTACTCGAGACACAGGGATGGATGAAAAAAAGTGATAAAACCAACAATTGAAATTAGAACAATACTTTTGAAGCCTGACACAGCAAATAAACAAGCAGGCTTTATAAGTAATGAAATCTGGAAGATCCCAGTGTGCACATGCAGGGCTACAGCACATCATATCCAAAAAAAAAAAGATGAAACCGACATCAGCGTCACCGGTGTCTAAATATAGCAATGTGCATCAACAGCCAAGTGTTTCCTCCACAGACTGTCAAACAGCCGAATGAAGATATATCAAGGAATATTAATAGTAAACACAGAATATGAGAATTGCGGTTCAGACATCGCTTCCTTGTTATTAATGTTTTCTGTTATTTTAAGGTCATCATTATTGAGTTCCCTCACAAAACTTTCAAGTGTTACAACCAGTAAATATGTACCAGAGGGAGCAATACAGTGCAGTGACAGCATTAATAATAAAGGAGACATCACTACAACCTGCATTTTTAAGCGCAACAAAGACAGCAGGAGTGTGTTTCATCCAAATCTTAATTTTTAGCCCCCGTTGCACAGACACATGCTCGCTCACAAAATCACACATCACACATTTGACTCCCTGCTGGCGCTGCTTTTCTTCACTTTGATGCCATCGCAGCCACAACCCCTGCCATCTTGCACCATCCCACACAGAAACCGCTGAACAGTAAGCAGTCTGTGCCCTGAGCCGAGGAGGCATTAAAGATGCAGAATCCTGCCACACCTTCCCCCCCTACAGCTCCATTTTTTTTCTTTAGGCAGTGATCAGGTTCATACTGATTAAAAAGAATAGCATGAAAAGTAAAGCTAGAACAGTGTAAAACCTTGTTAATGCTGGTTTAATGTAAGAAAAACTGTGTGAACCAACAATGTGAACAGCATTTGGGGAATATTTTGGGTTTGAGCCTAGATAGGGCTGGGCGATAAAACAATAACTGTATTGAAAATTAATTTCCCTCAATACCAAAATAAAATATGGTCAATGTGCTTTTCAATAATCGGCAATCTGCCGTGTTTTGGTAGACTATACGAATAGCCAATAAAAAGGGGAGTTGCTTTTCAGCTTCGTTCTGAACTAATCATGTGCTGAATCAGAACCAAGTAGCAAACAACTGCGTAGTAGCAGGCTGCAGCTACACCCAACCATAGCACTTTAACACGTGAAGCCATGAGCTTCACATGAGTCCATGGCTCCTGTGAAGCCGAAACAGCCGACCATTCGGTCCGCATTCTCAAGTGCAACACCTTACAACAAAATGCTGAAGAGACACAAAAACCTCACAGATGCTGTAGCTTATTGTATTGAAAAAGACATGCTACCAATAAGCACTGTTAAATTTTATTTTTGATATCATGATATCAATATCGACTGATTTGCAAAAAATATATTTTGTGACAAACCTTTTCCTATATCACCCAGCCCTAAGCCTAGATGGTGTAAGAGGTCCTTTGGACTTGTCAAATTATTGTGAAAATCCAGTAAGTTATAAAGTGGTCAAAAAGTTTTTAGTTATTATAGCTTTGTGATTTTGAAAAAAATAAAATAAAATCCAAGTTTTAAGTATTTTTTCCAGGTGAGACAAACTCAAAGATACATTTTTTTTTCCATGTCTTAGTCACAGTTTGAAGGCACCATATGTACAAAAGCTCCTTTTTGATCCCACAGACATCTTAAAGTGAGCTAAGATAAGCTTCAAACTGTGTGCAGAGATGCAAAAAAATCATCTGAGGGTCTCAACAAGCTCTGAGCAAGTCAGAGTAAAGTTGAATTGCGTTAAAATATTCCTCCAACACTAGTCCTTCATTCGAAGTCTCTATTTTCTCTTTCCCTCTGTGCTAAATCTGTTCTGTTAAAGCCTTCTCCTTATTTCCTCTCTTTGCTGTTGAAAAATAACATCATCCGTCAAAAATAATAAAAGAAAGAATGTCTAGCAGTGTTGTAAATTATTACCTATTTAATTACGTGACGGGGGGGGGGGGGGAGACAAATTGCAATAAAATATAATCTTGAAAAAGTGCCTGAAAGAATTATGTTTAAATGATCAGATGTGCAAACACACAGAAAGCCTTTAATAAGGTGTAATATCTATGAGCCCAGTGGGATCCCTGTGTGTGTAGTGTCAATATATCACGGAACAAAGCAAAAAATAGGGTTGTTATCTGCATAACAAATAACTCCCCAAGCTGGGGCGTGAACCCCACTCCGTCTGTGAGATTATGGAAAAACCAGCCATAACAGAAGGACTGATATTCAGAAGTGACAGTGAGTGGGAGTTTTTTTTTTTTTTTTCACCTGATTTGAGAAGGAAAATAACTTGCTTTATAACCCTGTAACCAAAGGTGGTGGCGGCACAGTCATTTTAGAAGAGTGTCCTAATTCCCTGTTCGTGATCTGGCAGGTTGACTGACAGACAGTGTATAGTTTATCAGTTACCAGACACAAAGACTGAGTGACAAAAGAGAAATCATAAAAATAGATTTTTCTAGAGAGAGAAGCCGTGCCTGACTTTACAAGAATAGACTAACTGTGAACAGAATTACAAACAACTTCAATTTTATAGTTAGGAATCCACAGTTTCTCCACTGCAGAAACAGTGACTGCAGACTCATTTATATTCATCATGGACTGAATGGCATCTCAGTTGTTGTGTGCACAGTGTAGTGTACACACCTGAAATCAGCACAGTTCCACTGGCTATCCTCTAACCAGGCTGTTGAATGAAATATACATGCTGTGGACAGGACAAAACACATTTTCTATATTTAATTCAACAAATAACCTCAAAGAAGGTGCACAGGTAGTGCTTTCTGCTTGAATGAAGGCGAGGAATCAACATCACAGTTGGATACAATATCATGACACAACCTAGTTGAAAAAAGGGGGAAAACAAGCACAGTGTTTCTGAGTTGGTCGCTGTATAAAATGTTGATAAAAAAGAATTTGGTGGTATGTACATAATTGAATACCTATATAAATTAGTGAAAATACAGGAAAGTCAAAATACTAGATGTTAAAACTAAAAAAACCAAGGTTTTATCCACCTGAATCCCAGCCCACAATGTCTTGCATGAATTATGGGCAGATTTTCCGGTGCCTTCTGCACAAATCTCAATTATTAGAGCAATCGAGGAGTAATGGAGCGATCCTTCCTCTATCAAGTGGTGGGAGGACGATGTAAAGAAATGGCCTCAAATATTGTATACTTGCTACTTTGTTAGCTTCATTCCAGTAGATGGGGAGGCTGAGGTTTATATAAGAAGGTATAAGAAGAACTGTATTTATCCCCAAAGGGAAATTCAATTGTCTGCAGTCTCATTTGTCATGTCTCAAAAAGTAATCTACCATTTATAGAAGAATTGTAAAGTCTGATGGCTGTTGGTACAAAAGATCTTCTGAATGTTTCTGTCCTGCAGTGAAGAGAGAGGAGCCATCCACCACCATTAGCCCTTTGGTCCATTAAGGTGTTATGAAGTGGATGAGATGGTAAAGGAAGGGGAGAACTTGTAGTGGAAATTTGTTGCAGAGAGGAGGGTGGAATAGCAGTGGAAGAAAGTGTAGAGCAGTGTCAAATCAGTTGAAGAGCAGGTTGAGTTCATCAGCTCTCTCTCATCATATAGCAACAAGGTTGGTTGTGTTTTTGTTAAAAGAGGTTGGACATGATCTTTTGTACTACAGATGTAGAGGTGAGTCTGAGCCTCACTGTCCCACATCGCCGTGCCTCTGTTCCAGTGTCAGCTCCAGGTGGAATACAAACAGCTGGCTGCTTATGTTCTCTAGGACCAGGGTAACCTTGCAGCCATGCAGCTCCTATACTGTGGAAGGTGTGCTAGCATGGGAGTAGATTTTCCTTTTTAAACTAACAAAATTATTGAATAAATCACTGTGTCTGTTTAAAAAAAAAAAAAAAAAGGGCAATTTTCAAAAGTAGTTATATGACACCAAATGCATAACAATAGCATCTCATCACATTGGTTACACTCTGGATAAACACAAAAAGTCTTTGGGGGATGACGAGGTTGTGAATATGTAGGACTGAGCGCAGACAGAGCACGTATGTCCCAGGACCACCAAGGTTGAGCTACATTATTGTTTTCACTTCTGCAACTTAAAGAAATGATCTCATTGAGCCAGCATCTGCTTTACTTTGATTTACTCTGTTGTGTTTGTATTTCATAACACAGTGGGCTGTCTGTCATGGCTATAGTGCTGCAACTAACAATTATTTTTTTTGTCGACTAATCTATCGACTAGTCGTCCAATTAATCCCGATTAATCACTATCTTCTTTATTTATAAACACCTATTTCCGGGGTGTCGGCGTTTCAGGTGCTCATGCATCGCCGTGGTGCTGCCATGGTAGGAAAGCTGAGCTTTGATCAACGTGTTTTTTTTGGTTTGTTCTCCGTAAAATGTTCCCAAACTTTTGAAGTTTTGGGTCGGAGTTTTGGAGCATCTTTTCAGTTTTTTCTGCCATAATGTGTGCACTCTTCTTCTGTGTGTGCTCGCGGGATGTAAACAGCGAGCGCTACTGCCCCCAGCAAATCCTGTAGTGCACTGCAGTTATAGATGAGCATGAGGCGCCGGCATGTGATTCTTAACAACAATAACACGACGCGTCGACGCTTCGTTTTCGTGTCGATGAATTTGTCGTGTCGACGTAATCGATTACGTCGACTAATCGTTGCAGCCCTGCATGGATAGGGCTTCCAGTGCAGACAACCAGTCATGCATGTGCGTCCATTAGCATGCTTTTGTGTGTGTTTGCTATGCTGAAATTGGACTGGTAGATCCTAGTAGCATGCTAACTTTAAAAGTGGATTTTGGCCTGACTTAGCTAAACAGGCTAAATGAAAGACTACAAAATGTATTTGGTCATCAGATTCTACAAGATTCTCCATTTTCTTCATTATTACAGTCATCTTTGATCTGTTACTATTATAGCAAATGGTACACTATTATAGCAAAGATACTCTAGTTGTAGTAACTTCAAGTAATGACATCAAGCAGGCCAATCACCCATGCTAACTCTAGCTTTGCTTTAAGAGTGCTTTACTGTAGGGTGCGTGCTTGTGTACAGGAGCAGGGTGACCAAGCATCCTATTTTCCCAGGACATGTCCTGTTTTCACATCCTATCCTGGCCATCCTGGTTATTTTTATAAAGTGATGAAAATGTACCAGTTTTTTTTTGTTGTTCATTGGGCCACTAGGACAAAGAGGGAAACTAAAGATATGGAGTATCTCAGTTAAGGCTGCAACAACGAATTGATTAAGTCGATTCGTCGTGACGAAAAAATTCGTTGCCAACTAATTCTGTAATCGATTCGTCGGGTCTTTATATATGTCCATGGACACCGGCGTGTAAACATCAGCAGGACGCACAGAAAAGAAACAGCCATGGCCGAGGCAGCGGCTGAGAAAAACATGGACACAACCCAACCCAAATCCCGACCTAAAACATCAGTGGTGTGGGAGAACTTTACCAAGACTGAAAAGGAAGGCGTTGAGTGCAACATTTGCAAAGCCCGTTTTGCATGGCACGGGAGTACATCGATGATGCGTGAGCACAGGGCTCTCAAGTCTCACGCATTCAGCGTATGACACACACATTCCCACTCGTTCACACACCACACATTGTATTTCTCACGCATTTAAATGAACACGGTGATGTCCACCAAGTTGCACTTCTTTAACTATGGAACAGGTGGAAATCAACTGAGTTTCTCCGAGAGTTCAGAAGCTGCGTGCCACGCGCAAGCCAATCAAATAAAGTATGTCTACTGAACAGCCAATCAAAAAGCAGCATTGCTGTATCCGGGTAGATTTTGATATCTTGCGGTTTGACTACAGAAGAAGACAGACACTCGCCGAAATAGAGCAGGTTTTTATAAGGACGAGAAAGACCCGATGATTACAGTAAGTCAGTAACCTACACATGCAGAGACCTCAACACCTCATGGCAGATAAACTCATATGATAAACTAAAGCCCTATGCTATTGCTATTAACAGCTGCATTGATGAATTTAGCCTGTTTATCCGATTAATCGATTAGTTATTAAAATAGTCTGCAGATTAATCGATTAACAAAATAATCGTTAGTTGCAGCCCTAATCTCATTGCAGTGCCAAGTCCTGGTTTTTATCTTGGTTTTCGGTAAAAAAAAATATGGTCACCCTATACAAAAGGCTTTAGTCCTTCATGAGGTACCCCTTTGAACCACGCACAAAAAATCCCTAAGATGAAACACCGAGAATCAGTTTGGCAGCACAACTTCAAAATGTATAAGCCGTCACACACTTTGAACAAGTTTTCAAAAATCCTCTTCCAACGAATTTAATCTCTTAAAAAACAACTCACAAAACTGCCTTCACTTCAAGGCTCTAACCAACTTTAAGGTTCTTCTTTTTAACATTGTTTTTCTATTGCAGCATTACAAAACAATAAACAGAATAATACATCTATGCAATGACTGAAAAGCCCGTATGGCACAACCAAAAATATTCCTTATAAGTTTACATCTTCACTGTTTTGGGACCTGCGAGGCAAACAAAACTGTAGTACAATCATAGGGAATAGCATAATACGATGCTTAAAGCTTGCCTTGCATAAATGGATTACTAGATGTACTGAAGCTATCTGTTTCTCATCTTGCATGTGCCCAGAGGGGCTATTTGGAGTTTTGTCTGACATGCCACCAAAATACCCCCTCAAGTCATTGTTTGCTTTCATTCTTCAGATCCTGAAAAGATGCTTTCACAAACATCAAAGATTCGACCAAATCCTGTAATATAGTGTGACAGCTATGTCTTTATCCGCTCATTTTTTCCATCTTTCACCGGCGTCCCTCTCAACCAGAAGATGATATAATCTTAGGCATACTGTGCGCATACCCACTCATCCACTGCTGACATTTAGACGAAGATAAATACCCAGTTTTTGAGCACAAATTCACAGGATCTGATAAACTGGTAACCTCTGGTTATAAGGAGTACATAAAAACATCAGGATTAAAAAACATTTACACCTTGATTTCTGAGCTCCCGTTTTACCTCCCTGGGTGTTTGCGTGTGTATTAGATTATGTGTTGTGCATGGACGAGATAAGGCAGAGTAAGCAGGTGTTGAGAAGGAGCTGGAGCTCTCCTCTGGACTGAAGAAACAGTGACTGAGTGAAAAAGGGCAGGTCTCCACTTAACCTGCTCTCTGATATCTAAAGCTCTGTAGGAGTCCAGGTGGTGTACCGGAGCCTGTGATAAAACACTTTCACACAGAAGGCTGGGCACACAGCCAGATAGTAGGCTCACCTCCAGTAAGCCCCCTAGTTGTGCTGGCAGTGCTGGTTGGCTTTGCTTGACTAAGAGTTAAAAGGATTAAAGCTGCGTGCACACAATATTTTTATGTGAAACATAATCAACCTACAGGAGCCTAATTGTGTAAGGTGGTGATACAGATTTGGGTATTCTTTATCCAGTTTGATGTATTTTCTTGTTCTTCAGCAAACACATTTGGTCCGCCCACAGTTTTAACATCTATGGATTCAAAGATGTCACCCCGCTTGTCTTCTCAGTCACAGTATGTTAAAAGAAACTGGCACGCATGAAAAGGGACAGGCTTCAAACAGAGGGAGGTTGTAAAACAGACTGAAAAATTAAGTCAAACATAGTGGTGCAGAAACTGTAGTACCTCTAATGGCCACTTGAGGGTGACTCCAAAAGCGAGTCCGTCCCAATAGACACATGTTCAACTTTAACATCCAACTTTATTGGAAGATTTAACCATAATAAAAGCAAAGATCAAAATTCTGTTATTGTCTTTACCACTTTTTTTAATTTCATGGCAATCAGTTTGAGTGCTTGAACGTGAATTTTAATACTTTTACGCATGTATACTGAAGAGCATACTTATCGCAGTCATTCAGGTTTAATTTCTAGTCACTAAGATTTCATAATTGTCTTTATCAGCTTCACCGTTTACAATTTAAATGGCTAATCATGTGTGTACCGTATTAACAGCCCATTCAAGAAATCTATGTTCCTCTTTCTGCAATTGTAACATTATCTTCTTTATATACTCTTTTAACTGTAAATATCTCAACCATTTATTCTGATGAATACGTGCTCTGTCTGCGCTCAGTCCTACTAACTAACTCACCAGCTGGTGATTTCACCTTGGGCAAAAACTATGATCAGAATCAGAATCATTTGTAAATGGCCCCACACCAGTGTTGGTGGAATTTGTTTTTTCGGTACAGCACATCATGCTCACATCAGAAATCAAACAATGCAACATTACAAGACAACAGATGTAGATACAATTAACTTCAGATATTCACTTAGTGACCGTTTGGCAGTGGGGAAAAATGGTTCTTAAATCCGGCTGAGTTGGCTGACAAAGACCTGTAATGCCTTCCAGAGGGCATGAGTGTGAACAGGTGGTGCGTAGGGTGTGTATGGTCAGAGGTGATTTTCAGTGCTCACTGTGTGATTTGTCTTTGATACAGAGTCTCTATGGATGGGACGGTGTAGCCAGTGATTTTGGATAATGTGTTGATTACGTGTTGAAGTTTTGTGCGTGAATGATTGTTAGCACTCAGGTAGTAGAGCATTTAGGCAGTAGTCCTGGCTAGTGACAGCTGGCCAAGCTACACAACATATGACAAACAACTCACGCCTAGAGTAATAAAAATATTCAAGAATTTGTTCAACTGACAAGAAAGGGAGACAACAATTAATTGTTTAGGCAACTTTAGACACACATTGCTGATATTTCACTGTGTTTGCTGAAAGAGTTAGCACCATTTGCATTATTATTTTTACAGCAGAGGGATGGACAAAAATATATCAGCCTGTTTTACTGCCATCTATTCACCACCACAAGTTAAACAATGCATGTCGGGAATCTATTTCATTATTTGTACACAGACTGGCAAGAGTTTCATACAGTAAAGCACAAAGGTACGTCACACCAGTGTCTCCCATCTCCTCTAAACCTAATCATATAGTACACAAGCACACATTTACAACGCATTCACCCACCCCCCTCCAAACCAGGCTCCTCTAAACGATACTCCATTATTAATGAGCCTCACTGTAGTAAGTATGCATGATGTACTTGCCACTCCAGGATTCAAACTGAATGTTACAGTGTTATCAGACCATCTACAGTGCACGAGCTGCTCTGTAACAGCCTGTCACAGCACTTGAGTCAACTGATAGTCTGTAACAAGCCTTTCTGCCTCATGGCGGGCGAGTTTAGAGAGTAAAAACTGATGCTATATGTACGCTGACATAATCTATCTGACAGACAGAAGCTGCACACTGACACTGGCTATGATTATGCAACAGTGCTAGATCCTAAAAGGGAACACTGCTGAATTTTAACATGAAGGGAATCTACTCCTACTCCTTCAGACTGTTTGAACTGTGTCAGGGCACATGTTGGAGTTATACCTTTTTTGTGTGTGGTGTAACAGCTAAACCGCACCACAAAAAGCTACAAAGGTAAGGAAGGATGATGAGCTAAATAATGTTGCTGCTGAAACTTTTTGGTCTTTACTTTCTGGGAATCATCACCAGCTCCATTTGCAAACATATACTAACATAAGCGTAGTAATTCTGAACCCTAGGGGTGGGAGAAAATTTGGATACAGCAAAGTGTTGTGATATTTTGCCTATTGTCTCATCTACGAAGTATCATTTTTTCAAATTAATTGATATGGACTCAGATCTATGATAATGGAAAAATAAAATCAATTGTTTGTCCAGTGAGGTTAGCAGAGGTGATATCATAGAGCACCTGGGGAAAGACATTAGGAATGCAAGCAGGGCACAAATGAGATGGACCTGACACATGAGGTTTGCAAGAAATGCTACATGAAAATAAAATATTTCGACAGTAAGACAAACATAAGAGAAAGACAGATGCTAAATCAGCTAAGTAGTTGAAATTTTTTACAATTTGCAGTATATGCTAAAGCAGTACTTACTGTATCGTAAAATGTTTAAAATCGCAATAATATCGAATCGTGGCTCAAGTATCGTGATAATATTGTATCGTGGGGCCACAAGTGATCCCGACTCCTACTGGTCACCATATCGGAAATGCTGACTCCAATTAACTTTTGGCTAAGCTGCATAACTGCCAATGAGGTGGAGCTGAGCTTATGCTACCCTGGCAACCAACTATGCACCTTCTTATCTGTTACATGGAAATGTGCTAAAAAGGGCATTTTAACATGAGTGCTCATGAGTTTTTCTTGATGTTTGGGGCCATAGAGTGTATAAACTATGGACAATTTGGTTCCGCCTACCGCCTGTATATGGATTTGAAACCAAACAGCTCTCGGTATTTCCGGGATTTTTCTTCATTTCCTAAAACCAGTGCTGCGCAGTAGCGATGTGCGCATTCCGCCAAGAGTCGCTGTGATGACGCTCGGCTAAAACAGTGTATCGCCCGGGAGAGCTACGTATCAGGTATCAATCATAGAAAACATGAACCTTCTAATAACTTATTAACTTAACTACATGTCAACATCACAAACCGGGGGGAGAAAAATTTATGTTTTGTGTAATACATTTCTAAAGTTTGTCCACAGCCCCATAAGGTTTGCTGGCGGAAGCGGGATTTATGACCTATACTGCAGCCCATCAACAGAGGGTGCTGTTCTCAGAGTGGCTTCACCCAGCGAGGAGGCAGACGGCATCCATTCTATATACAGTCTATGTTTGGGGCCAAAAAAAGCAGTTTGTTGCACTTCTGCATTTGTTTTAGTTGTCTTCACCAGAGTTTGGGAACTGAAACCATCATACATCAGAATTATTTTATTGACTTTATTGCAAAGTCTTCTGGAGCCACACAGTGGCGTCGCCAGACAGATTTCACTAGGGCACGTGCCCCAGTATTGATCTGCAGTGCCCCAGTAAAAATTTCACCAATAAAAAAAAAATCCCTTCAGAGTTTTTAAGTCTACATGGCATCGACTACAGCGCACATACTATTTAGTATGGTAATTCAGTGCTACTGTATTCACTCCACATAAACAATGCGCACATGGCTAATTAATATGGTAATTTATTCACGTGTTGTGACTTCGGTTGATAATACTTCCGTGTCAACTCGAAGTCGAGAGAGCGAGAGAGAGAGAGAGAGAGCAGGCGATGAGAATCACTGCGTGAGGCAGGTAACGTTAGCCGACAACAACTTGTTAAATATATTATTTTGATTTTGATTTGACTCGAACTGTAACTCCTAGATGGATATCAGAAAGTTAGAAAGCAGGGATAAAGCAGCGAGGAATGAGAGAGGTAAGTGAAGTCCTAGCTAGCTAGGCAACATAAGTCTGTCTTAAATTAATGCTAAGTTAGCTAAAGTTATTCCTTGTATCAAGACAACCATATTAATTTGTTGTACGAGCTGTGGGGGGAATTTCCAGTGAGTTTCATCAGCATGAAACATAATGATGGTTATGATCTGCTGGTTCTGCTGGTTCTGCTCTAGACCTGTGCATCAAGGATGATTTTGAGTAAGCTTGTGTTAGTTGACAGATATAGCCTATGGATGGTGCAGTGGTTCTCAAATGGCCTATCTTCAGGAAGAAAAACATTTTTTATATCTATATTTTCATGTCTGTCCAAACAAAGTGGAACAACAGAGTGTTGGCAGAATATACAAAAATACAGAAATACAAAACCTCCCATATGAGGAAAAAACAAAAAACAATTTTTTGGAAAACAAAAAACCTGCCAGTTTCTTACAGAATGCTTTTTGGTCAGGTGACTGTTTTGTCACAAGGAAGGGTGGTATTTTTTATGAGAAATAAGTGCTGAATATGTTTTTTTTCTCACACACTTTGCGCGCTCTCATGAATTTTTTGTGCCCCAGGTGTGCCCCAGTACAGCATTAGGTCTAGTGACGCCCCTGGAGCCACAAATGTTCATTTCCAGGCTGCAACAAACCAACAAAAACAACATTTGTGTTTGCTTGATAGGACACCCACAGAGATCATTCTCTAAGGACCAGCAGCTCATACTGGTTGGTTAAGCCATGTGGGTGCAGGAATGCTATTAGGGTGTAACACAAGAAAGGTGAAAAACGTTGGGGGGAGTTGAAGTTAACAGAAAGAGCAGAAGGCGCTCAGAGATCACAAGAAATGTAGTATATTGACAGCAAAACATTCCAGATTGGGAGGCAAAAAATAGAGCTGATCATCATTGTGTAACTCTTCTCTCTTCATATTATGTGCAGCTACTGCCGTATTTGAAGAAAGGTGCAAAATCTCAGTTATTTCCTCAGTGCCGAAAGTCAACACCACAACCAACTTAGACCTTTCAGAATAGTCTGCCTATGACAAACAGGCTATCTTTAGCATGGCTTTGATATGCTTGCAGATTTGGATACAGCCAATGAATAATGCCATCGCCAAGGTCATTGCCCCTCTTCTTCCTTTTGCTCGACCAAACACAACAACAGATGGGTGACTCAACACAGAAAAAGCTTCACTGTTTTGGCACTACATGCTGATGATGCGCTGGCTTTGAACAGACAGCTCCAACCTTGCAGTCAACTAATAAAATGGTTCCCAGAATTAAAGAGGAACAGCGATTGATTAAAGTTCAAGTGCGACCCCTCTAGCTATAAAACAGCCCGTTTTTTTTGTTTTTTTTTACTGTCATGCATATGAGGAAGAAAAAGTTAGAACCCCTACAACAGGTAAAAAAGTGCATCTATACTGTAAGTGAATCCTTTTTACCTAATGTGAAGAGACCAGCAAGAGCGTGCCCACACTCTCACACACACTCTCACGCATACTCTAAGCATTATTCATGCAGTGGGATGCCCCTAAATGAATCCATGTGTGTAAATGTCATCAGTAAATGTCAATAGCATTTTGAGGCCTGTCCTCGGGACATGAAGCCCAGCATATGGGCTGCAGGAATCACACCTACCTTCATTATCTTCTAACTCATCCATTCTTAATCTGCTTATGAGAACCTCATCTGTACATGTGATGAGTTTAACAACATGTGAGTGAGGGTCATTTTGCAAGCGGGAAACAGAAGAAGGACAAGTGATAGTAGAATTTGAAATTCAGAGAAACAAGAGAGTGAAGAAATAACCTTGGTTTGGTTTTCCTACATGTATGCATGTGTTGTCAAGCAGTTTGGGGTTTCCTTTGGGATCCATCTTTGTTATAAGCATTCAAAAACAGCAGCTTACATAATCTGGTGATCCCATGTGGTCGAAAGTGCCATTGAGCCTGTTTACACCTGGCATTAACATGCAACTATTGTAATCCAATCACAAGGGCTCATTGACATTCAGTATTTCGGTCCGTATTAGAAAGTGGTCTGAGATAAAACGGACTGTATGAAACATGGACAAAGACTCATTGGTTTCTGAAGAGGAGTTAAAGAGGTGTTATGATTCATCTTGTTTGAGAGAAATAGGTGGAGCTTTGAGGGCCTTATGCTCCCTGTCAAATAGCGTCAAAACACCCTTCTATTATTCAACACCCACACCCCTTATAATGCAATTTTTATGGTTAACCCTTAGCCAAAATAAAATCAATATGCATGAATGATATGGAAACTTTTATCCTACACAGTTATCATGAATAGAAAAATACACTATTGAGGCTGCAATGATTGAATGTATATAGCTGTAATCATATTCATTTTCCATACAAGGCCTGATGGAGATTCTTTGGCATTTCAATCCAACCGTAAGTAGACACATGGAACTGCACTTTTGTTGGCTCTAAACTGTAACACCAAAGGTTGCCCTAAGTCTGAGACATACATTTGTTTGGGAGCATGGATGGCACATCGAAGGGCCCCCAGTCAGCTATTTATTGTTGTCTGGTGTAATAATTCTTTGCTGTTTTTCATGAATATCATTTGAAATTTTTCTAATTCTCATCTAATTTAAAGCATTATGCATTACTATAGGCTGTGCACAAAAATAAAAGATAAATCGTGCCTCGTATAATTCTGCAAGAAGGGTGAATTTTATTCACTGATACCAAACAAAAGAAGAAATTGGGTTACAGCTGTAGCAGTTATTCATAGCTTATAATGATTCAGCTCAGTGACAAAACAGGCTTTTCATGGTGAGGTCTAGTAAACTTCATGTAGCAGTGTAGTTTATATACTCGCTGATGAACAACAAAAGTATAGAGAAACACAAGGCTTCACAAGCCAAGAAAGTTTACCACTTCATCAACCCCTCTGTTTATTTTCACCCACTCATTTTCTTACTCTTGCTTGTCCATGACTGCCTCCCTTCTCTCTAATCTGCAACTATGCATGACAGGGTATTTTTTTATCAGTTTATGTTTACATGGACTAATTAAAGGAATCAAGACCATGTGTTTGAGTGTTTGTTTACCAGCATTAAGTGGTCACTAGAGACGCATGTGAGGTGCATTAGTACAGCAGTGCTTAAGGTTGACACATTATGGAGATGTTTAATACCAGGTGTAAACAGCTTTTTTCAGTTGGCTTCTGCTCCACATCATGGTAATAAATTTTTAAGATGTCTTTACCTCGATGTAGGAAGAAAGTCTGGGGTAGACTCTGTAAGGTCCCAGCACATTGGACAAAGTTGTGGTGCAGGGAAAGCTGGTGGTCACAGCATGGCTCACTTCAGGCAGAGAAAATACTTTGAAGCCAAACTTCTGATACATCTCCTGCAGTTCTTCATCTGGCCTCTCTTCACCCTCGCTCAGGACGCTGCCCACCACATAGCGACATTTCTCTGCTGGCCTCTGAGGGGACAGAAAAGATGGGTAGAAGTTTACATAAATATGTATTAATCCCCTTTAAGCCCTTTGCAGAGCTTTGCAAGGGGGGAAATGTGTAGCCTACATATACGACCACAAAACAAAGCAATGCAGCTCCATCTGTTGGAAGAAAAGTGTGATAGTTGTTCTGTTGTGTTTTACTGCAGAACATTATTGTTGGTTGCAATATTATTAATAAGAAAAGAGGGCTCAAAAGAAAACAGGAAGACCCAGAGGAAGGGGCGAATCAGGATGTAACTGGTTCTTGTCACTGATGTGATATATGCTGCAACAGCAAAAAGCTAAACATGCAAGAAAGTGAAAAAACAGATAGTTTGATTTAAATTTAAGGAGACATTGCATCCTCACATAGTCCTCACAGCCAATGCACAGAGCGCTGCCATCAGTAGTAAACGTCACACAGCCAGGGTCACATATGTGACAGATTAAACTTTAGCCGTACTGAAAATGGTCCCTTCTTTTCACGCTATAATTAAGGTATAATAAAAATGAAGCTATTTTTACAGTATATTTCCCACTCAAAACAAAGATATAAAGATATGGAGATACTGACACATAAATTAACATTAAATTAAATAAATTAACAAGATGCAGTTTGTGTACACTTGTTTCTTCAGAATAGCCACGAGCTTGCACATCATTCATCTTCCTAATAACGCTTGGAGAGAGCAGAAAAAAGGTGCAGACATTGATGTTAACTCTTTTATACTACTAAGCATCTCTGCCACTATAAAACCTCCAAGACTGCCCACATGTCTGCATGCAGATGAGACAGACAGAGACACACAATCACCTCATAAATTGTCAAAGTATCTGATAGAGTATCACCCACTCACATCTGTCTGCAGACTGGAGGTGGAGCTTTAGATGGAAAATGGGAGCTGTTGTTAACGTGGCTTTCACTTCTTTTGATTTCATGTCAGAGTACTGCAAATCATGTTCAACAGGTACACTTTATATTTCAGAAAGTTTCTGGTGCTTTTAATTTGAAGTAGCCAGGTACATCTTTAGGAAAGTATGTTGATAACATTTTTGTCTCTCAAAAACAATCTCTGAAATGAAGTACTGGACAACAGCTGAATGATACCAGTGTCACAAATATGAGAGTTATGTTGTTAATGGAAAAACTCTGATGGCTCCAGTCATGCTATGGCACAAAACAATGCAATAACATACAGTGTGATAAAATACCATAAGATAAGATACGCCAAAAAACATAATCCAATCCAATGCAATGCGATACAATTACGATTATGATACAATGCAATGCGATACGATATGATATGATATGACATGATGCTAATCAATATGATACAATAAAATACAATATGCAACAATACAATACAATTGATCATGACACAATACGATGCAAACAATATGATACTATGTGATAAAACATTATATTCTGTAGGTCTGGGATTTGAGTGCTGCTAAAATTTAGATGCTCCCACAGATTAACCAATAAAAAGCTTGCAACTGACAGCCGACATACAAAATAACACATACCAATGACAACCACAAACAACATGTTTTGCACTTTTCCCTTGTTGCACATTTTCCACATAACACATGATATAAATAGGTGAAAATATAAGAATACAGTGTCACTATCACACTAATATTACTGACTCAAGACAGACTGTTTTTAGTTTCAATAAAACAACACTGAAGTCTTTATTAGCAGGGGGTTTAGTGTTGTTTTATTTTGATACCAAGGGGACTGGTGTGTTTATATGTGTTTTTGTTGATACTTAATATCCCTTTTAGTCTATGTAAGAGGCCAGTACTGCTGTTAATTTTAGAGTGGATCTATATTTCTCTTAATCTACTGATATCAATTTTATAGTGGATCTATATTTCTCTTGATTTTAAGCCAGGTAAAATAAACTGGATTCCTTTATTTATGCAGGTTTATTGCCATGTGTACTGATATAACACTGGAGAAAAACATGCACAGACTATAATCACAAATATCTTTAATGTTAGATACTACTTACTTCCCTTAATGTCTGCACTGTATGAAACTCAACTTTAGGATACAAATCAGCTGATTTATGATAAAGAGAACAAAGAAACATGGACTTCTGTATAATACAGTTCAGATAAGCCTGGTCTCTGACTGTCATACTGTACTTTATATTAAAAAAAATAAAGCATATCCAACCTTAATTGTAGAAAGTTAGTACAATATTGATTTCTAGTCTTAGAAATCTAGTCTGTGTGATCTCTACCAAAGAGATAAACCACAAAAACCATGCTACAGTCCTTGAAGACTTGCTGCTGGTTTGTGCTCTGTGACAGTGGCGGACTATGAAGGGCTGGCACTGAGGGGGCACAGATGGAAGCCAGCAACACTCATCCTCATGTCCCTGGCATCCTTGCATAATTACCACATCTAAACGCCACAATCTTCTCTTCTTCTCCCTTCCTTTTTTCACTTTCGGGGATATTTTTGACGGCATTGTACTGCTACTACACTGCACTCCTCCAAGTCATCCCACTTTGTTCACACAGCAGCTTTTGTGGCATAATTCAGCATTTGTTGGCTGCCAGTGAGACTCCCAGGCTGAAATAAATCTATTTGATCACCCCACCCCTAACCCTCAGTGCCGCTTAATGCCTGCATCATGAGGGTAATAATAATGACTGACAGCATCTGTTCAGCATGAGGCGATAATCTCCACTGTCACCTGACAGAGACCCTTGTTTCTGTGTTTAACCATGAGGAAGACATCACAGATCACCTAATTCTGACAGAGTATCATTCATCCAAGGCAGCATAAGATACACTGGATCTATTTACGATGTAGCAGTGAGTCACTGTAAACATGAGCAGTCATAATGGCTGTATAAGCACTGTTGGAGTCAATCATCACAGCAATGTTAAATCAAATCCATGTCTTACTCTAGTAACACATATTGCAATAAAATAAAATATGGGGGAGAGTTTATAATGAGATGGCATCTATTTAGACAACATTCAACCCGACATCAGGCTGCCAAAACTCTGGCAGCAACAATTCATAAGGACAGTTTGCTGGCAACAGGAGCCTTTATCATCATGGGCATTTTATGTATTAAACTAGGTTTAGCTACATTTGTTTGTGTCTGGGGAGCGGCTATGGCTCAATGATAGAGTCCCTTGGTCAAAAGATTGGGAGTTCAGTCCCAGATAATAATGACAGTCCCCTGCTATAGTGTCAGTGTTTTCACTGTATGAATGTAGTGTGGATGTGTTGATGTGGTAAGTACCATAAAAGTGCTATGACTGGAAAAGCACTATGTTAGTGCAAGTTCATTGACCATTTACTTTTTAAAGGGATATTCCGGCATACAATTAATTTAGGGTCAAACACACCGTAACTCGACAAATGAATGTTGCCGACCGCTTGCTTCTCTAGTTATACCAACTTTAGTAACAACCGCACGATAGCAATAGCAGCCGCTTGTTTGTAGCAAGACCTCAGGCCAGTCCACTACGGACTGCTGCGGGGTGAAGCAGCTCAAAGAACATTTATGATCATTACTTTAGAATTTCCTTGAAGTTATAATCACCATATTAATCAATTTGCACTGCAGACGCGGTAGTTCTTCTGCCTTAGCGTCTCAGTCTAATTGCATTTCCATTAAGAAATGATCATAAATGTTCTTCCTTGAGCTGCGTCACCCCGCAGCAGTCCGTAATGGACTGGCCTGAGGTCTTGCAACAAACAAGTGGCTGCTGGAAGAGAGTAGGTGAGTTGTGTTTAGTCTCTTTGCTAAAGAAATTAGGCAAAGTTAAAAAGATGTTTGGTGGGTAGTACTATGGCTGGGACCCTATATGTTCTGTTGATGAAGTTAGGTGCTGTTCTGAGCATTATTTGTGGCTATAGAGTGGCTTTTTGTTAAAGGTTTGTTTAAGGCTCCTCACACCGCTGTGTATTGCTATTGTGTGGTTGTTACTAAAGTTGGTATAACTAGAGAAGCAAGCAGTCGGCAACATTTATCTGTCGAGGGTGTTTCTAACTCGGTGTTATGGTGTGTTTGACCCTAAATTAATTTTACGCTGGAATATCCTTTAATACAGATTTTACCATTCATTTATAACATGCTAGCAAAAGCATATAGCCTCTTGTTTCACTTTGTTTAACTGCTACCTTAGAAGCTGCTACTATGGCTGTAAATATCAATATGTATTTATCATAGTATGTCAAATGTATGGAAAAACATGGGGAAAATAATCAACTGTTATGTCCTCATGTTATAAGTAATATCAAAAAATGATTCCTGCTGGTAAAACTTCACTTAAATATTGTATAAATTTTTCTTATCACAATTTGGAGTAAATCACTGATCCAGAATAACTGAGGGATAGCTTCAAATTGCAGCTTTAAACACTGAATAAAATATTAAAGACCTTCATTTTTATATACATTTAACATATATTTTACAAGGTCTTATCTAATTGGATTTCTACTCAGAGGCTCATCTGAACATGAAAGTATCATACATATAAGTGGAAGTCAACAAGCTCTCTGTACTGAGCTGCTCCTTGTCAACACTGGTGGTCTATGATAAGATGCTACAATAGCCATTCAAACACAAAGGGGATAACAACTGTCCTCCCACGTCTCGCTCCAGTATCCTACCATCTCCCTATCTTTCAAGCTCGCCACACTGATTGACTGTAGTGTGTTCGCCGAGCCAGTAGTTCACTAATGATATCATTCAGGGCTGTAGCTATCATTCACATCCCACACAGGGGCTAAAAAACAAACAGCCGTCCTGACTGCATCTCATCTCTGCTTCCCTCCAGATAACAACCCCTGAGACTGCCGCCAATTAGGAAAGAGAAGAACACCACTCCATGTACTTGACTTGTCTCATCCTCTCCACCAAAGTTGTTTTGTTTGTGTCTGAAATTCTACCACCACAAAAGGTAGAATTTCTAAGACACTGTCTCTTGAAGTCTGCTGCTACTAAAGCTGTGTTTTAAAAGACAATGGGCCATCCCATTTCTAACAGGTAGCTGAGGAAAGCCCACTGTGGCCTCTGATAAGCTGAGGTGAGAGGCAGACAGTAGGCTAATGGGAGAAAACTTGTGCGCTTTTATCCTGTAACTGAACTCTGGCATGTTATGTTTCTACACTAAGCTGCAGGACCAACTCACCCATTTATATTTTATAATTCCTCTGAATAAGCCTCTGCTGATTTCATCATTTTCTACATTTCTGTGTTCTCAGCAAGCTCATTAAATTGAATTTAAAAAAGAAAAGGAGACATATACGTCTAAGTTTGGTAAAGCTCTTGACCCAGGAGAGATAAGATGGCTTCATGTCACAAATGGTGCTGTCCCCATCTCTACCTGATTCCTGTTATCCAAGTCTCCAAGGACCTGTTGGTGGAGAAAGTAATTTCAAAAGCAATTCTTTGCTTGAGGCTACAAGAGCTTTTTTTTGATGGATGAGGACTCTCCAACAATAAAACGATACAGCTGACAGAGGTAATTCTTTATTAGCAGACATGTAATGAGGATTTACTCTTTTCATCTTTCCTCTTCTTGGTCCCTGCATCATTTCCCCTCCTGGCTATCATCAATCGGGATGCATTACTTTCAACGCTGGCCGGGTTTACAGTTGGTCATTTGTGAAGTGTTAGCAGGTTACAAAGGACAGAGACCAACAGGCCTGTAATCTGTTTTGCAGGGACTTCAGCCAGGATCATAATGAGTGTATCATGGTCTGACTGACCAAAGACTATAAGCACACTCATTAAAACTCAACTGACTGATGGACAAAAAGTTCAAATGAATAAGCAGAGTGTGGCGGCAATGTCAAAAGGCAATGACTTCAGCTCCCTCATAAAAGGAAAAGCATAAACAATGAAAAGGCAACAAAGCAGTGCTGCTATGAGACACATGATAGTGTTGTTTAGATACCATTTTTCCTTCTAAGAACTGACCCTAAAGACCGAGACTAGGGAATGAGCTGTTCCCGAACACTCCAAAAACACCAAGCAGAAAAAAGAAGTGCAAAGAGCTGCTGTCCCTCAAGTGTCCTCTTGGGGCTGGATGCAAAAGGCTGAAGAATTCCTCTTTAGGGCTCCGGTTAAAAAATCCCTATTTTCACCGTCAAAATAAACATGTTGACTGCTGTATACTGCAAATAAAAACTGTTCTAAGTTATACTGGTATGGATAGTGACACAAGGATAAATATCTTCACATTTCTTGCAGAAATCAAGGTTTTAAAGATGAATAAATCAATTTCTACAAGACTATCTTTTTCAGGTTGACATATAGTTTGCATAATAACTGTAAAGTGTTATTCAAAAAAATTGTTGGCTGATAAAAAGCCTTGGAGCAAAACATCATGTTTGTCCTTCATGCTCCTGTTGGCACACTGAGTTACCGTTATACTAGAATGTAGAAGAGGCTGTGGATGTACAAGAGTCCTTCACTGAACTGAAGTCAATAAATCTGCAAATTTGGAGCCTGTCTGGACTCCTGCACTGTCAAATCAACATCTGCAGTGAAGCATGACAAGCAGCAAATGTAGCATTCATTAAGAAAGAACAGACCAAGTTTGTGAAAAGCATGAAAGAGCCTAGAAAAAATAAAAATATTTAAAAAAAACACGACTCAGCCGCAGTCCAGTTCCATTGGATAAAGATAACGCACAAACAAGCTACATAACTGCATTTGCTGGAGTGCCCTCTTTTTCTGTTCAGTGGTTCACACAAAATCGCTTTCTTTCTATAACAGGGGCAAGGAGACAGATGGTGTTTGGGGCACTTCAACGCACAAGCAAAGAGCCTGACATGAGGGGAGCGAGAAGAAAAGAGGACTGCAGGAGAAGCTATCTCTCAACGAAAGCTGTCTTTTGCCTCAGTGTGTCAAAGTGATAACCTGTCTCAGCTGATTGGGAGCCATTCAGCCCCCCTGCAGACAGACAAGGCAGCAGAAACAAAGTCACTGGGTGGGAAATTGAAACTAATAGGGCTCAACAGCACTGGGGCCGCAGGTAGGCTGTGATGGGATGTTTTCATTTAAATTAATAGATCACCAATTGCAACAAGGAGAGTATAGTTTTACCCAAACAAAGCTAACTGAATAAATACAAATGTTGCACCTTTAAAATTGCTGCTATTATTATGACTACTTAGGGTTAAAGTTTAAAGCAGTCACTAGCTCTGGTAGGATTGCAGGATGAGAATTTTGCTATACTTTGCTTAACAGGCTGCTCTCACGTCTGTGCCCACTGGCTGGCATCAATTACTCTGAAGATTTCATTTAAATCACAGTGTCAAGAGGCAAAGTGAAAATAAAATGTACCAGACCCTTTTCTGCAGGTTTTTTGGATATGACTTTTATGATCAGGTTGTTCTTGGCGTTGCTTTTGCTATCGAAAATAAATTACTGCTGGTTTTTAGCCAGTCAGAACCTGGTCTTAAACACAGTCAAGATACAGAACAAAAAATGTTCTGTTACAGAGAAAGTTTCAGTCCCTTGAGGTAATTTCTTCATTCGTGACAACTGTGTAAAGTAGGAATGTAATGGTTTTGTAAATATCATGGTATCTTGGTTTCAAAATTCTCGCAATAATGCCGTGGCATGTGACAGTATCAAACAAGAACTTGGAGTACACCTACCAGTGTAGCCACAGTACCGTGGCCTTAATATCCTGAGGATATAGTACCATGAGGTTTTGATATCGTTCCATCCCTAGTGTAAGTGGGGCTGGGCAATATGGGAAAAAGTTTATCACGATATATTTACATATATATACATACAGTATATATCTAATATTTTTTCATATCAGTCAATATCGATATATATCACGATATAAAAAATGAAATATAACAGTGCTTATTGGTAGCATGTCTTTTGCAAAACATTAAGCTACTGCATCTGTGAGATCTTTGTGTCTCTTCAACGTTTTGTCGTAAGACATTACGCTTAGAGAAAGCAGACTGAATGGTCGGCTGTTTCGGCTGCACAGGCGCCATGGGCTCCTTGCTCTGTAACCATTTTCAATGCGCATGCTCTGCTGCGTAGCACAACTGCGTAGCACTGCTTCAGGTGGTGAAAAAGATTTGAGGTATTCCCCCGACTTTGTGAGAACATGTACTCAACCTAATTTGAAGTGCACATTACTCTGCTTCATGTCCAACCTCAAAAAAACGAAATACCTCCACACCACCGACATTTTCATGCCAGTGTTGTCGACGATGTCGTCATCTTTTTTTTTTTCTTTTTTTCTCACCGACAGTGCTGTCGGCTTCACATGTTAAAGTGCTATAGTTGCGTGTAGCTGCAGCCTGCTACTACGCAGTTGTTTGCTACTTGGTTCTAATTCAGCATGATTGGTTCAGCATGAAGCGGACCCAGACTCCCCTTTTCTTTGGCTATTGGTATAGTCTACTAAAACATGGCAGAATGCCAGAATGCCGAAAAGCATACTGACTATGTTTATATTGATATTGAGGGAAATTAATTTTTGATATATATCGTTATCGTTTTATCGTCCAGCCCTAAGTGTAAGGGGTATCATTTTTTGACCAACAGGTAAATGCAACTATTTCCCCTAATCTCTTTAGATAACTTAAATTACTGAGTTAAACTTCTCAGTAGTACTTATGTTGTTGTCATTTCTTTTTTTATGTACGTAAAGAGCGGCCAAATAATGTTTTTTAAAACCCACAAATGCTGTGCACCAGCTTTGAGGTCCATACATTAATACTGTTTTCATTTTATGGCACATACATGTATTGAATTTCCCCTCTGAGATAAGTTAAGTTCTTCTTATCTTCCTTCATGCACTTTTTCTACTCTATATCAACCAAATTCTTAACGTCTTTTTCCTGATAGCCCACACAGTGACAGCTCAGACTCAAGGCATCATAAAAAAGGTCGGCCAACCACAGGGTGAAGTCACATTGGCTGGTCATTAAATACAGAGTATAGTCAATTCACAATTTTGGTGTAAAGAGAGAGTATTGCACTGACATGCATAATTTAAACCACTTGAATATGCCATTGCTTGTAATGACATTGAAATAAAATTGAGGTTTATCTTAACTACATTTTAAGTTCAAAACATCAATATGTCCTATCTCCTCAGGCGCCCAAATCAGATTATGCGTCCACTGCAGTGATGAGGCATGGGCCCTTGAGTCAGGAGCCAGTGCATTTTTTTTTTTTTAACTCTCTCTCTCCTTCAACCAAATGCATCTCTGTGCCTTTAGGCGGCTCTCAGACTGAGCTGGTAATTACACATGGCATCCTGGGAGTTCTGGCATGTATAATTACTGGCGAGGATAAGCAGCCTGCTGGAGGCAGAACACAGTTTTCCCTCACCACAGCCGTTGGGCTGGTTCACCACTTCTTGGCCAGCTGGACATGGTGTGGCACTTGTCCAGCCAGATGTCGAAGAGCAAGGAGATAATCTTATCTAAAAGGAGGTATGAACGGATCCCTGCCTCCTTTACATAGGCTCACTTCCTCCCTTTTAAAAGTCCAACCCTCTCTCTGCATCTCTGCGCTCTGTGGAAGCTGTTCTGATAAATATTCGGCTGTGTAATCCAATATCCTGCGCATCATAACACAGGGTGAACAGCCAATGCATGTCACAGGCTTGATGGTGCAGAAGATTTACAGGCATTCTTCACCATCTTCTTTCACTGACTAATGGTAATATGTCAGCTTGAATGTTTTTCTTCAACACTGTTTGCAGGAACAGATCAAAATTGCATGCAAAAATACACACATATAACAGTTGTGTTCCTGCATAAAAAGCAGCCTCTATCTAATAGATTCTGTCTGGTTTGCTGCCTACTCATTTTTTTCTCACTGTAGACATTAATGGTCGGGGGTGTACTATGGGGATAGCTTGCATGTCCACACTCTTGCATAATATTGACTTGAAGACCTGTGGGACCCGACTTCAGAGTATCCACGTATTTATTTCTCATTTTATATCCACCTTTAAAAGCGGTAACTCCTCGCCAGAAGCCCCCCTTTCATGTTGTTGCCATCGACAGACAGACAAGCGGCCGTAAATGCTAATAAATTTGACTGGGAGCGCAGGCGATGCTCGGTGCTCTGATCTGAAATTCTGATTGATGAATTGGAGCACTGCAATGCTCTCAAGGTGAGTCAGACTCCTACCAGTTTAGCGCCCCTCTTCTAAGGCAGTAGCACACCTCTCCTCATCTCTCTCTGCCACTCCCATATGAGTCTACACATGACATTTCATTTTCTCCTGCTTGTTATGGGGAGCCACTCGTGGGGCTTTGCTTCAAGAGCCAAAACAAAGTGAGGAATTCAGCAGATCAGAGGATGAACCAAACAGCAGCTCAGCTTTGGCCTGGATACAAACATATCATGGTATCAGTGACAGCGACAGCTGCATTTGATGTGAACATTTACAAAGTATGGACAGGCTTTGATCATATCCACTGCAGAAAACATAGCACCTTAAAAATGCTTCAACTAGGCCTGGACGATATAGAAAAAAAGCATATCGATAAAAAATAAATCATATTGATCGATATCGATAATTATCGATATAATTATTATAATTATTTAACATATATTTTAATTGCAGCCCTGGATGTTTTATGCTATTGCTGAATGACCTACTTTTAATAAAGAACACACAAGCACTGAATTCAAATTCAAACCTTTATTCAACCACCTTTTTTATTTTACCACAACTGAAAGTTTTTAAAAAAAGAACTAAAAAAAAAAAGAAATCAACTTAAGTGGCCTGAGTGACGTCAGTAAATACTGACAAACATAAAGACTAAAGTGACCAGAAAATCTGATAAATAAATATTTAAATAGTCTTTTGATGAAAATAAACAAAACAAACAAATATATAAATAAACAGAATAGCTTTAGGTGGGAATAGCATACTACCAGTTTTAACTGTGTGGGAAACTGCCCACAGCCTGGTGTCTGAACACTGAAATATTTCTCCCGGGGTCGGGAGATTTATTTATTTTTAATTATCATGTGATTGACTTAATACACAAACTAAGCACGAGAAGCAGGACTTATCCACGCCGGTGTTGTGTCGTAGAATGCACCCCTGCCGAATGCACCCCCTGCTAGTAGCCATGATCCAAATACTCGCGTCTTTGTAAAATATGAGCTCATTTGAACGTATTTCCTCCGCACCATTCTCACCTTTTCAACCCCTGACCCATTTTCATGCCTGAAGCGCTGTGTTTGAGAAATACTTGCGGCCGGGCACTTCATATCGCGGGTCGAGAGTGGCTAGAAGCTGGTCGAAGCCAGGCTTTTCAGCGGTAGTTATTGGCAGTATGTCCCTCGCTATGGAGCATGTTACTGCATGGGTGATGTCCTTATGCCGCTCGGACGCTTTGTCGTATTTTGGCAAGAAACGAAGTCCAGTTTGGTCTGCTTCACTTGCTTTGTGCTGGTGCTGGCAGCGGTTCCAGAGGATTCCTCCGACGATGACGTGGAGCCGCGGCGCGGCCGACACAGCTCGTACTCCTGCGGGTGCGATCGGTTTAGATGGTTAAACAAGTTGGTTGTGTTACCAGACTTGGTTTTTACTAATTCTCTGCAAATTTTGCAAACGACCGCTGTTCGCTTTTTGTCAGACTTCTAAAAACCAAAACATTGCCATGCTGGTGAACTACTGAAACCTTTTTTCGGGACAATGTCCTCCTTCTCCTTGCTGTATCATTTTTTCTAATACACGTGCTGTCTGTTGTGGTTTGATAGGGGCTGGGCTTGGTGCCGTAGCGTACCTGGGTCTGCGTTTGTGATTGGTTGGGAGGAAGTAATGACTGTAGTAAAAGCTACATGATAGGCTATGATGAAAAAGAAAGGGAAACTGTGTTTTTCTATCGAACTTTTTATCGACCCGTTTTTTTTCTATCGCACCACACGTCTATCGATCAATATATATTGTTATCGAATTATCGTCCAGCACTAGCTTCAACCAATCTATCTAAAGCTATGAGATGACATTTATCTTTGGAGTTGCTTGCTGTCTGGTAGTTTTTTTCTTCATAACACCCACACAAATACACACACACACATATACACTGGCCTCTTAGCTTCCCCTGCTGCCCGTTCTTATTAATGAATTTTTCTCTGGAGATTCCTCGCAGACAGGCAGCCAGCCGGTAGACTTTATACTCAACAACACAACAAAAGGTAGCGAACCAAAAATTCAACTATTATATCTGCACTTAATCTGGTCTGGGATTTATTCAATACTTGTGCCAATGCCCCATTACAGCAGAGCCTGAGGCGACTGTGCTTTGAATTGTTTACTGAGGTTGAAGTGTAACCTCCAGTGCTATCGCTCATTCTCTGGTTGACTGACCCCCTGTGAATCAGACTGCTAAACTCTGCTAAGGACGTTTGTGTCGTTAAGTTGCAGCAATCAGAAGTATGCATGCAAACACAAGTGCACTGGAATGGATATACACAAGAAAAAGGCGTCAAGAAAAGCAACTTGTTTTGGAGCTAATTGGTGTTGCCTCTAGGGGATCGATACGTTTTTTTACTCGTGTGTACCAGGGAATTCAAATCGACTCCAGTGCAAAGAGCTGCTTCACTTAATATATATATGTGTATATATATATATATATATATATATATATATATATAGAGAGAGAGAGAGAGAGAGAGAGAGAGAGAGATATCACTGATAAATTCAGAAGTGATCTGTGACAAATACAAACCACTGGTGCTTTTTTAAATACTTGCTTTCACTGTAGTTATTAAGTAGAGTCTGTGTTACAGCTTAAATTCAAAGTGAATTTAAGGGGTGGGGGGGACTCTTATTTGATAAAAATTCATTTTGACAAATTGTATGACAAATGGATGAAAGGATGAGTCACACTGCCAATGAAATGATCAGAAATTAAATATCAAGATCGGTGGTTTGGAGGATATGCCCACCTTCTACACTTGACACTTAATTCCAGTGCCAACACTGCCAGCTAGTGGCCACAGCATTCAGTTCACAAACAGGCTAAAAATGCTCATAATGCCCATGAGGCAGACGCCACACTATGTCTTTCTTGATGAATGCTCATATGCAAAGAAATAAACATTGTCCTGTTGTACTATAGACGAGAGAGACAGTATTTATTCATTGTTATATGCTCAAGTCAAACCATTCTATTGAACAACATGATTGTGAAATAACCTCATTTGCATAATCACATTAATTCAGCTCTGCTAGAATGACTGCGCATGTACAAACAAAACAGAACTCAAACTATGTTAATTGTTTATTTAAGGAAAATACTCAAATGGATATTTTGAGTTTTCATCATTAAATTTCCCATCTCTTTTCATCTTTTTTCATTTTGCAGAAATGACTGTCCTCTTTAGAAATCAGTGGCTTTGACAGCACAATGAAACGGTTTAATAGTTATTTACTCTATATGCAGTGGCCATCCTAAGTATTGAGGTTACAGAGGGTTTCAAAGTCCACTGTGATTGTGCAAAAGCTGAAAGGAAAGTGGAATTTTTTTGCCCCCTTCAAGTTTATACAAGGAGTATTGTGCCCTCATTGGTCTACAATCACTGCATTGGATTTTCAATGGCATAAAAAAGATTTAACAGTCAATCAGTAATTCCGGCGTAAGTTCGTGAGCCAAACAATCTCAGTCAAGTCTGAAGGTTCTCAGGCAAAACAGAACTAGATATATTATCAAGTTAATGCAATCACAGAAGCCATTATGACAGGAATTATCATCCTCCAGTGATATTATGTAAAAATAAGTGTTAACTTTTAGGTTTACATTGAAGTTGTGTAAATATATTTATTAGTATAAATCAATACAAATATTTATTTAGGTATCCCAATGTCATAAAATAAGAAACACCAGGCACTAGAAATGTTAATGTTGGTCGAAGTTTTATCATTATTATAGTTATCATTAACTATAATAATAATACCTAAATTGTCTTAGTGTATTTCCACCACTCAGCCCTAATGTTATAAGATCTGAACGGTCAAGTGAATAATATTGATTGTCTTGTTTGATATTGATTGTCTTAGCACGTGTTAGAGGGTGGGACACAATTAGTTGGAAGTAAGGACAGTGAACCGGTGACAAGGTCATGGGTGGTCAAGCCTCGCTGATGCAACAAAGGGGCAAAGGTTGGCCTATGTGATCCAATCTAACAGAAGAGCTATTATCAAATTGCTGATTAGGTTATTGTTAGTTCTGATAAAGAGGTGTCAGACCACACAGTTCATCGCTTTTGATGTAGATGGGTTTGTAGTACAGGTCAGAGTGCACATGTTGACCCCCATCCACAGCTGTAAGCACTTACAATGAGTATGTAAGCATCACAGCTAGATCACAAAACAATTGAAGAAGGCCATCTGGAGGAATACAGCAGTTTTGACTTGACCTCCAGCCTTTCTGAATTTCATTCAATCATTCAATCATTTGAGGAATACCCTGAACAACCAAGTCTAACCCATGGGAGCCCAACCTCACAACTAGCAAGACTGCTGCTAAGATCTTGAGTCCTGATAACAGAGCACACCTTCAGAGATTTAGTGGGGGTATAACTGTTACCATTTTGGTAATCAATATAAAAATACAGATAAGTATGTTTGTTGTGCGCATACTGAACTTATAAACTATGAGAACAATAACTGAGGGGAATTTCAGCATTCAGGATCACAGTAAGACTTAAAGTGTGGAATCTTCACGAAGACAAAAGAGTGTAAAACAGACATAACTCAATTTTCAATCTGTTGTAACATTTCTCTCTTGAATTCAAATAAAATCTAAAAAGCATTTTTTTACCACTTAACAGGCAGCAGTGAATCTGGAGATAGCTAACAGCTATCCCAGCCGTTAAATTCCCGCAGATAACATGTTGGCATCCTAAATGAAAAAGTTCTCACAATCTATTTAAACTGATTTTTTTCTAAATATATTTTGACTTTTGCTAATAATGTTTATTAAAAACACCCATACTAAGAAAACAAGATTTTGCACAGCCTTACTTTTTACAACTTTTTTTTTTCTGTGAATTCTGACTTATTGCTTATTGTAATGGAGCCAAATGCAATGACACCCAGACAGAATCATAAGAACGATATAAAAACTTTTTTGCCATCTGGACATCCTAGTATGATCCGGACCCTCCCTAAACTCTAAAACCAGCAGAAAGGTTTCAAAAACTCCTTGATGAGCCTCTTCTTGCCACAACTTTCCACTGGTATGACTCAACGTCACGGTTTCCACTGAAAGCCTTTATTTAAAACAGGACACAGACAAACTGGCAAGGGTAAGCAGAGCAATGTAAACGCTGCCAGGGTGCCACAGTCTTTATTCCATTATGAATAGCCAGCTCAGCAGCTAGGGATTTTACAGTAACACAGACACAAGTTGAGCTCATCTTTAGCACTACGAGTCAGAAAACACAACTGAGTTAATAATACCTGCTTACCTGTCCTACTTTTAAGAGGCTATACCTGTTATCAGCTAATCTGACCTGGTCACTATGACCTCTTGGCTGATGATCCAGAAGCATCTGTGTTTGTCAGATGGCTTGAATCAACAAACTGCAGAAAGCTTTTGCGATGCCAATAGAACAGACACAATAAAAGATAAGCAAAGAGTTACACTGGCTATTTTGATGTTAGGTCAAGAAAAAACAATAAAATTAGCTCTTGGGCCTGTGAGAAACTATATCAAACCTAGCACCAAGAGTGTGTACTCATCCCGTATCAGCTGGGCACACAGTAAACATTCCCGTCTAACTAGCAGCTGTTATGCAGACATTTCTTGTTGACTGAAAACACAACTCGTGATGATCTGCTGAATGTGACATAAAAGTCTGGGGTGACCACAGATCTCAGCTGAGAAATGATCCAATTATACAGTTTCAGATCAGGGTGACAGTAAGAGATTCATCGCCTTTCTGCATTGAGATTGTGACTGTTATTCACAAATATTTAGACTAGGGCTTGAAGGGGACAATTACACAGAGCCATCAGCTCTCTTCAGAGACATGTGAAGAGGGTGTGTTTGCCCTTTTGGGGAAACACTCAGTTGGTAGCAGTCATTGCTCAAGCATACTGGAACAGCACATGAGAGGGGAAAAAATATCAACAGTGCAACGTGGCATTGAACAGCTCACTGGTTTCATCATTCAGGCTCAGTTCCTTCAAAAGACTGCTTGTGCTGTTAACCCCTTGAGCCAGACACACTGGATTTAGAACAAATTGCTTTTACTAATTCGGTGCAGTAAACTTTCATGTGATGTATTCAGGGCCTTGAAAGAGGGTAGAAAAGTCACACAGGAAACTTATTGGAACTGAAGAAACAGATACAATCTTTGGGGTTTATTAGTGATTTTTGTCTCTTTCAATGTAAAACTGCAAACATCTACTGCTTTCAGCCTCTTTCATGTTGGGATTTGTTTAAGGATTTAGCAACAGTTTTAGACATGTCTGATTGTACATGTTCACTGGATAATGTCAGCCACCTCAGCATATCATTGACTGTGGGAGTGTTTTGTTTTTCATAGCCTGTCACATTATCATTAGACTGTCATATCTCAAAGTTAACCCTTTACTGCCTGAAACCACAAATTATGGTCAGAAAATTCACATTTTTTTGGAGCTGAAATGTTTATTTCATTCACTATTGAAAACCAAAAAAATCAAAATTTCCTTAAAATTTAACAAATATATTCATTGATCTTGTTTGATACATTAGATGTTTTTGAAAACTGATAAGCCACAAGAGGACATTTTTATCACTTATCGGACTGTATTAAGGTGTTTTTTTAGTAATTTGTTGATTATATTAATTTGACAGAAATATCATAAAAGTATGCATCAAATATGATAAAAAGGCAATAGAGGTAGTGTTGTGTTGTTCGCGAACGATTCGTTCAAAAGAGCCGAATCTTTTAAGTGAACATACTGAACCGAATCACTTCCTCAAGTGATTTGTTCATTTGTCATTTCAGTTGATCTGTTAGCAGGGCAGATGCTACAGCACGTAGCATTGCCAGGTGAGCAGCCGGCAAACGAGGGACCGCATGCACCGACACCTGAATCACTTGGTAATGGAATCACGCATTGAACTACACTCTCTGGAATCATTTTTGTAGGACAAAACTAACTTTTTAAACTTTTTACTGCTAAATTGCCACCACAACAACTTTCATACAATAGGACACAGCATGTAACAAGTAGTAGATAAAACCCGCAGCATCCGATCATTGCAGGGGTTTACTAGGGAATGATGCATGTTCAGTGTGAATTCTTCTAAACGTTCAGTGACCGAATCACTCAGCTGTGTATAAGTCAAGGAAGTCTGAGGCTGTGTCCAAAATGGATCCCTAACCCCTATATAGGCGACTATATTGGAGATAGCACCATTTTGAGGGGTGTCTGAAACCCGAGTGATCAATTCCAATGCCCCATATAGGCAACTCAAATTTCCCATAGAGCATTGCAAAATGTAGTGATCATCCGATGGTCACTCACCGGTGGTGGGCATCCCGTCATGCATTGCGTCATGCCATGTAGTGTCGTAAACCTCCAGTAATTGAGCTCGCTACATAGTCAACTATATAGTGAAACCCCATATGGGGGTTAGGGGTTAGGGATTGAGTGATTCATTTCGGACACATCCGGAGTCACAGGCTCCTCCCGCCAAGAACTGAATGATTCAGTGATTCGATGAACAAATCTTTTGAACGAATTTTTTATGTGAACTGATTCCAGTGATTCAGTACATCTAAAAGAACTGCCGTGCCCATCACTAAATAAAGGGTTACGGCTGTTTACCACAGTTCATAAATACTTTCTAAAACAGTGAAAATCTGCTTGAATAACTGACATCAACCTGGTTTATCTTAAAGACTGTGTAGGTCAAACAAAGCATATCTCACTTACTGTTACATCTTATCAGGATGCAAAGTACTTGAGGTTTTGTAGTTATGTCATGAGGTCATATATGTTGTTTAAGTACAGTGTATCGTAGTCAGGCTCCAAGGGTCTCACCTGTTTAGGGTCATCGTAGAAGACACTGATGGTGCTAAGCTTTGGCCCAATGCTGCATGTCTCGGTGTAGGCTGCCCCGCAGTCCTTGTATGATCCCTCTTTGAATTTATAAGCAATGGTCACATTTCTGATAGGAGGTGGCCCGGTCTTTATAACCACTTCTGACAGCAGTCCCGAGTACAGCAAGAAACCCCCCACTGTCAAAAGCAAACACACCAGCAGCACGACAATCAGGAGAACCAGGATTAAGTCAGACATGGTTTCAAACAGCGGGAACGTTGCAGCTGCAGATAGATAGTGCAGTTTACTCAATCCGTGGAGCCTAAAACGTCCTCCTCCGGGTCACACAGACCGACACCGTGGACCAGCCGATTCAGACGAGTACGGGAAAAACTGTAACTTCCCAAAGAACTGAGTTAAGTATATTTTTATCGCAATAAAAACCGACACGATGGAGGAACCGTTGGTTTCAGTTGAGGGGGGAAAAAACAGTTTGTTTATGGTATTTCCCCAAACAGAGCGACATGCTTCCTGGATAGACCAATGTCCTGTAAAAAGGAGGGGGGAGCATTTATATTTTCTAAATAACGAGGTCACATATGTTTCTGACGTCGTCAAAATATTGAATGTACATATAATTTAAATATAACAATAGTGCCATTGCTAGTCTTAACGAAAAAGAGACCCGAATTCGTGATTGTAAGATTGTCCAGTTTGGCTGTGACACCCCCGTCTTTTGTGTATTATGGTATGACCCAGGAGGTTGAAGTGGTATGATTGAGTTTGATTGCAACATATAAATGATTTTTGTTTATTTAATTGAAACATTTTGCTGATTTCATTGCTCTGTTAATAATGTAAACGAGTCATTTGAAGTGACCAAGGTCACAACTCGTTTTTAGTGCTGCTTTAATGCACTGTTAAACATTAATTGTTTTGTTCATCCAGAGTTAAGCTCATCTAGCTGTGGAAATTTACTCAGAGTAAACAGAGTGAAATGAATTGAAGAGGGACACATTTGTTCTGAGATCAAATTTCGCCAGAATTAGTGAAAGGTGTTTCACAGCAGAAGGTAGCCCCTACAGGTAATTTTGTCTTTACTCTTAGTTCAATTGTTCAGAGTAGTTTGCGAAATTTAAGGCTCCATTTATATCTTATAGGCCACTAGAGGGCAGATATCTACCTAAACCCTCTAATAGGTACCAGCTGCCATCACATTAATTAACCCACTCTAACTTTTTTACACCTCTGACTGACCCACAAAGAAACCTTTTCTTTGCCTTAAACTACGGTGTCTGAGAGCCGCCACTGCTGCAAATAAAAAAAGAATCCAAAAAGAAAAAGAAGAAGCCACAACAGAAGTTACTGATGCAAAAAATAAAAGAAACCGAAGCCCGGAGGATGCTGGTGTAGAGTTAGCTTCAGTTCAACTTCATATCGACTCAGACGCAACATGGCGTAACTAAATGACACATTGAAAAGTTTGCGAAGCGAAATTAAACAATAACCTTACCATTTACTTCCTTGCTCATCTTCTCGCCGTCGTCCTCTGTGCCTAGATCTTAAAACACTGGTCCCCGGCAGCTCACTTCCGTTGTGGCTTTTATTATTTGCATCTTTTTATTTTCACAGTGAGTAACTTTTTTATTTTCCAGCACCACTTTTTTGTGTGTGTGTGTCGTTAACTTCTGTTTCACCTTTTTTTTATCTGCACTTTTTTTTGTATTTGCAGCATTTCTTTTTTTTGAATCAATAACTTCCATTGTGACTTCTTTTTTTTTTTTTGCATTCTTTTTTATTTGCAGCAGTGGCGGTTCTTGGCCACCGTATTAAACAAACCAACCAAGCAAATATAAGAAAAAAAAAATTACCTCGACTTTTCAGCAACAATTTGCCAAAACCAAAAAATCGAAAGACTTCACTTGAAGAACTTCTTCTGTAACCACTGAACCATTTCCATTAACCACTCATCATCTAGCCTATGGCTTTTTTGAATCTAAATACCTGCATAGTTGTCTGTTAGCAATAGGATTTTTATTGTATTTGGGACAAAAGTAATCTGTATTTTCTCCTGGTTCTGTTTGACTTCAAAGACTTCAGATTTACCACACTGTGGATTACTCCTGTGGTTTCTTTTGGCCTTCTCTTACTTGAGAAATAAATTGTTGAACCCAGCTTGCAACATAGAAAACTATTTATGATACACAAATTCATAAAATAATGTACTAAATTACAGGTATTGCATCACATCAGAAATAGTATCCTCTTATCTATTGGTAATGTTGAATTTCCCTTTGGGAATCAATAAAGTTATCTTCATAATATAATTGACCTTTATTACATCAGATGTTAAAAATAGTAGGGACAGTTATATAAGTATTGGATGCTATAAGGGATTAAGAAATACTTTATTGCTGTTAAATAACAAGGAGCTGAATTTGTTGTGTGCTCTCTAGACCACAAGGCCATTTGTGACACAGCTAAAGGGACTTTTATAACCCTTGGAATTCCATTCAAATGCTTGCATGATTCTTCTAACACTTCTGTTGACTTGAATGAATTAATCAATAAGATCACTTCTCCCAGGATTTTCTTTTTTAATTTGAAGCACTAAACTGGTATGTGATATAGAGAAAACTTTCATTTTTTTAAAATAAATCCCAGACTTTCTTTTACTGAGATGATCATTTTCCAAATCTAGTTCGCACAGAAACTTCAAAGGAGTTTTCTCAAGTTTGCCCCCTCTGTTTAAAACTTATGTAAGTCTGACCTGTTCCTCTTCATGAACCATTTTAGGAACAAAGACTCCAGTGTTTAGCTCATGTACAATGGCTTTTCCTAAACCCTACTTATTTTGATCTGATCTGAAAACAAACTCGAGAAAGTCAGTGTCCTTATGTGTACCTGTATTTTGGATAAATCTTTTTTTAATAACTTGTGTTTTTAAGTAAGTATTCCAGCTGAAAGATTTGTTATGCAGTGATCATTCACAAAGGCCTTGTATGCATTTATAAAAAACTATAACTCTAATACTCTTACCATCTCTCACATCAACATTTATGGCAACATTTTTATTGCAAACAACAGAATAAAACAGACAACAAAAACAAGCACAGGGCCTAACCTGTCAAACTAGACATCATATTTTAAGATTTTTTCTTTAACAGAAAACAAACCTGTAGAAAAACAGATTGTGCTCTTTCTGTTATTTTCACATGTGGGAATGCAGAAAATGGATCATTTGTCATTAGTGCATATTGAAAAGGAGTAAAATCACAAAGCACAGTGAATGAAAAAGTTCTCTTCCGAGGTTTGACGATTCAAAAGTTGATCCACAAGGGTGGAGATAACAGAGATCATTTTAAAAATAAACACTTTTAATTCTTAGTCTGAGTCTGAATCATCACTAAGATTCACATCTTCTCTTTTGGCCGTCCTGCTCTCCTCCATGTCAGACTCCTGGGCCTAAAGGAAATAAAAAACATGAGGAGAACTTGAGCTTTGAAATCTTTGTACACAAAGCAGTAAGCTGGAAAATACAAATAGTTTCTTGGAAATGATATTTTTCCTCTCAACTTCCTCAGCGACTTATTATTAGTTTAGTGCAAAGCTTTCCAGCTATCTTCTCAACACACTAGCCTGTTCAATGTCAACTGACTGTAAGCTGATCTGTGTGGGTTTAATTTACAGAGAAATGGCTGATTAAACAGCGGTTAAACCACAATGGCTGACTTTGTCTGAACTGTGTGCGGCTTATCTTTGAAATAACCTTGAATAGGAATCCCAGCTCAGTCTTTTCAGCGACTTGATGCCTACCTGTACATTTCTGTCACTGATCTTTCTTATTTATTTTCCCTTTTGTACCATTGACTTGAATTATTTTAAGTCTTTGCTTTGAGTACCTTTGCTTTCATGGTACACTTCATGGTTTTATCAAATGTAAGCAGTTTCCCAAAATTCCTCACAGAGAACCATTTTAAACATAATACAACATAATTAAAAGCAAACATCCACAGAGGACAAATAAATGCCACCCTGAAAATGTCAGTTACCTCATCCTCTGACAGCTCCTGAGGTACTGGTGAACGTTGCCCCCCCTCTTCCTCATCACTTCCTTGTGTCATCTGAGAAAGAATCTCTTCACCCTGCAGCGTACATTGATTTCAGTGAATGTTACAAATGTGAGGGGAGATAAAAACAGTAAAAGTTTCATCAAGTTCTTACCTTCAGGTTTCGATTCTTCAAGTTGCCGATCCAGAAAGCCTCCTGACAGTTGTTAAGCGTCAACATGGCCTTCACTCTGTAGACAAACAGCTCCAGGCTCTTCTTTAAGGCAGGGACGTGATTGGTCAGGCTCGTGTCCTGATGGATCTGGGAGCAAACAAATAACAACATTGATAATTATTCATACAGAAGGATTAAAAAGAGGTCATATTCGACTAAAAAATACTTTAATGCTCTTTTAATCGATTTTGTACTTTCTGATCATTGGATTTTGTTTAGAGCTACCTTTGAATGTCCGCACATGTGATGAAGCTGCCGAGTGCTGAGCTGGAAGGTCTTAAGCAGACTCTGAACATCCTCCTAGAATAAAATGCATCACACAATATGATAACAACATACAAAGTACTTCCTTTTTTCATATTTTGACAACTTGTGACAGTTTTTAAGTGCAGACCCACGTTTGTATAAAAAAAGAAGCAAAAGTACAGACAGGTGTGAACATCAATTTACTTCCTACGGGCTCCATACGAGTTTTTCAGTAAATGTAGCACATACACTCACCGGCCACTTTATTAGGTACACCTGTCCAACTGCTCGTTAACACTTAATTTCTAATCAGCCAATCACATGGCGGCAACTTAGTGCATTTAGGCATGTAGACATGGTCAAGACAATCTCCTGCAGTTCAAACAGAGCATCAGTATGGGGAAGAAAGGTGATTTGAGTGACTTTGAACATGGCATGGTTGTTGGTGCCAGAAGGGCTGGTCTGAGTATTTCAGAAACTGCTGATCTACTGGGATTTTCACGCACAACCATCTCTAGGGTTTACAGAGAATGGTCCGAAAAAGAAAAAATATCCAGTGAGCGGCAGTTCTGTGGGCGGAAATGCCTTGTTGATGCCAGAGGTCAGAGGAGAATGGCCAGACTGGTTCGAGCTGATAGAAAGGCAACAGTGACTCAAATAACCACCCATTACAAACAAGGTAGGCAGAAGAGCATCTCTGAACGCACAGTACGTCGAACTTTGAGGCAGATGGGCTACAGCAGCAGAAGACCACGCCGGGTGCCCCTCCTTTCAGCTAAGAACAGGAAACTGAGGCTACAATTTGCACAAGCTCATCGAAATTGGACAATAGAATATTGGAAAAACGTTGCCTGGTCTGATGAGTCTCGATTTCTGCTGCGACATTCGGATGGTAGGGTCAGAATTTGGCGTCAACAACATGAAAGCATGGATCCATCCTGCCTTGTATCAACGGTTCAGGCTGGTGGTGGTGGTGTCATGGTGTGGGGAATATTTTCTTGGCACTCTTTGGGCCCCTTGGTACCAATTGAGCATTGTTGCAACGCCACAGCCTACCTGAGTATTGTTGCTGACCATGTCCATCCCTTTATGACCACAATGTACCCAACTTCTGATGGCTACTTTCAGCAGGATAATGCGCCATGTCATAAAGCTGGAATCATCTCAGACTGGTTTCTTGAACATGACAATGAGTTCACTGTACTCAAATGGCCTCCACAGTCACCAGATCTCAATCCAATAGAGCATCTTTGGGATGTGGTGGAACGGGAGATTCGCATCATGGATGTGCAGCCGACAAATCTGCGGCAACTGTGTGATGCCATCATGTCAATATGGACCAAGCTCTCTGAGGAATGCTTCCAGCACCTTGTTGAATCTATGCCACGAAGAATTGAGGCAGTTCTGAAGGCAAAAGGGGGTCCAACCCATTACTAGCATGGTGTACCTAATAAAGTGGCCGGTGAGTGTATTCAGTCTATTATTAATAATATTGATCTGACTCTACACAGATTTTCACAAGCAGCTTCGTTGAACTTAATGTATAAAAAGACAGCATCTGATGTGTACCTTGTGTTTTTTGAAGCTGCTGTCCAGTAGCGGCATCCCTAGCTTCAGAAAGGACTCCAGGAAGAGGCGACCATACTACCAACGACAAAATGATCATTAGTTGATACAAATGAACAGCAGAATAAGGAGGATGAGAATTTTTTTTTCGGCATGTGAAACTATCTCACCTTGAGGCACACATTGAGCACCAGCCGAGAATCAAACACCTGATGAACAAGATCAGAGTTTGTATACATGGTGAGATCATAAAATAGAGGCTACCAGCGGCAGAAGAACTAGACATTCACTGCAAAAACAGCCCTACTAGAAAGAAGCAAAATATTTTAATGTTTAATCAAATAATCTTGTATCAAGCAAAAAAATCTGCCAATAGAGTAAGCTTTTTTTGCTTGACAAGAGTTCTCAAAATACGAACAAATTTCTTGGTCCTGCCAGACTCAGATGAAACTTAAAACTAGACAGAAAATCTTATATCAATCTAATTTTTTCTACAGCAAGCAGTGAAAAATGAAGGTGAAGTTACTTAAAATTAGAATTTTAGTCTTTTGAATAAATGAACTTCAAGAAAATACACCGTAATCTAGGATTATTAATGAGCATGACAGTAGTTCAAATAACACAAAATTTCTTAAAACAGCATAGCAAATATAAGTGACGTTGTCTTAAATCAAGATACCAAAACATTCTCATCAAATATATATTTTTTATTCCCCAAGCAAGCATGTGGAAAGCAAGCATGTTCTCTGTTGTTCTTTGTTGTTTTGCAGTTTTCATCTGGTCATTGTATTATGTTGTGTGTTGTACAGACTAGCCTACTAACATCTTTATATGTCAGATAATGTATGAGGCAGCAGATTCTGTCAGGTTCAGATGACCTACAATGGAAATCTGAATAAAAAAAAATCAACTGTTCTTGTTTCATGGCATTCTTAAATTGAGAGGTTTTACATATGTCTTACTCTTAAAATGAGACGAATGATCTTGTTGCTCCGCTGGATTTTTATTGTAAAACATTTTTCTACTCTATTCCTTGTTCATTCTATCTCAAAGTTAGCTGGAATATCTTATCAAGTAAAGGTGGGCCATTTTCTCTTAAAATTAGATCATTTTTCTAATGCCAAACATGCTCGACAAAAATAATATTCTTTATGTATAAAAAATAAGACTTATTTCCTTAGTACAAGGCTGTTTTCCTTTCTTGAAATTCCTTTTTTGCACTGTTTCCAAACGTATATGTAAAATAATGAAAAGAGCTTTGCTGTGTGCTAGAAATAAGGGTGGTCAGAGGGGATGAAGAGGCATTTCATTGGATAAACTAACCTTAACAAGGTTGACGAGGATGTGAAAATCTCTGACGGCCAGATTCCATGTCAGCAGCTTCCCACTTTGAACCTGAGGGGAGGACATAAATGAGTCATTCACGTTCACAGAGAATTTACACTTGAAGATCATTTGGACCTGACAAACGTTTTTGTGTGTGTATTTTTTGATTTGCTCTTTCTGGTATATGTGTAGTCGTCCAGTAGAGTAGAGAGTTAAGTCAGAGAGAAACATGTTGAGTGTGACACCTGGTGGCTGACCTCAGTGTCGTCGCTGGTTTTGAAAGGCGGAATCTTCTTTGCAGCTTTGATCAGCTCAGCCATCAACACTTTATAGAAGACCAGGAACGTCTGCCTGAAAGAAAAAAACAAAAAAGTGAATGAAAAAAATGAATACGCTTATTTAACGTTGCTCAAAATCTGCTGTGAGGAAACAAAATGCTGCATGTCAGCGGCAAAAGGATCCATCTAGTTGTAATATTAGCTCCTTTAAAAAACTAGAAGACGGGTGGTGCTGAGGACATACCTGTTTAAAGTGGGCCATGTTGCAGAGCTCTCATCTTTTGCAGCGTTGATGAGCTCAGTGATTCCTTCTCCTGCTATCTCCTCCACTCCCTTCAGAACATCATCCACATGCTCAAGGTAGATGCTGCAGAGAGAGGAGGACAAAAGAACATAGGGTTGAAACTTCTTACATGTACCCTGATATTCATTTATTATATGGCTTCTGGTGCAATCGTTTTAGCCATCCATCAAAGCTGAATGCTAGTTGTTTGTTGTTTCGTGTAAGATGACAATTTCAAACACGCAGACAAACCTTAGGAGAGTGTAAAGTGCCTCGTTGAATTTGTTCCCTCGCTCTTTCTCTCCACTGGCTGTTACCCACTCTTGGCTCAGGAAACCTTTTGCTACAGAAGCTAAGAACCAAAGAAAATAATCACAACAGGCAGTACAGTCTAAGAAACAAGAGGTCCAAAAGGCTTCTTTTCGCAAGGATGAGGTTCAACCAAGAGCTGTACAAACAACTGCAAGAAAAAAAAACACTTTGCATAGTACTTCAGTTTTTATCTTTGCAGATAAGTGGATAGATATCAAACATCATAAACAGGCTAACCAGTCTGCTCTCTGTAGGCAGCAGGATTCCCTCCTTTCTCCGACACAGTGAACAGAAGCTGGGAGAGGCACAGAGCGGTGCTCAGACTTGGCATTGTGCTTCTGAAGTTCACCAGGTACTCAAAGCTGTGTCTAAAAATACACAAAAAAAGACACATTTGACTCTGTCAGCACTTTAACATACATGGTATTTAAGATTTTCTCAAGAATTTCAGCATAAGGAGACTGTTGGATCTTTATCTATATTTTTTTTTTTCATCTTAATCTGTATGCCTCACTTCACAAGCTGATCCAGGGTCAGCTCAGCACCTCCCTCTTTAAGTCTTCCTGCCAAAACTCCCAGAGCTTTCTTCAGTAGATTCCGCTGTCCTGGCTGGCTGAATCCAGACCTGTCAGACAGACACATTCATGGATAGAAAAAAAACACTCAGAGCCAGAGAACAAAACGCATTCACACAGGAGCAGTGCACTGAAATGTAACTGAGTTACAAGATCGTATGTCTGAAGTCTGCAGTGGTGCTCCTCCTCACCAGGTGAAGGTGGTATTCAACACCTGAAGGAGCAGCTGGTAGGCCGATGACATCAGCTGGTGCTCCTGAACATCTGTGTTGGGTCCATCCACGATGCCGTTGTTCTCAGATAACAGTGTCTTAAAAAAATAAACACATGCATTTATATAAATAGAGAAAAAGGTGTTGTGAAAGAGAGAAAGTGCTGTCCACGGATTGTTTGTACCTGAAAATGGTTGTGGCAGTTCTCCAGATGTGAGCAGAGGGTGGGAAGCAGCTGGACGCAACATGAGGCAATATCTTTGGAGCTCCTCTGTTGTAGATGGGAAAAGCCAACGCTCTTATCAGTCTTTCCCTGCAAAAAGAGACCTTCATTACTTTTGTCCTCTGAGAGCCTGCTTCGCAAGTGAACATCATCAACACACCAAGCGTTCTGATCAAGAAGAGAGATGGAATGTTTTGTCTGTTCTAGAAATTACTGATAAATGTCTCAAATTTTGAATTGATGATAAACTGAAAACTGTGGGAAAACTTCTCAGCTGAGACCTTAATAAGTCATCATGGCTTACTGTGACCTTCCTCCCATACCTTCAGGAAGGGGGCTCTCTTGGCAGGTGCAGCTGTAAGACTGAAATCCACTTTGCGCAGCATGTCCTCCAGCAGGAACACAAGCTCAGCAGGACCCAGCAGAACCTCCTCTCGCACCTTGAACCAAGTAGGAATTTTCCAGAAAGTGTACCGTAATACTCCACACTGATTGATTATTGATTCCAAATTTCAAGTTTGAAATTAAAACATATATCAGTTAATATGTAGGCTAACAGATTTAAAAGTCACTACTTTTGTAACTTTTTAACAAACACAACTTTTTATTCAGTTTCTTACTTTTGAATGGAGCTCAGAGTCCAACACTGAGCGAGAAAGCAAACCACACTGTAAGACACTCAGCACCTCCATGTCCAGCTCTCTGAAAAACTGCCTGTAGGACACCAGACTGACTCCGTGTCGGGTCTCCTTTTCTTTTTCTTTCTCTGTTGGCTCCTGAAGCACAGATGTAAAACAGGTTTTACAACACAGCACCATGCTACACTGATTCTTCTGACAATGAGACAGTGTTATTGTGCTGCTGCTCTTTTTTGTTCATCCCACTGAGAGTTAAGAATAACTTTATTTATCTCAAAATTTCTAAAATTTCAAATAAATTTCGAATCAAATCTCTTTTATATAAGAGAGACCTGGCCAAGGTAGCAGCCATGCAGTCACAAACACATAAAATCTGTCATAAACAACACACTCAACAGTTCTGAAACACATTTATGTAAAGATATAAAGACACAAGGGGAAAACAACCACATGCTCCCATCACCACAGTCTTCACACTTACACTTACCTTTGTTCAGAAATATGAGTGTGTGATTGGCATTGCTTTGTTGTGATGTCAAGCCTATCTTAATCTCAACCAAAGTTTTCCACATGTTAAAAAGGGCTTTAATTGGGGCTGAGTGGGTTAGCATGCATAATATATGAAGACCACGGTCCCTGCAGAGGTTGCGGGCTCGACTTCACCCCCTTTATCTCCCCATGTTTCCCCACTGTCCTATCAATAAAGGCAACGCCCAAAAAATACTTTGAAAAAAAAAAAAAAAAAGCGTATTTTTAAATTCCCAGCAGGGTTTCTGTGTTACCGTTTCACTTGAAAGGCAACTACAAGCACCGGGTAGATATGAAGCCGAGAGAAGTCCTGACAATAAAAATTCCCTTTAAGATTTCACAAGCAGGGATGAAATATTTTAAAGGATTGAGGTTCATAGATTAAAGCACTTTTTTTAAAAGACCATGACGTGGATTGATGTTTCAGCTTTGTGTAGAAGTTACTGGATTCAACATACAGCCTATATATCAGTCTTCCCCATTAATCTCTCGCAGAATCATCTTTTTGTTGATTTGTAGTATGTTCCCGTGAGGTGCAGAAAATTACCTGCATGGTTTTATCTGGATCAGTCGTCTCGTCGAGCTGGGAGCTGATCTCTGTGGTATTTTTACCAGGGGCCTTCCTCTTCTTTCCTGTGCCCTCTTAAAATTGAGAAATAAACAATAAAAAAATAGAACAGGTAGTTATGAGGGAACACATTATCTAACAAGGTGGGGTTTTTTTCACTTTCTTTTTTCTTTTATTTTACTTTTTCATTTAACCGACGCAAAACAGCAAAAACAATACAACATAGGTGAAAAACAAGACACAATATCACCTAGTGGATGCGGACATAACAAAACTGAACATACCTGAGAGATAAACAACCAAATAATGCATCATTCAGAGTCAAGGGTGAGTATATAACCAAGTGTGTGTTTTTGCATGTGTGTGGGTCACCATATATCAAAAAAAAAACAAACAAAACAAAAACAAAAAACAAAACTTCTAAAACATCACACAGGGCATTGCTACCTTTTTTTGTCTTGTTCACAGGAGCAGTGGAACTGGGAATAATATCAGTGCTTTCTCCGTCAAAGTTGGCAGCAGGTGGAACATAGCCAGATGTACCTAGAATACAAATTAGATGAAAATATTATTTATATTATTATAATATTATTTTTTTCTAATTTTACAGACTGAAATCCAACAAGAGGAGTCAGTGGAAGAGCTCAAATTATGATGCTTCAAAACCCTACCTGCTAGCGCCCTCTCTAACAGTGTCTGAAGGTAGGTGATGTTCTGCAGGCGAGTCATCACTTTCATCTTCATCTCTATTTCCTTTTGTCTGCAGAATGCATTGACGACCTGATCATGAGAGACAGTAAGTAGCAGCTTTAGTCAGAGAATCCCTTCCTTTGAGTAAAAAGATGTTCAAAACGTGACTTTTGCCTGCAGTCACCTCTCTGAACCAGTTGATGGCGTGAAAGAGCAGCGTGCAGAGGAACTCTCTCTCTGACTTTGATAGACTCTCAATTTTCTCCAGCACATCCATGTCTGTCAGGATTACAGAGCAACCTGTTCCCCGGCAAATGTAAAAACATTAAAAATACATGAATCACTACTGAATCAAAACTGGTCTGTGAGAGAAATGTGCAGCCTCCACTTTCTCACCCAGCAGGGCATCTATCTCCTCGAGGTCCCCCTGGTGCTGTTTCTCCTCACAGAGTCTCAGGAGGCGGAAAAATGGAGACAGACACAGAGGAGACACCCGCCTGCACATACGGAATACAAAGAGATTAAAAACTGTAAGTAGATCAAATCGATCATTGTCTGGATTTTTCTGACCTTTCTTCCTTCTTGGTTTGACTCTGCTGCTGTCCTTTGCTCTGGATGTCTTTAGACAGAAGCGGCAGCAGGTTGATGGCAATGCCCCCCTGACTCTCATCCTCATCAAGGTTGTACATAAAGCAGGCCGGGAAGGGGAAGGAACTGAGGTGGGATAAATTAAAATTAGTAATAAGGATAAATGTGTACCAAGAGTTCATCAGCACAAGACATTACTCATGCTGCCAGCTATTTATTACCAACCCTGATATATCTGGGCCTACGTCCACCACAAAGTCGTTCTGAAAGTCATCCAGGACACTCTGTGCGATATTCTCCTGTTGATGAGGACAAAAACAAGACCACATGGCTGAGTCACGCCTAATTCTGTTAAAAAAAAAATAAGAGAAAAACCTGTGTATCTTTACCAAAGGTGTGGTTGTTTAAGACTCACCAACACCTGTGGGTCCAAAGTGGAGCTCAGGACCAGGTTAGCCAGTTCATCGTAGTACAGCGCTGCAGCCTCAGAGGAGCTCTCACTGCTCGACTTCACGAGCTCCAACAAAGCAGACACCTGAAACAAACAATTTTGATATGACATGGACACTAGATACTTGCACCCTAATGAAAAAGATAAGTAAACTGAGACCATGGCTCTGTTTATGGAAGCTCCAGTTACTAAAATGCCAATACTACCTCTATATTACGAGTAGATACCCTGAGAGTGGAACTAGAGAGGCAGCAAGAGCCATCACATCATCAGGGTTAGAGAGAAGGTAGAAAGAATACAAGAGTGGCAGAGCAGAGGGAAGAAGCTGCTCTGCCTCCCCTGTTTTAATGAGGGAAGAGAGGAGGGTCTGCACAGAGAGGACTTGGTAGATAAAGCCAGGGTGAGAGGCTTGTTTGCGCCAGAGGATATTTCTGTTTGATTACACTATACCCACCCGAACCCCCCATTCATGATGAAAGAGAGGAGAGGAATTATAAAAAAAAAAAAGGACATGAACTGTTTTCTCTTAACTTTGATTTTGCTGGCAGAGGTGGTTTCTCCCTTTCCAAAATCCCTAACTGAGGGGTTTTGGAAAAGTGTCTAAGACCATGTACACATGTAGCCAGGTACCTGCTTTAAGAAATATATTTTTGTACGATTCGGCCTGTCATCCACACAAAGCCAATTGAATACGTCATTAAAAATATGTTTTGCGTTTGCGTGTGGACAAAGATAACAACATGTTGAACAACAACATGATGTTCCTAAACATCAGTGTCTGCGACAACTATTAGATCAACGTCCTATACTATGTGCCCTTGTTTATGTCAGGCAGTCAACAGCACAGATAAATACAGAATATGTATTTTTGTAAGGAGCAAAGGAGAAGGAGTGCTTTGCAGTCGGTTATTCTACACCAAATAATCCTTCTTCCACCTTTCTTGTGTATTGTTGACTTTATACTCCAAAACGAGGCTTAAAAGCTATTCCACCTCTTTGTTGGTGCAAGGGAAGCTTGCTCTGATTGGATAGAATGGATCTAACTTTTTGGCAAATACTACCAACTCCAGGTCCAGCATGCTTATAACTGCAGTCAATTGCACACTTTTCACGTTTTGTGTGAATGGGATTTTTTATTAAACGATGATGTGTGTATGTTACTTTTTTTTAACGGAGGGGGTTAAATATTTGTTTATAAAAATACCCAGCTATGTGTGAACAAGGCCTAAATGTTCCAGAAGTCGAAGATTACAACTAAAAGTCACCGGTTAACTAATTAGATGGTATTGAAAAAACAAACTGAGATGTAACAGATTAATCCTTCTCCTCAACAGAAAGTGTGTACCTGTCTGAAAGTTTCCTTTGAAATCAACCCATCCTGTGACTCCTTCACTTTCACCCTGAGTTGGGGGACAGGGAATGCAATCATGATATAAAGAGAGACATTCAAACAAAAAAGGAAAAAAAAATGTGTATGCCCATGAATAGCAGCTCTTACCTGCTTGCTCCCATGCTGCCTACTATCATAACAGCACCGATGATACCGATACGCTTGTACTTGGGGACAGTACTGGACAGCTGTTTACGGATCACTATGTGCATGTCATCCTGAGAGAAGAATAGAGAAGAGTCAGCTGATGAGACCATGACAAGAAAGATGAAAAAACAGAAAAATATGGTGCCAGTGGACCTGGATGTGGGATCCCTGTTGCTGCTGTCCGAAAGCCAATTTGCTTAGGAGGTGGAAGAGTTTGCGGATCTGCTGGGGCGTGAGGTTGTCCATGTAGTCCAAGATTCCCTGTGTCAAATTAATGAAAGAATTGATACTAAACCTCTTCAACCTTCTGCTAGCTGCAAGCTCTTTGCAAAGAAAAAGGATTAGGGCCACACGAAGAGAAAAAAAATAATTGCAGGAAGGAGATTAAAGTCGAAATTTCAAGATTAAGAAATTGAAATTATGTCAATAAAGTCGAAATTCTGAGACTAGAAATTAAATTTCAAGATTTAAATCAAACTTTCGAGATTACAAAATGTCAAAATGTTGTGAATAAGGTAGAAATTTCAAGATTTAAAAATTAAAAATTTGAGATTCAAGTTAAAATTTTGACTTTATTCAGCAATTTTGATTTTTTTTTAAATCTCGAAATTTTGATTTTTTTTTCGAATTTAATGTCGAAATTGAAATTTAAAAAATCTTCCTCCTGTCATTATTTTTTTTCCCTCTTGTGGCCCTTATACTCTTTTGTAGTTTGTACAAGTTCAGTGTGATTGAAAAAGCATATATATGGATGAGCCTTTACCTTAACGAAAACCGCATACAGAGCCATTTCTGAGGGCTTCTCTGTTACCAGTCCACAGAGCAGCTCCAGAGCCATGTCTACCTCCCCACCCACACCACTGCACACGTGGGTCACTAAAGCGCCCACTACTTCCTAATCAACACAGCACAGGACAAAACTGAAATGATTCGGTTGCATCTATATTTAAAAAGCAGACATCTGGACACATAGCTCTAAAACCCACCTGTTGACAGTAAGAATCAAAAGCAGTGAATGAGTATCGGTACATGTGTCCACCAAAAGGAACAACGCAAGGGTCAGGGGAGCGCAGCAGACCCTGGGCCAGAGCCAGGATGGAGGGGAAATACCCTCGCATGACCTGGAGGATGATCATTAATTGAAATTTAAAAAATGTAAAGCTTAATATGAAATGACCTTGTTTTCAAAATGAGTGCTGAATTCAGAGAAATCATGTTTGCCAACAGACAGACTCAACAACCTGAGCATAGTCCCGGAAAGTCTTTTGGAGCAAAGCCTCCTGAATCAAGCCAGTCTTCACTTTCACCTTCAGCACTCTCTCTGCGCCCCGCCGGCTCTGGTTGGCATTAGTGGAGTGGACGATGAACAGCACTAGCAGATCTATGACCTGACATGACAGAGCAAATACAAGGGAGACACAGATGCACACTTTAAGATGCATCTTAAACTTAGACATCAAAAAGAGTTTGGACAAGATCTTTAATTTGATATGTCTTGTTTTTGTACAAGCGTAAAATGGTCAATAAAAATGATATAATTTAGTCATTCCACTGTGAATGTATTGCACATGTATTTATTATCTAGTTATTTATTTTTTGCTGATCTGTGGTGCTGAAAGGGGAATGTTTGGGCCATATGCTGCTGTGAATGTCTGGTATTTGTCTGTTCCTTGATCATTTAACAACAAGGGAGGTCACTGTGAAGTGAATTGCCCTTCAGGGATTAATAAAGTTGTCTGAATCTAAATCTAATTGTTGTTATGATTAAGTGCTAATACAAATATGTGATGAGGATGTTTTTTGGCTTTTTGCATCTATTAGAATGGAAATCTAGAGAGGGTGTGAATGTGGAGAGAAAGTAGGGGAAGACATGCGTCAAATCTTATGAGGACCAGGATTAGATCCTTCTACCAGTGTGACGAGAACTGTAGCCTCTATCAATGGGATGTCTGCTCTGTTACCTGGGCCTAACAGAGCTGTGTGATGAGAATGCGTCAAATTGTGGTGATAAAGCAAAAACAAACTAAGTACAGCTGGGAAACTGTTGACTTTACTTGTACGGAAAGGGAGGTCGAACCCTTTCATGATAACTACCATTTCACCTGGGAGCACCTTAAGCTGATGAGATGAAACTTACCTTATGGTCCTCTACTTCATCCACAGATTCAATTGCCTAATGAAAAACAAAGCGGTAAAAGTCTAGTAAGATATTATGAGTTTGGACGACAGAGTGCCTTTATATCTAGGAAAAACAGATCCTTTCAAACCTTGAGCCAAGCCTCAGATATTGTTTTCTGGAATCGTACCGCAGACTTGATTCCCTCTAATATCAATGCAACACTGTCCTGACTACTGCCAGCTGCTGGTGTGGAAGCAGACCTGCTCCAAAAAACAAACTTATTTGATCAATTCTTCAGCAACAAGAATATCTGAGAGGGTATTTGAATTTGTGTTGTCATACCCTCCTGATCCTTTACTCTTGATGCGGCTCTGTGAGGCTTGCAGCACAGGGGGGAGGATACACAGCTCCAACTCCAGATTTTTACGAAGATTACACACCACCTGCATACAGGAAAAGACACCCACACTTTAGACATTTCAAGATAATGACTGTTTTGTTTTCAAAATGCACAACACCGTGGACCAGAATTAAACCCTGACCTCATTGGCATCTGAGGCTGAGACAGAGTGGAGGATGAACTTCACCACAACAGGGAGATCGTCCAGCTGCACAGCTCCTAAAGTGGTCATAACAGCTTCCCGAACCTTTAGATTAAAAACAGGAACATGTAACAACACTGTGTCATTAACTTGTCCTTGAATAATCCAGCAAAAATAACTTAAGTAGAGTCTGGATGTTTGTGTGTGTGCACTACCTCAACTAGCAATGAGGAGCTTAGATTCAAACTTGAGAGAGCGTCCAGGATGGGGACGGTTAACTGAGTGTTCTCCTGGAGTAAAGAGCTATAGAAGACAGTGAGGGGGATTATTGTTGAACCACTGAGCTTTATACATGCTCTGAAAAAAAAAAAAATAAACACATGTCTGTATTTCAGTTTGACTGTACACACTTGAGCTCTCTGGCGATATCATCATGCTGGGAGTCTTCCAGTATCTCTGGCAGACTGGTTATGATGTCACGCTGAACCTCCACTGGTGCCACTGACACTAACTCCATAAGCTTTGCAGCCAGCTCCTGCAAATTAAAGGACACAAAAGGGCAATTATCAACACATACACTGAAATCAGTGATTATTGATAAATGATATAGTTTATAGATGTCTTAGAAGAAATCAGATCAGACACTTTTAACCACCTAAATGGCACAAGCAACTAGACATGTCATTAAGGAATTACTACCTTGCTGTCTACAACTCTGTCCAGCCATTTAAGCTGGTTTATAATTATGTGGGGAATACAGAGTCCTCCATCTCCAACACTGTGAAAGATAGAACAAAATGATACTTTGACTAAAATAATAATAACAAAAACACAATCATCTAAAATCTATTAGTATACTCACCCATCAAGCATAAATTCAGGGAGTTTCTCAAGCAAAATGTTAATGATAGATGTCTGTATAAGAGAAAAGAGGATATTAAGAGTGTGTGACAGCCGTTCAACCAGCAGCATTCACATTTACACACCTTAAAGTAGAAAAAAGCTTCTTTTATTTTTACAAGTGATGTCCTGTTGTCATTTGCAGAATCTGTGTAGAAGATTTTACCTGCAACATCTCAATACCCAACAACATGCGGAGTAGACTTTCCCTGAATGAGCTCACACCGCTGAAACAAAGGGAGAATATTTTCAAAGTTCACACAGTACAGGTCCAAAGGAGGCCTCTTCAAGCTCTTTTGTGTTTTTATGGCTTACCTGGGGTCTCCATCAGGCAATCTGGGGACACATGGTAGGAGGCAGTTCCTAAAGCACTCAGGATCTTCAATATGAGACTCTAATCCTTTGGTGAATTCCTGCATTATCTGGCAGAAAAAATTAATATTACATGCTGTGAATTTAATTTCCTTTCAGGGATCATAAAGCTTTTTAAAATCTTTTTGTTGTTTCATTATCAGACTTGAACTACTTAAAGCTATCGACAAGAAGCCCCCGACCACAAACAGTGGGGTCTAAAAGTTATGAATATCATCACAACTTTGCTTTGTTTCACTCCAAACGTCTTCATAATATGAAGATGAACATGAAGTAGACTTTACTCCAAACCCATCTCATCTTAAAAGTCATAGTTTCAAGCAAGGTGGTATCACTTACCCCAGGATATCTTGGACTCTTTTGCAATTGCTGTTGTATCCTTTTCTGGAAAACTACTTGGTCCACAGCTACAGGGGAAGATCAGATAAAGATTAGAGGGGGGACTGCAAAACAAAAACTCTGCAAGAGGATACTGATCCCATTGAGGGTAGATTGAGAAATTAGCACTTTTCTTACCAATCTCATTGGACGTGCCGCCTTGTTTCAGGGTGACACCTGCCTCATTAAGAAAGATGCCAAATACACTCTGATTTGTCTCTTCAGGAGGTGCTTCCTTTTGTTGTCGGCCAGTGCTGCGACTCTTTTTTGCTTCTTTGTAGAGCAGAGAGAATAAACTTAGATCAAACCAGCTGGGGAAATTGAATGAGTGATGCTGGAAAAAAATCTTACTAGAGGTTTTCTCTGAGCTGTTTTAAGTTCTGATGTTTCAGTTCCATTCAAACAACGTTATTTCAACTCCTTTGGGGCAATTTTTAAAGGAGTAAAGAAATTAATAAAACAAAGTGACATATATTATACAGAGTAAAAGCAATTCAAAGATCAGCCCGTTAAAGATGGAGTCCATAAACTATTGGGGAGAGTGGGGTAAGATGAGCCATTTTTCACATTTTCGATCACTACATCAAGGCAATCATAGTTTAGTCTCTAACTAGTGTATCGGCATATATTTCAGGATGTTGTGCATCCCTGCAAACCAACAGAATGAGTGTAAACATAACTGTCTTGATAATATAGCATGCCAAAAAAAGTGGTCTCCTATGGGGGTAAGTTGATCATAAGAGCAGGGTAAGTTGAGCCGTATCCCTACTACCCCCCACTCTCCACCCCAGCCCTCCCTCACCTTCTCTCTCTCTCTAAATAACAGTCACTTCTTCACATTCATGTGTATTTTTATCTATTATACGCTATTCAACTGATACAATAATACTTTTTATTATTATTGCATATAACTGCTAAAAAGCTGTTTTGTAAAGAGTCATTTTAACATGAGAATGTCTTTAAGTGATTCAGAACATTCACAGATCTGTATTTTTGAAAAGAAAAAGTAAAACATTTCAACAATCTGAACTGAAACTCTGATCCTCTCATCAGACTTCTTTACTTTCTCAGGTGAACCACTGACTCAACTTACCCCAGAACTACTATTATGACTTCAATAGTCCTTTAAATTAAAATGGTGGACTTTTATAGGTTTTTGACCTCATGTTGTAGCTCATAGATACCACAACTGATGTATAAAACAATTTTAAACTCCATGAATTGATGCCCATCTCCTAAATATTTGGTCACATGATCAATTTCTTTTACCATTTCCAAGCAACAAGGGGTGGCTCAACTTTCCCCGTTCAATGATCTAACTGCAAAGGTACCAAGTTCCCTTCATATGTTGTTGTAGTCATGTCATGCAGATGTGAATGATGACTTGACACTTACTTGTTCCTGTTGTGGCAACATCTTCTTTATCCAAAGTGGAGCGTTTCTTTTTACGCATCATCTGATTTCAACAACAAAAAAAGAGTTTTTAAACAGCTAAATCAGGCTGACAGATACACAAGTTCACAAGCTAACCTTTTCATAAGTTTATCTGACTCTACCTAACGAGGAACCTAGCAAGGCTCTAACAAAATATTGCACGTTGACGTTAGCTGGGGTGCGATCAAATGTTTTTTCAGTGGCTACAACACGAAGAAACTATTCTTTACGTACATGTTATTCAATATAACTGCCTGTCACAATGATTCGTGTTAAAAAGGAAGAGGGACATACTTTAATGTACTGTTGAATCCACACAAGACTGCTTCACTAACCCAGTCACCGACGTTACCAAACAAACTTCCGCGCCAAAGTAGCTGATACGTCATCATCTACAGTTAGGGGTTGTCATCGTTTAGTTTCAGGCACATTAGCGTAAAAGTAAAAAAAAGAATACTTGTGCCATTTTATTGATGAAATAACTCCCCACTTATTTGAAGACTAGCTTACTATGTTAAGCTATCGGCTGAAATCTCTCAAGTGCCTTTAAAACTGCTCCACCACTCAACAAACGAAAGGTAACAACATTTTTAGACAGTCTCTAGAGTTTCAATAAAGGGTTGCATGTTTTGATGTCATTCTTACCGTCGTTGGGTGGGTTTGGAACTTAATCGACGATCCGCTCACTCCGAGATACGCTGAGTATAAAAACAAGGACACCCAAAGAGCACTCTAGCCTACCTACGCAGCAAGAAAATCAAAGAGTCTATAGCTGTTTCAGAGAACCTCCTACTACTCTCCCCTATCTTCGCTTGCTTGTTAACTGATGTATTGTTCCCTAATTTACCGGTATACTTCAAAATGTGGATTAAATAAAAACCATAGACTGATTATAGAATAGTATATATAGTCTATGATAAAAACTTTAAACTTAGCGTGTTGCAGTAACCCTTAAGATATGTATAAACTCTTAACTGCCATGCAATAGCCAGCAGTACCTGGCTCACAGTAACCATAGAGTATCAACTTATTAAATCATATCGCATTAAAAACCAAATGGTACATAAAATATCCCTAGTGTTAGTGTTTAGGTTGACATTTTGTCAGATTTTGGACATACTTCTTAAACTCTCAAAAACAACTCCTTTCTAGCATTGGATTAAAAATTCATCTACTTCGGGGGCAAAAAACAGACTAACAATCTATACCTATATTTTAACTATTATATCTCGTCCAAGTGAGGGACACAAAATGGTTACAGTTTTACAGTACTTCCCATTTCTGTCTGTCTTAATTGAAAGGGGGAACAGGAAGATCTTATGTTGGCTGCCTGTCCTGTTTGTCTAAACACTGAACTGACATTTTTATGTTTATTTACTTTAAGGACAAGGAGGTTACAGAAGAAATGTAATGTCACGGTACACTAGGCACTAGGCCAATCAGGTTGGCGGTCTCACAGGATGCAGGGCGTGATCTATCTTGGAGCGTAGATAAGACACTCTTTGACGTCGCTTATTTCAAAGGTTGGCTGAAGACACCAACAGGAGTAGAGAGAGAGAGAGTGTCTGTAGAAGATTAAGGAAACACTGAGAGCCTTGAGAACAGGATGGCTGCGAAATTCTACGAGCTCACAGCCAAACGACTCAATGGAGAAACATTCAATTTCTCGAGCCTAAAGGGCAAAGTCGTCCTCATTGAGAATGTAGCGTCTCTCTGAGGTACGACCACCAGGGATTACACCCAGATGAACGAGCTCCACGAGCGTTATGCCAGCAAGGGGCTTGTGATCCTGGGAGTGCCCTGCAACCAGTTCGGCCATCAGGTAAGAGAAGAAACGCTAGAGCAGTGGTTCTCAACTGCTGGGTCCCGACCCACAAGTTGGTCGCGGATACGTTCTGGATGGGTCACGAACAGCTAGTCAAAAAAGTAAATACTTGATGCGATATTTTCTGTACACGCAATTTCAGTAGTTGTCGTCCCCTTCATGTTCTCTGAAATGCACTTTACTCAGTAAAACACGTGGATTTATGTAAAGATTAGAGTCTTTAAAGTTTGGATTTTTTTTTTAAATAAATTTGCTATGTTTGAATTCAATAAAAGTGGGTCGCGACTTAAGGACCATGAGAAATGTGGGTCCCAGAGTGAGACCAGTTGAGGACCACTGCTCTAGAGCCTTTCTACGACCTTTCTGACTAGCTTTTGGGCAGATAAGTGTTAAAAGAATGAGGAATCGATTTTTCAACTAGTATTTTAGCCACCTGCGTATAGACGACGAGAGGTTACTTTATTAGCTGTTGAATGAAATATTAAAATAGAGATATTTAAACTCTTAAATGTGCACGTTTTCAATTTTTATCAACCATTTGATAACACCCTAGAATTAGGTTAGTATTTAGTGAATGTGTGATCTATACTTCATAGATTTCCTTACAGATTACCACATTTTACTTACTGTTGAACATTAAGGAAGTAAAAGTTAAACTCACAAACCCAGTTTCACCAGCATATTTAGGAAAGAGGAAACTGTGGTAAGGTTAGTGAGTTGCCAAATACCTAAGGCATACTGGTGTATTCTTTAAGACCAGTATAAGTCATTTATTAACTTTGAGATACAGGGAACAAAGTATTGCATTGATAGGTGTTGGTGGTAATAAAGCTCTGTCATATATGGGATGGTTTCATTGTTCAAGAAAAGTAATGCTGTTAACTCTGACCTAAAATATAACTGTCTGGTTAGTGTCAAGTATTTACTAGCCATTATTAAACTGCTTGTAATGAGTACTGAACAGTCAAGTTGTCAAACCTTGACAAATTTTCAATGACAGTATCCACTCATCCTTCTTTCACTCATTATAGATTATACTCCTGTAATTAATGTCTTGATACCACTGCAGGTTTCAACCAGTCTGTTATTATCATGACAGTAACCAGTTTGACCAGAAATACGCAGCACACAAATTTCAGTTAACCCAGCTGTCCTCATTACAGTGCTCATGTGTGGATTAATAAACATGTTGTGTGCCAAAAGCTTAACTATAATCTTATGGTTGATCCATGCAGGAGAACTGCAAGAATGATGAAATCCTGCTGTCTCTGAAGTACGTCCGTCCTGGAAATGGCTTTGAGCCAAAGATTCAGCTTCTGGAAAAGGTGGATGTGAATGGGAAAGATGCCCATCCTCTATTCATGTTCCTGCGAGAATCACTCCCATACCCCAGTGATGATCCGTCCGCCTTCATGAGTGATCCCAAGTTTATCATCTGGAGCCCAGTCAGTAGGAACGACGTGGCCTGGAACTTTGAGAAGTTCCTCATCGGGCCTGACGGAGTGCCCTTCAAGCGTTACAGCAGGAGGTTCCTTACCATCGATATCGAGGGAGACATCAAATCACTCCTGGCCCAGGCTAACTAACCCACCGTCCTCCAAAATGAACCATCTGGACCAGTCTTCCAGAACTGTCCAGGAGTGTGTTGAATATAATTTGTTGAGGCTCTGTAGACGGTGTGTGTGACACTTTTACAGCCCACCTGTGCTCATTTGTACCTAATGGCTGTCTTCAGTCCCGTTACTATATGAAGGCATCCTCTGAAACCAAGCTATTTGTGAGGGGGATATCTGATGAAATGTAAAAGGCTGAATGTCTCCAGCTGCATTGGGTGCATGTCAAGCACAGTTGTGTTTCTATATGTAAAGAGGACAAATAAATATACTTTTTGAACTAATCTTGAGTGTCTCTTGGTGAACCATTTCTGGGGTCATAAACTTTAATTTAATTGAGGGAACTTTGTTATTTGGTAAATATCCACCCAGAACTCACTGGGTTAATACCAGGGTTACAGATCCACTGTGATTACTGCAGCTGTACCACAGCCTGATAACAGATAAGAGTTTATTTCACAACCTCTTAGCACGAAGAGCATGTAATTCGGGTTGCATCACCTGCATACAAAGATCATCGCAGAGATATTTCATAACTTTTCCTCTGCTGAAGTCTAGTCTGAGTTGTATAAAGTTTGTGTGTGCAATTACTCCAAACAAACCATCTTGTTGAGGCTTCCAGTCTTTATTGTACTTTGAATTCAAATATTTCTCATTTAAAAACAAATACTGCAGATATCAGCAATAAGATAAATATGAGGACAAGAATTTATACACCTATTTTCAAATAGTATGATTATTTACATCTCTTGTGTTATTTTTGAATTTGAATTGCTGCCATGATTTGAGTAAAAGAAAACCAGATTGGCTGCTTTTGGTTTTTAACCAAGAGTCTAGGATTACAGATATGATGTAAAGCTTTTTCTAGTCATAGGCATAAATGATTATATTTAGGTAGTCATCTCTCAACAACATAATGATGGCAGGACCGACCAGTAAAAGGGACACTTGGAGGCCCTTCATGTCAACATGCTGTTATGCAACAAAGTGCAGAGTTTATGCCACAGAACAAGACTTATGTTAAAATTTCCATGAAGCACTGACCGCCATCTGGTTTCAGTACAAGACCCCTTAGACTGAGTATAATCATTCCTCTTTTGGACTCAGTCTATTCAATACACCTGTCAAAGCTGTGCTTCCAGGGATAATCCTGTGATTACTTTCCTATGATACCAACATACGATTTAGTCCATTTTTGCCAAGTAGCTCAGTCTGTGATCACTGGAAGGAAAACAATTGGCTCAAAATGCCTGGATTCACTGAGAAAGCTGATGGGGTACAGCGCCCCTAACCCCATCGGATGACACGTGTCGATTGTTCCTCAGTACAAGGAGAAAGTTCAAGTTTCATGAATAAAGCACCACTTTTATACTAGTTTATTTTGCGTCACTCAGTGTGCTTTAAAGATATCAAATAACAGAGCCATGTCAATACAGAGCTGCATTAATGTACAAGACTGATAAGGACAAGCCATTGCAGGTGAGCTGGGGGTCCAATCAGGCAGCAATCAAAATATGTTCATAAGACACATTATATTGATCTGGAAGTGTATGACAGACCATAACCCTTAATGCTAAGGCCAAACCATACAATTCTGTCATGGCTAGATACCCAAGAAGCAGGTAGATAATGTACTCATGGAGAATTCAAAGTGCCTCCTTTTTTGACAGGTTGCAGGAATCAAAAGGCCGCTTTTGCAATGTGATTACAAAGAAAAGGAAAAAAAAATATTAGCGGGGTGAGATTTTCCTCACAATTTTACACCACACTGTGTGCCCAGGGGAAAAAAAGATGGCTGAGTAGGAGCGAGGTTACACCGCTTCTGCAAAACTCATTTCAGGATGCAGATCTTAATACCTTTAAAAAAACAAACAAACAAGACAACACCCTGTCTGTGGTTTAGATCGCAACTCAGACCTGACGGGGCGCCCGCACAGCTGCCACAGCTACTCTGCAGCAGTGAGATCCCCATCAGTGCTTCACTCTGCACAGACGGAAAAGGCAGCAGGATTTCTTCAACAAGCATGGCATGTACTGTGTGCACATCACACTGTTAGAGTTTGCATTCACTGCAACACAGCAAGATCTTTAGAGATAAGTCTAGGCACAATGCCAGAATCCTGCAAAAAAACAAAACAGTTTGTTCATTTTCATAAATACCGTAGTATGCTTTGGTTGAAACAACATTTGCATTTGGCTTTTTTGAAATATTTCTGACTGTTGTTGGGGGCAACAGAAATATTTGTTGGACTATGCATTATAGGGCACTTCTAACATTCTGTTCATCCAGTGAGAGGATCGCTATTCTTGTATACTCCTCTGAGTTCCACACTAGTAAACTATGCTCAGGAATCAGTAGACCAGCCGCTGCAGAGAAGGAGTGCCTCAGGTCACTGTCCTGACAAGGCTGTTGGCTCTAGTTGACAACATACGAGACAGAAATGAAATAAAATACGGTGAAGGTGGGGTTAATTATGAAAAGTCTGTGTGGAGTTCTCCGTTTCTAAAGTTGCTTTGTGTGTGTGCGCGTCCGAGTGTCTCTATTTGCCGTGTGTATTATCAGTGCCTGTCTGGGCTCCTCAATTTGTGTCCATGTGGTCATCGAGTGTTTCTGGAGCTCCTCCCAGCGAGGCCGAAGGCTGAGGTTTGGAGGGGGCTTCTTCATCTCTGCGCTGATAGAACAGCACGTAGGCTGCTTTAGTCTGCCAGGGAGATCAAGGATAAGGTTACACTACAACAACAGCGAGACTTGACACTGACAGAGCCAAGAAGGCCGAGGACTTATCAAACATCTGTCATTTCATTAAAAGCACAAAGATCGACTAACACTGAGAATGTGTTGAACTACACAGCTAATAAGAGGAGTTACAACTCACCACAATCTGGTCCTCTGTGGCAGAGGAGACGCTGCTGTCATCAAAGTAATACCACTTTCCATCCACTTTATTCTTGCCATAAGCTGTGTCTAATAGGGAGAGGGAGAGGGAGAGGGAGAGAGAGAGAGAGAGAGAGACGTGTTAACGAACAGCTTTTTATGGCCATCTGCTTATTCAAAACATCTTATCAGATGATCTCAGTGTGAACGGGCAGAGCAAATACAAAATAAAAGACTCTTGAGAAAGACAGCCCATGGAGAACAAATGTTACTGATTGCAGTATCCATGGCGACACAGTGGTTGTTAAAACACCTGATGACACCTTTTGTTTTTAAGTTTTGAGACTGAACTATCTGTTAGCATAAGAAGTATTGTTGAGTTACCGAAATGATGAAATGGTTCAGAGTTGTGATAAGTAGCTAACAGTTTAAAATTAGGTTGGCATGGTATGATAAGTTTGTTTTACTATGAAAAGAAAGAAAAAAGGAAATATTTAAATAGTGACTTACAGTGACCCCCTCCCATTCCTCCATAGTGGTTTGACACAGCAATGAGGTCGTATGTATATGGGCTTGCCTTGGGGTCACACACAAACTCAGACATGTTCAGATCCCTGATGAAGAAGGAGATATCAAAGAATGCACAGGGACAAAACAAAAAAACATAGCATTACCAACACAGTGAGATACCCAGTAAACTCTCGATAGCAAATGATGGACACATCAAGATCTAGTATCTTGGCCTCCTGTATGTCAAAAAAAAAAAACTGTGTAAGCATGACTCAGCTTTTTAAAACCAGGACTCCGGTTACATTTTCTCTGCTTCCTGGTTTTGCAACAAAGGTTATGTGCTTTAAACAGAGCACAGAGTGAGTCAGATCGTCGTTGGACCACAAAATCCTAGACCAACTTCCCTGTTTGAAAACACAAAGGAAATTCCAAACCCTGCCAACTGACACAAGATTAATGACTCACACAGGGTTTAAAGGCTACTTCTGAGAGGCGTAATAGTTTCGCAACCAAACAGATAATGACAAAAGGGACATTGTCTTTGTTCTTTGGAGGATGATGACAGTTCTCAAAAGAGAAGGGACCATATCTTAAAAGAAAAAAACAACCTTAACTATTTCCTGAGGTCACCTCATTCAGTGAGTACTTAACACCACAGCTCCCCCTTGTGTAAAAACACAATAGACACACCAACCCTGAATGATGATATTCATCAATTGACAGGAAAATTGTGCATCCTCAGGTCAGTTTGGACAAGATTTGGTGACTGATACAGGAAAATTTTCCAACCAAGGGCAATACCACTGTACAACTGCACACCTCTTGTGAGTAGAGTATTGTCACTGTCCCTATCATGATATTTGTACTCTGCTCTGCTCACCGACCTGTAAATACTGTTAAATACTTTCATTCCTTACAACATACTGTATTCATATTTCTATTTTTAATGGCACCACTGCTCCTTTCAAATTTCAGCCAGAAAAGTCCAGTTAGTGTTGTATTCAGTATTTATTGTATACAAAGTTAAGGGAAAATGAAAGTTGTAAATTGTGCTATATTTATTATATTTACATGAAGGTAATTTCTTAATATGTGTCCTTCTTATATTCTTATAGTTTTGGCTCACTAGGAAAAAGCTGCTGTAACACCATGATTTCCCAGTTTGGGATTAATAAAGTAATTTTGATTCTGATTCTGAAACAAAACTCTGCTTTTATTTTAGGGTAACATACAATTGTTTGCTTACTGATGTCTGGACCTACTTTAACACATCAGTGCCATTTCTCTTGGGCAGAAGTATCAGACTACAATACTAATCAAAACTTTTTCTTTTTTCTTGGTATAACATCACTACCAATACCTTTATATCTTTTTGTATGATACAGACTTATTGGGTGATAATAATGATAATGACTGCCTGCATACCTGATGGGAAAGTCCACCACTGTGTCCAGCTTGTCCCTCCAACACCGGTTGTAGGAGAAGCGCTTTAGGTGAACTACCAGAATACGAGGCAGTGACCACAAGTCAAACTTTTTTGTGGCCTGTTGGTGTTTCTTACACGTTGGACAGTACCTGCATTTGAAAAAAGATCACATTTAAATAAGAGGGACAGCAACAACAGCAGAGGTCTAATGTAAAACAAGGCCGTGGTTGTGAAGTCTTACCATGGATCATGTTCTCCGAGGGTCTCCATGGTTGTAAAAAGCTCAATGCATTCCCTCAGAGCGACAGTGGCCTTCTTTTTCTGGGGCTGAAGCATGCTTTCATGCTTTTCATAGGCCTGTGCACAGTATTCATACAAAAATAAACATACTGCTTGCATATCTAGTCACAGGATTGTGAGATGACTATCAACCCACTGACCTCAGCTTCTTGTTCATCATAGCACTGTTTCTTCGACTCTGTGTCCCAGTCAATCGCCACCGTGGAATGTGCTGCAGAAAAGAGGAGAGGGAGAGGGGCTGAATCAACGACAGGGGATTTTAGGGGCATGCTAAAAAGGAATTTCTCAGTATTGAGCTTGACACTGACGATTGAGTTTGAGGACATTTCCATCACAAGGCAGCGGGCTGATGTTGGCTGTCCCATAAGAGTTCACTATGCTGAAGGTGAAGAGCTTGGCTGGAGAAGAGCACTGCTTGGCTGGGTCTCCCTTGGACCCGTTTTCCAAGTCAGAGGTCTCCTCCTCCTCTTCTTCAGACTGGCCATTCTCTGGCTCTGGACTCACCTGGTGGTCCATGGCCTCCTCCTCACCTGAGCAGACACAGATTCAATCCCTTCAGTGTTTTTGTAAAGTTTACTCTATGAACACTTTTCTCTGGGTTTCCTTTACACCCCTTACAATCTGGTCAAAAAACAGTGTGCCCTGCTTACCATCATACAGCCCATTGGTTTCGTTGCAGGTCCCTGAGTGGTTACTGCCGTTACTGGAGTTAGCACTGCAGGACGCCTCATCAGACAGGGGGCTACCACAGCCTCCCAGGCTGGACGACGTGGAACATTCAGGGGCCTGACTGCAGCTGGTAAAGGTGGCTGAGGCTGAAGCCCTGCTTTCACTGTTCGGGCTCTGGGATTGTTTTACATAGCGCCTGCACAACAAGAAACAGAGGGAATTTGTGTAAAGACAAATGATTAAAACTCCATTTCATCCACACCTTCTCTTTCTTTCATGATGAGGGTTTCTACACCCTACACACTCACCCAATCCTCTCCATGATCTTGTCATACAGAACGTCTGCTATGAGGTTGTGTCGGGGCACGGTGATTAAAAGAGGCTGGCCAAACAGCATGGTGCTTGCAGAGCTTCCCGTGTGCTTAGAGTGGCGCTCCCTGAAATAAACAGGCAGGTTCATCCTCTCACTGTCCTCCTCCTGCACCTCATACCTGGAAAAAGCAAAAAACAATTACATTTAAGACAGAAACCACGACACAATAACTACTCTGAGAAGACGGTGAACAACGCTTACACAAAGATGTCATCTTTTTCCATGATTTGATTCAGGCCATCGTCTCGTCTGTAAATTTTGTGGAACCTATGATTGTAAACATCGGCCACCACCATCTGGAGCATGAAGGACAAAGTCAGCACGTATTTACATGCCAAACAAAAACAAAGAAATTTCAAAAGCTTCACTAAAAATGCTAGACGTTATTGTGGTTATTACATTTTCTGGAGGGAAACCACAGAGTTTGGACAAGGCGCTGCACAGATCTGCCACTGTACCAAGTTTGGGGACCACCACTCGATACTGTGAGAAAAGGAAAGAAAAGCTCATCAATAACAAGTACAGAGCCATCTCTTTTTTTCAGATGGGAATACTGCTATTAATGTGCTGGTATGAATGAATCTAGCAGTATTAGTTTTATTGTTGTGGTTTTGGTCACAAGAGAAACCCCTGAGCCTGTTTCCATCTCACCTGAGTGGGTCGAGATTGAGGGTCTGATCGCACCAGGAAAACCTCCATCGTACGGTCCTTCTTCATGGGCAGAGGCAGTGTGAGGTAGCAGAATGGGTCAAAGGTTACGGACACCTTGGAGCACTCTGGACACACCAAGGTGGATTTGAAGAGGCCGTGAAAAATATCCACAATGATGGAGTCGTTGCGCAAGCGGTGGTTTGTCCAGGCTTCCTTGGCAACAATCTGAAATTACACAGAAAGTTCAATCATACATCGATTTAATAAACATCGGAGAGAGTTCAGTGTGTGCCTTGATTTTGTCAAGTATTTTTTAAGCCTTGTGCTTCTGTGGTGCTATAGAACTGTCAAGACAAAAGCATACAATACACAGCATCAAACTGAAAGCAGTCAGAAACTAGCAGCTGTGCAGCTCAGTTAATATTCCTTTGTCACACTGACACTTTGAATGCAGGTTTTCTTTCCTTGGTGAAATGCAACAGCCGTAAAAATATTTAGTATTAGAAATCCAGTGTAATACTGTAATTGATACACCCAGATCTACCTCATCTGGACGGCCCTCTGCATCCCTTAGGGCCAGGTAAGGCTTCTTCTTCACACGGTTCAGGTCTTCATGAAGCCCATCAAGCAGGAAAGCCAAAAGCTCCTGTGAGTCCTGCTGCTGATAGCCTGAAAACTGCGGAGCAAAGCGTCCAACCTGCGTCTGGAAACGCAATGATAGAACTGAATTAGCTTTTGGGAATGTATGGATCATTTTCGTGTCTGATCAGTGGGCAGCATCCGCTTCTGAAATGTGTCATAGCTCACTTTGAAGGTGCGTGGAGCCACATAGCTGCTACGACTCAGCCACATCTGCTTTACTAGATCAGCATAAGCCTCTGCGATCTCGCCCCTCATTCCTAGAGGGTTCTCTCGGTTAATCTCTGCCTCGTATTGGTCTTCCAGGAAGTACTCCGTTAGTGGAGATGCATTGCTCAGGCACTGAAGGAAGGCAAACAAAGAGTAGATGACGTAAGACTGGCACCCGAAGGAAATGCCCTTACTGAGTAGAAAATGTGACAGGATTTCTATCACTCCTTTCTTTACCTGGAGGGCAGAGTTCATGAAGCATGTATTTCCCAAGTTACTGAGACCACATAGCCCAGGCTGTGACTGGGACTCTCTGTAGTTGTAGGAGGAGCTGTATGAGTTATAGCCCCCCAATCTGTAGAAAGAGAAGACCTGTGACTAATAGTAGAAAAGAGATACATTGCTGGTTACACTGCCCTTCTCTCAAAAACTATTGTTCAAACTAACACAATTTTCTACACATGCTGTTTTGTTCTGGTCTAAGCTGTAGTAATACAATACACACTGAAACAGGATTGTTATGATCATTAGCCACACCAAATACTTTCCAGTACAAAAGCCATGTAATCTCACCCTTATGAATAACTTTCTGTTGGGTTTTTGTGAACGTGAATAGGAATCGAATAAATGAACATCCTCTTTTACAGCATCATTTGTCTCAAAAAGAGTGGCATGGAATACACGAAAGGAAAACAAATAATTAAACTTCCTCTTTCATACAGTCTTAAAAAAAAATAGTCAATCAGTTCTCCGGTAATCCTACAGAGCTAATCCCGGCAGTAAACTTCATAAAGAGCAAATGTAAGCCCCTTAGGACCATAACACTTTTTTCAATAAGCACTCTGGCTGATCTATGTTGCCATAGAGTACAGTTTCACTGTGTTCTTTCACTCCCTGTTCCTCATCATACAATATGTTCAAAACTAAGCTGGCGCAGCATCAGATGGTGTCTACGTGGATATATTTATTCGAGAGGAGCCAGCCTACTTGAAAGCAAATTAAGGCTATAGACTAACCTAACAAATGCACAGAAGAAAAATACAATGAACATTTGAACAATAGAAAGCAGAAGTGGGAACTGAAGAGGAGAAGTACGTAATACCAGTTCTGCTGTGTCTAACAGACGAGGGGCTCTTTGTTCTCTTTTATGTCCTTTAATCAGAGAGTACATGCCTTCATGATGGTCTGTAGGAATTCAACCTTGGACTGTTCAAATGATTTAATCAAAGAACTTCCTTCAAGAATACCCTGTCACTAATGTGCTGAGTGTGTTTTGTTGATTTTTTTTTTCTGCTGCATTATACAGAAACTAAAGGCTGTAAAAGAAAGTGGAAAAAAGCACAAGAGGTATTTTTAAATGGCAGACTACTGTGTGTGTATTCAAAATTGACTTAAAAAAGGCCACAAGTCCTGTGCAACATTAAGTTTACAGTAAAAATGAGAGAATGAACTTAAAAGTCTGTGTACTGGATGAACAAGCTTATTCGCAATGGGTAAGAAAAGAGCTCTTGCCTGTTGCTAGAGGTGGTGCTGTTGTTGAGTGTGTAGCCAGGGCTGCTGTCTCCGTTGGTTACGGTTGAGGAGATACTGGCTGTTGAGTTTGAGGAAAGTTTAGGGGAGGTAGTGAAGTTCCTTGATGGGGTAGTACTGGATCTGTTGAGTGAGAAAAACCTAAGTTTGTCAAAAAATAATACCCCCAACATCTGTCATCTGTCATCTGCTATTTATGAATGTAAAATATATTAAAAAACACTGTTAGGATGCAATGCCTATCCATTTTCTGAATGCTTGATAAAACAAAGAAAGCCATTTGCGTACTTGGGATGGGAGGCTTGCCTGGGCCAAGTGCCATCCTCATTTTTCCGCTCGATCACCAGGACCTGGGGGAGGACAAGCTGAATGAGAGCCAAGTGGTCGCTGCACAACATTATCATGCATGTCAGAGTGATCATGTCTCGGGCCTGAATTGAATATGATACATGTGAAAGGTGTTACCAAACCTTAGCAGCTACAGGTTTGTCCATCGACTGCAATTAATTTGGTGTATAAGAATAGTTTTCATACCTCTGCAATTCAACTAAATTCAAAACAAATGTATTGGATAGTACTGAAATAAAATGTTTTTTTTTTTTTGTTATAGGACATGACATATTAACTTGCCAGTTATATACAAAACCATAATTTGTGTTATTGTTGCTGTATTGGGATGTGAAACTTTAATATAGTTAAATGATTCCTCTTTTACACTCACGTCAGTCTCTATTAAGTGTCTGTAGATGCAAAACATTACTAAGAATTTACACCATCATTGCAAAATAACACCATCTCATACTTAGCATAAAATATCATAAAACTGAGGTATAATCCTGACTTCTTGGACATAGACACAATAAGAGGAGCGCATCATAACCAATGGAGTTTACAGTATATGTAAATGCAGGCCTGGTGTATCATTTGACATTAGACACTTTGTTGTTCCTGTTATTTCCTAAATCGCCAGTGAATGAATTATGTATGCAAAGTGATGTTCTTCAAAAGTAATGGAGAAGAGAGAGTCTGTGTGTGTAATATGGGGGTTATTTGAAAAACACAGCTCTGTACTACCTGCCCCTGGAAGAGACCAGCATCCTGAACTGTGCTGTCCGGCTTGTTCAACTGCTCATAGGTGTTGCTCATGTACTTGTTCCAGAGTCGTGTCTCCTTCTCTGATGGGATATTGAACAGCGTCCTCATCTCCTTCTCTATAGTGTCTGGACAGAGAAGACTTTTTTTTAACACAAAATCATCTAATGGCTGGCAAAATAAATCTATATCCAGTGTTCAAAGTTATACTATTAGATTCTTACCTATGGTATCAGCTTTACTGAAATGGCGTGTGACTACATTGTCCATGTTGTCATTCTCACACAAATTCAACTCCAGCAAATAGACCTCCACCTTACAGTGCTTCACAAACATGCCATGTTCAACAACCTGGAAAATGAGGAGGACATTCAGCAACCACAGCCATAAGTGAGCTGTTACAGCAAATAAAAAAAGGATTTAAAAACTAGATTGTTTTACCTTCCGGACAATGGGTTTCTGGCCGTCCAGGCAGCCGTACCAGCTGACAAGCTTATTCCATGCTTCAGTGGGTACAAGGACATAGTCAAGCTCGTCTATAAGGTGCTCTTTCAGGGCTTGAGTCTCCTGGTCTATGGGAAGAAAAAAAGTTCACTACAGGCTCAAAAAGGTAGAATTTTTGCAGAGAAGAGAATCGAATTGAAAACCCCAATCAATGTTTTATTAAAGATGTCGTTGTACCTGAGAACAGTCCAGAGTTATCCACTGGTCCTGGATAGAGGCTGCGTTCTCCAACATTGTACATGTCCCAGCTGTCAAATCCCACATACTTCTTCCATTGTTTGAACCATCGGCTGTCTATTAAATACCTGTAAGAAATAGTTGATCACCATTAATAGTAAATGAATGGAACCGCTTTTTTTTGTCCTGTATTTTTTGCCCACATCCTTGAGACTAAACTGTGATTTTTCAGTCAATGGATATGTTTTTGATGGAACAAGTACATATAAGGGTTAGTACAAGGCATGACAAGACACATCAGACTTGGTGAGAGTGAATTCAATCTTATTCCAACCCAGATGATTATGCAACACCAAACTGCCATGGCATTTGCAGATATAGCAACAGCAAGCTAGTTTGACTTAATCTCATCCCAAGCGAGAAATCTCCTTTACTTAATAGGCTTGTTCACAAGTGTTAACATTGGAAGATGTTTGGACATGGACCCTGTTTTAAGTGACCAGTGTCAAAACAAGTACAAGACGGTGTTACTGCCTTTAAGACTGTGTTTAATTTAGTCAACATTTACAATGGTGGATAATACATTTTAGTCTGAAGAGTATCAGAAAGAGAGAGTAGGTCAGTTTTAATTGTAGTGTCATGAAACACTATCAGACACTGTTCCTGACTTATTTAACAGCTATAAACATGTTAGCGTGACATGCTCTTGTCAATTAAAGTCAATTAAACGTCCTGCATGTGAACTGAAATTGCTGAGGTGAAGCGTCTTTATCACATCTAACTGCACTCTGCCCAGGCCTGCATCTTCTGAATGATGAGAGACTGTTGTAGCTAACAGGGGTTTGCTACAGGGTGAAGAAACTTGTCGTGCAACTTTCACTGGGATGTCACTAAGATTCAGGCAGGCAAGAGCGTTGCATCATATTCCTGTCAACGGGTCGATTCTCCGATTAGTCCCTTTACTCGCAACGAGCCGGTTTGACTAGCTGTAGAAGCACCATCTGAACACAGGGCCTATTCTGCAGGCGACTAGCCAGCACAACAGTCAACGTCACTTAACTTATCACACAACGGGAATTAGCGTCTAAGTACTCGCTGTACTAAAAAGCCCCTTATCTCCACATACTAGTTGGGTTGTTTACGACCACCACTTCACAGCTCTTTCTCTGGACACCACTCCTCAAACAGAAAGGTTTAAATATGTCTGGCCAGCAGCTAGCTTGCTAACTTGTTTGATACTAACATCTCTAGCTCAGTAGCTTTCGATTTCCATACTTGCAAGCATCGGTTTCGTTAGCTCGTTAGCTTTAGCGTGTTAGCATTTCCTGTTTCTGACTAGCGAGCTAACGCTAACAGAAAACACCAAGGTAGCATTAACCATTGCTGAATCTTACCATTCGTCTCCCTTTCTTAGGGTTGTTTTCAAAAGTGACCCAACAGTCTGTTTTTGACTTTCGGTTGAAGGGGTTGGCATTTGAGCGGCTACCGGCTCCGAGTCGGAGTCCGCCGCGCCGCCCGACTCGGGTCCGCCTCCCTCGGCCATCATGTAGCAAGTGTACCGGTATCGTGAACGCGCCTATGGAAGAGCCGCACTGGAGCGAGCATCACAGGGCTGTTCACGGAAATGTTCCTCCTCTTCAGTCAGGACGAGGACTGGTGTAGAGAGACACATGTATCAAGAAGAATAAGAATAAGAAGAACTTTATTGATCCCCGAAGCGAAATTCAATTGTCGGTTGTCTCACTTGACATGTCTCTAAAAGTTATCTACTATTTACACAAGAGTTTTAAGGTCTAATGGCTGTTTGTACATAAGATCTTCTAAATCTTTCTGTCCTGCAGTGAAGAGAGAGGAGCCGTCCACCACCACTTGCCCTTTGGTCCATTAAGGTGTTGTGAAATGGGTGATCCATGTTCTTTAGAACAGTCTCCACCTTCCTCAGTGTAGATCTCTCCAACACATCCTCCACTGAGTCCATCTTGAGTCCAACCACAGAGCCAGCCTTTTTCACCAGTTTGTTAAGATGTCTTGCATCTTTGTGCTTGATGCTTCCTCCCCAGCAGACTGCAGCGTAGAACAGAACACTTGCCACCACAGACTGATAAAACATCTTAATCAATCAATCAAATTTTATTTATATAGCACCAATTCACAACAGTCGTCATCCCAAGACACTTTCCAAAGAAAAAGAGCAGGTCTAGACCACACTCATTGTTTGATGAATTATCCAGACGCAACCGAAGACGGGATTTGGCCCATCTCATCTAACATGAGTAACAGTGGCAAGGAAAACTTCCCTTTAACAGGCAGAAACCTTGAGCAGGACCAGACTCTATGCCAGAAAGCCACCAAGCCATCTGCAGCATCTTGCTACAGATGTCTATTGATCAGAGTCTTCTCAGGCAAAAGAGGCGGCTCTGCCCCTTTCTGTAGATGAAGTCTATATTCTTAGACCAGTCCAACTTATTATCCAGATGTACACCTAGATATTCATATGATCTCACCACTTCAATGTCCACTCAACAGGTGCTCACTGGCTGAAGAGGGGGTTTGGATCTAGGGAAGTCTTTGACCATCTCCTTTGTCTTTGAGGTGTTGAGGAGGAGGCAGTTTTTGTGACTCCAGTCACTGGAGGCTCTTATTAGAGCTCTCTATTCAGCTTCTTGTCCATTTCTGACACATGCTACGATAGCGGTGTCATCAGAGTATTTCTGTATGTTTAATATGATGATGGATATTTATGGTGTCAGGCCATCTATTGGTATACACCACCGAGCTGTTGGCAATCATACTGACACTCTATTGGATAGAACAGAAGGAAAAACAAAACACAGTTGTTGGATCTGACAGTTTCTCAGCATTATCAAGCATAAAATCAGGCAGATCAGCATTCAGAATGGGCATAATGAATGATTTTTTTCTATTATTGTATAGAATGCAAATCAAGGGAATAGTTCCAGGGTTTATTTGGGTTCCTGCTCATGTGGGTGTGGAAAGTAATGAGCTGGTAAATATTCTGGCTTAACAAACACTCAGAAAAACACAGGTAGAAATGTAAATTCCACTAAGCAAAAGTAAAGCCAAACATTCATTACAAAATGTACGCAATCTACAAGGCAGCAACAGGTTGAAGATGGAAGGAAAACATTCACCATTCGGAAAGAAAAAAGCATAATCACACGACTCAGAATAGGACACACAGGATTAAACAGCACACTCCATATGATAGGCAAACACCCAACAGGACTCTGTTCTCACTGCAATAAACCAGAAACAGTACAACATTGTTTATGGACTGCAACCTATATTCACAGGAGAGGGAAAGGTTAAGGGATTCACTCAAACAGAAGAATATTAGTTTTACACTAGAAAAAATGACTTGGAGCAAAATTACAACAGGCATACAAATTGATTCTATTATTTCTTTAAATGACAAATTTATTTAACAGAATTCAAGGACAACTGCCTAAATTCAGAGCCACACTCCAGTTCAGTAGGTGGCAGTAATGCACCTTTCAGCTCGTTTGCCAACCGCCAAAAAGAAAAAGGACTGATGTAGCACTCTAGTTTAGAGAGCAGCAAAATACATCGAATCGAATAGTCACGCATTAGACTCTCTCATGTACATCAGCAAACTTTTGCATGGATCTGTTTTATGGATCAGATTTTTTGTAAATTGTATTTTTTTAAACTGTGTTGTAGTGCAATGCAACACAAGAAACCAGATGTTTAGTCAAAACAGGCTTTATGCTGTACAAAACACAAGGGCGTTACATAACAAAACAAACCATCTACATATTTCACACAAACATTTCCCCTCAGAACTGTTCAACTTATACTAAAATTAAATAATCATTTAGACCTCTAAAATGCTGTAGTGTACTACTTTTCTCAACAAAATCAAACAATATGAAAATGAGGGCAGTCAATCTAGCTGTGCATAAGAAAAGAAAAGAAGTACTTGATAGCTCACATTCTAATACCTAACAATGATATGGTAGTGGAAAAGTGGCATAATAATCAGCCAAAAGGCCATTCTTTTACCAAACATTTCCTTTTCCAAGTAAAATAACAAAAGCAATGATTTCTAGTATGCATGAGTCAGCAAAAAACCAGTGTACATTATTTACGTTTTTTTAAGATATTTCATGGACAGGAATGGACTTGAAAAAAATGAGGACCACAAATAAGGGAATGTAAACTTTGCATAACATGAAAGTATTAGCTCCATCTCTGTTGCTTTGACCACAAACAAATCCCCCAGATGATCAAAATTTCGAATTGAAGGATCCAAGTAGAAGTGACGCCGGCATCAGAAGATACCGCTTGGCAGCTCCTTGCTAAACAAGCCATCAAAGTCCAGTTCTCTGCTCATCAGATCCTCCTCAACACTCTCCAGCGCCCACTGATGGTCAGTCAGCTCCAGTGCTTCCCACTCAGCCTGTAAATTAGAACAGACTTCCATGAACAACCAAGCAAAACCCTTACACAGTAATTAATTATTCTGTAACTACAGTGCATACCTTGAAAGCTTTGTTTGTGTCTGCAGGCATGGCCATGGCAGCACCACTCATCTGCTCCTGCATGATCCTCGACTGATCTGCACCTGAATTCACCAAAGTCACCAAAGGGTTTACTCAGCGTGGAAGGCTTGACACATTTACGTAAATAGTGACCAGAATTTTTATACACTTTGTGTATATAAAAACAGACACTCAGATATATGTTCTCCAGTTCCCAGCTTAGTCAGATAACTGAAGGTAAGGCAGCTGATAGTTTTTGCTGGTTGAGGCTTTGCTTCTTGTTCTGACTTTTAAGAAACCATAATGTAGCTGCAGTTCAAGAAAGATGTACAACAAATCACAAATGTCATGATTTGGTTCAGTGCACAGATTGAGGATCACGATTCCTGTCATTTTTTGGGGGATCAGACAAAAAACAAACAAAAAAAGAATGGTAACTCTGTCCTGCCCCTTCCTTAGCCACACAAACACAAAAGCTTTCTCCACCTCATTAGCCACACGTATTGGCTGAAATGTTCACATCTGTTGATATCAATATTTATATCATAATAATACTGTGCCTCCTTTATAATAAGAAAAATAAAATGATCAGTGTAACATAACTACTCAAATATATATTGTGTGATTTATCTTACTCATGTTACAATAAGTGATGGGCATTTTCTTCTGAATTCATGCACAACATATAATGTCAAATGACATTCAGACCGTTAATAAGAATAAATCCTGTAAATCATGTTCTCACCTTGGACAGGTTAATCCCTTTTGCCTAGTTTATGTATTTCTATCATTGAAAGAGCAGAAGCTGCACTCAAGAGTGTATTTCTGTCATCTTGACCATGTTCTACCATTGTATCAGATGGAAAAGAAAGCCTCTCCATGATGACGGCAGCAGAGACACCACTCAAAAGCCCAAATGTGGTTGTTTTGTTTTTATAAATTTGTAATATTCAACTGGAGGAAACAAATGACTTCAGACAGATTACAACACTACCATCTAGCTGTCAGGGGGGTTCAAAGACAACCCAAATAAACCACTGCCAAAATCTTTAGAGCAAACTAATTGCTGAACGTTGATGTGTTAATGAGCATATTATTTTGAGAATCTAGAAAGTATCTCTTTACACATCAAATATTTAAGTATCAACATTTTCCATCATACCTGTTCATTACTATCAGGAACTTAACGTCTTTAATGAAATGTGAATAAAAAACTGCTCAAAGGTACCAGGTTGCTTCTAGTGTTGAATTCTCAAAAATCAACAAAAGTACATAAAATCAGTTAGGAGTTACTCATTACTCAAAAAGAACACCCATCAACAGGTGTTCCAAAATTACCGTTGTCTTGGCCCAGAATTAATGAATACATGCTTCGGAGTCCAAACACGTTTAGGAAATACCACGATGCCGAGCTCACCCTGGAAAATAAACACACACACAAAAATTAAGACAAGTAGGTAAGACTGTAGCACTTTTTGGTGATACTGTAGACACTATGCAGAGTCTTTTTACAAATAAAGTTTCATAAGTTTACCAGGAAGCATCAAGTGACAGAAGCTCTATTCCTTGCTGCAGCATGGGCTTGAAGCGCAGAGTAAGGGGGAAGGGAACCTTAGCTGTGTGAAACAGAAAATAGACAGAACTCAACACTGACTCAATACTGTTGTGTGACGTGAACAAGATCATATCTGCCAACAGAGCCAATAAAAGCCTATTATGTGATATTTTGCACCACAAATAGTAACATTTGTGACTGAATGGGGCCCTTTACTGGTAACAAATCCTGAAAAGGTCCAGTTGATCCAGCCTCCAATAAGAATCATGGGAAGTACGTTGGTGACATTGCCTTTCATCATGTCTGTCAGCATGCTTGGATCTGTGGAGAGAAACAGTTTGCACACAAAGCATTCGGTAAAAACTCCAGTGTTTGATTTACAAGTAACAACTACTGTATAGTCAGATTGGAAACTGTGACTCTGAAATACGCTATAAAACCGGTTTGAAAAGGCTCATACACATTATTTGGCAGTAAATTTATATGGCTATTCAGTGACTTGAAGGCCAACTTTTAGAACCATACAGTCTCTGAATCGTCTGTTTACATGAAAAAAAAAAACTTTCAATGTACAAATTTATCACAAAATATCTTATCTACAAAAAATAGACATTTGATCGAATAACCCTGACATGCAGTTAGTTAGTAATGTAAAGATATACCTGTCATGGGGGAGGGTGGAACAACCTTTCTTTTAGTTTTCTTGAAAAATCCGTCTTCTTGGTTGTTGAAGTAAAACTTCCTCATCAAAAAAGACTGAAAAAGAAAAACCAGAGATTTTCAGTTTTACTGTTCTGTAACATGCCATTGATTAGAGTATTGCAAAGGTATATGGTCCAGTGCCAAGTCTTTATTTCATTTCAACATTTCAAATAAAAAAAAATTCATTTACTTGTGGAAAAATGTTATGATGCCATGTAAAATATAAAAAATAGAATAGTTGTGTTGCTGGCATCAAATGTAAAATGGCCATTAATTAATGTAGATAGATTTCGCCGATTTCAGCTTTTGATATGTTGTCTTTTGTTTTTCTTTTTCAATTAAGGTTTAAATGACTTGCAATCCATCCTAATCTGTTTAAACTAAACATGCACCAATAAATCAACTGGCCGATTGATTGGCGCCGATTTCCTCAATTTTGGGGTATCGTAATCGGCTGACCCTTACACATAAAACCGATTTTATCTACCGATCTTATCTACCTCAGCAAAGGTCTGAAAGTCAGCCGTTGTAGCTTTTTGCTTTTGCCAGAATGACCGGCCCGCCCACCAGTTTAGTTCCTCAAACCTTGTGATTTCCTTTATTTGTAAAAGCAAAATACTGCTGTGCACTTTACTTTGGTAAGAGGCTCAAAACAGGCCTGCAGTGTGACCTGATTTACATTTGAGAGAACTACCTCATGTGCAGTTAAATCAAACACAAAAAGGTTTGTATTGTTCCACAAGTATTGTTAAATGTTTTTCATTAAAATAAGATTGGAGCATCGAAGGTGTATGTTGTCAGTTATAAAACATTTTTTTTAAAAAAGGTATCGGTCAAAATCGGTATCGGCTGGTGAAGCTTTCTAAAGATCGATGGTCGGCCAGAAAATTGTAATCGGTGCACTCTTAGTTTAATAGAATAGAATAGAATAGAATTCAACTTTATTGTCATTGCACATGTCACGAGTACAGAGCAACGAAATGCAGTTTGCATCCATCCAGAAGTGCTTAGCAAGTATGAATATGGCTGTGACCGAAATGGATCCCTAACCCCTACATAGGTGACTATATGGGGGTTAGCGCCATTTTGAGGGGTGTCCAAAACCTGAGTGATCAATTCCAGTGCCCCATATAGGCGACTCAAAATTTCCCATAAAGCATTGCAAAATGCAGTGACCATCTGATGGTCACTCACTGGTGGTGGGCATCCCGTCATGCCTTGCATCATGCCATGTAGTGTCCGAAACCTCCGGTAATTGAACTTACTACATAGTCAACTATAAAGTGAAATCCCATATGGGGGTTAGGGGTTAGGGATTGAGTGATTCATTTTGGACACAGCCTATATTTACAAATGTACACGGTATGAAGGGGATATATACATGAGTATATCACGGTATATAAGTATGTACAGGCTATAGTAGTGTATGTGCAGGCTATGAACAGATTATACATATGGTTATAAATATGAAGGTTGTAAACAGACTATAAATATAATTATATGGCAGATAAATTATGCAGTAATGCAATATTGGATGTATTTACAGTAGTGCAAATGAGGTTTGAAAGGTTTTAAGTTGGTTTACAGAAATAAAGTGCAGGTAATTGTAGATGATTGAAAACGGTGGTTCAGTGGTTGTGAGTGTGTGTGTGTTCAGTCCATGAGTGTTAATGTGGAAACCAACATTCTTTTTACGTTCATACCTTATTAAATAACGTCTGTAAAACAAACTTACCTGTTTTGGGATGTATTTTCCATTCTCTCTGAGAATCCTGCTGCGAATAAGAACCTGACTGAAATGACAACAACACAGTATGACACAAATTAGGTTTCTATTTCTATCTTTTACATGGTTAAATTGAGTATTATATTACCTACCTGTCAGAAACCTGTTCTAACGTCAACTTCTTATCACTTTGAAGCAGAATAGAGACATAGTGCCGGATCACTCCGACAAGAAAAGTGATGAAGACAATGGGCAACACCACCCAAAGTCGAATATTGGAGTCCAGCAGCAGCTCCGGCTCAGCCATGCAGCCTGGTGTCTTAACTGGAGTCACAAAGACAGAAACGATATCAGATTTATACTTCTGGAGGTCAGTCTACAAGGACATTTTCTATGAAACTCTTTGAGACGCTCCGAGTGAGTCTGGAGTGCAGAAGGGAGGAGGGTTACAGCTCACACTAGCTAGCTAACCAGCGTCATGACGTTATGCTAAGGTTACGGCTGCTTCCCAGCTGATAGAGTCATATAAAACAACTCGAAATATAAAATACTGCCACCATTTACACTCCAATTGGCTTGTATCGTCGCTGTATTAGACTACACGCAATGGTTACATATGGCGTTCGTGTTTATCTACTGGTAACGTTAGCCAGCAGGCTACCTTCTTCCTGATACCCGGGTCACAGTCGCTCGGAGGTGGCGTGTCGTCTTAGCGCTGCGGTCAACACTTTTTCCCGAGGCGCAGAGACGGTAACATGCGTGAGGTAGCTGGTTCAATCAATGAAACAGAAATATTTAACAGTTGCCAACAATCGTCGCCATCGTTCAGATGTTGGCTTTGCGGATGAGAGCTGATTCCTCTTTCTGCTGCTCATCCGCATCTAATATGGGGGCTGCAGCGCCACCCCGCGGTGATGGAGGGAACTCCTTGTCCTAAAACAAGCAAAACCACTTTGAGATGAGCCCAAACAGCGGTATGGTCAGCAACATAAACATCTTATCAATAAATCAATCAATGAAACTTTATTTTCAACGCATTTTCATTCATAGAATGTAGCACAAAGTGCTGTCCATTCAAGCAAGACATTAAAAACAATTAAATAAAATAAATACAAATACCAAACCCCACCCTCCTTCCCAACCCCATTCAACACATACAGCACTCACTTACACACAAATGCACACACACAAAAAACAGGTGAGGACTCTTAAACTTGCCACAGATGACTGAGGAAACGCTATCTTGAGTTAAAAGAAATGAGGAAACGTTGGATCTAGGGCTAAAACCATAAAACCACAATAAAATATAATAAAGGTGATCAAGCATTAAAAGTTAAATAAATAAAACAGTCTTAAAATCAATCAATAAAAGAAAGTAAATCACAAAAAGAGGCAATAAAACACAGAATTGTTACTCTACAACTAAAATAGGGTAAAATCACATAATGCAGATTTAAAAGATTAAAACAAAATTTAACTAAAAGCCAGACTAAAAAGGTAGGTCTTGAATTTACTTTTAAAAATAAATCTTATGTCCTTGATGGTAAATCATGCTTTGAAATTGAAGTTGCCTAAATGCTGTGTAGAAAATGTTGCATGAATTGAAATTTGTGATACTGTCCAAAATTATTCCACTGCTGCAGATTAGTAACGTAACGAAAGTTACTGATGGAAAAAAAAAGAAAAAGAAAGAAACCGAAGCCTGCAGCAAATAAAAAAAAAAAAGAAACAGGGCAGATAAAAAAAAAAAAATAGTTACTTACCTCAAAATTAAAAGGATGCAAATTAGAAAAAGCCACAATAGAAGTGAGCTGCCGGAGACCAATAATGATGATGCACCGGGGTTTTACGGTCTAGGGTGAAGGATGCCGATGTAGTGTTAGCTTCAATTCAACTTCATATCGACTCAGGCGCTACATGGTCTAACCAAATGACACACTGAAAAGTTTGCGAAGCGAAATTAAACAATAACCTTTCCACTTACTTCTTTGCTCGTCTTCTCGCCGTCGTCTTCTGCACCCAGATCGTAAAACCCGGTGCATCATCATTATTGGTCCCTGGCAGCTCAATTCTGTTGTGGCTTTTTTTATTTGCATTCTTTTATTTTCGCCGTGAGTAACTTTATTTTCCATCACCACTTTTTTTTTGGTGGACATTACGAGTGTTATTATAACTCACAAATGTCTATCAAACTAGCATCATAGATGGGTCTGATTGTTTTTTGGGCTCATTACATAATCTGACAAATATATTATTGTATTTTAGAGCAGCATTTAATCAATTTAAAAGAAAGAAACACGCCATGGTATTTTTCTGTACCAATGTTCTCTATTATGTTTGTTAGCTACCCCGTTATTCCTACCGCCACTAATAGGGGGCAGTAAAATACAATACATCTGTTTGGTTACGGTCCTACAGAAGAAGAAGAAGAAGTCTCATGGGCTGGGCTGACCTACCAGGACACAATTAAGTGGATAAACAAATCTTTTCTCCGCTCTGAATCAGGCTATTAACAGAGGCAACAAGCTGCGGAAACATCACGGTAAGAAATCAGAATAAAACACGGTATGATACTTTAACTAAATCCGTGTTATTTTAATTCAGAGTCGAGGATTTAACAAACGTCATGGCTTACGTTGGAAGAGCAAAGTAGCAAGCTAACATGTTAGCATGAAGGTTTAATCAATTTGCAGCTGAACGATCAATACATCAATATTCTGGTTTGAGTTTATCTCCATCTGCAAACATACTTTATGTGTTTGTTTTTTCCAGAGCACTACAATCACATACCCTCCACACTTTGCCATGGGAACTGATAAAAGGTGAATATTAAATGTATATTGTTGAAATGTAATTTTTTTCCTCACAAATTTTAACTCTTGTTTATTTTGACTTAACATGTTTTATGTATGTATTTATTTTGTTTTAATTCTTGCTGCTCTTTTTATTTTTCAAGTCTAATTGATTATATAAATTTTAATGGCACTTAACATGAAGTATAACCTGTTCCCACCTGTTCAGATGAGCACACTCCTTATAATTGACCTTGTCATGTTTTTGCTTGTTTTATTTCCGCAAAGACACTCTGTAAAGTGTCCTTAAGTGTCCAGAGAGGCGCTTATGAATAAAATGTATTATTATTATTATTATTATAACTCTGACATATTAATCACATAGACCCAGTCGAGGTGAACGTAGTGGAAGATATGGTTCAGATGGGAGGAGAGATGATCCGGAGTGGTATGAAAGACGAGGTAGCAATTTGGAGAGGGACTACGATCGACGCTGGAGTGATGAGAGACACAGAGAGCGCAGAGACAGCCCAGAGGTGGGTAAATTCTAGTTTTCACCACCATTTGGCAGGAAATACTAAATATTTTTGATCTGAGATCAGCAGCGACAGCATGATGTTTCTGTTTAACTGCAACAGAGGGGTCGAAAACGGCGGAATAGTGACAGATCTGATGATGAATATGAGGGTGATTGTCCAGACCAGGACTACAAAATGGAGCAGGAGGAAGAGAGCAAGACCATCATGCTAAGGGGACTGTCACTTCATGTCACGGAGGAAGATGTAAGCCTACAGCACGAACTTATGCTTTCTAGAGCACAAACGCACCCAGTTTGGCAAGATTGTAAGGTAGCATCTTAAACAGCAAATGTGTTGTAAGGAATGTAATGGTATAAGGGGAATAGTAAGAAACGTACCTGGAATGGGTTTAGTTATGCCACAGAGCACAGTAGCACCTGGGCTGAGCTATAAAACGATAAAGATGTATATCGAAAACTAATTTCCCTCGATATCGATACAAAACATGGTCAATATCCTTTTCGATAGTCGGCATTCTGCCATGTTTTGGTAGACTATACAAATAGCCAATGAAAAGGGGAGTTGCTCTGTGTTCGCTTCGCGCTGAACCAGTCGTGCTGAATTTGAACCAAGTAGCAAACAACTGCGTAGTAGCAGGCTGCAGCTACACGCAACCACAGCACTTTAACACGTGAAGCTGACAGCACTGTTGGTGAGAAAAAAGAAAATGAGTGCTACCCCTGGCAGAAATGCAGATTAAGGCTCAACCGATGACGACATTGTTGACAACACTGGCACTAAAACGCCAGTGGTGTGGAGGTGTTTTGTTTTTTTGAGGTCGGACATGAAGCAGAGTAATGTGCACTGCAAATTATGTTGAGTACGTGTTCTTGCAAATTTCTGTATTGTGATATATATCGATATTGACTGATATGAAAAAAATATCCTTTGATAAACTTTTTCCCATATCGCCCAGCCCTAGCACCTCGGATCATTTGTAAATGTAAATAACTGCGAACCATAGAAGAGTGCTAGATATGTTTACTTTTCTGTTTAACCTTACAAGGAAAAAAAAGGGCTAATGAAAGTTTTATCATGGAGTTAACTTAAAACTGTTTAAAAAGATTGAGCTCCTCAATGATTAGCAAAATAATAAGAAAGAAAGTAAGTTGTTTTTAAGATGGACTGGAGCCCATGCTTCATTTTCCAGATCCGCTCAGCACTCGAGGAGCTGCAGGGTCCCCAGCCGGTGGACATCCGCTTGATGAAGAAAAGGACAGGTGAGTGTTGTTGAACAAAGGAGTGTCTCAAATTCACTTTCACACTCTGTCTTATAACACACTTTACTTTCTCTAATGCAACTCCTGCTAAAAAAAAAAAAAAAAAGACTGATATTGCAGCCGTCAGAAGACCCTGTGTGACGCATAAATTGTCTGTCTAGTTTTGATGCTATGGCCAGGGAAGGAGGTAAATGTATGCACCATTTTTGTACAGACATTACATGCTAACTCACAAAATATCTACCACCATCCCCGTAAACCCAATAAACTGCCTTCCCAAGCACAATATTAACTTGAATTGGACTATACAAGCCCACTGTGAGTTTGAATGTTGCACCAAAGCATTCTCACTAACACACCTCCCGTCTATATTTGAATGCTGTCTCTAGGTATAAGCCGTGGTTTCGCCTTCGTGGAGTTTTATCACTTGCAAGATTCTACCCGATGGATGGAGACCAATCAGGTTGCCTCAACAATCACCAAGTTTAGCTTTATTCTTGGAGATAAGAGCCCCAGTTAAACAGTACATGTGTGTGATCATTGGGAGTTGTGCAGCATTTGTATTATGCAAAGCCAATATTGTTGCTTATAAGTCTGAGGATGTTATGAAGACTTTGGTCATAAAAATCTGTGATGTCAGAGGTATATGTTTGATATCACACACCTAATAAATATTTAAGGTATGCAGCAGCAGGCCCAGTTTACTATTGTATATTCAGCATAGGAACAGTTTGAAGGCTTTTGCTTTAAAAAATTTTTTTTTTGTCTGTTACTAACATTGACAAAGATATAAATCATACAGAAACAACTCAAATAAAGAGTTGTGTCTTTATGAAGGGTCGTTTTCCCTGTCAGACGGCTTCATAGCACATTCTGCTCCAGCTCAGTCACTTGGATATTTTCTCATCTCCATTTAAAATCCGAAGACTGGAGTGAGATATGGACGAGCTGGTAGCACTCCGATCCAACACACACACACAAAAACACACGCGCTGTTTTTGTTGAGACACCAATCATCACATTTCCCTCTGAGCCTTTCTATCTACCTCTCTTTCTTTTTTTACTCTACCTAACCAGGGAGTGTAAGCCTAGCCACCTTTTCCTGTCCCTACTGTTCTCACCTATGGGTGAGGTAGTGGCAGGACTTCACCTTTCTCTTTGGCGTAAGTGTTTCAGGATTAGGAATAACTGGCGGCTTTTTGACTTCACAGAACAAGTTGGTCATCCAAGGGAAAACTATTGCAGTGCACTACAGTAACAGGAAACAGAAGTTTGAAAACTGGCTTTGTAATGCAGTAAGTGTGACTTTTTACTACTTTATTTACTCGCCACTTTGCAGAGCTATCAAATATGCTTTAAAAGAAAAGACGAGAAACTAAATTGCTGTTGTTGGGTTTGATGCAGTGTGGTCTTTACAATTTCCGGAAGAGGCTCAAGTGTTTCAGATGCGGAGCAGCCAAAACTGGTGAGTTGATACTTCGCAAACCAGAGGGTTAATTTGATCGTTTTCTTATCCCTTTACATTTTCCACCTTCACCTGCGCTGACAGAGAACTTTCCATGCACTTGTCTTTTTTGTTGTTCCTGATTAAAGATGGAGAGTCAGCAGGACTGAATGGTTTAAGCGCTGAGGCTCAACAGCCAGGAGATTACAATGGAGACAGTCAGTTTTTTTTTTTAACCTCATATTTAAACTTAACATTCAGTAAGAAAACTTATTTAACATTTGTTAATTGTTCATTTTTGTGTTTGCAGCAATCATTCTGAGAAACATTGCCCCTCTTTCTACTGTTGATGGAATTTTGGGCATATTGGCCCCCTATGCCAACCTATCAGCAGGCAACATCCGCCTCATCAAAGACAAGCAAACGGGACAGAACAGAGGCTTTGCCTTTGTTCAGCTCTCATCCCCTTTGGTATGTGATTTCTGTTGTTCATGTGTAGTTGTCATGTCAGTTAGTGTTCTTTGTCTTTGGAGGATATAGTGGGGTGGGGGGTATACACTTGTGACAATCTTGTATCTTCTCTTGTAAAGGAGGCTTCTCAGCTGCTCACGATTCTCCAGAGCCTTCAGCCACCTCTTAAACTGGACGGGAAAACAATTGGTGTCGATTATGCCAAGAGCGCTAGGAAGTGAGTCACCACACCACATACTGTTTGATTCAGCTCTCTATGAATAGTGCACATAAGCTCTTTTGTATCTGTAATGTGTGAACAACACCATGTGGGAGGTTTTATTCTCACAGATATTTTTATCCTCTTGTTTTATAATGTAAGAAAGAAACAATTAAACTGAATCCATTATTCTACATCACTTACATCACTGTTCTTGGAGTGGCTGTGGCTCACAGCTAGACTTGGTTGTCTCTTGATTAGAAGGTTGCCGCTGTCCACATGATGAAGTATGCCGGGAGCAATTAACCCCAAACTGTCCTCACTGGCTGCACCCTGCAGTGTATGAATGAGATTAGTTACAACTGATGGATGCTTTACATAGCAGCCTCTGTCATCATTGTGTGAACGTGACATGTAACGTAACAGGGCTGAGATATCAGAAGAGTAGATACAGCGTTTTCTCGACATGGTACACAGTTTGCCCCTCTGAGTGCTGTGCTCTGAAGGTTGCTCCTTTAGAAGTGCACAGAGCTTTGTTATTTTTCTGCACACCCTGTTTGAGAAAATAAAAGTCTCTTTTCATCTCACAAGAACTGCGGATTTAAGGTAAAACTAATCACTCTGTCCTCTCCAGAGACTCAGTGCAGCCTGATGGTATCAGAGCCAGTGCTCTCTCTGTGGCCAGCACTGCCATTGCTGCTGCTCAGTGGTCTTCCACTCAGGTATCACTCACTTACCTGTGCTTATTGTTTCAAGTAATTTTATTTTATTTTTTTTTAAATATCTTCATCGGTTTTTGTATTCATACAACAACATCCAACAATTTAAACATACAGCTGTAATGAAAATAATAATGAAAAGAATGAATAATACAGAAGAGGTAAATAAATAAAATATCTACCTATATATAATACTATGAATAATTAAAAAGATAAATTAAACCAACAAATAAGTCAACAAATTACTGAGCAATAAATAATAGATACATTAAAAAGGGAAAATAATAGCAATTGTTTAAAGTAACTTTGATTTGTTGCATTTCTTTTACTTTTGAGATCAAATGTGTTTTTAATGTAAGGCCAAGAACACTCCTCTACAGAAATGTCTTTTTTACATAAGTTACATCTGTCAGCAAATAGCAGTAGTTCTGTTTCTTCATCTTTGCAAGCTGCTCTTTGTGTTTGGCTGTCATCCATATCTTCAGACTTGACAGGAGGGTAGAACTGACTTGTCCTCTTTAGTTTTCTTGACTGTCAGCTGTCAGAACTGGGCTGTTGATTCTCAGTTCAATTATTATTGTAAGAATTACTGAAACACCACTGAGCCACTCCATTTGTAAAAATGGATGCTGTGCTACCAAGATTATCACAGTTCTCTATTAGACAGTGCCTCTGATAGAAATGCAACTTTAGATGCAAAATCTGGATTCTCGTTTGTCTTATCTTTTTTCTTCTCGTGTGTTTGTGTAGTTACAGCAAGGTTCAGGGACCACCTCTGACTATGTCTCCTTACCAGATGGTTATGGCCAGCAAACACAGGTAAAGTTGGTATGGCTGACTTTAATTTAACACTGATTTTATCTAGGAGGACAAATGACTGACGAGATTTCTGCTTGATGTGCAGGGACAGAATTATCAGGTGTGGCAGCAGCCTGAAGCGTTGGCTTCTGTCATTGGAGATGGATTACTGGGAGGTAAAAAGATCATGTTCAAACATTGAGATGTGTTGAATTATTTTTTATTTCTGAGACTGAATTATTTTATTTTCTTATCACTACCTGTTAGCTGCTCCAGGACTAAAGACTCTGATCCCTGCAGCCACAGCAGGTGTGGTCATATCCCAGACAGCACAAGTTTATCAACCGGTTGTCATTAGCCAGTCTACCATACAGGTATGTAAAATGGCATTGCTATAGACATTGTTTTAATTTAACTCCACAATGTAGTGTAATTGGTGTTTCTCCCACACTCACAGCCGCATCAAGCAGTACGGCCCATCAATGCAGCGAGTGTTAGTGCTAGTGTTTGCGCTACATCGTTGGTAACATCAGCAGCTTCCACTGCTGCAGTTACGATCAGTGCTGCTCCAACTTCTGACACAGCAGGTGAGATCACTTTTAACAGTTTGGGAGCCTGGTAGAGCTCTGAGGTCATCTAATAGAATAGAATCGAATATTCCTTTATCGATCCCCCATGGGGGAATTTTTTTTGCCACAGCAGCATCACAGACAAAGTGCAAAAATGCAGTTATAAAAATAAAGAGCCTAATATTAAGAACTTAAATAAATGTAATAATTAAGAAAAAATGTAGAAAAAGGGAGAAGAAAAATAAAACTATCTTCAATGTACACAATTTACACATACACAAAAAGTGGTGGTGTGTGTCCAGTTATTATTACAGTTCGTTGTAAAGTCTTATTGCAGAGGGGAGGAATGGCCTGTGGTAGCACTCCTTCTTGCAAGGTGGAAGTCTCAGTCTGCTGCTGAAGAAGCTGCTTAAAGCCCCCACAGTCTGGTGCAGTGGGTGAGAGGGATTGTCCATGATGGATACAAGCTTTGCTAACATCCTCCTCTCACCCACCTCCTCCAGGGAGTCCAAAGAGCAGTCCAGGACAGAACTGGCCCTCCTGACCAGTCTGTTCAGTCTCTTCCTGTCCCTCTCAGTGCTCCCTGCCCCCCAGCAGACCACCGCATAGAAAAGTGCAGATGCTACCACAGAGTCATAGAAAGTCCTGAGCAGAGTCCTGCACACTCCAAAGGACCTCAGTCTCCTCAGCAGGTGGAGACGACTTTGGCCCTTCTTGTACAGGACGTCTGTGTTTGTTGACCAGTCCAGTTTGTTGTTGAGGTGGACACCCAGGAATCTGTAGGACTCCACCGATGTCCAGACCCTGGATGTTCACTGGAACAGTCTGAGGTGTCCTCCTCCTGCGGAAATCCACAACCATCTCCTTTGTCGTACTGGCGTTGAGCTGGAGGTGGTTTGTGCCACACCAGCTGACAAAGTCAGTGATGACAGTCCTGTATTCCCGCTCATCCCCTGATGATACACATCCGACGATGGCTGTGTCATCAGAGAACTTCTGGAGGTGACAGCTCCCAGAGTTGTAGCTGAAGTCCGAGGTGTACAGGGTGAACAGGAAGGGTAAGGGCACTGTCCCCTGTGGAGCCCCTGTGCTGCAGACCACCATGTCTGTCGGTGAGGTAGTCCATGGTCCATGCGGCTAGGTGACAGTCCACTCCTGCCCTCTCGAGCTTCCCCCTGAGGAGTGAAGGCTGGATGGTGTTGAAAGCACTGGAGAAGTCAAAAAACATGACCCTCACAGTGCTGCCGGTGTTCTCCAAGTGGGCCATGGACCTCTGCAGCAGGTAGATGACTGCGTCGTCCACCCCGATGTTTGGCTGGTACGCAAACTGCAGAGGATCCAGATGAGAGCTCACCAGGGGGCGGAGGTTCCTCAGCACGATCCTCTTCAGAGTCTTCATCAGGTGAGAAGTGAGGGCCACAGGTCTGAAGTGGTTGGGCTCCCTGGGGTGTGCTGTCTTGGGGACAGGAATCACGCAGGAAGTCTTCCACAGTGTTGGGACCCTCTCCAGACTCAGGCTCAAGCTGAAGATGTGCAGTAGCACCTCACAGAGCTGGTCTGCACAGTCCTTCAGGAGTCTGTAGCTGATGCCGTCAGGACCCGTGGCTTTCCTTGGCTTCATCGTCCTCAGCTCACTTCTCACCTGGTCAGCTGTTATGGAGAGGCTTGGGGTGGTGCTGGAGGGGGTGGTGGAGGATGAGTGGATGGGCTTGATGATGCCGGTGCCATGGGACTGAGGTGGTGTGAAGAAGGAGCAGCAGACGGTTTGTTGGTTTGATGAGTCGGGGGAGGAGTGGGAGCAGAGTCAAATCTATTGAAGAACAGATTCAGCTCGTTGGCCCACTCCCTGTCTCCTGCTTCAGGTCCCCTCTCGTGGCCCCTGCTATGACCTGAGATGGATTTCAGGCCTCTCCAGACCTCCCTTGCGTTGTTCTGTTGCAGAAGGTTTTCCATCTTGGTCTTGTAGCTGGCCTTTCCCTCTCTGATCTTCTTCTTCAGCTCCTTCTGCCCCCTCCTCAGCTCCTCCTTGTCCCCAGATTTAAAGACCCTCCTCTTCTCCTTCAGGAGGACTATAAGTTCCAGGGTCACTCAGGGTTTGCTGTTGGAGAAACACCGTACTTTCCTGGTGGATACGGTGTTCTCTTCTGCTGGAAGTGCCCAGATCAAAATACAAGCACTGGGGTGACTGGGCCTTTTCAATTGCTGGTCCCAGGCTCTGGATTAAGCTCTGCACCGAAATGCGACTTATTTCTGACCTGGGCCTTTTCATATCTCAACTGAAAATTTATTTATTTATGCTGGCTTTTAATACCCAGTAGCGTGGTGACACTTTTACTTTATTTTATTGAATTGTATCTTATTCTTTTTTTATTGCCTTAATTGTTTTTATTTATTCATTTTTATTTACCATGTATTTTAGAGCACTTTGGTTCACTGAAAGCGTTGTGGTAAAGGGCTGTATAAATAAAGAACATTTACATTTACACAACTGAACCATAGAATAACCCATCTACATGTAAGTCATTGGATCAACCTTACATACACTAAAGCCTAAAAGTTTGGAAGCAAGAGTCACAACTTCAGTGCAAAAGCAAAAAAACAAATCACAGTTGGATTATTCACTTCAACTTTTTGACTTTTGAGAGTCTGCCTACAAAAATCCTAATCAATCTCAACTGCATTCAAACTACCGCAGAAATGGCTAGAAAGAAGCAACTGAGTAAAGAAACAAAAGTACAGATTTGTATATTGAGGAAAGAAGGATACACAGAAAGAGAAGTTGAAAAACGCCTAAAGGTGTCTAACAAAGGAGTTCACTACACTGAAGAGACTAGAGAAACCTGGAAATTATGATGATAGAAAAAGACCTGGACGAAAGAGAGTTACTACAAAAGCAGAGGATAAACATATCATTGTCATCAGTAAGAGAGATCGGCAAAAGACAGCACCACAAATAAGAGAGGAAATCAACATGACAAGGTCAAAACCCATATCTCTGACAACTGTGAAAAGACGTTTGAGAAAGGCTGGTCTGAAGGGTTGTGTATCTGCAAAAAAAACACTACTTCGTCCAAAGAACAAGAAAAAGAGATATGAGTGGGCAAAAGCTCACAAAAATTGGACTTATGATGACTGGAAACAAGTTTGCACTGTTTGGTTCAAAGCGCAGAGTCTATGTCCGCAGACAAACTGGTGAACGTCTGAAAGCACCATGTGTTACACCCACAATTCAGCATGGATGGGGGTAGTTCCATGGTATGGGGATGTTTTGCAGGTAATGGAGTAGGAGATTTGTTTGAAGTAAAGAGTATCATGAAGAAGGAACAGTACCACTCCATCCTCCAGCACCATGCTGCTCCAGCTGGACTCAGACTTGTGGCTCATAAGTTTGTTTTGCAGCAAGACAATGACCCTAAGCATTCTGCCAAGCTCTGTCAGGGTTACCTAGACAAAAAAAGAAGAGGAAGGTGTTCTTCAAAAGATGGTTTGGCCCCCTCAGTCTCCAGACCTTTCTCCAACTGAGCTTGTGTGGGATGAATTGGATCGATCGGTCAGAAAAATGCATCCCACGAATCAGCAGTCTCTTTTTAATGAACTTAAGAAAGCTTGGAATGCAATCCCTGGAAGATACCTTAAAAACTTGTGGAATGAATGCCTGGTATATGCCAAGCTGTTGTTAAAGCCAGAGGAGGTTACTTTAAAGAAAGCAAAGTCTAAGCAACAATAACTCGAATACCTAATAATTATAGTCAAAATGTCTTCTGATAAGTTACTCTTTACACAATAGTCATGTTTATTGTGTTGCAAATTATATATATGAAACTATGATCTTTTTTTGTACAAATCTGATCTTGCTTCCAAACTTTTGGCCTGTAGTGTATATGTTTGGTGATGGGCTAAAGCATGTGTATTTGCTCTTTTTCTATCTACAGTTGCCCCAGACACCTCCACATACCAGTATGATGAGTCTTCAGGTTACTATTACGACTCCAAGACCGGGCTCTACTATGACCCACATAGTCAAGTATGTGCACTCTTGCCTTTTTTTTCTTACATAATGCAAATCCCCGCACTTCTTTTGTCCTACTCATGTATTTTTACACATGCTTGCCATCAATAGTACTACTATAACTCTGAGACGCAGCAGTACCTCTACTGGGACAGTGAGAAGCAACAATACATCCCCGCCCCTCAGTCCGACTTGAGTGCAGAGAAAGCTAACACAGCAGCTAGTTCCTCCGCCACAGTGACAGCAAACAGTAAAGAGGCCAAAGAGAAAAAAGAGAAGCCCAAAAGCAAGTCTGCACAACAGGTAAGTACGACACATAAACTCTCCTTTTCTCTGCCATGTCCATTTAAAGATACGTTTACTAACAGTTACTATAATTACAGATCGCAAAGGACATGGAGCGGTGGGCCAAAAGTTTCAATAAGCAGAAAGAAAGTTTCAAAGGTGGTGTTCAAGGAATTGGAGCATCAAGAGAGGAGGACAGGAAAGAGTCTGCAGCTGCTGATGCTGGTTTTTTTCTCTTTGAGAAGAAGGTAGATAGAAGAAATGTGTTTTACTCAATGTTTGTGTTATACCCTAAAGTTTTGAGAGGACACTAACTGATGAAACTGTCAAGCCTTTATTTATTGTTTCTTGATAAGATTTATTGTTTCCCTTGTAGCAATTTGGAGGCTTTGAGATGCCGTCTCTCATGGCCGAGCAGTTCAAGACAGCAGAACAAGAGGTTTGTGCTTGTTTTATTTCCTGATACAAAATAACAAATTTAAACTCATTCCTGTAACACTTCAGCTTTTTGTTTTCACCTTCAGAGCAGTGTGGTTGCTGCCTACAATGGTGACAGTGACACAGAAGAGGGCAGCTCTGATAGAACAGGGGAGGAGGATGGAAAAATAACAGACTGGGTGAAGATGGTGTGTTTGCTCTGTCGACGGCAGTTCCCCACCAAAGAGGCTCTGCTGCGTCACCAGCAGCTCTCCGACCTCCACAAGGTGAGGAAGGAGACACAGCAGGAGTTAAATCTCAAAGTCGCCATGAACATGCCTGGTGTGGGGCCATCTGTTCAATCTGATACACGTAGCTCAAAGATTCAGCATTTCAAGTACCTTTCATTTGTTTCAGCAAAACTTGGAGATTCATAGAAGATCAAAACTCACAGAAGCTGAGCTGGAAGAGTTGGAGAGGAAAGAAACTGAGGTAGTAAGCTTGAGAATTCAAACTGAATTTTTAATGTCAGCAATGTATGCAAAGCTTATTGGCTCAAACTCGGTGGTTATTTTAACAGCTGAAGTACAGAGACAGAGCTGCAGAAAGACGGGAGAAGTACGGTATTCCTGAACCTCCTCCACCAAAGAAGAAATTCTACAAACCACCTACCCCGACAGTGTAAGATTCATCTTATGTCGCTGTAAACAATCTGAAATTGTAAAAATGCACACATTTAACATCTCTTGTTGCTCACATTCAACAGAAACTATGAGCAGCCCACTAAAGATGGCCTTACGAGTGATAACATTGGGAATAAGATGTTGCAAGCGATGGGCTGGCAGCAGGGCAAAGGTCTAGGGCGCCACCAGCAGGGCATCACCACTCCTATCGCGGTGAGAAGAGCTACAATTCTTATCAAAGTATTTACAAAATCAAACTCAAATCCCACCAGCTCCAAACAGATGGAGCATGCATGTCAGTGTGCTCTTCTTCACAGCAATTAGCACCTCCACCTGAGGGCTACCTCTCTCCAATCTGTCTCCTCTAATAGGTATCTTCTACTCCCCACAGGCTTCATTAAGGACCAAGGGAACAGGTCTGGGTGTTAAAGGAAGCTCATATGATTTGGCAGCATCTGACACCTACAAGGATGCTGTTCGTAAGGCCATGTTTGCACGCTTCACCGACTTAGAGTGAACTCAAAAGAGAGAAGAGGTCCTTCTGAGACAGGGATTCGTTTGTGGCCAAATAATCTGTGAAAGAATTTTTTTTTCCTCCTGTAAAAACTTGAACTGAAATTTCTATTCTATCAGAGTCTATGAAATCTAGTTTTATTTTATTTTGTATGTCTAGATATTTTGTCATCAAATGTTTTCAGTTGAAGAAACATTAATATCTTGTTTGTGTTTTATGATGTGGACTAGCTGAGGCGTTGTTTCTGTGAAAACTGAAAGAATCAATGTAAAAATTAAAGCCAACCATTGTGCTCAAACATACTTGTCAGTAAAATGTCGTCTGCCTTTAAAAACTCCCTTTTTTCTGTGGGAGGGGTTCAAACTGCTTAATGTGCTGCAAAGAGAAAAAAAAATGCCATACAACTTTGAGATTATTCAGTAATGCAGCATGAAATGGTGTCATGTTGTTACTCTACTTTGTTTGCATGGAGGCTTGTCTCTCCTCCCTTTGCTACCCACAGTAAAGATCCAGCCTGTCAGACAGACTAATAAATTTTAGATAGTCCCAGATCTTCAAAAAAGGAGAAAAATTTCTTATGCTGGATCTCCATTTCTCATCTACCACCAGACATGTTGTTTATCATTTCTGCCAGAGCCCCCTTGGCTGGCTTCATCCCCTCGTCCCTGAGGCCTCATGGCTGGAACATTTCATCAGCCCTTAGCGCTTCAGTGTTTTTGAAGATGCCCTTAAAAGAATCTTTGCTGTTAGTTATGGTCGATCCATCTTTCTCTTACTGCCTGGAAAAACTAAGAGAAAGCAGGTCAATGAATTGCTGTGTAAAGCCCTTTCAGAATTTTCCCATTCCTAGCAGGAAATTATTTTTTATCTTTATTAATAGTTAAGCTATGGATTCAAAGAGGGCCATTCTTTTTACTTTCACTGTAAAACATTGGCCAAAGGAATAAGAAGACCTCAAAGCTAACATATGCCATTAACTTTTTATTGTGTGGTGTTTTTTGAGTATTTTAGAGGTTAGAAAATAAAACTTATTTGCATCACTAGAGGGCAGTGTCAGTTATAAAGGGACTTTTTTCTCTTCAAAAACATCAACCACTAGTTACTATAAATGGGATCAAATGTCAAAAGCTAGAGAACAGACATAAGATTATCATCCAGTAGAAGAAAATTGAGTTTCCAAATATTCTTGTCAAAATCTCATCAAAGTCACATTTATATTTATAATTCCAGATATGGTAAATCTACTGTCCTTTACATTTGGGTGTCTTCTTCATCTTGTGATCATAGTTTCACATCCATGCTGCTGCTTACATCAGCACCACCTGTCCCACTTTGAAATGTTGATGTCCTCACTGACGCTGGGCACAGGGAGGGGTAGAGAGCAGAGGATTAACATCACTGCTGTTGGGTCCTAACAAAACAGTCACAATGGTACAGCTGGAGGTTAATCTTGGCTATTTTCACAAGATTTTCCAGAAAAAAAGGAAACTCCAAAATCCATCTTTTATGCTACAATTAGGGTTTTGTGTTCCTTCAAGGTGGCGTGGAAAGGAAGGACGCCAGCTCCCCTCTAGAGTGGCAACCAAACAGTGCCTGTTACGTAACCATGTAGTAGCAGAGTGACAGCTTTGATCTGCCTGTTGATTAATACTTGCACGAAATGAACTGTGCTCACTGTCTCACAGGGACTCCAGTGGATGCCTACTCAGTTTTCACATGGCATCGACTCAGCTTACCAGAATCTGTGTCAGTTGACTAAGCCGTTTTGCATAACACAGTCAGTGGCCACATTTTGCACCCACTGAATGAAATAGCGAGAGGATGAAGTTGGCATATGCACACCATGTCCCAAATGTATCAAGGATGTGATATGAATAAGATTTCCTGAAGAAGTGCTTCTATGACGTCCAAGAAACAGTTTGAGCTCTCTAAGCCCGTGCACACGCCTTTCACAATCCATGGTTTTACACTTGTAGTGTCACTTGGCCACTTTGGAGCAGGTCATTTCATCTAAAGAATGATTTATGTTTCATGAAGTAACACTAAAACTAATTGCTCTAACAGCGACACACAGAAGTTAAGTGAATCCCCCCATTAAATAAAGAATTAGCAGGAACAAAATTTGCCATAGAAATGCAAAATATTGACTAATAGTGGGCTTACGAGTGCTGATGGGAAAAAAATGAAGCTTGTTGGGCCTAATTGGAAGCTGAAAAAAATGTGTTCCCAAAAGTAATTCATTGCAATTATAATGTTTTCTATATTCAGTAACTTGCAGCATTGCTTCAAGATTTCTTTAAGGACACGCCACTACACAAACTTCAACCTACATATAAAGAAAACACCCCAGAAGAGCAATGCTGCGCATGCAACCAACAACACCATATTATATTAACACACTCACAGAGTAACCATCCACATGTTTGCGAAAAGAAAGTTTTGAGTTAACTTTTAAAAGTACAGACATTTGTGATGGACCTCAGGTCTGCTGACAGCTTGTTCCAGACAGAAGGACCACAGACCAACTACAAAGCCCCTTTACCAGACTTGCATGATCTTGCATGTAGCAAACAGGCTTCCACCTGATGACCTGAGGGGACAGAGCGGGTTGTATTTTGATCAGAAATTAAGTATTGTGCACTTTGTGGACAATATAACTTTGAGAGTGATTCTGTATTGAAGTGATTTAAAGTGAAGTGATTTAAAGACCCACTCTGATGAAAATCATGTTTTTCTTGTTTGTTTGTTTTTTTATGTTCATATGGCATTTTCTGATGCTACAGGACACATTATGAGAAAACTAAATCACTTTTCTGATTATTTCTTCATTCAAATCGCTGTGAATCTCTGGCAGACCCAAACGGCGGAAACACTGAGATTAAATACGTAACCAATCCAAGCTCTGCCCCGCTATGCAGTCACACGCTGCATATAGAGGAGAAACACAGAGGATGATCGCGGAACAAGCGTGTGCGTTAGCGGATTGCAATGCTGGCGAGGAAGCTCATTTTGATGTTCGCTTTCATCGTGTCTCTAAAGACATTAGTGTCTGAGAGCTGAATAGCTCCTATGTTGACTTAGAGAGCTGGAGTGATAGTGGTGTTGGGCTTTTGATTGGCTGAATCTGACTAATTTCTGCACTCCCAATCATCAGATATCTGTAGTCAAGAGGAAGAAACAAAGTCAGGTTAGCCATGTCTTCACAGTGAAAGTTAACCCCTTTCATGCTTTTTGTATCGTATTTGATACAAACTTTTATATACTTCTATCAAATCAATATGATCAACAAATTACTAAAAAACACCTGAATACAGTCCGATAAATGATAAAAAATGTCCTCTTGTGGTTTATCAGTTTCCAAAAACATCTAATGTATCAAACGAGATAAATAAATATGTTTGTTGAATTTGTTGAATTTTAAGGAAATTTTGACTTTTTTGGTTTTCAGTCATAAGTGAATAAACTTTTCAGCTCCAAAAAATGTTTAATTTTCTGGTCATAATTTGTGGTGTCAGGCATTAAAGGGCTACGAAGAGGCTGTCTCATATCAAAATACATTGGGTTATATTTAGGAGGTTTAGTTTTTCTGTCCAGTAATTTCTCCCTGAATGTCCCAAACCATAAGTTGAACCAGGAAACCAGGAAAATAATTTCAAAATAGAAGAGTCTCTGTCAAATTGTAGCCCATAGTAAAATTCTTTAAACAAAGTTTATGTATTGATTTAGAGCTGCTGACCCTGCATAACTTTCTATGCACCGACACCCTAGAAGTGTGTTCTGAAAAAGTCTGTTAACATTTACACAAACATCCACTTTGAAAGAAGTCTGTGTTTTTAGATTAAACAGGGGAGCTTTGAATGCTTACAGGTGGATTGTGTTGAACTCACATTGATCCAGAGCACATAGTGTACAGCGGTGTGTTTGTCTGCATGTGAAATGTTTGTGTTCCTTTCCTCAGGGATCTAACAGGAAATACATCTGAGACTATACCAAGATCAAATGCATGACACACAGGAGGACCCACACTGCACTTGTCTCATGCAGACAAGTAATTTCAAACTCTGTCCAGCTGTCCAAACAGGAAAAAAAAAACAGAATTCAATAACTGAGGAACGTCTTATCTTGACATTCATTTAGAAAGAGTTCATAAGTAATATTAAATCCAAGCAGCCATAAAAAGAGGAATTTCTTCTTTGTTATTTATTTGATATTCTAGAAATGTTGGATATTTCTTGAGTTGGGCGCCTCAGAAAATGTTCTATTATTGTCTTTTGGATCTTATTTTTTAACCTATGTGCATGTAAATTGTGTTTAAGAAATTATATCATGCTTCCTCTTGACTGCTAGGGATTTTAAATGTAAGTTAGAATGTAAAGAGTAACATGTAATGTTTAAGAGGAAGCAAATGTGGGGGTAACAGCACACTGCAAGTTTGCGACATTGTGTGATGTTCAACTTTGAAGCTCCTGTGAGGTGTTTTTAAAGATTATGACATAAAATGATATTCATACTGAAGCTTTTTTGTGATATTAGATTTGAACTTTGTGCTAGATTTTCATGTAGAGCATTTAAAGCTAGAGAGATTTTTCCTTATCTCTGCTGCTTTTTGTCTGTCCTGCCTGCTCTGTTCCCTCCTGATATTTTGTTCCCTCTTTGGGCCTCCATGTTTTAGCCCCCTGTGCAACTGCCAGGCTTCTCCTTCAGGGAATTCCTCCCGCAGAGAGGAATAATGCTCAGGACTTCTCTCTGTCCTGCAGAGCTGTGTGCGATTGTGTGTGCATGTGTGTGTGTATAGTACAGTGCCGGCTCTTTGATGGCTAGAGAGGAGGGAGGGCAGGTGGCCCAAGTATGTGTTTATGTGTGTAGGAGACTTTTTGAACTCCTTCTGTTAAAACTTTCAGATGATTGAAGTCTGGAGAGAATAACAAACAGCATCTTCTGAATATGACAGATGTCTCCTTTTGATAAGCATCAGAAACACCCCCATTACTCCTGCTAACTGCTTCATTATCATCAAAATCTACAGTTTGTTTCAAACTCACGTGTCGTCTTATCTTTTTTTTTTTATATGATCACTTCAGTTACCGTGACTATCCGTGTAGAAAGGTGTGGGTTTCCTTAAAATCCATCTTAAGTTCATCAAAGCAGTTTGAATGTCTGGGGGTCAACCTTCATCACATGCTTTTGACTCTCGGCCTGTGTGATGTGGTTCACAGTTTTACAGTCAATTTTATTTTACAGTATATCATTTTGCAATTCAAGTTAGGTGTATGATAGGTTGGTATTTGGAGGAGGATTTGAGGCAGAAAAAAAGGTCAGAGGTCATTTAGCTCTAAATTTTTATCCTCAGAATTCTAAGTTTTATGTCAGAATTCTGACTGTGCTCATATCAGACTTTGAGGGGAAAAAAAAAACTGAATCACAACTTTTTTCTTGAATTCTGACTTTCAAGTCAGGATTCTGCCTTTTTCTTGAATTCTTAGATGTAAAACAAAAATTAAGATTCATTTTTTGTTTTCTAATTCTTACTCAAATTTTTTAATTCTGAGGTTGAAGTCAGTA